AGCCAACGGGCCATCCTTTGCGAAAGGTGAGGCGACTGAGTCGCAGTGCGTAACGACGCATGATCCGTGTAAATCACGAACGGCTGAGAGCCCAACAGATGCACCCTGAACTTGACGAGCGCATACTTCATCGCAAGTAGCTCTTTGTCATGGACAAGACAGTTCTTCTCCGTAGCCTTCAGCTGGCGAGATTCGAACGCCACCACGCGCTCGCGCCCCTCGGCGTCTGCTTGCAGCAGGGCACAGCCGACGGCAAAGTCCGAGGCGTCACAGACGACACTAAACGGACGAGCGGGGTCTGGCAGAGCCAAAATAGGTGCATGAAGGAGACTGTCCTTAATTGCCACGAACGCATCTTGATGCTCGATGTCCCAACACCACTCCGTATCCTTCTTCAGGAGATTGGAGAGTGGCTGAGCCATCTCAGCGTAGTTCTCGCTGTACTTGTGCAAGTAATTGGCCAAGCCAAGCCACTTGCGAAGATCCTTCTACTTCTTGGGAACCGGCCAGTCAACAATGGCCTTGACCTTGACCGGGTCGGCCCTCAGGCCACGCTTCCCGATGAAGCACCCTAAGAAGGGGATCTCTTCCGCTCCGAAGATGCATTTGTCTATGTTGGCGTACAACTTGTTTTGACGCATGCATTCGAGCACAGCACGCAGGTGCCCCACATGGTTATCCATATCAGTCCTTCCGTGCTCCGCACGACTGTGGACAAAGATGTCATCGAATTTCGTTTGCGCGTACGCCCGATGGGGCCTGAAGAGCTGCGTCACAAGACGATTAAACGTCGCTGGCGCGTTCGAAAGCCCTTGGGGCATCACCAACCACTCCCAGAGCATGCCGCTCGGAGTACTCACCGCAGTGAGAGAAATGTCGCTCGTCCTCATGAGCAATTGGTAATATCCATCGACCAAGTCGAGCGCACTGTACATCGTACATCCTGTCATGTTGTTGTGGAGAACATCCTTCCGAGGAATCGGCGTCTGCGCCGGAATGGTAGCGGCATTCAGCTTGTTGAAAGCATGCACGATACGACACTTGCCATTCGGCTTTCTGACACAGAACGTCGGCGTAGAGTGTGGAGACTTACTCTCACGCACCATGCCCGCCTCGTGCTTCGCACGGAAGAACGCGTCAATGAAGTCACACTGCTCCTTCGGCAAGGGCCACTGCCTCGTCACGCAGTACTTCGTTCCCGGAACGAGATCGATTTCGTGTCGAACACCTTGATCCGGAGGTAGCCCCGAGGGCGGCTCCTTCGAGACCACGTCCTGGTAATCCTTTACCACTTGATACAAGGGATCCGACGGGTTCTTCAGGATTGCCGATCCGCTCCGCGCATTCAGCGCCTTCTTTGTGTCTTCCAGGACAGCTTCATCCAGAAGCGAGGACGAGTTCAACTCTTCTTCGGGTCGTATGACCACTACCTCGGCCAAGTCTCCAGCCTTCAAGGCTTCGCCGAACTCGGCCAAGGACATCTCGTCCAGCTCCAGGAGAGCAGACAGTGAGGGCAAGTCGTCGAGGTCGATACCTCCGTCGACGTCGCGTGTCACTCCATTCACGAGTGTATAGAGCTGCTCGCTCTCGCGTGGAGCCTCACCGCTCGACACGCCCTTCTCGACTCATGAGATCGCAGACGCCTTGCGTCTCGCAGCCAGCACTTTGCGGCGCTGCCTCCTCTTCATGGACCCCTTCCGCGCTGAAGAGCTCCGTGATTTCGCGTGCGTCTTGGTGCCAGGTGTCACCACCTCGTTCAGCTCCAGGGGAGCTCCAGTGTCTTTACCGACACTCAGCGAAGAGCTGCACGATCCGCAGCCTGCACTCAGTGGATTACGTGCCACTCCACGATCTTCATCCGGGCAAAGCCCCTTGTCCTTCGGCATCGTGCCGACCGCGCCGTCGCTGGCACACAGCAGGGCGTCGCCCTCAGACGCACACCCGCTCATCGGAATTCGTGCCGCCCCACCTGCCGTCCGCAAGCCACGCTCGGAACGCTCGTTCTCGACACACTCAGTGTCCACCAACTCGGAAACTCCGATGTCCAGCACATTGACCAACTCAGTCCAGTGCTCGCGCCAGAAGCGCTTCTGCTTCCTAGCAGAGGTGGGTTCATGACTCGCCAATGCTCCGCCAGGAGAGAAGTGCGTAGCATCAAGGGTCTTCCGCCTCCAATCGATCCAAGACTCATGGCGTTCCAGCCACGCCATGCCAAGGATGAGATCATATCTCGAATCGAGGTCTAAGACCAGACAGCGTTCCACGCTATCAAAATCCAAAAACTTCACGCCCAGGTCCACAGGGACCTTAGGCACCGTGACACGAGTGCCTGTCGCGAGACGAACAGTGACGATGTCATTCCCGCGCGCTTCCAGCGCCTCATCATAAAGCTGACTTCCGTCCATCGTGGAATGTCGGGCGTAGCTACCCGACGCTCCCGAATCGATCAAAATCGTCCATGGCTTCGTGAAGCCCTTCACCCAAGCTTGGACAACTAGCAAGCCCGTCTTGCATACACGTTCCGTGTTAGAGAGTACGGCTCTCTTCGGGGCTAAGTCCTGTCGACCTCCACCTCGCCGAGGCTCAATAGAACTTAGTTCTTCCCCAGTAGGCCGCCCCGCGCCTACTGGGACTTCTCGTTTCCCCGAGACAAACCAGAGCCCTGGCTCGAACTCGAAGAGCGGATTGGAGAAGCCTGGCGCTGATGGCGCAGCGGACACCTAGCCCGAAGGTGACGGGTGTCACCACAGATGAAGCATCTGCGGATACCGCGACGCTGCTCAGCAGCACGAAGCTCGGCTTCTTCGTCTTCAACATAGCTGAGGCCCATGGGTTCCGGACCAGTCGACCCGCTAGCGTAAGACACATTCCACCCAAGTCTCGACGACTTAAAGTTGTGCTCCGCATTCAATGCGACGCTCACAGCCTCTCCGAAAGAGCTCGGGTGGGTTTGGAACACTTCCGTCCTGGCAACGCCAGTGCGGAGGCCCTCCATGAACACCGTAACGGTGACTGCCTCCGGCAGGGGGTCCGCAGACATACCAGCAATGAGAGTTCTCAACTCTTGGACATAGTCCATGAACTCCTTCTTGCTCTGCCTGGTCGCCAGGAAACGTGAGCGCACGCGATACGCCTCGTTAGACGGAGCAAACACTCGGGACAATTGCTGTTTCAGCTGGTCCCATGTCGGGAAGGCCACCTCGAACGACGTCCCGGACGTTAGTGCCCACTCTCTCTCTCGCCCACCGAGCTTCGAGGTAGCAGGTAGCTAGTGCCACGCGCTGCGACTCCGTCCGGAGTGGAGCTGAGCTCATAGCCATCTCAACCTCACGGGTCCAAAGCATCAATCTTTCACCCTCCTTGCCTTCGAAGGTCTTCACACTCAACATGAGCGGCTTGGGTCTTGTTCCCGCGTCGGATGACGAAGCGGGCGCTTAGAGCGCCGCGGCCGTCGCCATCCTCTGCTGGAGGTGCTCTAGCAGAGCATTCTCGTAGCTTGAAAACGCCTCGAGACGCGCGTTCACCGCGTCGGAGCCTTGCTGCGCAAGTTGCGTCACCCCAGCAAGGACATAAGGTTTTTAAGCACATCCTGCTGGTTCGGGGGCAAGTGAGCGAACTGCTCCATTCTCCACAGAGGGTCAGTCTATACAGACTCAGGTGTCGGATTGACTACAAGTGCTACCAAGTGCAGCGGGGCTGCCGTAGCTTTGCGTCAGAGGAAGCTTAACAGACTCGCAGAGTCTCCGCTTAAGATCGCCCGTTCTAATACCAGAACGTACGAGTCCGTGCACCCTACGGACTCCAAGAGTCAACCCTAGACTCTTCAGTGTAAATCTCAAACTGAATGTATTTCCCTTTATTGCGGCAAAGCCGCCTACGGTGTAAATATATCCGGTTCACTATCTAGCATAGTGAACCCTAGTCATATGCATAATCAGTGGCTCTGAAGCCATGTACTGATTCTCCTACTGATTTAGGTTAGACAGTATGTACCCACTTCGTAACCATTCGGGTAACTCTCGTGTAACCCCGTTACAGTCGCTGTATCGGCTGTCTGTATAATTACGCTTGCCGCCAGGTTTGATCAAGTACTTAGTAATCGCCTCGGGGCGACCACGTTGGTGTCACTCAGCCAGCGTATGCAAATCCTGTGGGCTCGTTCCCACTCCAATAAACTGTGGGTGTGCCAGGTCTGCACACCCTCGGTCCACTCAATGAAGACCACCTCAACGCTGTCACTATTGCGGTAATCTAAGAATATCTAATAGCGATATTGATCAGATCTTTCCAGCTCTTGTACACGGTACCCAGTGGGGTCGTATTCATTGTGGTTCTTAAAAGGGTTAAAACGCTGGCCTTGACCGTGCTTAATGCGTATCATGGCTCCAAGGCGCGATAGAAATTCAGTTCTCCTGGAGCTCGTGAGCTGGTCTTGTGGATTCCGTCCACCAATGTACGCTGCAATACATCGATCATCGCAACCCGAGCTATAGGGTAGGCTAGCAACAAGTCGATGGCGATGAGACAGAACCCAGGAAAACCCACAGAAAAAGGGTTTGACGCACACCATATGCGAATACAAATATAGATTGCGTAACTACATGTTGCACCACACTACGAAGACGCGCGGAACACCGCGAGTAGAATCAGCAACCAAACCCAGGCTACCCCACACCACTCAATATCAGCGAGTAGTATCTATGAGAGCAGTCGAGTTCAACCAATGAAAACAGTGTATTTTGGCTATATCTACCTCATAGCTGCTGGTAGCCCCGTGTGTATCTTCCTGCATGCTCGAAAAGACAGTATTCCCCGCAACCCGCTCACACCAGCTCATGCAGCCCGCAGCCCGACTCACGATGTCCCCCAAGTCCCAGTGGACAACCATCTGCAGGAAGACTCCCAGCTGCCCATAGAGGCCATGATGGTCTTCATCATCGTGAAACCGTCAGCTGGAACCATAAGATGCGATACAAGTTGCTGAAGCGCTCCTCGGAAACATGGGCGGCAGCAACGCCATACGCGGACTAGGCAATGTTCTGACTTGCCAAGAGCTGAATCAGGTGGCGATTGTGGAGACTGGTTGTCGCGAGACAGCGGCTCGGGACCGTCGCAAACCCCAGCTCACTCCCCGGCTGATGGACTACGGGCGTGAAATGGCGACCCAAGGCCTGAAGCCGGCCCGAATTAGCATGGGTATGCCTCGGCTATTTGGGCCTGCTGAGGCGGAGATGCGAACCCTGCGTCAAGTCCAGTGGTTCGGCAGCAACTTCCCCAAGACAAATCTCCACAGCAACGACGGCTATGAGGACATTCTGGACCAGATCGACCAACTGGTATTTGGACCAGCCACTACTGATACCCAGCCGTTCTCGTTTGGTTTGGACCGGGATGGCAAAGACAATCCAGATATGGGGAACGGATCCGACGAGCATCCATGTTTTGTGGGTCTCACAACCAAGGTCTTGTTGTGCTACTCGGATCGAGACCCCAACTCGTTCGTGTTCCACCTGGACGGCACCTTCAAGTTGAACCAAGTGGCTTATCCTGTTATAATTTGTGGTGTTTCGGATTGCAGTCGCTCATTCTTCCTTGGGGCAGTTTTTATTGTCTCCCAGCGACTAGAGGGAATCTACGTTCAGGCGCTAACCGCCCTCCGAAAGATATAAAACACTAAGGTGACGGAACAACAGCTGTTGCTCAAGGACGTTATGGCCGACGCGAAGGAACGCGGTCAGCCAAGGGTTTGGTGTCGACTCCGACCTCGCCTACGTGATGTGCTATTACCACGTGATGACCAAGGTCCACGAATTCCTCAAGGCCGTACCAAACCGTTTGTACAAACAAGTGGTTGCCCATATATACACGGCTTGCTCAAGTGTAGACGAACAGGTCACAACGGCACTCGCGCTGAACTAGGCTTTGTTGACTGGACCGAAGACCCACCGCTTAACCCACCGGCGACCGTTATCCCGATTTTGCTGGGATAAGACAAACCTCGGGGGAAAGTGCCGGTTCAAGCCATACAGGTGGTTAGGGTAACTGCGACTCTTCAAGGTCCCGCCGAGAGCGTTTTGGCCAATGGGATCTGTTTGCGGATTTCTCACCTTGAAAGGTAGATGGGCATGGGTGCCGGGCTTCCGCGCCACCATTGGCCACCGCACAAGCATTTACACCCGCAGATTGACAGGTGCCCGCGAAGGATTAGCGCTTCTCCGCTATGGTAAAATTCTGAGTTGATAGGATGCACCGCTCACTAATGTTAACTTTCTTTTCCCTTGTATCATTGCCTTCTATAGATGCCTTCACACGCGCGAGGTACGCTGGTCGAGGAGCTACGAGTACGGCTCTGCCGGTGCCACTGCGAAGACCGAGTTGTTTCGATCGAGACCTGGACGCTCCTGTTCGTGGAGGAGCCCGACCGCTACTTCGGCAATGTACGTGAGGCGTCAGGGCTATTGGAGCTTTAGCAGAAGGGAGGCTGACGCTGAGAGATGTTGTGGACTCGGTAGGTGTGCGAGCTGGACACCATCTTCAACCCCCACAAGGTAAGGCGGCGTCTTGGCAGCTTTGGCGTTCATATCTAGGGGCTCATGCTGGTGTTGTTGTTGTCGACAGGCGTATTACATTCAGAACGATATGTTCACCGGCTACTCCCGGCAGGAGTTGAGCAAGGAGACGATCTTGCGCATCTGCGCCCACCTAAGCTACGTGCCCCCACCGCTGAAACCATGCGGGTGCTGACACTTCACCCTAACGCGAGTCGACTCCACAGCGAATGTCCAAGCACGATGCCGAGGGCACGACGGTGGAAACAAGCGGCAGGGAGGACGCCAAGAGCACTACAGGGACAGCGGGGTGTGGCAAGACTCCAAGAACGACAGCTACAACGGCGGCTTGAAGCATGGAGTCTTCATGGTCAGCTGGGGTCTGGTTACGGAGCCCACGATGCCGTACGTCGACTCGAGTAAGCTTGTCCGCTACGAACACTTCATCTTGTATTGGGTTCTCTAGACCTCGTATGACAGCTCATGGGACGACAGCGGCTTCATTACGCTGTCAAACTCAACTGCAGGTCGAAGTTGATTAAAGTTGTGATTGATTTTCATGCAATTAATATATAGTTGTTGGCTTGACCCTCGGCGGCAATGTTAGAGTAGTGATCGTAGTTACTGCATCGACCATCTTGGTTCAGCTGTGTAGAGGTGTAAATCCCGAAGGGAGATGCTGTAAGTCATCGGAACCTGAATTGTTTTCAGTAACTTCCACCGCTTGTAAAACGAATTTCGGCACGTATTACGATGCCGCGGACACACCCGTGTCGACAGCGTAGATGAGGTGGCTTCATGAACAAAGCACGCATTGCCAAAACCACATCTACATCGAACACAGTGTCGTGGCAAAATAAAAGGGTGGCGGAGCTGATAAGGGAGCTGGGTTGAGCCAACTTCGAGTCTGGATCAGCATTGATAACAGTATCGCTGCCTTCAGCAATATTGCGGATGTCTGCGGCGACGACGCTGATCTTGAGCAAGTGTGGAAAGCGCGATGCCCTAGACGCAATCAGCTCCATACCTCTAGCGGCCAGGTCACGTTGGATCTCAATACCAACCACACAAAATGCTTGCGTTTGCAGAGCGACTTGAGCGAGAACATTTCCCACGCCGGATCCAGCATCCAGAAACACGTCATTCACTTGAATATTCGCTCCTTCGATCAGCATGGACACCCCAGCCATTGTAATCTCCCCGGCATTTTGCTGACGTTCACTCGCGCGCACATCACGCCTGGTGAGTAGGCAGAATAGTCCTCCAGTGGCGCTGTAGGTTTCTAGCGGTGATACGTGGTGATGGCGAAAACCGTAGAGGAGACGCGGCTTTGGCTTCCAAATGCAGTCCTGCTCGGTCTGGTGGCGGGCGGAAATAGCGTGGGGGAAACTCAGCACTTTATTGCCATATCGTCTCTTGAGCGTCTTGATTCGCTGTTGCAGTTTGGCTGCGCTCCATGTTGACGGCCTCATGTCTTTCTCCACTGACACCCAGTCGGTTCGTCTTCCCGCTTGCTCGTACACCACCGCGAGCTGAACGAGTTGGCGGTCCCCTTCATCTGAAAAGTCGGCCATTTTTCGCTTCGGATACTGTCTATACAAACTCAAGTAAAACGACCCTTTGGGGGTTCATACTGAAACCGAGTTTATTTTTTTGGATTTGTAAGTCAACGTTGGGTCGCTGTCGACCGAGTCAATGTAGACTCGTTCAGAGTCGACGTTGACTTCGCTATTACTGAAACTAGTACGTTTGAGTCAATGTCGACTTGGTTTAGGTCCATGTTGACTTCGCGATCAATAAAACAAGCGTATTCGAGTCAAAGTTGACTCGCTCTAAGTCCTCGGTGACTTGAAAATGCGTATTCATTCATCGTTACGCAGCAGCACACACAACTACAGCAGGATGGCACTCTCAAACGCAGCCAATGCTTCCATAATCTTCACGCATACACACGCGTATCTGCCGTGGTCCATCGAGTGAATGACGGTACCTGTCTTGTCGTGGACCAACTCATTTCTTTTCTCCCAGAACTCGACCGCCAGCGCCTTGAACTCTTCAGCGTCCGCCGTCTTCGATCCAAACGCCTCCTTCATTTTGCCCATAATGAAGTCGCGCTTCTTCTGCATTGTGCTCGTGTAACCTACATTTTTTCAATCCAGAGACAATGGGAGTCAATACAATGTCAAACCACACTGAAGCAGAAACTCAAGCGGCTTACCATTTCGGATCTCGGCGTTCCATTCCGTGAACTCTTCGATAGCTTTCTCGGTCACCACGCTATGCTTGAACATACTCAAGTACAGCTCTTGCCTCGCGATGGTGTCTTGCAATCCGCTGTTCTGCGTTTTCACCGCCTCTAGCGCAGCCTTCATCGATTCCAACTGCGTTCTCACTCCATCCCGTTCTGCTTGCATCGCCGCCCTCTCTTCCTCGATCCGGTTGCGGTTGGCTTCGAGCTCTTTAAACGCAGCTGGGCACCCGTTGTTCTTGAACTGCTCTTCCAGGAGCCGGGTCTGGCGCTTCATTTCATTCAAAATCTTCGCCTGCCTCAGCGATATTCGGCCTCCTTGTTGCTTCTCTCGACTCGGCTTCTCTCGTTTCTTTTTATCCGCGTCCAACTGCTCCCGCCCCCGTTGCAGGCGATGCGTTACGTTCTGGAGACGCCGGCCCTCCTCCTTGAGCTTGGCCTCATGAGATTGCAGCTCCTCGGGTTTGACTTGTAGTTCTTCCTCCTTGTTCTCCATATTCTTCTCTCGCGTAGCCACCTCGTTCTCCCGGTCCTCCAGTTTTTTTCTTGCGCTCGTCCACCTCTCTCGTGAGGTTGTTCATGTCTTCGTGCACATCCTGGAGTTTCTTAGCATGGCTAGCCTGCGCCTTAAGTAGATTGTCTGCGTGCGTGGTGACGGATTCCTTCGACAAATTCAACTCAGTTTCCACAAGGGCAAGTTTGTTGCGCAAGCCATTTGAAATCGCCTTCTCCTCGGCTAGTTGTAAAATCGAATTCCGCAACTCCTTCGTCAACGCGATAGTTATATCGTTGTCTGGGAGATCAAAATTCCTGAGTTCGGTCAGCTCGTTTTCAGCGGCTGCTAACTGCTCCTCTAATTTCCTTGAGCGCGCTTGCTCCTCCTCTAGCTTCTCTCGGAACTGCTGCAGTGCTTGCGAACTAGAAAGTTCAAAATTCGCATACTCCCCTCGCAAAGGGTGGGTTTGCAGGCTCCGAGCTGGGGCACCTTCCTCCTGCACGACCACGGGTGTCTGCGAGATTGGAGGCCCTGGAGCTTGGTCTGACGCTAGCGATGCTTGGTTTGTGGCTGCGGTAAGCTGCTGAGCCGCCTGGATGTCGCATTGCTCGATCGCCAGGTGCTCGGCTCCGCCACGTTGCGATAGCTTCGACGAACCCGATCCAGCGGTCTGCGCGTGTGCGTCTGCTTTCAGGGCTTGGTCCGCTAAGTAAACCTCGTAGAACTCTTTCAGCAGCGCAGGCTCGTGAAGCTGGAGCTCTTCCGGGTTGTTTTTGAACGCCTTGAATTGAGTCAACTTGCTCAAAGCCTCGTAGTCCAAGTCGTTGTCGCTGTTCCTAGCAGCTGTGTATTTCTCCGCCCACACACGCTTCTGGTAGTCTGCCATCTTGTAGTAATCACCTGCCTTGCGCCGTGGGCCTTGCCGGTGCTCGCCCTTTTCGTCTGCGATCTTCTTTTGTAGAGCCAAGCACGTGGACCGGAGCGCGTGCTTGGGTACCAGGGGAGTCGTCTCTTCATCGCGAGTCGTCGCCTCGTCCTCCGATGCACTCGCGGCGACCAACTCGCGCGTCGTCCCGTTGGATCCTTCGCCAGTCTTCTTGGCAGTCTTCCTCTGCTTACGGGGGCATGGCGAAGTGTCTGGCGAAGTGTCTGGCCCCTCCCCCTTCTTCCGCTTCTGCTTGGCATTGCCGGTGGCAGGCGTGGTCTTGGCAGCATTTGCTGACTTGTCAGTGGGCGCGCTCGTCCGCTTTGTCGCTGGCTTGTCCGTCGCCTTTGCAGTTTTCTTGCTCCTCGTCATGGGCGCCTACCGCCAGCAGTTCCCTCGCTCGCTGCAGCCTGGGATCGCTTCGCCATCAGCACTTCGCTGCAGTCAAGGTTCTTTGAGAAAGTGATACCGCAAATCCTATAGTTGAAATAAATTGATGTGGACCAATTCGATTTAGAATCAAGAGGACTGTAAGTCAACGTTGACTTGGTATAAATCGTTGTTGAGCTGGCTTCAGTAACAAGTGTCTAAGCCAGCGTAGACACGTTCCAAGTCGTAGTCGACTTGGTGACTCAATGAGAGATGTACGAGTAGATGCACATGGTTGTCTTTACAAAAAGATGCATATGTGGTGAGATAAGCGCCAACACAAGAGTGGATACGTCAAATTAGAGATTTACTGAAGCTACCAGTCACCTCTTCGGCATTGCCGGAGCACGTTAGCGATCACGTATAAACTCTTCCAGCGTGATGATGTAGGCGCGCGGTATATTGACGGTGGTCAGCTCGTTATCGATGTGCAGCTCATCGACGGTGTCCACCTCGTTGTCGGGGCGCGGCTCCTCCGGTGCGTTGTGTCTCCAAATGTTGAAGTACTCCACGAAAGTGCGACCAGGGATAGCGTGGCCAACACGATTAGCTCGTTCCAAGAGCTGTGTTGCTTCCGCTATGCCAGGGGGCATTCGAACGCAGCAAACGTAAGCTTGTCCGAGGGAATGTGCAGATCCTTATAGCGCTCAAAATCATCCATCCGAAGGTTGCAGTTGTCGACGATAACGATATCCACGCCACGGTCGGGGCTGCGCCACAGGAGTTCTCTGCATTGTTCGTAGCAGCTTCGATGCGCCTCCCAAAGCCGACTCGCGTCGAACACATAGGATCCTCCGCGCTGGAAGAAGAGGTCAGCTGAGCAAATCGATGCGCGGAAATCAACCGTTGCTGCATAACGAGCGACCTCTTGAGCAAACGTTGTATTGCCACTGCCTGGGAGGCCTCTCATGATCACGAAGAGCCGAGGCGGGTACTGCATATACGCGCGGCAGTGCTCCCAATACGCCCGGTAGTCGTCAACGATTTGTCGGGCTTTGAACTCCATTTCTCACACGTCGGATGTCGTCGAACCTCCAAGATTCCGCTCCTTCTGATGTTGACCACACCATATCACCGACCATGTGTGAACACACATAACATAAGTCAACATTGACCTGGGATAGTCAACGTCGACATCTTGGCCGGACCAGTTGCGCTCCTGGACGATATCAGCGGCGTGGGCGACCGTCGGCCAGCATATCGGCGAGCCCGGCCACAGCGTCACGGCGAGCGTAGCGGTAGCGGGGACAGCGAGAGCAGCATGACGAGCATGGCGGCGGCGCCACAGCGAGCGTAGCACGACGAGCATGGCGGCGGCCGGCATGGGCGACAGCAGCACGGCGAGCATAGCGCCGGCCAGAGTAAGGATCAGCAGTATGGCGAGCTTGGTGGCGGCCTTGGCGGCGACGGTCGATGCGAGCCGGGCGACGGCATAGTTGGGGAAGCGCGCTGGAGCAGTAGCTGGCGATTTCGGAAATGAGGTTTGGGATTGAGCGCGCGGAAACGATCTTCTGGCACGGATCGCAGCGCGAGCGTGATTGGCCGCGAAATGGCTGACCAATTACACGTCGCAAATTCAAACGATGGGGGCGCTGATTGGCGTAGATACCGGAGCGAACCCACGGGCGAAAATCTGCGTGTTGCGCGAACTCAAAGCGCAAGTTGGAAAAGCGCGCGAAAGGCTGTGTGTTGCGCGAAGCTTGATGGCTGAAGCCAGGCTGATACCACTTCGTGTGACCTTTGGATTGAGCCAATGCTGATTGGCTTATTAGCTTCAGCTCAACACTCGATAAGCACTCCGAATTATAGTAGTTCTTGATTTAGTGACTACCTAGTACGAGGGCATTTCTTTTGCAGTTCTATAGTAACTTACTTTTGCAAGTTCTTCTGCAACAGAAATGATGGCAAACGGTGCCTGAACGTCGCTCGCCTCGCTACCTAGGCCAGTGTGGTGTTCTCACAAAACGCGGTACCCGTAGATATGAAATACCAACCAATGCGTGCACACGGTTTCTACAGTTGAGCGCTAGCACCATTGATCTTGTCCGTCGAAAAAGCTCTGCTTCTGGGTGACCAAAAGCTCACGAGACAGCACACTTATTCCCTCCTGTTCCTCGACAACACTGATACGAATAGACGCCAGTGACTTCAGCGAGGAATACGCCGCGCTGGCTAAGAACACGGATGGTTGATGAACCCCCCCTCCTTTATTTTACTGCAATTTACTACATATAGGAGCCCACACAGCGCTTGACCTCCCGTGCCGCGCCACCGCGGCTCGCCGCCTCGCCCGGTGAGATGCGTTCTGCGGGCTGAGGGTGGCTGGTATCGGTGGTATGGCGAAAGTCGAGGGTAATTCGCGTCCGTTGGCAATGGCGCTCCAGGGAGCTTTGGGGGCTGCATGGAGGTGTCACTGGTGACTTGGCTGGCCGAACCACTAGTGCCGCGCCACCGCGGCTCGCCGCCTCGCCCGGTGAGGTGCGTTCTGCGGGCTGAGGGTGGCTGGTATCGGTGGTATGGCGAAAGTCGAGGGTAATTCGCGTCCGTTGGCAGTGGTGCTCCCGGGAGCTTCGGGAGCTGCATGGAGGTGTCAGTGGTGTCTTGGCCGGCCGAGCCACAAGTGCCGCACCACCGTGCATCGCTGCCTCCCAGCCGGTAGCACGGTGGCGCGGCACGGGAGGTCAAGCGTTGTGTGGGCTCCTATATGTAGTAAATTGCAGTAAAATAAAGGAGGGGTGGGGGTTCATCAACCATCCGTGTTCTTAGCCAGCGCGGCGTATTCCTCACTGAAGTCACTGGCGTCTATTCGTATCAGTGTTGTCGAGGAACAGGAGGGAATAAGTGTGCTGTCTCGTGAGCTTTTGGTCACCCAGAAGCAGAGCTTTTTCGACGGACAAGATCAATGGTGCTAGCGCTCAACTGTAGAAACCGTGTGCACGCATTGGTTGGTATTTCATATCTACGGGTACCGCGTTTTGTGAGAACACCACACTGGCCTAGGTAGCGAGGCGAGCGACGTTCAGGCACCGTTTGCCATCATTTCTGTTGCAGAAGAACTTGCAAAAGTAAGTTACTATAGAACTGCAAAAGAAATGCCCTCGTACTAGGTAGTCACTAAATCAAGAACTACTATAATTCGGAGTGCTTATCGAGTGTTGAAGCTGAAGCTAATAAGCCAATCAGCATTGGCTCAATCCAAAGGTCACACGAAGTGGTATCAGCCTGGCTTCAGCCATCAAGCTTCGCGCAACACACAGCCTTTCGCGCGCTTTTCCAACTTGCGCTTTGAGTTCGCGCAACACGCAGATTTTCGCCCGTGGGTTCGCTCCGGTATCTACGCCAATCAGCGCCCCCATCGTTTGAATTTGCGACGTGTAATTGGTCAGCCATTTCGCGGCCAATCACGCTCGCGCTGCGATCCGTGCCAGAAGATCGTTTCCGCGCGCTCAATCCCAAACCTCATTTCCGAAATCGCCAGCTACTGCTCCAGCGCGCTTCCCCAACTATGCCGTCGCCCGGCTCGCATCGACCGTCGCCGCCAAGGCCGCCACCAAGCTCGCCATACTGCTGATCCTTACTCTGGCCGGCGCTATGCTCGCCGTGCTGCTGTCGCCCATGCCGGCCGCCGCCATGCTCGTCGTGCTACGCTCGCTGGGCCGCTACCGCTCCGCTCGCCGTAACGCTGAGGCCGGGCTCACCGGAATGCTGCCCGACGATCGCCTGTGCTACGGGTTCGTCATTCTGCGCTCGCTGTGCCGGCCGCCGCCATGCTCACTATCTCGCCATGCTGCTGTCGCTGTGCCGGCCGCCGCAATGCCCGTCGTGCTACGCTCCCTGTGCCGGCCGCCGCCATGCTCGCTGTTCATCTGTCGCCTACGCCGCCACTATGCTTGCCGCAGCTATACTCGCCGTACAGCAGTCGCTGCTCCGGGTGCCGCTATGCTTGCCGTCAAGTTTTCTGGTGAGCTTCGATGCCTCGCTGATCTGGAGTTCCAGCGACTCACGATGGCAATGTTGACATTCCCCAGCCCAACGTTGAATCCCTCTTCTTTACATGCACGTGGGTGGGTGTGCGGTCGTCATGCCCGTCGTTTCGCTTCTCGCGAGCTCGGTCGTGATGCCCGTTGCCATGTAGCGGGTTACGTGCACGGTGAGCGCGACGCCGAGCGTGTATTTATCACTGTGAAACAATGTTGAGGAGCTCTAGAAGCAGTTTAGAACATCTAGCAGTACCAGTCTATTTGTTATTGCCAGAAGAATCTGCTAAGCAATTCACCTGCGATGTCAACATTGGCACTTGCAACTCAACATCGAGATATTACAAGTATACGATCTGCTCTCCCGTGCTTCGTATCCGGATGTGTTTAGATTCGAAATTTAATATCAGTATAGTTGCATGATCAAGGTCAACAATGCCCACGTATCCGGATGCAAGAAGTGCGCCTTTTGCCCCCCCCCCCTCCACTGTCACTCGTCGAGATGGCACAGAAGCGCCGAGTAGGCAGCGGGCGCGACGCCCAGCCGCCCCGGAAGGCGCGAAGAAAAGCAGCGAGGACAGTGAACTCCGAGGCATCTGGTAAGCAAAACGCATCTTTCACTAGCAAAGCGTCGTAGCGATCTTATAGTAGACGTTCATAATGCCGCAGACGACGAGTTTGAAGTCGAGAAGATCATCGAGATGAAGTTCGTGCGTGGAGAGCCCAAGTACCATGTGAAATGGAAGGGTTACGTCGAGACGTCGTGGGAGCCGGAATCGAATCTGCATTGCCCTGAGCTCCTCAACAAGTTCAAGGCAGCACAACTTCAAGAGGCACGCGCGTTGTAGAAAAAAAACAACCCAAAAAGCGGACTTGCCTGACCGAGGTAGCCACGTGACGGCTAAAATCCTCGCAAAACAAGAGGGTTCTGAAGGTAACAAGCAGCACGTGTTTGTCACATGCTCTTACGTTGGTTTTGGGAAAAAATTTACTAACTGTAATAATGGTGCCCAGGTTCGGAGGAAGTGTACGAAGTGGAAAAAATTCTTCGTGAAACTTTTCGTTTTGGCTTGTCTTACTTTGAGGTGAAATGGTAGGAATATTCCCAAACGAGCTGGGAGCCTGCCTCCAATCTGAACTGCCCTGACAAATTGGAGAAGTTTAGGCGTCGCCAGAAAGCAGCACGTCAAGCTATGCTCGAAAATCCAGCTCCAGCTGAAGTCACCGAAGCTACCGGGACGGTAGGCCATGACAGCCCTCGGAAAGATACCGATGAGAACGAGAAACACAGCGGTGGATCTACAGCTCGCCAAGCAAGCAGAGCATCGATTCCAGAAAATAATGGAGTGGGAGTAACCAATGATGCTGACAATGTGGCTACCGAGTGCCGGCAAACCGATGATCGAACCGAAAATGACTACGAGTACGATTACCCGGATTACTTTCCCGAGACTACCAAGGAAGAGGCGATCTCAAATGCAGGTGGTGGTGTTGAGCCTTGGGGTGACGGGATCTCAAACAATGCGGATGCGGTTGCTACGCCAGTAATGCTAGCAGATTCCAGAGGGGCAGGCAAGGCTCCCAGAAAAAGAAAATCGCCTCGGCAGACAGCAGAAACAACCGCAACACCCTCGCAAAATCGACGTACTCTTTCGTCTCCCGGGAGTCGAGTATTTGGGAAGAATCGAAAAGACGTGCGGAGATGCTTGTTGATGAAGTGAACATGGGTATTGATGACGATCACGAGGTGCTGGAATCGGATGGCTGTTCTGGCGAGAGTGCCGACGACGATTCTGAAGATGAGTTTGCAGATGGGCTTTATATTGCGGGTGATACCGGAAACGAAAGTTTTAGTGTCGAAACAGAAGAGGAAATTCGCGCGGTTGCCGGCCCCCAGGACTACATATAGATGAATTGCTTCGAGGCATGTCTGACAATGGTTGCGAGTTGCTACCGGTAACCGACGAACGGGATGACTCGGACCTGTCCGGCACTACGGATGTGTTTACGGACCCTCCTCAACTTACCGCCTCGGCTATAGAGGCAGCGAAAACGATGAAACCTTCTGATCTTTATTTTACTACATGCCGAAGACTCTCTGAACGGAGATTGCCGAGGAAACTAATCGTTACGAGCGTCAGACACGACCGGAAAGACTTCGACAGGCGAAGTTGTCCATTGAAAAGAAGATGAACGACATCCACAAACGCAAGGAAATGTTTCAAGCAAAGAAAAAGGAGCTGGACGCGTTCAAAGACGTACTTGCCGCGGAGATCATGCATTTTCTGGCCCTAGTAATATCCAGGGCTATTTGCCCGATAAAGTCTCGACTGGAAGATCATTGGAATACACGAGTCCGTGGAGCGATCCCAGCTGGAACTTGGTCGCCATTTATAGTTCGCAAGCGTTTCAAGGAGATTAGCAGGTACTGGGACTTCCATGTTATTTTAATAAAGGGCCCACTAACACGTCCTTCGCCAGATTTCTCCACTTTACGAACAACCAGGCTCCACAGGCTAAGCCGGACCGGGCATGGAAGATTCGCAACGTGATAAACAAGTTACAGACTACTTTCAAGGGTGGAATGGAACTAGGGCGCTGGGTTGCATTCGACGAGATGGTTATCCCTCCAAGAAGTTCGCGGAACAAAATACGAATTTTCCTGAAGAATAAGCCGCACAAGTACGGCACCAAGCTGTTCGCTGTGTGTTGCGGGAAAACCCACTTCTGCTCCAGGTATGCTCATTTGCGCTATTTTATAAAGTCGGTATCTGAACGCTGTGGATTCATGCTCAGGTTCGAGGTTTATTGCGGTAAGAAACAAAACAGTCCATTTGTTGACACCAGAAGTGGACCAGCTGCTGTGATTCGAAACCTTAAAGCCTTGTGGGAACAGCGTCGGGTGGATCGATCCAAGAAGCGAATCATCATCACTGATCGCGAGTATTCTTCGGTGACGTTGGGGTTTTGTTTGATGGACATGGGGTACTACAATATCGGGACGGTTTGTACGACGCGTCTTGGCTTCCCCGAAGACTTGAAGACCGACAAAAACAGCTTCGAGAGGGATGCCGCGCGGCTCATACATTCTTCCTCGGAACAATACGAATCGTCAAATGCACTCAACGCGGTGGGTTGACTCGAAAATTTGCTACTTTGTGGCGTCTGGGGCCTCCGCTAGACGTGCGATTGTGCGGAAGAAGCAAAAGGACGACTCACAGGCAAACATTTCGTGTCCGGAGTTTGTGGTATTGTACAACAAGTACATGGGGTGTTGACAGTCACGACCAGTTACGCCTGCAAAGGTACGTGTTGCTCTGTTGCGGTTCTGCCGCCCATCCCTTACGCTGAAAATGCTTTTGACTGGGTACTCCATCCAAAGAGTCATGCGACCGAAGAAATACTACAAGACTGTTTTCTACGGGCTTCTCGACATAGCTGTTATTAACGCTTTTATCACCCACCGTGAGTACGCGAAGTCGGTGGGGGGAAAACCTCTTTCACACGCGGATTTTCTCATTCAGCTACACGAGGAGCTACTCGCTCTCGGAGATGATGACTTCCTGGACACGGTGCCAGTCGCCGAAGCCGCTGTTACCGAGGTGGAGCCAAGATCTAACCAGACACCAGTTTCGACGGCGTACTCGCTAGCTAGCTCGAAGCATCAAATGATGGTGTCGACGGACAAGACAGCGAAGGGCAAGTTCAAGTTTCGCGTGTGCAAAGTTTGTTCAGTACTGCGTGGTGCTGGCAGTCCTGGATCGAATCGACCTCCCGGCACAACGCGTCATTACTGCAAGCAGTGCTCCACTGATCGAGGAAGACTGTTTTTGTGTTCCAAGGCGCGACACGTATCCGATGGTAATTCTGTATCGTGCTTTAACATTTGGCACTCGAAATGGAAGAACGGAGATCAACTTCCGCACTCTGAAAAGGTCGGACGGATCCGAATGCGTCGGTCGAAGGAGGAGGAGTTACGCGCGGAAACGATGGACACAGCTTCCTCGGATGCTGTACCGCCAAGGCAATACGAGACCGATGTTCAGAATGCCGATGGGGCTGCTTCGGTGTCATCTTCGCAGTTACCGGTTCCAAGTGTCACGCGAAACGTAGTGGTACAAGTGCACCAGCCAGAGCGGCCAGGCGCAGATGCAGCAGGACAGGATGAAGAAGGAGTAACTGCCACTGAGAGGCCCCCGGATGAGAGCGAGCGGGAGGCCGTTGCGGAAGTGCTGGCGGAGCTGCTCGGCGCGGTGGAATGTACGCTCAGCGGGGCCGAGCAGCAGAATGAGTCGGATAATTAGGTGGGAGTCAATATTTCACTGCGAAGTCGATCTTGCCAAAATACGCCTGTAAGAGAGAGCGAAGCCAGCTTTGGCTCGACGGCGGTCAAGCTGGTTGTCAACGTTGAGATCTATGCTACAATAAGAAAGCGATGACGGAATATATGTAGGCATGGGCTTCTTCATTACATCTCAGCATCACTAACAAAATATGTATGCTTCTGTGAAGCTGGGCTGAGCTCTTTCTGACGTACTAGAATCTCAACGATACCCCAAGACGAGGAAACATCACCTCGGTTTGATACGTCCAGACAGCAAGCCACTCGAGCGCAGCGGCTTCTTGGACTCAAGCTTTATACTCGAGCTCTTTGAAAAACCCCTCCTTGGTATGCTCCCGGATAGCATTCTCGTCGTACGATTCATCTGCTTCCATGGCGATATGGTGTTCAACATGGGAATCGAGAAAAGCGTCTAAGCGCTCAATATCCCACTCGCACAGGCGCTGTCGACGCTTTATCATAGCGTTATCTACACAGAGGTCAATGGCACGTTAGCGTTGGGAGTACACCTGGCACCACAGAACGCGTGAAATACCTTCGAGGCTTTCAGGGACGCTTGCAACCACGCGTAGATGTGAGTCGAGTCTTCGTCATTCTGAAACTGCGCATACATCTCGAAGAGCGGAAGGGCGGCTAGAAATGCGTCTACATGGTTGGTAGACCTGAATCTAGGCTCGTAAACCTGTTGCATAATAACATTTGTTAGACTACGCCACAGAACTCAAGTAATTCGCATACCCGCCCGGTCGCGTGAAGGTTTGCGTACTGGCTGGAGGGTGTGAAAGTCAAGGAACCCCTGGTGCCATTGAAATCTCTCCAACGTCTAGGCATTCATCGGAATTCAGCCATCGTGACGCCCACTGAAACACCAAAGATACGTGCACGTACCTCCCCTACAGACATCGGCTTGCCATGAATTTTCTTGTTGTTTGACGCTGTTCGGTTGACATCCGGCGTGAAAGCCTGTTGTATTCAAGCAGGACGGTTAAATATCAAATAGCCACCACAAGTACGACATAGATGCGCACCGGGACAGCCTCGTAGGTGTAGTTAGGGTCCGAGAGAACAAAGTAGGAGGAGCGGTCGAAGTCGGTATCTTGATCGCTGAGCTGCCCTTGGCTCTCGGAGCACCCTCGCGCTGTGAGCTCCTGTTGGTTCGAGCGCTCGTCGTCATCGCTGCTGCTGCCGCCCAGAGTGCTGCTGCTGTCGGCCGCCGTGTCGTACTTGCGTCGGCCATGATCTTCTCGGAGAAGATCTCCCCCCACACGATGTGTACTGTACCACTGAGGAGCGACCGCGACTTTTGACAGGTTGATTTTGACTGTCGCTCAATTCTATGGAATGCCTTTATTTTATTTTATACTAGACCTTTACACTAAAACACATACTCACTGCATCCGCCTGCAAAGGCTGCTGTTGCAGTGAGAGCCTGTTTTGGCAGCACCATTGGGTATTATAGCCCTCATCGCTGACGCCACCGCCTTAGCCACCACCATTTTGGTCCTCGGCGGTCCGCCTGCTTTTAGGCGCGCTCCGCACTCTGATTCGAGATCACACGATGGACTGCTTGATCGTCCGGCCTCATCCTGCAGCGTCTTGTGATGGTTGATGCCATCGTTTAGCTTGAACACGCGCTTCATCTGCTTCATTTAGGGCGCCTCACGATTACGTTTGTCCGTGTGGGCTGACGTATGACTGCAGCCCAACAGAGCGGCTCTGAGAGCCGCCCCAGTTGTATCGATAGGCCTTGGGCGACAGCGCGTAGTATTTGCCTGGGTGCTAATGGGCTCGTAGTCGAAGTCCCCCTGCTGCGGCGTCGGGCCTGGTGCTGGGCCTGCATGCTGTTCGGGTACACGTGCTGCTGGAGTTCATGCACGCCGGGCCATTGAAGCCGCCGCTATCGGTGCCGTGGTCCAGGGATTTGTAGTAGAGCTTGGGAAGTTCGCCGCTGCGCTGGTGGTGCGGCGAGTGCGTCTGGTACTGCGAGTAGCCGAAGCCCTGCATGGCGAAGAGGATGGAGGAAGTCAGGCGGGTGTACTGCCGATGGAATGGGGGGCTTGTGCCGCCAGCGCTCGCCTCGCCTGCAGTCGAGAAACACGTCAGCAATGGGGTAACAGGCTGGCTAGAGTGAGCAGCGTACCGAGATTGAGTTGTTCTGCTTTCGGTTGTGTCTCGTACGTCTCGTCGTTGCAGTAGAAGGCGTCCCTCATGTGTCGTGCCGTGCTTGCCCTGGGATAGTGTCACAGCGATTGCCGAGCACGTCCATCAACCGCGATATTCAGCTCAGAACAATTCACCCACTTAGCGAATGTTCGCATTATCTTGCGAATTACGCCAAGGTTTTTTCGATCGAAATCTCGACAGAGCTTAATATTACGGCCGTATCCAAGCTTTGATTGGATAACTCTGGCCAATGAGATTGACAGCCGGTGGAACCCGAAGAGTCGGGGCAGGCCGCTGGGGACCTCGCTTACCCTATCCCACCAGTATACAAATTTCTATATTAATCTTATCCCTGCAAAATCGGGATAAGAGCGGTCGCCGGTGGGTTAAGGGTCCGAAAGAATAAGAGCGACTGTATATCGTGTACAACTCTCTGTTTGTATTGATTGGTGTTTGGGGACGACACCACTAACAGGCTGACCCCCCAGCCGTACTGACTCCGTTTGGGAACGAACGTGGGCGATTTGTATTATTCAGTATCTGATTGATATTGTGAAAGCAACTCAGGTGGTGATACTCCGGACTTTCCGAAGATAAACGCTACCGAGAGGGATTGCACAAGGTCACACGCCAACTCTGGTCGGGATACTTGTATTACAATTGGAGACTGACCCCCACTTGGGTTTTCCGTTTGGACTTTACCCAACCACTGGGCACGTACTATACACCCTGGACGATAAAGGCGTTCACCAGCCTCGCCTCACCGGATTGAAAGGTAATCAGTACTATGAAATGCGGGACCTCCTGGCCTGGACGAGCTCAACCGCAACTAGGAAATGAAATGGGATGGATCAACCTTGGGTTGGTGCCCGGTACTCACCCCAACTTGGACTGGACTTGGTTGTGGGAGCTCGACCCAGATGTCACAGTTGCAGGGCCCTCACACGTAGACTTAATCGGTCCTCAGGGAATGCACGTCCTGTAGGCGACTCCAACTCACTTGCGCGATCCTTGACAACACGAACGCTTTATTTAGGACTTATTTATCCAATTGTCTTCCAGTTTTTCTGGGTTTTATGGGTCGTGTTTCCCCCGTACGTCCAGGTTTCGCATCGCAACCGTTCCTTGATCCCCCGGGCATGGTCCTTCCGGTGAGGAACCCCAAAGTAACTTAAACTATTTCCGTCCGGGCGCGACATTCACCACAAGCATCGTTCTTCTTGCAGGTAACATCCAAGGTAGCTGCTCACCACGGGTTAATCTCTCTCAGACTTGATGCTCCATGGTCCTCCGGGTACGTCTATATCCGGTAGGCAGTTCCATGGTAGCTATCGCCGACGGGGTAGCACGAACCCTTCTTTTCGTAAGGGGAGAGTTATCTTACCCACGCGTTTAGATACGGCGTCGGCGCCACGACGAGCCTGCACGCCTACTGGAACCCTCACGGCAACGATGTCCCACCCGGGCTTGCTTCCTTGATGCGCTCCCGGGCGTGACCCCGAGAGTCTACGCTCCCACCGGGCTCAACCCCGGCTGCATACGCTCGCAGTCACTCGCCGCAACGCGGTCCGGCTTGGTCTCTTAGCTTCCTCTTACGGGGCGCGCTTCCCCAGGCAGCTACAAAGCGACTTGACACCGGGCTGGCAAAACGAATTCTGTTTTGTCTGTTCTCTCTCTCTCTCTCTCTCTCTCTCTCTCTCTGGCTATCTTCTGTCGATCTTTACATGCTCTCCATCTTGACTTATCTTCACTATAGTCTTGTCGTCGCAATCGTCCGCGGTCCCTCGTAGCATACTTCCAGCAAATATAATCAGCACTAGGTACCCAGGCGAAGTTCAATGCTCACGGAATCTGAACAGATCCTGGCTGGTCAGCTTGGTCGGTCGGAAACATCTTTTTTTGTATAGTGGATCTTCACATCTGGATTATCTCCATCCGGGATTCATGATTATCTCCAAACGAGATGACACTCCACTTGGGCTCCACATCTGGGATACCTTGGGCAAGTCCACGTTTTCTGGGTCTTCGCTTGATCCGGCCGGGCTCCTCTTGCGTTGTACAGTGCACCAAGAGAAGGTGGTCTCCAGTCGGAGGCACGTTTACGCTCCCTTGGGCTTTGCCTCTCGTTCGGTATTTGGCTCTAGCCGGGGTCCTCCCTTGGGGACATCTCCATCCGGGGTCACCAAACCTTGTACACTGCAAACACGAGTCCGGCCAGGATCTGCTTCTCCCATACGCCATGTGTCGCTGCCTCCCTCCCCCAGAGTAAGCTTCGGAACCAATCAATCACGGGTGCAGCTCGGGGGATCCGGAAAAATCTCCAATCCCATCGTGTCATCTCCGACACAGAATGTGGTTCGCGTACTACCGCAAGGTGTCGTTGTTTGTATCTACCCGAATTGGGCCGAAGTCGCGAGGTGGCGCCGGTTTCGGCCCAGATGGGAGCCAACTATGTGCGAAAGGAACAAGAAGGACAACCCGAGAGTTGCTGGCATGTGGACGTTGGGCGGCTAAGCTGGGGATGCAAGTGCAACTTCAAGTTCACCGTCTGCATTCATGTTATCTTCACCCTGTAGATCACGTATTACCCGGTCTGGACGGAAAGCGGGTCCTGGTTAACGGTTCCGTACCTAGGAAGCGCGGCAAGTCGTGTGCCAGCGGTTCCCGCGTTCCTGCTGGTCGACCCTGTTCCACCGGGCATGCACTGAGCACTGACTAATGTTAGTTGTTGTGTGGCTTAACTAAAATGAAGCCATGTTGCACTTCCCTTCCGTTATAGCGAAACTACCGTAAAAACCTAAAAATAAAAACATACACGTATGCCTCCTGCCCTACTTGCTAGTTATTTCCCAATTATCTCCGCCCTCCTCCTCAAGCACCACCTGAGAGGTGTTAGAATCCACATCACCGTTACTGCGTAGAGTTATAGTCATAGCGCTAGTTGAACTGATAGAGGTAGAGGTTGAAACACGTGAGTGCTGAGGCAGAACGCCACGACAGGCACAACAGTAATCTGGCTAAGGTTCCCACTTGCACTGCAGGTGTCAAGTTCTCGAGTCAGTGGGAACCTCCAGCCAAACAACCGCTCACCAACAGTCAGTGTATCAGGAGCAATGCAGCAACCAAGATAACTACACTAAACCTAAATACATGTTGTCCTTCGCAATAGAGCAGGAAGCAGAGCCTTCGTGATTCCAGCCAGTGATCATCTTCTCCGTCGCGTGTGGCAACCACACGCTTAAGAGCCCAATTGTGATCTGCCAATGTCGCGCCTCGACACTGGTATCCCCCCCCAACGCGTTCAAGTTTTTTTAAATTAACCCGTCATTTCCCACAGCTTGTGACCATGTTCGCTCGTCAGATCCTCCGACGTAGTGACATTTACAAGTTTGTATGTGGGAGGCAAAATCAGACTGGTATCAAATCCTATTGCTATCATTGGGCATTTTCTCTGACATGCACCTCCGACATGCCTACTTGTTTTCAAAAGCAGAGGTCAACTAATTAGTGTAAATGTCGGCGGTGAGGACAAGCTGAAGAGCTCGGGTTACTTTTTTGTTCAAGGGGAAGGGGAAAATAATGCCAGATCTACCCCCTCCACCCTGACGACCACACATCTGATTCTCACCAAGCCAGCACGCGCGGAGCAAGCCGAAGTAGGAACTATGAACGTCGAGCAACTCCAGCGGGACCGCGATCGCCTGAAGCACGCTTTGCGAAAAGCGGAGCAGAAGGTAGAGCACTGCCGAAGGCAAAACGAGCAAGTGCATCGAGGCGTTACAAGCTATTATCACGAGGACTGAAGGACAAGAGAAGCTAGTTGTCCAACTGCTACAAGAGGCGAAGGAGAAGGCCGAGGCATCCGAGAAGTGCGCACGAGAACACGCGAAATCGCTTCAGGACCATCTGGACACCATGACGAAGCTCGCTCTCGTAGCTGAAGAGAAGCTCGCATACAGTGAAAAGGAAGCCGCTCGACTCACCGCTAAACTGGACCGGGTCAATGGACAAGTAAGTGCGTTGGAGACGGCGGCTAGTCAGGCAACGATTCAGCACGATGTCACCGTCGGCAAGATTCAGCAAGACCTGCTCCAATCACGTGCTGAAGCCGAAGGTGAAAAAGAGCGAGGGAAGTTGCTGGTGGACCTCATGCGAGAGACGTACTCCATGGCGGCTGGCGTTATCGCTAACGCGGGGACCCTGGGCGACCAACTGGTAAACTGCTGCTCTGAACTTGGTAAGATAGTCAATGCCGTGAGCGAGGTCAAACTGGGCGTCTATGTGACTGTTGAAATGCCCGAGCAAGGTGTGCTGCTAGTTCTGGAACGGCAAAATGACACAGCTTCTGGAAGGGACGGCCGATGGGACGCTCAAGGAAATGCGCCAATACCAGGCACAGGAGTTAGTTCCATTCCTGCCTGGGGCGAATCCGGATCAACTACGCGACGAAGTGCGGAAAAATGGCGAGATCCTCATCAAACGAAAGTCGGAGGGGCAGGTACGTCGAGGATGCTGTTTTAGCAAGTGTTGGACGGTCAAAACGTGACCTATGTTACAGCTTGATGACTATTCTCATGGCAGGTCCAAGAAGCGACGACCCAGGACATGGAACAGTGACACGAGCTCTACCGTCAGCTCGCATGGAGACCGACTACGACTGCTGTTACGGAGGAGGATTTCGGCGTACCTTAACGGGGCAGGCTGGATGAGACAGCCGCCCGGTACTTGAGGTCGTGGGCGTTATCCGTAACCACGCCTCGAGTACTGGAGACGCAATCAAGCGCCTGTTGATCTTGCTATCCAAGCCCTGCAAGCCCTACTTATTGAAACTGCGCAGCAGGGCGACGACGCAGCGGAGGCGGAATGGGTCCTACCCACTGGGACCGACCTACAAGGACGACGATATACCAGATGCGGACTATACCGGACGACCGGCGCATCAAAGGAAGGGTTGCGTTCCTTCACGAGTTAGGAGCCTACATGGGAGTCGGCCGGCAACCTTCCCTCCGCAGAGATTAAGAAGTACAGGCAGCGCAAGCGCCGCAAGGTTGATCGTGATTTCATCAAAGCAGAGGCAGAGGAAGACTAAAGCATGGAGCACACGTAGGAAGCATCCACTATCTTACTTTCTACTCAACATTTAATACATTCTACTTCCTACGCTAATCACATGTATTCGAAGTCGGATAGGCGCCGGTCGGGTAGTAGCAATACTACTAACATCATCCTTTTTTCGATATTTAGGCGTATTCGATTGCCAGTGCACGGGTGACAAGTTCACTGGGTCTATTGGGCGCGCTAAACGGATTCATACGGGGGGTCCGCGCTCTGAATGTTTGATGCAGCTAAAGAGTTTGCGTTGCTCACAATTTAGCCTGGCTGCAGCACTGACTGGCCAATTTGACTTCAGACTAAACATGAGCATTTTAATGTGATGCGTTTATGTGTAATACCTAAATTTTGAATAACGTATTTATGTGTCGTACTGAAGTACGATACTGTGCGTTCTTACAACTATCGTTAAAACTACTATCTACGTCCTGATTTAGTGACTTTTAAGCGTAAAATCAGAATATATATCAGTGGGCGGCCGAATCGCAGACAGCCTTAAGACGTTGTTTCGGTCCGAGGAAGTCGAATCTCTGTATTAGGACTTTGTATGGGCTCGTCATCGGAAGCAACTTCTTTTTGCTGAAACAACATTTGGCAGTTATTCTGTGTTAATTGGCCAATGATCGACCACCTTGGGTAATACAAGGCAGTCGACAAAATTTAAGGTAGTCGACAAATTTTCTGGAGAATTTTAGATTTGATTTTTTCTGAGGACTATGGTGAAGTTGAAGTGGGATCATACCAAAAAGTACGAGTTCATACCAGAATCTACGAGTTAATACCGAACAGTACGAGTCCATACGAAAATGTACGAGTTCATACTAAAACATACGACTTCATACCAAAAGGTACGATGTGTGTGTACAATAAAGTACGACCTGGTCGGCTTCTCGCCACGTGTTCACTTTTAAATCGGCGCGATGGAAGCACACTATGCGGTGCTTGGCCATGTTCGACTTCGCCACGAGCTTAGGGCACGTAGGGCACTTGCCCTTCGGTGGACCGTCACCGCCCTCCATTTCCGACCAATTTCTACGACTGAGAGCCGGAACTCCCATTCAGGATTCCTCGATGCTTAGTGGTTAATATTATTTTTGGCTGATCTCGCATATGATTGGCTGAAATAAAATGTTATTTGGCGTTATTTCAGGGAAAGAAGTATAGTTCTCCGTTTCGTGCTTCCCCGTCTCTAAATTTGCATTCGCTTTCCAAGTGGGACAACTTCGTCGTGACGCACTTCAAGACCGAGAGCAATGAAAAGTGACGAGGTGAGCAATGCTCCGACCAGCTCCGGTATACCAGGCATCACGCAGCCAAGTTCACGAGTTATGAGCTGGGATCGCCTGGAGAAAAAGTGGAACGCGCTGCAAGTAGGCCACCAGGGCTCCTACTCCGTCGAGCGGCTCGAAAGCTTGGGCCACTACTGCAGAACCGCATCCACAGCTCGAGTACTCTTGGTGTGCCTCCTAACGCCAGTTCCAGCACTAGCGGCTGCTCTCTTGCTGGAAGCATTACCCTTACGGTCTCCGTCTGAGGGGTGGGCTGCGAATTGGGTGTTCTGGGTCCGCTTACTGCTGATGGAGTTGATATTGGGCTTTGCAGGGAACTCGCAACTGAACGCTTTCGTTCCTGGTCTAAACTTTACTATCACAAAGAGATTGGCGATAGCGGTAGGCACGAGTGTCGGCTACGTCGGGACGTGTATGCTCGCGGCAAGTACGATTGGCTTCCCCGTGCCGCTCATGATGCAGTTCGGAGTCATTCCGATCTCCATCTACACGCCGTTGATGACGCGAATTGTGCTTGGACCCGTTCTCATGGCGAAGGACTCGCCCTTTAAATACGACTCGGACGTGTTCCACCGCTTCTTCTTCTCCCACATGACCCTCATCGCCATCTACCCGCTCTACAAGGTGCTGTACAACCACGTTCCGATGAGTTACCGGAGTGTCGTAGTGTTAGTGCTGCCACTCTGGAAGTTTGCGGCTAAGCACTTCGTGGTGACCTCAACGCGAAAGTTGCTGGACTTTATGCCGGAATTGGTGGCGTTCTCGGTCGATTTCTTCGGTACACTGTTCGTCTCGGTGTGTATGTACTCGTCCGGGTCCTTCTATCTGTCTGCGCTCTTTATCCTCGCAGACGTGGGGCAATCGCTTCTGGAATTCCGTGAAATTCATGCAAATGCAAAAGTTGTGTTGGAATTGCTCCAAGATCGGCGTGCGTCTCAGCACCGTCACCCCTGCGAGAACAATCGACGACCAAGCAACATTGCCACAACCGAATTACTGGCCATGGTAATTGCAGTAACTCGAAACCCCAAGGCGTTTGAAGTGAAGTCGCTGCACGATGCGAGACTGTGGTCGTGTCTCCCGCATCATCTAACCCACGAACAACTGGAAACTCTTCGAAACCTGGACGCTTTGGGGCTGTACGATCAAACAGACGTGCTCACTACCCGACGAATGACCCAGAGGATGGCGGGTCGACGCCCATTCCAGCCTAGTCTCTTCCGACCCGTGTCCGTCCTCCCAACTCCGAGTCAGTCCGCCTTAAATGCTGCTCCTATGTCCGATATGATCGAGGTGACGTATATTCAGTCCCTAACAGCGGACGACTACAACTCGAACTTGAGACGAGCTGAAAGAGCTAAGAGACTTGCACTACAAGGACTGCAGTTGCTTTTTCACTGTGAGTATCTCGCACTGGTCGAGTACGTCGAATGCGTCGTTCCGCTGGTATTTGTGGCGTACGAATTGATCCTTCGACACTTACCGAACTTCATCTACTACCCGAATAACGATGGGAATTGGGGGACTGCTTCAGTCGCGAATCTGGTGGTGTTCGCGCTGCTTGAAGTGGGATCATTCATCTTGTTGAACGTTTTCCTAAGGAACAAGTTCTCATTCTCGCCGATCCATCAACTCGCATTCGTGCTCGAGAACCAAATGTGCGCAGTCCAAGTGCACCTCTTTGTTGCTCTGATCATTCTGCTGCAGTATGAACTCGCGCATCTCGGCGCTGACTTCAGTCTTGAGTTCAAGTGGCTGCACGACAAGTAGGCGGGCAACCGACCAACTTATAGTATTAAGTAAAAAAAAATAACACTTCTTTTGGTAATGGATCCTTATAAATAGTCGAACATGTCTCGTTCTTCTCGTCTAGTTCTTACGAGGCTCTGAATAGCATTCCACTTTTAAAGTCTTTGTCAAAGCTAGCAAGCAGTTTTTAAAAGGACGAGGCGCCGCGTTGCAATGGAAAAGCAGGATGAGGTGAAAGCTGCCGCTCATCAAACTATTGTATGGCGTAGGCTGAGGTGTCTAGAGGAGTTCTGGGATAGAATCCAAGTGGGTCGTCAAGGTTCATACTCTATCGAACGTCTTGAGCTGCTGGAACACTACTGCAAGACGACGTCGAAGACCCGTGTCTTTCTGATTTGTGTCCTGACCCCCCTCCCGGTATTGACAGTAGCTCTGCTATTGGAATGCTTACCACTGCGACCTCCGTCAGAGGGGTGGGCAGCCAATTGGATGTTTTGGATTCGTTTGAGCGCAATGGTGTTCATTCTAAGTGTGGCGGGATTCTCTCAGATGAACGCCTTCATTCCAGGCTACGATCTCTCTATACGCAAGATGACCATCGCAGCTTTGGGGATCTGTGTCTTACAGTCCGGAACGTACCTCCTCGAGGGCGCCGTCTTTGGATTCCCAGTGCCGTTCATGTGGCAACTCGGGGCGATCACAATGGCAGTGTACGCTCCAGCTATGACCCGACTAGCTTTTGGCGCTGAACTATTCAGAAAGGGCTCGCTGCTTTGGCTGCATCACGAGAGATTTCAGAGATCCTTTTTCGTCCACTTGGCTCTCACGGGAATCTACCCATTGTACAAAGCACTTTACGACCTAATTCATCCATCCTATCGCGGTGTGGTGCTTCTTGTACTTCCAATGTGGAAATTCGGGGCGAAGCGGTTTGTTGTGCACGCAACGCGAGATCTGGAGGACTTCATGCCAGAGCTGGTGGCCTTTTCTGTGGACTTTTTCAGTGCACTATTCCTCTCCGTGTGCATGTCGACGTCAGGCTCGATCTACCTTTCCGGTCTGTTCATCGCAGCAGACGTTGGTCAGTCTCTGCTTGAATGTCGCGAAGTTCGCAACAATGCGCTGACATTGTTGCAACTTTTGGATAACCGAAGAAGTACTAAGCAGCGCCTTCGAAACAAGAACGGTGGAACTCATAGCAGCAAAGTTTATGAAGACTCTGGCATTTTGAAGATAATTCTCGATGTGGCTAGGAATCCCAGCGCCTACCAAGTGACGACGTTAGATGGTGCACGTCTGTGGTCCAATCCGCGCAATATTCTTCCAGAACCGCTCGACAACAGGATGCAAAGTCTGGGTGCGTCGGGCGTTTACGGCTCAAAGGGGCTGCCATCCAACAGAGAGGCAGCTGTGTCATCCAAGAAATCGCCTCGTAAGCGCCCAACGCCATGGGATTACAAACGAGTGTCGGTTGCTCCAGCCCCACGGAACACGCAGATTACACTGGTAACAGCATCAGGAATCCATACAAAGGGAACAACTACGAACATTTTCAAGGCTCTAGGCACCAGCAGAGGCCCCAGACAGGCCAATCGATCCAAAGACTTGGTCTTGCAGGGTCTGCAGCTGCTGTTTCACTGCGAGTACCTGGCGCTAGTGGAGTACATTGAATGCGTCGTTCCGCTCATTTTTGTCATTTACAAATCGGTGCTCGAGCAGCTCCCGAATGTGGTGTACTACCCAGGGGGAGCTGGCAATTGGGGCATGACAGCGGTGGTGAATCTACTGGTGTTTGCCGCGCTGGAAATTGGCTCGCTGTTTCTTCTGCACTTTATCCTGCAGCACAAGTTTGCCTTTTCCCCGCTCTACCAACTTGCGTTTGTGCTCGAGACGCAAGTTTACCCGGTGCAAGCCAATCTGTTCTTGGAGACGATTTTCCTGCTTCAGTATCAGCTTGAACACTTAGGTGAGTCCTTGATTGCTATAGCTTTACTTGCTGCTATAGCTATTTAACCTGTTGCCTTCTCATACTTTAGGGGCCGATTTCACGTTCCGCTTCAAGTGGCTTCGCGGCAACGAATAAACAGTCGAGCTCATCGCTACGATAGACGAAGATGTTTAGTTAGTAAGGAGAAGTCAAATATATTAGCTAAGCAATACCTAAGCAATATTCTCTGTTACAGATCTTCTGAAGATGGCAATATCTTTGCGATGCCCATGCTAACGGCATCTGCATTTCATCATGTACGAACTAATCTTGAGTCGATAAACTTAGTGATGTGGATGCAGTATTTTTGGCGACATTACCTTCACAAACTCTGCAAGAGGTTAAAGTCGTTGATGTGGACAGCGCAACTACAACAGAACATGGAGAATAAACCAAAAGCCCCGCTGTGGAAGCGACTCGAGGCGAAATGGAACGAAATTCAAGTACTAAGTAGGTCGCCAGGGTTCTTACTCCGTCGAACGGCTGGAGAGTCTGGATATCTACTGCAAAACTACGTCTCGGGTCCGAGTGGTTCTAGTGTGTTTACTTACCCCATCGCCGGCACTAACAGCGGCAGTGCTATTGGAATGTCTACCACTTCGCCATCCGTCTGAAGGTTGGGCTGCCAATTGGGTCTTCTGGCTTCGTCTACTACTGATGCAGACGATGTTGGGCTTTGGTGGAAACTCTCAAACCAACACTTTTGTTCCTGGCATCAACTTTACACCATTCAAACGATTTTTGGCGGCTTTTCTCGGGAGTGCTGCGTATATCGCGACCTGCGTCCTCGCTGCAGCGACCGTAGAATTCCCCGTTCCCTTCATGATGCGATTTGGGGTTCTTCCGATTGGAATCTATATGCCGTTAATGATTCGGTTCATCCTGGGACCTGGATTGTTTGCAAGGAACTCCTCATTTAAAGCAGCAGGAGATCGAATCAACCGGTTTTTCTTCGCTCACATGACGCTAATAGGGGTTTACCCCATCTACAAGGTGCTCTACAGTCTGGTTCCAGTTGCTTACCATAGTATTGTGGTTATTGTCTTACCATTCTGGAAATTTGCCGCTGAGAGCTTCGTGGTGCGTTCCACCAGGGAGCTTGAGGACTGCGTCCCGCAGTTTGTTGCATTCTCTGTCGACTTTTTCGGCGCTGTTTGTCTCCGTGTGCATGTACACATCTCGATCGCTCTACCTTTCTGGAATTTTTATTTTACTACACATGTGCCAGTGGTTCTTGGAGTATCGCGACGCTCGCGCTAATGCAAAAGTCGTAAGGGAACTTCTTCGCGACCGACGCAACTCGTTAGCTCGTATTCATACGAAGAGACTGACAAGTATGCTGGATATTACCGAGCTTCTATCCATGATTATCGCAGTAGTCCGAAGCCCGAAAACCTACCGCGTCAACTCGCTACAAGGCGTTCGCCTCTGGTCGTGCCTTCCTCACTCGATCACCCAGGAGCAAGCACGTCGGCTTGAAAAGCTGGAATCATCCGGCGTGTACGATTTAACCGACCAATCCACGAACTCCATATCCCGGCGGGCAAACCGGCAGTATCTCCAGCCACGCCTGCTACTACGCATAGCCGTTGCCCCGATATCCGAGCCTCAGAACCATATCGAAAGACTCAACGTCAAGCGGATCGTGGGGGACAAGTCCAAGAAACTCGCACTTCAAGGACTGCAGCTACTGTTTCACTGCGAATATCTCACGTTGGTCCAATACGTCGAGTGCGTGGTCCCGCTCGTGTTTATCGTGTACCAGTTGATCCTAAGCCAACTTCCCAACGCCGCCTTCTATCCGCACGATGATACGGACTGGACAGTGGCGACGATCACGAATCTCGTGGCGTTTGCACTCATGAAAGTGGCCTCGTTCCTGTTCCTGAGCGCAGAACTCGTTTAACTCGCTTTCGTGCTGGAGACGCAGTCGTGTCCGGTCCAAGTTCATCTCTTCGTTGCGCTGCTGCTTTTGCTGAAATACGAGCTCCTCCATTTTGGCAAGTATTGCTGTTGTCGGAAAACTTGTGAGTCGGTTGTCTAACTAATTTGCGTCTCGGTTTCCTCAGGAGCGGACTTCTCCTTCCAGTTTTAAAGATGCAAAACATTGACTTTGTAGAACGGTGGGAGGTGCTTAAGGTAAAATGTCATTTATGGATAGAGCAACTTCAACATGACAAGCCAATCCAAGCCGTGGCCGTTTTGACCAATCCAGACGATGCAGAAGCGTCTGATATTAGCCAATGCGGGTCGCCTCGCCGAAATTGAGGTGCTCGATTGGTGGTCGGAATGTGGCTTCGACCAGCAGGTGGCCCGACGACGTGGCACGACTAGCGCCACCCAACCTTCAAAAATGAGATCCGCCGCCACGCTACAATAGAGCCGCGCCAGCCAAGGCAAAGCCCCAAAGACGCTGCCTGCTTATTCTCTCAGCACTGGGTGCCTGTCACCACGCGTCAGCACATCGCAACAGCGCTAGCCCCGTCCGGATATCACGCGCCAATATTAGCGCCCCGAGCCAACAAAAAAAGCTCGACAGCGTTTCTACCAATTAGCGGGGCGGAAATCGCACCTAACCGCATTGTTGCGGGGACTTTTCCGCTGCACACCTGTGTGCTTATTATCTATAACTAACCTGCGCTTACTATAATGATAACCGAAATGGTATTGCGTGGAGGACTTATCACAAAAACGGGTCGAAAGGGGGGGGAAGGTGGTGGCGGCGGCACCAGGGAAGAAGAAACCTCCGGCCCACAACCAAGCGGAGCGAAGTGTGCGCTCCCCCCTTCGTCGTTTGGAGAGAGGGGGTCTACCTACCTTAACCGAGAGGTTTAGAGAATTCTCGCCATTCAGCATGTCGCTGTTCTCCGCCATGGCGGACGAGGGCAGCGTCTGGGCGCAGGGCTCGTCGCTCTTTAACATCTCGAGCCCGCTCAACGACCTGCTGGAGAAGGACGGCTTCACGCTGGAGGAGGTGCTGCAGGAGGACGAGCTGGTGCAGGAGGTCAAGACGCGCAACACCAAGCTCATCGACTTGTACGGGCAAAACGCATCATTTTTTGTTTTATTTTTTTTCTTATTTTCCCTTATAGCGTGCATTTGCCATTGCATTTTGCATCCGCCTACCTAAAGCGTTATTTTACGTTACGACATTCTCTAACTTTTTAAATGGTGTCTCTAAACCTCCAGCCTATCACAGGAGCCCGTGCTGCTCAAGCTCGTGGAGTACGTCGTGGAGAGCCCCGATGACCCGTCGGACGACCTGCGCACGCTCAAGTACCCGTACATGGCGTGCGAGGTCATTTGCTGCGACATCACGAGCATCACGGAGACCATCGTGACCGCCAGCGACGGCGCCATTGTGGAAACCCTATTAGGGTTTCTCTTCCAGCCCACGCCGCTAGACCCTAGACTGGCCGGCTACTTCGAGAAGATCGTGACCATGCTCATGGTGCGCAAGCCGCAGGAGATGACGGCGTTGCTCAACAAGAACTCGGACGCGCTGCTCGCAGGTTTCGCGCGTCACGCGGCCAGTTTCTCGGTCGCGGAGCTGCTCAAGCGGCTGCTGCAGCCCTACCAGGCCGACTACATGGACGACTGCATGGACTTCCCCGGGATGTCGATGGGCTTCCCACCTTCCAACTCGTGGTACGGGGACGACGACGACCATTTGGGGGGCAGTGGCACCCCCACTGCTAATAAGGACAAGACGCTGAGCTGGCAGTCGGAGCCGACGGTCGTGGACCTGTTGTTGAAGACGCTGGGGGACGTTGAAGCCGACTCTGACGCCCACAAGCACGCGTCCGAGGTGCTGGTGGACATCATCCACTGCGGCACGCGCGCGCAGCAGAGCGACCCGGCGTCGCCCGCCAGTTCGACTTCGCCCGTGTCTTTCGCGCTGCTGGAGCACCTGGAGACCAAGGAGGTGGCGGACAAGCTCGTGGCTCTTGCCGTGCCTGAAGAAGGCGCGGCCAGTTCGTGCACCTCGTCCATGACCGGAGCGATTTCGGTGCTGAGCGCGCTGCTGTCGCGCGCCACCAACGCGCAGTACTGCGCCACGGACGAGATGCCCCCCGCGGTGGCGTGCGCCGTGGAGAGACTACCGCAGATTTGCGCCATCTTGAAGATCGATGGCGATGACGCCGGAACTATTCGCAACCAGCGCCACCAGGAGGTCCCGAGGCTGGGACTGCGCCGACTGAAAATGGTGGGGCTCGTGGTGCTGCTCATGCAGTCCAAGTACCAGAAGGTGGACATTGCGCTGCTGGAGCAGCACGCGATCGAGATTTGCCTGGATCTGTTCTTCAAGTTCGAGTTGGTCAACATGCTCCACGCGGACGTGGAGAGCATGGTGATCGGCATCTTAGAAAGCGGCAGCCACGAGCTGCTCGTAGGGTTAGTGAAGGAGGCGCGTCTGCTGCCCCGCATCATTGAGGCGCACGAGAAGAACGATGAGGCCACGGCCGTTGCAAAGGGATTTTCGCTTGGATTTGTGGGGCACCTCCACCGCATCTGCAACATGCTTATGACCATGCTGGAGGACGTGCGCGGCAGCACGAACGAGGAGGGATCGCTCAACGAGATGCGGCACGCGGACACGGTGCTGGAGCTGTTCGAGGAGGACGAGGTCACGTGGAAAAAGTGGGAGGAGCTGTCGTCCAAGGTGCTCGCCCCCATTTACGAGCGCGAGCGTCTGCCGCTGGGTGGCGTGACGATCTCTCAGGGCGGCGAAGATCCGTACTCGGTCATGGGCTTCAACCAGAACGAGGAGCTTCTGAACGCGCAGTTCGCCGAGATGCTGGGCGCGTCGGGCTTCGGCTCGGACCCTAATGGTTTTGACACGGACTTCGACGTCAAGGACAGCGACACACCCATGCTGCCGGAGATCATGAACGACAGCAGCAGTAGCGAGGAGGAGGACGAGGAGGAGCTCGCACGACAGGAGAGCGCCCCCAAGGATAGCGAAGGCGGCATGGGCACGGACCGCTGGGCAAACTTCGAGTCTGGCGGCAGCTGGGCCAAGTTCGAGGACACGTTCGAGGACATTCCCTTCGAGCCGATCCCCGGTATGGAGATGGAGAACGACGACGATTTTGACGATGGAGAGGCCATGCCAGAGGTGGTAACGACTGTAGACCTGATGCAGACTGAGACTGAGAGTGAGACCCCCGCCGCAGCACCTGCTTCTGCTGCTGCTGAGGCAGCAGAGGCGACCCCGGCGGAGACGACGGAGGAGAGTAGCGCCGCTAGCAGTCCGGACGAGGCGCCTAGTGCAGATGCAGCTGCGGTAGAAACAACTTCAGAGGAGGCTGCTGCCCCGGAGGCGCAGGCGTGAATTGACAGACAATAGATTCGCTCTTTGATGGGATGCAGCCACGCGGAGCAGACAACTATGTAAGCCGCCGCCCCAGTATCATGTAGTTTCCCCTATAGCCTTGAGTCTAGTCTCCTTCGTTTGCATTCGTTAGCAGTGTACACGTATGCAGACACCTGTAGTCTTTGATTGTCTCGATATGAAAGATAACATTCCTCGCACATTGATTGCTTCCTTCAGCCACCCAAGCGCTGCTCCATGCTGCTCTCAGCGCCTACGATGGCCATGTCTCGATCGAGAGCGAGATCGCGAAGGTGATCGGTAACGACGATCACGGTTGCGACTCCTGCTCCGACTTCGACTCCTGCTGCGGCTAGAGCTATAACTTCGTCGGCGTCGACGATCTCTTGAGCGCGATCTACGACGTCGTCCGCGATCACTTTCAGATGAACTTGATCGAGAGCGATGGCACCGGCGACTCCTGGATCTTGAGCTACTGCGGCTACGAGGGCTTCGACTTCTCGACCGTAGGTCGCTTTCATGTTGTGATCGAGGGGCTCGATGAGCTACTTGAGTCTGCCCGCTTGGCTGAGGTTTCTCAGTAGATGCGCTGGAGTCTTTTGAGTCTTCAGGTGTTAATGCCACAACGGCCGGTGGAGGTGGCGGCGGAACCAGCATCGTGGAGGGCGCAACACTTGGGTTCGCTCGAGCTCGAGACCAGTGTGGTGGCGGTGGCGGCGGTACCAGAGCACCCGAATTCGATGCATTTGCTGGAGCTTGGGGCGGTGATAAAGCTACCGAGCTCATCGGTGGCGGGGCAGGTGGAGACGGACGGGGAACGTCGGAGGCCAGCGTGGACTTCACGAAACCCGACCGAAAAGCAGTCGCCAGCGAGGAGGCAGCAGGCGCAGACGCCTTCACAAACCCGCTCATCCCACTAGCTCTTCCAATTGGTTTTGAACTCGCCATCCCTGCAAAACCCAAGCCTTTGCGTTGGTCAGCCTTGTTCTTGCGACGAGTGTCATTCCACCGCTCCAATTCCGCAGCATCTTCCGCATCGAGACCCCTTTCGTTCGGTTGTTGAGCTGGAACAACAGGTGCTTGTCCAGCACTCTCAGGAGCACTCTGCCATCCCGCTCCACCACTTCTGTCGTTTCCAGTCGGTGCGTTACCACGAGCTGCAGCTCCACCTCGACGGAAACGCGAATCTCTCTTAGCTAGAGCAAGCAGCTCGGCTGAAACTGGTTGACCAGAGACGTCCATGTTGTACACCAGCTGAGCAGCAAACTGCGACTCGTTGCGAGTCACCAGTGTGTACGCAGTTCCAGGCTCGAAACCTTCCAGCCCCATGCGACCCGTACGACCGATACGATGAACGTGCGTGTCGATATTTTTCGCCACGTCAAAGTTCACCACATTCTTCACATCCTTAACGTCCAGACCACGTGCAGCCACATCCGTAGCCACGAGAACGCGGCATTCTCCGTGTTTAAACTTCGACAATGCCTCCGCTCGTTCCTGTTGCGTTTTATCGCCATGCAGGCACAGCGCTGGAGCTGAAGGAAAAGCCGTCGCCAAGTTCTTGGCCAGTTCTTCACAGCCAGCCTTACTTCCAGCAAAGATAAGCAGTCGACCTTCGTCAACTAGTCCACGAATACGCGCCATCAACCACGGCCACTTCGCTCCATGACCCGGCAACACCACCGCAATCTGCCGAATGTCCTCGTTCGCTTGACCCACCAGACCAATCGTCAACTTCACCGGATTCTTAAGCACATCAAGCGCCAACGCCTCAATCCGTCGACGGAAAGTAGCGGAAAACATGAGCGTTTGGCGGTCCGGGCGAATCTGACCCATAACGGAGCGTAACTGGGGCTCGAACCCCATTTCGAACATCCGATCCGCTTCGTCAAGCACCACGAACGTCACGCGGTTCATCGGCGCAGTCTTCTTCCGAATCATCTCAATCAATCTGCCAGGAGTGGCAACCACCACCTCGACCCCTTTTTTCAAAGCTTGGACCTGCTCCCACTTGCCAGCTCCGCCGTAAATCGCGGCACACGACGCTCCATAAACTGCAAGAAACTTCTTCGCCTGTACGTACGTTTGGTGCGCAAGTTCTCGAGTTGGTGCTAACACCACAGCGATGGGCCCTTCACCTCGTTGCAACTCGCGTTGGTCCATAACGTGACAAACCATCGGCAACGTGAACGCCAACGTTTTGCCCGACCCCGTTTTGGCAATTCCGATCAAATCTCGACCCGAAAGAGCAACGGGGAAAGCTTGAGCTTGAATTGCAGTGGGCGCTTCTAGTCCGAGTTTCATGAGCGTGTGCAACATTTTACGGTCGAAACCGAGGTGCATAAAGGACTGCACTGGAGCTGGCACATCGGATCCGTCTACCTTAACGCTCAACTCTAACCGGAGCTTAGCCACTTCCTGGTTAGAGAGAGACGAAGTTTCACTGTGGAGAGAGTAGAAATTCCTCCGGAATGGCTCGTAGCGGACGGTGGAATGGTCGATTGGAGCCAAAACTTCCATCACCTTCTTCGCCATTTCGTCAGGTGCATCTGCGTCGTCGAGTTGCTTGGCAGTTGCGTAAACTTCTTCGTCCGAGTCGTCGTTGCCAGAGGATAAGCCAGCACGAGGCTTCTTTGTGGTCTAGGAAGAAGTTTAAACAAGTGCTTAAAGTTAGTATAGGTTCTGGAAGTTTAAGCCAGTGTTAAACGGATGCAACTCACCCGTGCGTATTCCTCCAGATAACTGTCTGCATCATCGTCTTCGTGCTTTAACACTTGAGGCTGTCATTCACAAGCATAGATAAAGAACATATACACTTAACACTTGTCTTAGTTCTTTGGCAACAGGTTGACGCTCACCTTGTCAGCCACCCGTTTAGGTGGAGCCTTGCGTTGTTGCGTCACTTGGGCGTCGATTCCCTGCATAAATGCATCCAGCGGGTCCACTTCGTCGCCTCCATCGTCCGCAGCAGCAGCAAGAGCTTCTCCTCTCTCATCCCCACTATCGTCCGCGTCGAAATAGCCCGCAGGTTGGGCCTTCCGCCTGGCGCCGCGCAGATACTCTCGCTGCAACTGATCCATTTCTCAAAATAACGCTTTACGCGCAGCATCAAAGTGACTAAAGCGTAATAAAACGCGTATCTAAAGCGTAGTTTACACCAATCACACGTTCCGCTCCCATTTAGCGAATTAGGATGGCGAACCAGCAGCAAGAGCAAGCGAGCACCAAGAAGACGCCGTCCGACTTCCTCAAGGGCGTGCTGGGCCGCCCCGTGGACGTCAAGCTCAACAACGGCGTGGAGTACAAGGGCGTGCTGGCCTGCCTCGACGGCTTCATGAACATCGCCATGGAGCAGACGCAGGAGTACTCGAACGGGCAGCTCAAGGCGCAGTACGGCGACTGCTTCATCCGCGGCAACAACGTGCTCTACATCTCGGCCTCCAAGTAACAAACGGCAACTGCAACTTTTAAGGAAGAGAAAGATGGCAACACCTAAATACAGCGACATGTTTTGCTTTACACCAGCAGCTTTCCCTTGTCTTGGGATTCTTGGGTAAAGTGAAAAAACGAGCGGACGAAAGGTTTTCACCCAATGTTCACACTTAGTTCTGCGTCCCAATCCGCCCAAAAAGTTTGGGAGGGGGGATGCTGTCGAACTATTTGCTGCGAAGCCACTCGAAACGAAGAGTAAAGTCGGCACCTGGAGACACAAAACGAATCGAGTGTTAAACTGACAGCAGAAAATCTAAATGGCGATAGTCAACTGACCAAAATGCTCCAGTTCGTACTGTAATATGACCAGAACAAAGACGAAAAGGATCGCTTGGACGATGCACACCTCCGTCTCGAGCACAAACCCCAGCAGATAAAACGGAAAAAATCCAAATCGGTGGCGCAGGAACGTGTTGAAGCATAGCAACAGCGCAATCTCCATCACCGCAAACACCGAGATATTTACAAACGATTCCATGTCCCAGTTGCCAGCATCACCGGGGTAGAACATAACGTTCGGCATTTGTTCCAGCACCGACTTGTATATCAAGAAAATGATAGGCACGATGCATTCAACGTATTGGACAAGAGCCACAAGCTCGGAATGAAACAGGAGCTGCACGCCTTGAGCCACAATTTCTTTCGATCTCTGGCTGTGCCCTGGTGTGGACCCTACGCGGCCTACTTCGTACCAACGTGCAATCAAATCCGAAAGTCGCAAAATTCATATTGCAAATTTCTAGTTAGCAACTTCAATTATGCATTCAAAGATGGAATTACGGCAATCAAATTCGTACAGTAGGCTACTACTACTTGTCCGACGAGCCCTGTTACATGCCGTACACCATGTCCTCGTTGTTCGCCGCCTTGGTGGCGAAGTCGCGACAGTGCAGCTCCATGCTGGCCACCAGCGCTGGGGTCATCACGTTCATGTTAGCGGTCGCGGCGCGCTCCAGGATGTGCATCTGGCGTTCCGAGATGGAGAGGATCTCACCGTTGCTGTCTGGCTCACGCGAGCGATCGTAGATTGCGTGGCGACCCAGAGCCAAGTCTCGCTTAATGCGGGATTTTAGGACGCTGCTTCTCGAGGACGGTGTGGCGAGTAACGCGGCCTTGGAGGGACATCTGCGAAGAAGAAGGCGAATTGCGAAGTGAGCTCCCCTCGGACGGCGTCGGCTATAGTGCGCGCGCCCTTGCTTTTGGCGCGAGCACAGCACGCCAGCTTACGTAGCCATGGAGATCTTGGACCTCTGGTCCAACTTTGATTGCCGTAATTCCATCTTTGAATGCGTAATTGAAGTTGCTAACTAGAAATTTGCAATATGAATTTTGCGACTTTCGGATTTGAGTGCACGTTGGTACGAAGTAGGCCGCACAAAGGTGTAGTTCAGCAATTGTGTTCGGCTGTGAACTAAGTGCTGCGGTCTTACCAGAGTTACATGGAGCAATCGATGCACTTCGTACCCGTTCAGAACGTCGTGTGCTCAGTTGATTCTGTTCTTGGTTCTTCACTCTGCTAGTTGGGTCGTCTCGACTTCGGTACACACCTGATGAATCAAGAGCGCGGATACGTTCGCGTTTTTCTGGCGTAAGTGTATAAGGCAAGCACGCCCACAATCGGACCTTTTCCAGCGATTTCGGTGGCAATGTGGTGGAGTTCTCCGTAGCGGCGAGAATCACCTGGATAGGTTGCTAATATCGGATGTGTCGGACTTCTTTTGAATAAATAGAGCCCCGGCCATTGATGATGTCAATAATTGAGAATTTCTTCACTCGTCTAGTAGCTCGCGAAGAGCTTTCCCGTTTGCACTCATTGCACGGAATTCCAGTAGAGATTGCCCAATATTGACTGCGACGAAAAGCAACATCGAGGATATTGACTGCGTAGACGACATGCACACCGAAATAAAGATTGTACATAAGAAATCCACGGCAAGTGTAACCAGCACTGGCATGACGTCTTCGAAATCCCGTGTACTGCGCACCATGAAATGTTTCGCTGCAAACTTCCACGCTGGCAGAAGGACCACGATGACACCCCGATATGTCACTGGTATCAGGTCATACAGCACCTTGTAGACTGGAAACACACCGCAAAGAACCATGAATGAGCCAAAGAAGCGGTTATAGCGGTCGGCTTGAGACTTCAAGGGTGAATCCTTTGCAAACAACACTGGGCCAAGCCCCAGCCGAGTCGCTAGGGCTGAGAAAATTCCAATCGGAACAACGCCAAATTGCATCATAAATGGCAGTGGGAATCCGATCTGGCTTGCTGCAAGAAGGCACGTCGCAACAAACGCGACGTTCGTCACCAAAGCTACCGCTATCCGCTTCCAAACCGGGTATACGAGTCCTGGTATCAGTCTGGTCATGCTTGAGTTTTCCACAACACCAATCATACTGTGGGTAATGAACAACCGCAGCCAGAAGACCCAATTCGCAACCAACCCTTCTGTCGGTGGGCGAAGGGGAAAGCTCTGCAACACCAAAGCTGCCAGCAATGCTGGGACCGGCGTCAGCACGCATAGTAATATGACACGACTGGTGGATGTGGTGGTGCAGTACAAGTTGAGACTCTCGAGGCGCTCGATAGAGTACGCGTCCTGACTTTCAACTTGGATGCTTTTCCACTTGTCCTCCAGCCGTCGGCGGATTGATCGTCTTGGTCGTGATGCCTGCCATGATGGCGATGCAGCATTTAACACTTGTTCCCACACCTCCACTTCAGCCATCTTGCGTTAGATTGTAAGTAGTGGTACGTGGGAGGGCAACACCAGGGCAGCTAAATAGAGATTTATGCAGCAGCAGCTGTTCTTGTGGTAACACGCAAACGCTAATAGAAGCCACTGGACGCCTACCATATATACATTAACGGGCTGTCATAGTTGCAGAAGGTATGTCAGGCCTTAAAAAGATATATGTTGGCATATCGCTACAAGCATCTACCACAAATGCCTTACATCGAGCATCTGTGTCCGTGTTGAAGTGCCCTGAATCAGGCAATAACAGCAGGCAATTAGAATGTACCCGTCACTTTGCCATGGACATCACTTACGTCAGGAAGCTTCTAGATTTCGCCACTTTTGAATTTGGCGCGCGTCGGACACGAGGATGCACGCAGAGGACGCCGATGCGCTGCTGGTGCTCGCCAGCACCTTCCTCGAGCAAGACGAGGAGCTGCATGACGCTCGCAGAGAGGTGTACCGCGCCCTGGTGGGGGAGGCTTGGAAGATCGCTATGCGCAGCAGGCACTACCTGACCACCCAGTGCCTGGATACCCCGCCTGGATGATGGTATACAAGTACGGCAGCGACGTGAACTTCCTGAACACGACAAGTTGGACCAGGTGCGATCCATATTAACTGTTTACCATGCTGCTATTCTCTATCTGACATGCAATGCTGTAGGTCGGCTTTCAACCAGCTCCTGCAGCGGTTTAGCCGCTTCTACTACATTCCGCGCCACACGACACGCGGGCGTCCAACCAAGCGGAAGCACCACCACCAGGTGCTCGGCCTCGTGCTCTGCTTCTATGTCGGCTCGATGGAGCAAAGCTCCCTTTGCATGCTGTTTGGGGTCCCGCCAAGTACGCTGTCGAGGACGCTTGCGCGCGCCGAGGAAGCACTGGCGCAGGCGCTAAGCGGATAGGCCCCCGCACGGATCTCGTGGCCGTCCCCAGCTCGCCAAGCCGAGTTGGCGAAGCTGGTGGAGGCTCGCGAACCACTTCTCAAACACACCTTTGGGTTTATTGATGGAAAGAACTTCCGGGTAAGTTTCATTTGAAATCAATATTTGCTTTGCTAAGAATGCTACACGCTAACAAATACTGCACTGTAGGTCCAGCAGCCGTCGAATGCGGATCTGCAAAATGCCATGTACAACGGGTGGCTTCACACCGTGTTCGTGACTGGCACGATCTGCTTTGCCGCCGACGGCTGTATCATTTGGAGTAAGCACAATTGTCCCGGGTCGTGGAACGACTTGGACACCTCGCTTGGCTTCCGCGCCAAGTTGCTCGACCCCGCGTACTGCCCAGATACGCGTATGAATGTGGTGCCGGACTCCGCTTTTCCATGCTCGACTGCCATGGTGGGACGCATCCTGACGCCTCTCAAAGACGGCGACCTGGAGAGAATTCGGCCGTCGCTCAGGAGCTCCGCGCGAACGCTCCACAATGCAATCACTTCTGTACGGCAGGCGGCTGAATGGGGCATAGGCAGCATACAGAAGGTGTACAGCCACCTCAACCTCCCCCTGCCGTACGACCCCAACATCCGCGGGTGCAGAATCAGCAACGTGTTCAGAATGGCTAACTACCGTGTGCGCACGGTCGGAATCTCGCAGATTCGACCGACGTTCTCGGGCGAAATGGAGCTGCCGCCGTCAAGCGAGTAGGAGCCTAGCTCATGATGTTTGTGTTTGTAAGATGTGAACAATACATTTCTCTTTGTCATCGTATTGTGCCTTAGCTGATGTTGACTCTGTAAGGCGCGATCAATATGTTTCTCTCCGAAGATGAGTTGAGCGCTTTCGCTATCTGCGTTGTCATCAACCGCCTTCTGCATGAACTGTATTTGCTGATCGTGATTGCTACAATTGACTAGAATGTGATGACTGAGAATCGAACACTGCAATGAGCTTGCGACATGATAATGAACAACACATTCGATTTAAAGGCTTAGCAGTAAGTGACGAACAACTACAAATTCAATGTGAATGGCTAGCCTCGCTCAAGTGAGCCTATCTCGTCATTAGACGCGAACTCTGGCGCGGGCTTACTGCGATGTGCCTTCTCGTCGATGGGTGCGAAAATCGGCGTGAGCCGAACGAGCTTCAACACAACGCTGTAGGCACGAAGTACATGCGCGAGCTACATGCACTCACGTCGGCCTGCAACGTAGATGCAACTCAGCCGACGTCAGCCAAAGGAGACTCGAACTCTTTTCATCAATGCAATCTTCATTTGTTCACATTACGCACCTATACAAATATCAACACACCTATCGCCTTGCACGCGCCTTTGTCTTTCTCGCTCTTCTGGCTTCCTTTCTCCTTCGCGCCCTTACGGATCTTGAGCATCTTGGAGATGGCGATGGCGGCATCTGTCCGATCCGCATCGGCAGACGAACCACAGGTCGTCGCCATAAACGACCGTCACCTCTCGACCCTGACGAATGTCTTCCGTGCTCGCCACGACAACGGTGGTGCGGCGTCCGGTGGAGACCTCAACAAACTTCGCCAGAGCCTCGCAAGAGGGCTTTACGAATCGCATGAGGCCGCCCATGCTCTCTGCATTGATCGCCACACGGACGGGGTACGTGGGCCTCTCTGGCTGCATCTTCATCACCAAACGATACCCGTTGTTGCGCGGTTAATTCGCGCGAGAAGCGCTGACGTGCTCCATCTCGCCGAGGTATTGACCGAGGACTTTTCCAGCTTCAATGGACTCAGCGGCGACCACTCCGAGCGTCTTTGTGCGCACATCTTCCCCAGGTAGATCTTGTTCGACTCGCCCAGCGCGTTCCCACAGAGGTCTCTGTAGGGGCAACAATTAATGTTGCAATACAGGTGCATGCGCGAGTTGCGGCAGGCGTCCACGCGGCACGGTGACGGGCAGTCGCACCACCCGAAGTGTGGCACCGCCGGAAAGACCGTCGCCAATGGATTGAACTGCTCGCGGAGGTGGGCCACGTGATATGGCCACCGAGCTGGCACGAACTGATCACGTGGCCGCTGTGCTTGCGGTGGCGAGCGGCGCACCACATCCGAGCTGGCGCTCATCGATCCACGTGGGTCGACGGCGGGTCGATCCGGGCGCTGAGGCACCGACAGGCGACGGCTGTACGGCGCAGCAGCCTCACGCCGCGCACGACGTCCTTCTTGGCGGGGCTGAAGCGCCTTGCGTGGTATGGGGCGCGCCGGCGACGTTGGTGGCGTCTCCAGCAAAATTGGCACGACGACGGGTTGTCGGCGGCGGCGACGCAGGTGGGGGTGTTGCCTCCGGGCTTGGCGGTCGATTCGTCACTGCCTTGGAGCGGCGCTGGCACTTCTCCTGCGGCATCCATGGAGGAGTCGCGGTGCCAGTGGAGCTGGCGCAGTCTCTGGCGGGCTGCTCGCTGCGCTTGCTGCCTTGGGTGCACTGCGGGCTTGCCTGGACGTTGGGCGGCGTGTTTTCGTCCTCGCTGGACGTGTCGAAGACGCAGCGAAGTTGCCAGTGAGCAGCGGAATGGGTGAGGCGCACCATAGCCTGCACGCACACAACAGGTGAGTCCTCGTGATCACCGGCAACAGTCCTTTGGCTACAAGCAACCACACCTTTCGAAGCGGAGCTCTGCTGTCGACTTGCTGCTGTCGGAGGCAAATTCGCAAATGACCGTCGTTTCGATCCGTCGGAAGGTATATGATACGCGAAAAGCCCACATAGTGAAGTTTACATATGTAGGAGTGATGGTCAGCATAAACTATACAAATCGCAAGTCAAACCTTTATGATGGCTACACGACATATATCTATGAGTAGGGCGGTGTGTTGACACCAGATCTGGGCCCCGGGAGATTTATGCGCCGAGTATGCCAGGCATACTTGCTGCAACTATGACAGCCCGTTAATGCATATATGGTAGGCGTCCACTAGGGTTAAGCTTTGCAAACAAAGAAACTCTTTACATCACTTTTAGCTTCTGAGCGTCTCTCTTCGGCGACACACTCTTATTATCGTATGATAAGCACTGGAAGTTGTGGCGATTTACGCGGTGAGCTGGACGACATTGCAGCCAAACAACTACTGTCTTACCCCGCATAGTGCGCATAGGCGCACAAATAAAATATAGCACCCAGTGAGCGTAATATTCGTTTAAACCGCCTAGGCGGTATGCTACGAACAAATCCTACAACCTTGAAGGCGGGCCACCTCAATGGCACCAAACATAGTTTTGAGGCGATAAATATGACTGGAGTCGTGCGAAATTGCAATGTGCTGACGGCTCAACCGGTACAAGCATGGATTGGCAAACCGCAGGTCCATAGTTCGATCCCGGTTCGTGTCAATTGAGGGCCCGTTATGGGAAGAGGGTATGTCGCGAGTCAATCGTTAATTCCCCGCACAGAAAGGTATGTCCAACGCTTGTCAATTTCAATCGCCCACAATAATCAGAAACTAACATGTCTTTTTGTATGAATCAATGCAGTATTGATTTAGCTCTGTGTCTACCTACAACAGGTATCCGTCAATCTCAACAGCGAAATACCCATCGCCGCGCACAAGCACAACATCCTTAGTAGCGTTCTCCGCAGCATAGACAAAGCTGGAGGTGAGGCGGCTGCCTTCGTCAACAGTCTTGAGGGTGATGTTCCACCCGTGCATTTTCGACGCCGCGTAGATCTCGAGCTCACCCGGGGCCATCAGTCCTTTCCTTACAGAGACCAGGTACTCGTCGTCCAGCAGTCCGGTCAAGTCCACGAGGGTAGCCATGTAGGTCGTAAGCGCTTCGGCGTACTCGGGCACGGACATATCGAGACTGAAAGACAGCCAGCAGAACAGACTCCTCCTCTCGTTGTCTGGAATGTACCAGTCCGGGGCAAACACACGTACCAGCTCACGCTCTGAGTCGTCGTTCACCAGGTGCTGGTAGGCTGTGTGCCATGCATGCATGTTGAAGTCGGAGCTGAGTATGGCTTTCAGTGGAGCGTGCAGCCGATCCATGCTGAAGCGTTCCTTCGCCACTATTCCACACAGGCCGAACGCCTTCTTCACCTCCGCGGGGTCCTTCGAGGCAACCCAATCAAGGGTCCACCGCGCCACCGCGTCGTATCGCGGGACCTTTGGGTTTCCAGCTTTCGTCTGCAGCATGGGGTCACGGAGAGCTTCGCTGATATACGCGTCATACTTTGAGCGGTAGTATTCTTGATAGCTGCGGTTAACAGCAACATCAAGTGGCTGCAGCATGTTGGTGAGGTTGGGTGGGACCAGCACGACAAAAATGTTGTAGCGCTCCAGTCGCTTGGAGTCTGCCAGCTTGACGTGGCAGCCGTAGGAGTCGATCAGGTAATGCACCGGCCCACGATAGAGCTGTGTTTCCTTGCGCGAACCGATGACAGCCTCGGCATGAGCGAGAAGCAGGTCATCATTCCACATCCCCGTCCGGTTCACATCTACCAGGACGCCGGGAGGGCACTTCGGCTTGTTTTTCAGCTTCGAGAAAAGTAGATGAGGCTTCAGAAACTCCCCTTCCGCCGTGATCGCAAAAGTTGCGGTGAACCACTTGTGACTGGATCCGCCTTTGCGCAGCAGGACCTCACGCGAACCTCGCGTAGTTATCGTTGCCTTGGGCTCGGTCTCGAAGCAACGAGGTACCTGATCCATGTTAATGATGTTCTTGGGCTGGATGCCGTGGCAATCAGATGATGGACACTCTGAATGAACAGGCGGCAAACGTCCGGTGCGTCAGCAGGCAACGAGCGCGACGTGGTCTGGCGGCGCGATACCAGGTTTCGACGAGCCTTGAACCGAGCAAGCCATCCGGAGGACGCCTCAAACCCGACACCGTCTTCACCATGTAGCTAGCGGTGGATGTTGCGTGCTTGAAGGCAGATGTGTGAGTCCTTCACCCGCAGGCCTTTTCGGTTTCGGCTAATGACCCACTCATACAGCCGTGCCTCAAGCTCGCTGTTGGCAGGTCTTCTGCCACCTCCGGTGAGCCGTCGTGCCGTGCGAGTCGCGACTTGTCGGTTGCGCGACGCAGCCCTCAGTTTCTCTCGATGCTGCCACCACCCTCGAATGGTGCTGGCAGCGACGCCGTGGCGTAGACTAACTGCGTGAAACCCGCTTCCCTCGACACCGGCTTCGTATTCAGCCAGAATGGACAGCTTTTCTGTGATGCTGTAGCTGCGACGCGAGCTTGGCATAGTGGGCTGAGTGCTTGAGCTGGTAGTAGTGTTGCTTCGGAGAGTGAGTTGAAAAGTGAGGGCGTTGGAGCAAGCAAGCGTTGCTGGCATCAGGAATGGTTGGTTTGTAGGTGAGTATTACTTTACATTAGGGTAAATGTATAGGCATTGGTTGTGAGTTAATGCTACCAAACCCTTTCATCGAGGGCGTCCTTGTATTAGACTCTGCGTTATAATGGGGGTTTACATGTTGGGGTTTTGGCACCAGATTTTTTATTACTACATCTAGGCGCTTTATGCGGGGTAAGACGGTAATCTGATTAGTTTTACTCTGCTGAATAATGCTTCAGAAATATTGCGATAATCAGTTATTGATTTCCAATCAACGCCGAATCATTTGTGCATGCATTTATGCAATTACTTCGAAGTAATAAGAGCACCCGGAAAAATAGTGGTAGGTTGAAGTGCTTTTTGTCTACCTACAGCTACTTGTCACGGAGCCACACGAAGCAAAGTGTAAAATCTGCACCTACAGCAGCGCAAAACAAAAAAAAACGGTATCGCAACTAAATGAGGACACGCAACCTTCCCGGGCATACTTCCCCAACGCGCAAACGTACCGAAATGCTCCAGCTCGTACTGCAATACGACTAGAGTGAATATGAAAAGGATCGCTTGAACCACGTGCACCTCCGTCTCGAGCACAAACGCCAGCTGATAAAAGGGAGAAAAGCCAAATCGGTGACGCAGGAACGAGTTGAAACAGAGCAATAACGCAATTTCCATCACCGCAAACACCGAAATATTCACAACTGATTCCAAGTCCCAGTTGCCAGCACAGCCGGGGTAGTACACCACGTTCGGCATTTGCTCCAGCACCGACTTAGATATCAAGAAAAGGATGGACACGATGCACTCAACGTATTGAACAAGAACCACGATTTCCGAGTGAAATAGCAGTTGCACACCTTGAACCACAATTTTCCTCGATCTTTGGCTGAACCTCGGTGTGGTCCCATGTTCGACAATTGCGTCCGGTGGTGAGCTTATTGCTGCGACTTCACCGGAGTTTCCTGCAATTGGAGCGATCGATACACTTCGTACCCGTGGATGTTCAGAACGTTGCGTGCTTCGTTGATTCTTCTGTTCTTGGTTCTTCTTTCTGCTAGTTGGGCCTCGGCTACCTCTGTACACACCTGACGAATCAAGAGCAGAAAGCAGTTCGAGTTTCTCTGACGTGAGGGGGTAAGGAAGGCACGCCCATAAGCAAACCTTTTCCAGTGATTTTGGCGGGGATGACGCGGAGTCCTCGGCAACATTGAGGATGATCTTGAGAAGGTTGGTACTACCGGATACGTTCGACTTCTTTTGAATCCGTAGAGCCCCGGACGGCGATGCTGTAAATGATTGGGAGTTTCTTCGCTCGCCCAGTAGCTTGAGAAGCGGTTTCCCGTTTGTACTCATGGCTCGGAATTCCAGCAAAGATAGTCCAATATTCGCTGCGACGAATAGAAACATCAGCGACATGGACTTTGTCGACGACATGCACACTGAAATGAAGATGGTGCTCAAGAAATCCACCGACAGAGTCACCAGCACGGGCATGACATCTTCAAGGTCCCGTGTACTTCGCACAATCAAGTGCCGCGCTGCAAACTTCCAGACCGGCAGAATGATAACTGCAACGCCCTGATACGCCACGGGGATAAAGTCGTACAACACCTTGTACACAGGGAACACGCCGCAAAGTAGCATGAATGAGCCAAAGAAGCGGTTTTACCGGTCGGCGTGCGACTTCAAGGGTGAATCCTTCGCAAACAACACGGATCCAAGCCCCAGCCGAGTCGCTAGCGTCGAGTAAATTCCAATCGGAATAGCTGAGAACTGCATCATAAATGGGAGTGGGAATCCGATCTGGCTCGCAGCAAGAAGACAAGTAGCAACTAGCGCGACCGTCGCCCCCAACGCCATTACTACTCGCTTCCAAACTGGAAACTCAAGGCCTGGTATCAGCCTCGCCACCTTTGAGTTCACAGCAGTACCAATTGTGCTTTGGGCGACAATCAACCGCAGCCAGAAGACCCAATTCGCAGCCCACCCTTCTGTCGGTGAGTGAAGCGGAAAGCTCTCCACCACCAAAGCCGCCAGTAACGCCGGGACGGGAGACAACACGCAGAGTAACACGACGCGAGTGCGGGACGTGGTGATGCAGTACAAGTCGATACTCTCGAGGCGTTCGACCGAGTATGCGCCCTGGCTTTCGACCTGGATAGCGTTCCATTTCTTGCCAAGACGTCTCCGAAGTGAGGATTTTGGTCGTGGCGTCTGCTGTGAGAGCGTCTTGACTAGCGATGCACCATTTGGGGCTTGTCCCCACACCTCCACTTCTGCCATCTTGCGTGTGAGGTTTCAAGAAGTGAAGCGGACGACATGAAAATGACTATGCCTTATTCTTATGCAGTACGACATGAAAATAACTATGCCTTATTCTTATGTAGTACATTCGTAGGTGATAAAATGATATAACCCGTAAAAATAAGCGATGCCAAAGTGCGAGGGAGCATACCGACCGAAATATCCCAACTCGTATTGCAACATGATACAACATGAATGAACACGAATAACACCATCCCCACGACGAAAAACCTCCGTGTCAAGCCCAAACGCTACCGGTAGTTCTTAACAGATTAGGGATCCGGACGGTGGAGCCATTCAAATTGAAGAGTAAATTCAGCGCCTACAGAAAAAAACAAATGTTAAACAAACATCCGAAGCGGTCTGTGATGATGGGGATACTGACCGAGATGCTCCAGCTCGTACTGCAGCACATTGAGAATCAAGGCAAAAAGAATCGCTTGAACGGGATAAAACTCCGTTTCCAGCACAAACGCCAGCTGATACAGCGAAGAGAACCTGAACCTGTGCCGCAGGAACGTGCTGAACGAAATCAAAAGCCCAACTTCCAGCACCGCAAATAGCGAAATGTTCGCAATCGACACCATGTCCCCAGCTACCACGACGTTCGGCAGTAGCTCCAATACGGACTTGTAGATGAAGAACACAATGGGGGTTATCGACTCAACGTACTGGACTAGAGCCAGCTGCACGCCTTGAAGAACAATTTTCTTCGACCTTTGGTTGTGCCGCGTTGCAGATTGTTTAGCACTTGCTTCTGATTGCGAGTCTGTCATTGTATCATCGACCGCGACTGCAGTCAATAGAGTAATTGAGGCACTTCGCATGCGTTGGTATTCTTGTCATCGAGAGCATAGTTGTTGATGCTTGCATCATAGTTACTCCTAAATACATTCAAAGCATCAAGCGTATGAAGGTGTTCCAGTTTGTCTGCCGAGAGTGGATACGCTAAACACGCCCACAGTCGAACTCTCTCCAGGGATTTTGGTGGAAGCGAAGTTGAGTTCTGTACAGCGTCGAGAATAATCAGCAGTAAATTGGTAGCTTCCGATGTATCGAGTTTCGTCCGGATAAGTGTTTGAGAGTTTTTCGCTCGTCCAGTCGCTTCAAGAGCGCTTTCCCATTCGCTCTCATGGCTCGGAATTCAAGTAGCGATTGGAGGATGTTCACTGCGATGAAGAGCAGCATCAAGGATACGGACCTTGTCGTCGACATGCACGCCGATATGAGCAACGTACTCAAGAAATCCACCAATAAGGCCACTAGCAGCGGCATGACGTCTTCCAGCTCGCGTGTACAGCTCACAGCGAAGCGTTTGACTGCGAACTTCCATATTGGCAAAATAACGACTGCAACACCTCGATATCCGACCGGAATGCGTTGAACAGCAGTTTGTAGGCGGGGAACGCGCTGCAAAGAACAAAAACGACAGGAAGGACCGGTTGTACCGGTCGGCATGTGGTTTCAATGGCGAATCCTTGTCAAAGTGGACGGGGCCCAAGACTAGAAAATTCATAAGCGGCGTAAATATCCCAATGGGGATCGGCGCAAACTGCATCATGAGCGGCACTGGGAACCCAATCGTGCTGGCAGCAATCAGACACGTCCCAATGAATGAGGTGCTGGCCCCCACAGCTACCGTTATTCTTTTACCGATTGTGAAGTTGAGACCGGGGATGAATCGCATCATTTGAGAGTTCACGATGAAGCCCAGAGTCAGTTGAACCGAGAGCAAACGCAGCCAAAAGACCCATTTGGCCCTCCACCCGTCCGAGGGCGGTCGCAGCGGCAACGATTCTACCAACAGAGCTGTCAACAAGGCAGGCACTGGGGAGAGTAGGCAGACCAACACTGTTCGACGCCGGGAAGTGGTTTTGCAATACAGGTTGAGGCTTTCCAAGCGCTCGATGGAGTACGCGCCCTGGCGTTCAACTTGAATGTCGTTCCATTTCCTTGTGATACGCCTCATGAGTGGAATATGCGGTGACTTTTGTCGCGAAAGACTCTTCACCTGGGGAGACGTAGCGTTCACAGTTTGTGCCCACACTTCCAGCTCAGCCATCTTGCACATATTTTCAAGAAATGGTGAGTCGAGACAGCTAAATAAAGTTTATGGTGAGGGACCCAAGGAAAAAAAACATTAGATTTTGCTTCGAAACATTCCCCAAAATAGTTGCCGTACAGTACACCATTACCAGCAAACGGTACCCTCCTGACCTGGTTAGCCAAGACCTATACGAAAGACACTTGTCCTTCCTAAAAATGATTTATAGGAAAAAAATAGAAGAAGAAGAAGAAGCGATAAAATAATCCAACGACAAAAACTCGGTGCTACTGGTATTGCTTGAATACCAAATGCATGGGAAATGTGCCCCCCAACCGGGCGACTTGGGTCGGATGCCTCAAGCTCGACTTAAGACAAAACCGACTTAATGGCTTCAGGCGAGTGATACGAAAGGCAGAACTTAGAACCCCCAAACGCCTTCGTAGATGTCGACGCCACCGTCCTTGCCCAACGGACCTTTCTCGTCGCTGACCGGGTGAGGCGTCCGCGGCGGCGCGGGGGTGCTCTTGGGGAAAAGGAAGTCGAAGATGCCCAGACGACGTTTTCCATCTGCAAGTCCTGGTGTCTGGGGCGGGGTTGGGACGTCGGTAATGGTACGCAGCTTCGTTGCAGGGACTGGGGTCGTTGGCTCATTCTGGATAGCAGCAGTCGAGATGACGCTGAACGAGGCGAGCGTGACGATGGCTAGAAGGAAAGCGGATCGCATTCTTGGTCGGGTACTTGACAACGGTTTTGGTGTGTGCAGCGCTAAGGAAAATGAAGAATGTGTAGGCTCTGGAACCGTCGTCTACTCGATTCGCGATACAGAATCACTGATACTAAACTTACAACAGAATCCATCCGCTATCTCGTGCTGGGAACCCAATACCGTTTGTACATGTACTCCCTTCATACCACGCGATCATCAGAAACTTCACGCAATCTTACGCGCACCATCAGCTCGTCCACAAGAACCAACATCATTGGGATTTCCACTGGCGTATTTCTTCATTAATAATCGATTCAAGGCTGGTTACAACTCGACGAGTGTACGCCAATACAAAGTAGAAGCTGACCAACCAGGTCGAGGAGGAAACCTAGCCGTCCACTGCATTAAGATGAACTCCACTCGTGGCTACAACACTCCATAGCTCGACGGACCTGCCTCGCTTGACGTGTGAAACCAGTTATAAATGTCATGTGTATTTTCGCTTGTTGACTCGGTTCGACAGGGTTTACAACTGCTATTCCGCTGCAAATATCTCGCTCGCGTCGAGTACGTGACTGCATTGTACCGTTAGCATTTGTGGTTTACATCGGTACTCGAGCACCTGCCGAATATCGTCTTCTTTCTTGGTGGTGGTGCAGGCAATTGGGGACCAAGTGCTGCCGTGGGTGTTCTAGTGTTCACAGTCTTGGAAATGGGATCGTTGCTCGTCCTAGACGCAGTTTTAAAGGGCAAGTTCTCGTATTCTCCGCTGTACTAGCTTGCATGTGTACTTGAAACGGAGGTAGCCCCGGTACTTTTCGTTGAAATGCTGAACTTGCTGAAGTACGAGCTTCAACACTTTAGGTCAGCATTCGGTGATAGTACGAAGCAGTTGGGTGTGTTTTAACGAAAAATGTTGTTTTCATTTTGTAGATGCAGACTTTACGCTTGAATTTGAATGGCTAGGTAGCAAAAAACGAATAACATAGTGTGGGTTCCGCCTGGAAGTAGGGACAATATATACAAGGGTGCGTTGCGTTAGGCTGGGAGGACTACTTTAAATTCCAAAAAGTCTGCTCGGTTGTATCTAACGTTAGCTCGATTTTACTAACTCGAGTACAACTATATTTTCCATACTGGCACACTTTCAAGAAACTAATAGATGTCTTCTTTGGCTACGAAGTAGCCAAGTCTTGTGCTAATACTTCGCCTACTGAGTGGTCGAGTGTTTTGGCGCCACTACAAAGCTAAGCCAAATCCAAAACAACAACCATCAATACACGCACTAGCAGTACCAAACAGTGGTTACGTACTATGTTCGCATGCAAGTAGCAAATGAGGGGCTATGCCCCTCATTTGCAGCGCCTACCATCATTTTTCTTATGGAAATTACAGGAAGGTGACTCAATATTAAAATTTGTGCAAAAGGTGATAGAAGGATTTGTGTCGAGAGCACATATTTCAGGTTCAGCAGCATTTGTTAGGGCATTGGGCCACGACATTGTTGCCTTCAGCGGCGACATGGGGAGTAAGGCATCGAAGCCGTCGGCGATGCTTTATGCAGCGTGGGCAGTGTCGCTTAAGCGACACAGAAGGCGACCGTACTCCACCAGAACAACTATCAGCAGAGGGCAATGCCTACACCGGCACCGCCTTCGCGTTTACCCAGAGCTATACTGACACAATTGGTGCATTCAGCGACGTGCATGGCATTCAGGTGCTGGCCGCTATCGGTGGCCAAATGAAACCATTGGCGGAAACCCGGGTTCCCGCAAATGATACCGACCAAATCGCGAATTATTTATTTAATTTTCGGCCACCATATCGGTACCGTTGGGGCAAGTTAAACCATCAAACTCGATGAAAGAGTTCCCACTAATCTGTCACCGGTACTGAGTGACCTGAATAACGTACCTTACCATGTCAAAGTCCACCTTACTGTACAATGTGGCCGGAAAGCCCTCTACCGCTGTACCAGGCAAGAGTCTGGATTTTCATGAGAGACACAGGACGGGAGCAAAGACGAATTCACCTTCCGTTTCTCTACCGAGCTTAAGCTACGTTCAACGTAGGTCATAGAACAACACTCCAATACATTTGATCATACATGGGTACCGGTAGTTTTGGGGAAACCGGGGTCCCGATGGGTACCCGGGTTCCCGCCAATTGTTTCAAATGCACTTGGCACAAAGCCTTGTATCACCTTTTGCACAAAATTTCATTTTGAGTTCATATTCATTTTGAGTTCATATTCATTTTGAGTTCATATTCCGGAATTTTCCTTTTTTATATGGAGCCAACTATCTACTGCCGGCGAAGCTGCCTACCGGGCAGATTTTATAGTTTGTAGGCCAAGAGCTAAGGACGTAAGCGTTTACAGCGCCGACCACCATTTTTATATGGAGCCAATGATCTAATGCCAGCGAGGCTGCCCGAGATCCAGGCGGACAGGTTTAATTTGAAGCCAAGAGCTCAGCTACGTGGACGTAAGACATCCTCAGTTATCCGTCAGTAACTAGGAACTATGGAATACAGTGTAGTTGTAGGCTGATTGGTCATCCTGCATTCTCTTGTCGCTAACGCTGTCCTCATTTCATTGTCAATTGGCTTTGTGTGGTACCAGTCGGGATGCCAATATGGCTATATTTGTGTAGATATGGTGTACGATTGTGTGAGTATGGTGTGGCGAGATGATGTTTAAATGTTGCCTGAGGTACAAGCAACTTTTTTTCGACGAATTAATCTGTGAGGCTGTCCATACAGCTCTTCTAACTGTCCTCCCAGGATAATACTTATTACTTGTGGAATTCGGTGGTATAGACATTTTGTTAATTGACGCTCAGACCAAGATTCGATCAATCCGATTCGATTCGATTCAACTCAGACCCACCGACCAGAAGGACGACGCGTTGGCACTCAACGCTGGCAACTGAGATGGTTCCAGATGCTCCTCAATTTTCTTGATGCAGCCTCGATGGCACATGCGGAGCTCCTCAAACGTCGGAAGTACTGGATCACTAGATAAAGCACCTTCATCAATAGGACGGGGGGAACAGAGGCAGGCCCCGGAAATGACGGAATCCACCAGACTTGAGTGCAAACTTGGCTGCATCAGCGAAAAGAAGCTGCCGCCACGGCCTGCTTGTGAACCATTGCATGCCTTGGAGCACGGGAAGCCCTCCATGTTGAGGTCACCGAACGTCACGTAAGCGTTCGAGGTATTCACGTGGCCAAACCGAGGTGTTGTGAGCCCCCACTTGGCTGCATGCAACACAAGAAAGTCAGCCATGCAAACGACAAAAAATACTATTCCTCGTATCTCACCATGATTGCCATCAGGGACCCTTCCTCCAACGAGTTGCCACGTCAAATTTGCACTCCCGTCGCTCATCCACCATCTACAACACCAAAAACAAGCAATTAGCCACGTGTGACCCTCACCAACACTACTAATTTACGGGATACGTACGTGGCTTGCATAAGGTTCTCGATGTTGTACGGAGCAGACCCGTCCGCATTCAACTCCACGCCCGTCGGTGGGTCGTTTAGGCAAAACTCATTCGGCGAGTTGGTGAAGACATCCCCCGCACAAATAGTGGGGATGCCGTAGCTCCCGTCCCACCACGACGCCACACTAACATCGGAATCCAGCATTTCAGCCACCAACGCCCACGGAGGCACAGCAGCTCGTGGACACTTGACCAGCACCAACACATCCTGTTCAGCTCGTGTTCCATCGTCGACAAATTCTTGAAGCTGCTGGTTCTCTGCCAACGGCTCAAACACTCGACTCTTCTTCTGTGCTTCAGTAGAACCGTCCAACAATTTGAGGCGAAACTCGGCCTTCATCGGGTCTGACGTTTGTTGCTCCGGTAGATCCGGGTCCAGCAGCGCATGGTAAAAGGCCGAGGCGCTCGTGTTCTCCTGCTTCGGTCCATCCTCGAACAAACTGACACTCGCCAGTAGATCCCGCAGTGATTCGTCCCGGAAGAAGTTGCCCGAGCACAACCTCGCAAGCTGCAGCTTCGTGCCCAGCTCAACTAGTTCACTATCCCCAATTGACATGGCCATCATGTGCTGAGCGAACTGCACGTTGTTATCAGCCTGGCAGCCAAGTCTCACAAAGGAGTCGTTATGCGTTGGATCGGGGAAGTTGGGGGTCGACGTCTGCAGGAAGAAGCCGCCGCTGCCATCGCCTTGAAATGCCACCGCTCCCTTAGCGTGGGCGCTGAATATGTCGCCCCCTCCACACACGCGCTTGCCTTCTTCAACGTCCTTGGTCTTGTTTGGATGGAAATCGCCAGCGACGCCATTGAGCTGGTCGTTGAACAACGCCCAGTACTCGGCGCCCGCCTCCTTCTGCTTGAGCGTCTGGCTCAGTGGGTCGTTCCCCCCTTGGCCCAGGCAGTCGAAGCCCACGTCCCGGAAGTGTCGGAACTGCGGATGCTTCGAGTCCGCGTAGAGGTAGCAGAGCCCCGTGGCCCGCGTCTCCAGCGCCGGCCAGCCCCGCGTCGGCACGTTGCTGCAGTCCGGGGCCGGACAGTCGCACGGCGTCGGGACCACGCGCGCCTCGGGGCCATCAGGCGATTGCACATGCGACGGCAGCTTGAGTACGGCCCACCAGGCCACGGGGTGGCCCAAGCCGTCCAACGCTCGCACGGGCGTGGCCCGCACCTGGCCAACAGCGGCGGCGACCACCAAGAGCAGCACCACCGCCAACATGATCGTCATCTTTATACGAGACCTTGTCCGGCGTGATGATCCGATCCGATCTAAACCGTGTGAAGCCACAACTGGCCTCTGTGTAACGTCGGAGCAGCCAAAAGATACCGCGTCTTCCCACGAAAAAACTCAAGTGCTGGCCGCTGTGGGAGCAGCTACGATAACGTTGAGCTTAGCTTGGTTGCTCATGAACATGGCGGGCATTTGATGGACAATAAATACCGAGACTTTTATTTGACGACTTGGGGTCCTTACATGCGGACCTGGTGCTTGGCTTTCATCACTCAAAAAATCATATCTACACAGCGACGTTGGGGCCGCTGGTAAGGGTTGGCTGCGACGCGCTGCCCAACCGCGCGCTCTTACTCCCAGAGCGCGGGCTTCATACCCGGCAGCGCGCGCAGGGGGACGGCACGCTCATATAGGAAGGAACTTGGGAAAAATAGAGATCGTCCACGTCGACGCACGCACAACAACACGCCTCACCCACTTGTCCTTCAGATGGGCACGGACTGGGGGACGCCACTCATGGGCTTGAGCATCTTGCTGGCGCGGCCCGTCGGGAAGGCCGGCCGCTCGCTGCTCATCTTGCGCTTCTCCCCAACTTGCGGCTGGGTCTGTTGTTGCTGCTGCATCGGGGGAGGCTGGAACTGCTGCTGCTGCTGCGGCATCGGGTAGTGCATCTCCGGCGGCATTTGCTGCTGCGGAGGCATCTGGTTCATCATCACCTGCGGGTGCGGAAAGGTCGGGGGTAAGCCTCGAGTTTGGCCATCATGGTGCTGCGAGTAGCTCGGCGGCGGCTGCACGTACATGGGGTTGGACATGGGGTGCGTGGCCATGACGCTGTGCATCAGCGGGTTCCCGTTGTGCGCCATGAGCTGCTGCGGCTGCAGCACCCCCATGTCGCCCTGCGGGTTCTTCTTGGCCGCGTCGGCGGCGCTGGTCGCCGCCTTGCGCTTCTGCCGCGCGAGCACGCGACTTGAGCCCACCTCGAAGGACGTGGACATACCCGACCCAATGCACGCGTAGTAGCGGCGGTCGCCGGCAACCATCTGCACGAAGGCCTCGAACTGCACGTAGTACTTGACGTTGCGGCGCTTGCACTTACCCTGGGCCATGTCCTCCGTGTACTTCCAGACCTTGGGCTTGAACTCGAAGCAGGCCACGTTGCCGTCCTGCTGCACGAAGTCCGGGAGCCGCTCGCCGGTGATCCACTGGTCCTTCATGGCGTCCATCTCGTCCGTCTCGATGGTGCGGCCCAGCATGCACTCGCGGATCACGGCCTCCTCGAAGGCCACGGGGATGTTCTCGAGCGAGTGCACGCGGCCCAGCAGCACCAGGTCGTCGAACGTCACGTTGCTGTTGAGCGTGACCTCCGTGACGAGGCTGCCGCGGCACTTGCCCCACATGAAGTCGTGCTGCTTGAGGTCCTCGATCTTGATGGCCGAGTAGTCGCCGAAGACCTTGCAGCTCGGGAAGCACTGCAGGTTGCGGCGGCCGTTGCGCCAGTACTTGAGCTTGAGCGGGGTCTTGACCTTGATCATGGCCTCCTGCATCGTGCCCGAGGAGGACGTCATGGGCGCGCGCACGTCCGCGTACTGCGCCGGCGGGTACGCGTCCATCTCCTTCTTGGTCACGTCCAGCAGCGGCGGGAACGGGTGGTTGGGCAGCGGCAGCATGCTGCCGGGCATGGGCGCGTACATCTGCGAGGTGGCCGGCCGCGTGGGGAACTGCGGCTGCATCGGGTCGTGGTGGAAGCTGCGCGGCTCCGGGTACTGCGGCGCGGGCGGCTGCTGCTGCGCGTAGGGGCTCAGTCGCTGCTGTTGCTGCTGCTGCTGGCTCTGCGCGTACACGGGGTGCGAGCCGTACGAGTCCGCGTAGCTCGTAGATGTGACAATCGTTGCACCCCGCTGCAGCCCCGAGGACGCGTCGTCGCGCGGGTACTTGCGGCTGTACTCGAAGGGAATGGGGTCGGCCGCGTAGTCCTCGGACGTACTCGGGCCGGGCTTGGCCAAAGGTTGGTACTGCTGCATGGAGGAGGAGGTGGAAGGATACCCCGCCGGGGTGAAGGGCTGCTGCGAGTATGGCGGCATCTGATACACGCGATCTATCTGCGGTTGGGGCTGCGACGGCAGCTGGAGCCCGGTCTTGGCGTCGTCCTTGGGGCTGCGGCCTTGTGGCGGGGTGAGCGGGGCGCTCGCGCTGCTCGAGCCGGCGCTGCTGCTGCTGGAGGAGGACGGCGGCGCGTACAGCTGGTTGAGCGTCATGCCGATGGCCATGGGTGGGATTTCGACGTGGGCCACGCGACTCTCGCGAGAGTGGAGTTGAGCGGAGCAGAGTGGAGTGTAGAGCGCCTACTCTGCGCTGCGGGCGGAAACGAGAAATGAAGACTCGGCGGATCGAGCGAGACTCGCTGCCGCGGGTGTCTAATGCGGTCCCTGCTGTGTCCGCCAGAGTGGGTGGCGACGTGAGAGAGTGCGCACGCCGGCAGCATCTCCCCTCGCTATAGGGAACCAAATTGCTCGTTTCAAGAGAATTCCAGCTGCGGAAGAACAGCGACCTGAGCTAATCGTACGCCGTCGCCGTGACCAACTCTACGTTATAGGCAGCTAACCGAGGCAGGCAGGCAGACAGACAGACAGGAAAGCCCTGCAGTGCAGTGGCGGCGATCGTTGCTGGCTCCGCGGCCTTCCTTCCGACGTGGGGCCAAATGCTGCAGTCAGCGCGAGGCTTTGCATAGTCGGCGCGAAACGGCCCCTTTTTGAGAGGCCGCGGACCCATTTCAGTGGGATCTCACCACGAAGGCCGGGCCCACTGTGTACATCGCGGATTGTAAAATATCTGGCGCGGCGCCAGAACGCGTCTGGTTTGGATGCGGAGTTTCGACGTCCTTGATCCGCGAGGTTGATATTTGAGTCCAGCCTGCGCTGAGAATGGTAGGTCGCCGCTGTATCGGCTACGGATAAAATATTCGGTTCGGAGACATCGATCTTATTCCCGGCGGGGTTCAGCGCACGGTCTCACGAATGTTGAAACGGTGTCGGCAAGCGTTTGGAACTCAATACAGCCCGTACTATTATTTGTTTAGGTCGTCGTTGCTGCTGCTGGCGCTGTGAGAACGACAACGAGAGCAGGCTGCAGACAGCAGCGCTGGGGGGCACCGAAATGGGTCCTCCGAAATGGGTCTCGTGCCACGTCTGCGGCGCGCAGGCGGCCGGCACTGTCGTACCCGGGCGTGGCCGGGGCGCCGACTCGTGATACGTTGAAGAATTTGTGCCGGAAAAGGTTCGAATTGTTGACTACAGTGACCCCGTATGCAGCAACTGTCGGGGCGAAACCCGTGTAGAAGGGCCACCGTGTGATTTCGAAGCAGGCTTTTACGCGCCCAGCAAGCTTTTGCTGCGTGAGTGATCGTCGCCGCTGGCCGCCGCTGGCATGGCGGTGCCCAGGTGGAGGCGGCGCAGCTACAGCTCAACGCTCGGGGGGGCTTTGCCTAATGCTCGACGGCGGCATCGACTTCAAGTGCGCGTGCCGAGCGTGTCGTAGCGGTTGGCCGTAGTCACCGAAGTGGGCCAAAGAGTCAGACCCCAACTAGCGAATGCATAGTGGGATCCAGTGACACAGAGGCCGTCGTCAATCGCGCTGGTCGACAAGTGCCGGCCGAAGCCATCGCCGGCGCGAACGGCGACCGACAACGGCAGCAGCAGCTCGGTCTATAGGCGCAGCAGACAGCAGGGCTCTCACTCACTTGACAGCCGCACCTGCGAGGCCGGCAGGCAGGATCCTTACCTCGCCGCCACGCGCGTCGGCCGGCTCCGCTGCGATTTGTACGCAAAACTCTTTGCCCTGCGGTCTTGTCCGCTACGGTACGCTCGACTTCAAGCTGGTTCCCTCAAGGCGGGCGCCGATGATACATATCGGCGACTCTGCTGGATTTCACGAGCTCTCCTTGCCCGCCGTCAGGTCGCCGTTCGAATTTCTCGGCTGCGCCGGGCTCAACCACGGCAGCGTGAAGCTCTCGCATGCGCTTCCTTTGCCTTCGACCAAGGGCTCTCGGCAATGTCGGCGTTGCCGTTGTCTGCCGTGCTTGCGGAGGCGGCTCGCGCACTCGAGTCATCACGCGGGGCGCGAGTGGGAGCGGCTTCAGCTTTGCAGATTTGACTTGGCCCCACTATCCTCGCTATAGTCGCATTTGGGTCCCACCTCCAGACTGGAGTCCAGTAGGATGGCTGGCAGTCGTATGCAGGCAATAGCTGCCTTACGACCGGCATGACGGGAGTCTGCAGCAGCCATCACCAGCGTCGAACCCCGCACTGAACAGAACACACATTACAGCCTTGGACAGCTTTATCAAGTCGCTGGCAGCGTGGCGTCCGGCCGGCGAGCAGCCCCAAGTCGAGCGCAGCCCTCAAGACTGGACAATTGAGCGCACCCAAGCCAGACCGGTCTCTGCTCCGTCCACATGCCATCACGATGTGCTGCCTTCTGGCGACGCTGGCCCGGCTTGCGCAGTCGCCTTCATTAGCTCACGCGAGTGCCTGGGGGAGCACCAAGGCCACGCGTGGCCGGCAGCTGGGAGAGCAGCAGAAGCTTCATCTCGTCGCGAGTCTGCCGTGCTTGCTGCCTGCCTGCGGGGCTCGCTCGCTGTCGCGGGCTTCGCGTCGTCGCTGGTCTGCTCTCCATGACTGCGGGGCTGGTTGCGGCCGGGGGTTCAAAGCGGATCTGCAAGCAGGAGTGGCATGCAACTTGCCTGCAATGCATGGGGGCGGAAGAAAACGTTGCCCGGTCCTTGTCGGCGCCACGTCGACGGTGGGATCGATGATGTCCGCGGCTCGACAATGCAACGAGGCGAGCAGCTCGTGGCCACTAGGTCATCAACATCGTGCTGAACGAGGTGGGGGAAGACTTCCCGCCGGACAGCGATCGGGGCAACGTGACCATGGCGTAGCACCACAACTTCCGTTGATAAATAAATCACCTCTTCAACGGACCAGCAAAACACACACACACTTAACACTTCACACCAACTAAGGTACAAACTGCGACTCTGCTCACGCGAGCTGCATGGACGCCTTGTACTCGCGCACCTCACGCTCGCGCTGCTCGGCCTCGAGCCTCAGCTCCTCCTGGCGCTTGGCCTGCTGCTTCGCCACCTCGGCGCTGTGCACGCGGTGGTACGTGGACGATATCAGGATGTCGTCGGCACTGCGCGACGACTTCCTCGGCGGCGACGGCGGGGGCGACGGAGGCGACTGCACATGCACAACCTCCTCTGGCCGGCGCTCAACTGCTGCAGCGTTAGCCCCACCAGCAGCCTTCGACTTGAAGACCACAGCCTCGGCGTCGTCTTCGGGTGCCGGTTCTCCGTCGTCCGACTTGTCCAGGGGCTTCCCGTCGCCTCGATCCATGAGCATGTCTTGCACTGCGTTGTCCATGCTGGGCTCCACTTGCTCCACGCTCACGGAAGACGGAAACATGGGCGCGACCTCGGTCGTCGTGGCCGCGTACTCCTTACCGGGCGTCGTGCCCGGGCATTTCGACGGGCAGCACCCCATGATCGCGTAGCACAACAGACTTGGCGTCTATAAAATTCTCGTCGTTATGTTGGTGTAAAGCAATCTGTGTAGTCCGCTTTCTCAACTCGGTCCCCGTTGGAGCTCCTCGTCCTCTGTGTCGGAGGAGACTAAGATTGAATGACTGCATTCTGTTTGCCGCCAAAAATATCTATAATCTAGCAACTTTTTTCTCGCATCAAACATGTCGGATAGTTTTTTTTGGGATTCCATTATATTTTCGTCCGCCGACGGGGCCAAAATATAATACATGTAAAATTTTGATTGGAGGCAGATAAAAACTAATGGATGTTAAACTGAAATTCCAAGATAAACGTGGACGGCTTTTAATGATTTTAATAGAGATACTACAGAGATATGCTTTGGTGTGCTGGGTTGAGCGTAAACCTAGGACTATATCTAGAGCCATAACTGAGTGCAACATGGATTGCTTTCTTGAGAATAGACTATGTTTTTGTTATGTCCATGTTATCTCGAATTCGGGTAGATAAACACGAATGGAAAATGCTACTTAAATTGCGTGTATACTTGTAGCGTCCCTGCTTCAGAAGATGCTCACAACACCCTTGCAAAACTTATTTTAACCATGGCGTTATTGTGCCTTTCACTTATTTTACCACGGTAATTCTGGCATAACTCTAATTCCTTATCGACCTTAATTATGCCCCGAGTTAGCTATCCCCCTTGTTAATTTGGAGTTGTTCCTCTGTGGCCGAATTAGGAGTGACGATGTAAGGCCGAGTTAAGGCGGAATAAGCCAATCTAGTCTGTGTTAGACAGAAACAGAGTGATTGGGGTTTCCTACTGCCAATCCATGCCATTCTGCTCTTTCCTCCGTCGGTGATTACCTTAGAAACAGAAATACATCTTTATTCATAATTTTATACAAAATATATATTTGGGTGTAATTTTGAAAAGCAAGAACTCGGTCCTTTCCCTGAAAACTGAGCGATCTCCTCTGAAAGGTGACGCCGTCGCCTCCAGATCGAGAGCTTCGATCTCTTCATCATCCTCGTCTTGGTCTCCTACAGGAATGAAATCCTCGTAGTCCTCTCCACGCCAGAGTTAGATGTGAGCGAGCTGATTGCTGCTCATTACCCACACCTCCGCCTCTCTGGCCGACGGGACTGGAGCCTCCTCCTCGACAGTGCAGAGGTGCACGTCGCGTGTCTGCTCATGCCCCGTGGCGTTGTACCTGTAGCGCATGCTAGCATCCTCGAACGCGGCTCGCAGTCCGTGATCGAGCTGGATCCGCTTCAGGGGAGACCGCGGCAACCCGCCTATGATGGTCGCCAAGACGTGGATGTCGATGGCCTCAGCGGGAACGCCCGAGCGGATGAGATCGGACCTGAATCCCCGAGCCGGTCGATCAGCAGTTGGCTAGGCATCCACACAATAGCCTACGTTAAGCTATATATAATAACACCATAAAAAATAAACAGAATAGAACGTACGTGGTGACGCCGTACTTGGCGAGGTAGACACCCTCTCAGCTTGCAAGATCGGCTTCGGTGATCCTGCAGGATCTTCCCTGCGCGCACAAGCGCAAATCCCCGGTTGTAGTGGGGCCCTCAGTCATGGGTCCCACTGACGCCATGTAGAGCAGATAGCGCTTCTCCAGCCGGAAGTCGCCGTCCGCGTGCGTGTTGCCCTGTAGTGAGGTGGGCAGGCTCTGACGCATAAAGCGGATCCCGTGCTCGCCGTTGTCGATCTCTCGCAGCCGCAATAGATGAAGCTGGAGTCGCAGTGCACGGCGGTAGGCACGATGGCGCTCAATAGTAGTGGGCCGGTGGCGCTGGCACTGCCCTGGCAGTAGTAGCGGGTTGTTGGGGCCGAGTAGCTGGCGCTGCCCTGGCAGCTGGGGTCCTGGCGGCAGGGGGCATGACCACCGCGGGCTGCGTGGCCACTGTTGCCGCCGTTGGCGACGTGATCACCGTAGCTGGCATGGCCACCGAGGACGGTGTGACGATAATCGCGGTCGCCGTGGATGGCAGCGTCGTCGGTGTCCTGGGCGACCAGACCGTGGATCCGACCCATCTTGTCAAGCCTGCTCTCACCCCCGGCATTGAAGAGACCGTGACCGGCTAGCCGCGGGTTTGTGCCGAGGCTGTAGCGAGAATCTGTGGGCATGGACACGGAGTGATTTGAATGCAACCATCCACAACCACTTCCGAATCTGCCACGTAGCAATCGTCCACTTACCTAAGCAGCCATCGTTCAGAATTTTCAGCTCGCTGTCGCTTAGTCACCGTCGTATGTATGCCTTTATACCCTCAGACAAAGCCTCCCCAGTCTGCATTTTGAAAAAGTCCTATAAGTCCGGCGATTGACATGATGTGTCAGCATCCGTCATAGAACATTGTATTTGATAGGAGTCGCCGCGACGACGCGCTGCTTCTGTCATATTCTTACCTTCGAACGTTTGTCGTGCCGTGGTGCGCGTTCTGGGGCGCTTTTAAAAATATAAGATGAGATCCATTTCGGATTGAGGTTATGTTGGACGCGGAGCTTTGCATTGGTGGCGTTGAATTGGTCGATTGTGTCCTACCCTGCTGGAGTTCATTAACACGCGACTACTCGTTGGGCCCAAACATTTTTGCTGCTGAGGTAATGGGTATGGACGACGATAAGGTGGCAACGTGCTCGTTGGTGAGAGATATTCGAGTGGGCATGAAGGCGGCGCTGTTTGTTGCTGTAGTCACAACAAATGACACGGGAAAAAGAACATATCCAGTGTGTGAGAATGGGAGTCGTATAGATCGAGTTGGCAGATCGATTATGCGGTGAGACATAGTGAATACGTGGCTTTATCATTGTGGAAACTACAGGGTCGTGTTAGATGTGTTCACGGAGCGGGTGATTTCTCGTCCTCAGACGTAATGCGCTTGATGGGCACGCTTGGGAGCCGCAAATTAGTGCGCTAAACCGGTATGGACATTTGGCTCGCCGCTAGCACCCTAACTAGCAATAATACCATTACCAGAACCTTGTACTCTTCAAGTTTCTATACTCCGATAGTTCTTTCTCCAGTCGACTCATGTAGTTGTGCTGCTCAAACGGTTCATTAATCAGCTCATGCTTGAAGGGCTGTGTATTCGCTTGCGCCGGTCGCGCATGGGTTTCCGAATTAATCAAGGTTCGCAGAATCATTGGCAAGAATACTATGGCGTTTTGCTCAGAATAACCATGTCTCTGTGCCAAGCATTTTTCCGTTCAGAGGCAAAGAAATCGCGTTGACCCGACTAAAAAGACCAAGCCAAGACAGAGACCGGACTACCTGTTAAACATTTATGGTTTCATCCTCACGTGCCACGAAGAGATATGGACTTTGGCAGGAATATAAACACTAAATAAAAAGGATATTCGAAATATGCACACCAAGCATAACCAGCATTACCTTTTCTTTTTTAAAGCCTCGTTTTTACTGCTTTGAACTAGACTCATTGGGGCAGCGGTTGAGCGACAGTGGGGATGAACCAACCAACGCAAGTTGTTTCTGTTCTTGACCTGGCTGAGCTGAGAATAGCAAGCTATAAGATAATGTAGATCTATAATTTATCTGCGTGGTCCCCTCCCAAGATTGCAGGACGATAATTATCGAACAGTGGGTTCGATCGTCTTCATCGTCCTCCAGTATTACACTAAGCCTTAAGGGTCATAATAAATATTATCCAGTTTGATTTGTTGTTCAAAACGTGCATGTTTTTTATTATGGATGGAGAAGATTACTTAGTTTCGTCGTAGGTGCTAACAACACAAAAAAGAAAAATTCCGGTATTTCTTCAATTTTTCGTTTAAAGTAAGATAAGTATTAGAATGCGATGACATAATCCGATTATATTAATACCTCAAAAATATACTTTTTGTACGCTCAAAGTCGCGAAATATGCTAGATACTAACTAGCCTCCTCGATTTGGATTTTTACATCAGGAGAACATAAGTATTATTAACGTAGACTAGATGCGATATTTTTACATATTAGAAAAGGATTATTAATGACAAATAAACGCTAGTTCAAGATGGCATCCACATAGCTATTCACAATAAAAATAATATGTATATTTACCTGGTTTTGCGTATTATGTATACGATTTAGAGTTGAGTCCAGAACATATTGTGTTCATGTTTTCGTGGGTAGCATGCGATTTGTCATCTACGGAGCTCTGAACGCTTCCCCCGGTGTTTTTATCAGTACCTAATGTTACACAAATTTAACGAACCAACCAAAAAGGAGAGCATAATTTTTATTTGTGTCGTAAAACAGTGAAATTCTTGAAATTTTTTTCTTTCATTATTAAAATAAGAAAACTTCGAACAAAATACATCGATTGGTGTAATACCTATTGTGAATTTCGCCCAAATCTTGTACATCGACTCAGATTTTCCCATACAATTCAAGTCATTTGGAGACGGTTTGAGCAGGCCTCAACGACCCCTTCTGATCGTGTGTTCATATAGTCGACGTGTGCGGGATTGATGATTGACTGTAGAGAACTGTAGTTTCTGGAGCTATTTCAAGTTTCGGAGCTAAAATGGCGTTGCTCCAAAAATAGATTCCTTGGAGTTAGAGAGGTACCCGATAGCTCTGGTGGAGTTAAGTATTGGGGTATCTGCTGGTATTTTCTCCGTAATATATTTCCGGATTATTTCGGATTATCAGGATTTTATGCAGCTCCAAGTCCAAAATAGCTCCAAAACGACAGTTCTTTTATGGCGCAAATTAGTATGTACTTATCCCTAGTCGCCTCTCTTGCCAGGCCAAACGGGAGGACAAAATCGATTTTACTTGATTTCAGTATAATGTACCAAAAAAATTGTCCTAGACGGACCGCTAGGACAAAAATTATGGTACACTACACTTTACTTCCGTGAATTTCGGATTTGTCCTAGCATTTTTTCGGTTTACCCTAGCAAAGTGCCCGACTGGGATTATATGCACTTGAAAAAAGAGAAAGCCATCGAATAAGACCCTGTCGAACATGATCAACTTCAACTTCCTATTCGCCTAGGAACAGCGCCACGCCTGCGAGCACCCAGCGCGCCCTATCGCCCGCAATGGGCATCGATATCTCCACCAGCATCCGTTCGCGATCGGTGGCGTAGTACAGCGGCGTCTTGATGCAGTTCTCCTTCTCGTACATCTCCTGGGCGTCTTCGCGCACGAACGCCACGTAGCAGGATGGCACCGCCACCAGCTCCTGGGCGTCGGACACCGCTTCCAGTAGAGTGCCTCCTTCGAACGATGCACCTTGCAGTAGCAGCCTCGTGAGCTCGAACCACTCGATCTTCGTGCCGCTCAGACGCTCGCGCTCCCAGCACGACAGCAGCTTCATGCCGTCCATCGAGCACTTCTGCTCGCGCGCGCTCTGCTGACGAAGCGCATTGAGGAACGTGCCAGGGTGCAGCAGCTCCGACAGATCCAGACCTTTTGTGAGTAGCTGGCCAGTCCCCACCGCCTCCTGCCACTCGGAGAGCGCACGCTTGCGCATGGCAAGCCCGCGCAGCCAAGTGGCCACGTTCTCGCTGCCTTCCCACTGAGACGACCACTCCGCTGGAACTGCGCCCTTGAGCAGCGCAATCGCGACTGTCTGGATAGCAGGAGTCAGCAGTCCAGTGCCGTAGATGACCTTCTTCAGAGCCTGCAGGCTTGAGTTGACCTCTTGGACCAGATCTAGCGCGTACTCGTTCTCTTGAGCCACGAAGGCGTCCGCCGGTGCCATCGCCTGCAGATTCTTGCCCGGGCTTGAGGATGAGGAGGCTCCTTCCAGTTGGAAACCAGTGGTGAGCTTCCCCCATGTCTCCAGCAGCGGACCGAGCTGCGCGCGCCACTTCTCGCGGTCGAACGTCGTGGCTTCGGCTTCGCTTGAGGAGAGCGCCTTGAGCTGGGCGATCACTTGGCCCGAGAGAGAGCGTTGCATGGAGCGCTCGATGTTGTCGGGGAGGCCAAACATGGCGGGCGCGTCGAGATCCGGGAAGCGGTCGATGACGTCCAGGTAGTCGGCGTGTTGAGAGCTTTGAGGCAGCTTCACACCGCGCATGAGACTCTTCTGGCCCGACAGCAGCTCTTGGCTGAAGTATTCCGTCAGATTGCAACGCAGGACGCGTAGGTCGTACGGGTTGTCGATACGTCCACCGTAGATGGCGTTCTCCATGAGACCGTGCAGCGTCTGCCAGTCGATGCCACTGGACCCGCCCCCGCTGGTCTGACAAGCCAGCTCCATGACGTTCGAGCCTGCGCGGAAGTCTCCGAATGAGAACTCGTAGAACTTGGTCCAGCCCTGCGGGATGTACGTGCGTCGCTCCTGCAGAAGCGCGTGGAACCAGGCCAACAAGAAGAGAAGCTGCGCGCGAGCAGATGACCCGCGTGCGATGAAGTCCGGGTTCCAGGCTGCGTAAGTGCGCTGCAAGTTCTTCTTCATGCCTGGAGGAGACTCGAACGTGATCTTGAGACTCTGCTCCAGCAGAACAAGCGGGAAGGCGTCGTGCGGCTCCGTCGTCAGCCACAAGCGGAACTTGTGACTCGCATTCAACGCACTAAACTCCTTCTCTAGCACTGGCAGCCACGCGATGACGAGGTGGAGGTTCTGTAGACACAACCACTCGCCATGCTCCGCCGTGGACTTGAGCAGGCTGAGCGCCTTCTCCTGTTGCCCTCCACCCATAGCCACTTCGAAGTAGTGGCCCTTTCCAACGACCGACGTCGCGACCTCCTCCAGCTCCTTGGACGGATCAGCTCCAGCCGTAGTGAGCAACAGCACGGGCGTCGTGTTGGTTGCCTCTTCCGTTCCGATGACCTTAAAGTCAAGCGACGGGGGAGTGAGCGACTTGAGCTGCATAACACCACAGATGAACTGAATGATAGCGCTCTGTAGTCGATCGGGACGCAGCGCCTGAACCACAAGCAGCTTCTGGAACGCAGAGAGGCCTCCAGAAGACCCGGACTTGTCCATCTTCGGGTGGAAGTTCTGCTCGCACTCCATGGACTTCGACCATCGGATCCACATATCGTGGCTCTCGAACTTACACAACTGTGCAAGCCGTGGCAGTGCCTCGACGAATTGAGTGTACGCCTCTTTTCGCTCGGGTGACGCCCATTCTGGCAGTGGCGTGTTGCCTCCCGACCCCTTTTCGGTCTCCACCAACTCACCACAGAAGAACTCGTACTCGTTCTTCTCGAAGCACTCGGGGTGCATACCATGCACCAAGTGCATGCCAAACATGGGTCGGTGTTCCTTGAACAGCGCTCGACCGACAAACATCAGCACCTTGTACTCCAGGATGGGGATTAGCCGCAGAATGCGGTCTTTGGTGCTGGAAGACTCCATTTTCGTTGCCAACGTGGCCTTGAAGAGCCCCAAGAAGGAAGCTAACGAGAAGCGGTACATGTGGTTCACCGCACTCAACTGCTTCACCAGGAAGAACATCTTGGCGCCTTCGTGGGCGAACGGACAGTACGTATCGCGCTTCTCGTCCAGCTCCTCGGATTTCTTCGCTGATCGCTCGAGAGCGTTCTCGATCTCAGCACTCGTAGCTTTCGTCTTTGTGAGTGACTCAACTAGGATGGTATTCTCCAAGATATCTCCTTCCGACGTGGCCAGCGCCTCCACGAGCTGCTTCTCGAGCGCTGCCAGCTGCACCTTGCACTCTTCTTCTTGCCGCAGCAGCTCGCTCTTCTCCTGCTCCAGCTCAGGCTGTTCGTGCTGGATGGTGACGCCCAGAAGTTGCCCCTCGAGCCCAGACTTCGTGACCGTAAAGTTGACAACGTTGACGATTGCCAGTGCATCGGGGGCAAGTGGCGGTGACGGGTTCCGTGTGACGAGGAATAAGCGGAAGTTCTCGTTGTAGTCGATCACCTTGTCGCCAAGTGCGACGACGAACCGCGGACCTTGGTGGATCAAGTCCTTGCGGACCAACGGGTACAGATACGGCTCCACATTGTCGACTTCCAGGATCACCAACGTCTTACCAAACCTCACAGCTTGCTCCACCAGGTTCACGAACCGAGCGTCTTGGGACTGCACAATAGACAGTGGACGTGTCGTATCCTTGGCCAGTTCAGCTTGCAACCACGTGGTGCTTGCACTGGCAGGGTCGATGATGAATGGACAGCGCTCGCCGCTCGAATTGGAAACAATCAACGCGTTCTCCATCGACAAATTGTCGGATGGGAGACCCATTGCCTTCCACGTGAGCAATTCGCTCTCCGTGCTGAGCAACTTACGGTAGTCAAAGTGAATATTGCTCGAGGAACCGGTAGAACCGTCGAGGATATCACGTTCCCACTCCTTCACAACGCGCTTACGAGCGTCCTCGGAGCATTTGCCCAGGAACGTCGTGAACGCAGAGGCGAGCAGCATTCGAACCGGTAAATCGGTCAGACGATGCTCCAGCTCCTTCACCTGCTCCGACCAGCGATGCTTCTCACCACCCAGCTTGCTCAGTAAGCCCTGGGCCTTGGTTAACGTTTTCTCGGCTTGCTCCAAGTTCATTTTCAAGATCTCAGCCTCCTTCGTCTTCTCCCCGAACTGCACCTTCATCTGGTCCACCTTGACGTCAATCTTCTTCAACTCGCTCTCGCATTGAAGCAGTCGCTGTTGAGAGGCTTCAAGCGACCTCTTTGCCTCTGCGAGATCGTTTTCCAGCGGCTCGATCTTGTTGAGAACCATCGAGTACTTGAGGTTGGCCTTCACCCACGTGGCCAACGGTGCAGCAGCCACACTCACGCGGTAAATGGTCTCGTGGTCGAACGAGGAATTCTTGCTCTTGACCAGTTTCGTGACGGTCTTGGAGATCTCCGGCGTGATGCGGTGGGCGTCGTAGTTGAGGATGTCGTCCTTGACGCCACGGTTGCCCAGGAACTTCTTCATGGAATTCCACGACGTGTCCTGGATTCCAAGCAGCATCAGAACGGCTGAGAGGACGTCGTGGATGGGTTCAGGCGGCATCTTGAGTGAGCGGATCTCGTTCAGGTTGTCGCTCTTGATGTTGCCCACGGCCTCCATCGCAGTCCGAAGAATGGGCGTGATTTCGCTCAGCTCCTGCTCGATCTCGTGCTTACGCGCGTTCGTGGCGATCTCGGCCTTGGCGAGCTGCTCCTTGAGCTTCTCGACTTCGCGTCGGTTGTCAGCAGCAGAGTCCAGGGCGTTCGTGATTTCCTTCATAGCCTCGTCGGCCGAGACTTGCGCGGCACTCAGGTCCTTCTTCTTCAAGACGGCGTTGCGACTGAGCTCGTCTACCGTCACACTGGCCTCTTCCAGCTTACTCAGACCGCTCTTGAGGTGACGGATCTCCTGCACAATCTGCTTGCACTTGGCTTCAAACAGAGTTCGCCACGTACCGAGGAAGCAGATGAACTCGCGCGGAGTGGCGCCAAACTCCTTGCAACTCGCGTACAAGCTCGTAATCAGTGGCGTGGTCTTGATGAGACTGTCGACGAGCTCGGACCCGTTCAGCAAAAGCTCCGGCAGGCGAGCCATACTGCTCGTGTTCCATTCCCCCATCCAGACGATAGCGCAGCGAGTGTAGAGCGCTGGGTTGCTCTCGCAGCGCAGTACGAACTGAGGGTTGCGCGAATCCATCGCCAGCACAACGTGCACGAACTGCCGAACCCGAGACACAAAGAAGTCGTACACTGTTCGGATATGCTCCTGCCCACTAGCTCCAATACTTTCCAGCAAGAGCTCCTTCAATGGTGCGATCTGTGGCTCGATCTCCTCGTGTGTGTACAAGCCTGGAACCTCACCGGAACTTAGCAAGGAGTTGGTGAGCTCCAGGATAGCGTCTTGAGTGAAGTGGTGGTCCTCCAGGTAGAGCACGTAGTGCTGTCCTTCTACACCAGCCTTCACCAGCAAACTCTTGAGATCAGTGCGAAAGCTACTGGCGTCGTAGTTCCGAGTGATGCTCGGAGAGAACATTGTGTAGTTGAGCATGTACGAGATGAGCGTCGTGGCCGATCGGCGCCCGACGCCGGAGTTCCCGACCAGCAACATTGAGCCCCCAGGTTCGGACATCACGCGCTCGATGATGGTCAAGTGCTCGAGGATCTCGTCGAACAGCAGCATGTGCAGGTCCTTCTCCTCACGCTCGTAGAGGACCATCCCCTGCGAAACAACTTGGGAGAACTCGTCACTTGCTATACGCTGTAAGGACGCTGCGGTGGCTGCTGCAGCGTTGCCGGTTCCGGCGGCGTCTCCACCCGCCGTAGCCCCAGCTGTCCGACAGTGTAATGAGCTGAAGTAAACGTCCTGCAGCTTGATAGCGTGACGCCATTGCTGCTTCCAGACAGTATTGAGGATGCCATCAAACTTGGATCTGGCCTCGTTGTCCACCAGGCGATCTCGGAAGAGCCGACGTGCCTCGTGTGCTAGTGCGTCTAGTACATCTTCGTGCTCGAGGTCGTATCGCACCAGGGCGAAGACCCACTTGGTTAGATCTCGAGGTGTGAAGAGGTAGTGGCGCTGCTCGTCGACCGTGAACTTGGTCTTCACCGTGTCGTACACTTCGACCATGCTCTTAGCCAGTCGATCGCGGTTCGCGGGGTCTTTCCACGTAGCTGGGAGGTTTGGAGTACTGGAGGAGTCGAAGACGCCCTCCAAGAAGGTAGAGTACACTACCGCGAGCTCGTCCGTCGACGGGTAGTCCATGTACGCTACCTTGACGATGGCAGTGAAACGCGTGGAGAGAGGGTGGCGCCCCACTGTCGTCGCTGCGTTCATGGAGGCAACGAGTTGGATCTTCTCGACTCCGAGGAACTCCAAGTGCTGGTCGTAGAAGCCGTTGAACGTGCTCAACTGCTGCAGGAAGGCGATCAACATACACGTATCGTACTGGTCCGGCTTAGGCAGGTTGATGTCCTTGAGGTAAAGCACAAGTCGCTCGGCGTCTCGAGGTCGGTAGACTCGCCCCGTTGGCGTCGAAAACAGCGAACAACACTGCGCAATCTTATGAATGACATGATCGGCGGTTGTTTGCGCGTTGCAGTGAAGGACTGACACGGTGACGCTCTTGAGGTTCTTGAACGCTTGGCGGATGAGCATGTTCTTGCCGCTTCCTTCCGGTCCGACGAGGATAAACGGCTCCATCTTCTCCACCCACGGCTCAATGAGCTTCAGTCCTCGCTGCACGCTCACGGTCGGCACGACGGCGTCCATTCCGTTGGCCACAAGGTCTTTACGATCCATCTTGCCGTCCATAGCGCCGTAGGTATCACGCTTAGTCTCGTACGTGTAGAAGGTAGAACCTTGGCAGTAGCAGTCAAGCGGGGCGCTCATGTCCGGCGGACGCTCGTTGGCCATCATGAAGAGCGACTTGGCAAAAGATGCGCGAGATCCCATGGCCAGGTTGGCTCCCAGTCCTCGGATCATAGCACAGACGAACTCGGACCGGGTCGTCGCCGTCGCTACGTGACTCAAGCCATTCATGATCGTACCAACGGTGGTCGTCGCCACAATGACATCGTACTTATGCAGCTCCTCCAAGCCGCGCGTGAACAGCTCGTCGATCCACTGTCGTAACGGGTCACGTGTGTTGCTGGTGCCTGCATCGGCTGCAGGGGGGAGAGTGAGAAGCCACTTACTCACAAGTCTCTGGATGACCATGTCCTCGTCCGAGAGGAAGATCATTCCCATTCGAGAGATGGTAGCGGGTGAGGCGAACCTCAAGTCATGCGTCTCGAAGACGAAGTTGACGTTCGGTCCGAAGTTGATACGCTCGCCGTTGGGCAGAGTGAGTAGGTGGTTGTCGTCCAGCACGGAGTTCAGCGACTCGATCCACTCCGGGTCGACGTCACCGTCACAGATAATCCAGGAGCGAACGTTCTCAGGCTCTTTGACCACTTGACGAGCTGCAGCAGTGAGTACGCCATCTTCCCACTCACGCGTGTCCAGGTCCATGTGGCCCAGCAACCTCTCGCGCGGCATGGACTTAGGGTTCATGACGTGAGTCTTGACGAGCTGGCCGCACCGGATCAACGCTTGCTGCAGCACCTGCCACACCGTGGACTTGCCACTACCGGAAGGACCCACAACCACGCAGCCCATGCGCTGGTCGAGTGACTCCTTAAGCTGCAGCATCTTCCTGATCTGCAGCTCGTCCACCTCCAAGAAGAATGGTTTGCTCGTCATGACCTCACGAATAGCGTCGCCCAAGGCTCCACCCGCTAGATCAGCCGACTCGACACCAGGGAAGACGTCTCCGATCAACGCTAGGAACCGGGTAGAGTCCACAAAAGTGAGCTTTGACAGCGTGTTGATACGCACAGCCTTGATTAGGATCTCGGTCTCCTCCGCCGTCGTCATTCGCACCGGTTTACTGTCTACTGCCTTGGCTTCTTCCTCTCCGTTACCGTTCGCCTTCCCACTGGTAGCTCGCTCCTTCTTCTCCGCTTGTAGCAGTTTTCCAGCCGTGTTGAGTACAGCTTTCAGTGCACGCAACCCCCAGTCGTAGTGCTGCTGTCGAGACAGCAGTTGACCAGAGAGGGAGTAAAGCGACACAACCTTCGATGCGATGTCCTTGGCCTCGCTGAATCCTTCAGAGTAGAGAATAACCTCAGCGATGAGATTGTTGTCTGGCCGACCCATAGCCACAGGACGGAACAGCGCCTTGAGGTTGTCTGGTAGCTTAGATCGTCCACCGTAGCCCTTTCCGGCGGGGTTGAGCGTCACGAAGATGCCAGCGTTGAAGTCGACATCAACAGAGCGGTTCAGGAGGCTGATAGTGCCCGTCTTCTCCTTGATGGCGTCTTGAATCACCTGAATCTGCTGGGAAATAGCCGAAAGCTGGTCTTCCTTCAGCCGATTGAACTCGTCGAAGCAGCCCCAGGCGCCACATTTAACGAGTCCGATGAAGATTCGACCCATGGACTGGAAGTCGATACCTTCATCGCAGTTAAACACTAGTACTTGGCGTCCAAATTGTCCGCCCAAAGCCTTCACCGACTCCGTTTTGCCAGTACCTGCAGGCCCGTACGGGTTGCCTCCGAAGCCCATGTGCATACCTTGAGTAAGTGTCAGGTAACACTTGTCCGTCAGCGGAGTGTGCACCAACTTGGGAGCGTTGCCCTGGTACTCGTACGTGTAGGCAAACTCGGCGTCGTTCATGCGGATCAAACACGGCGGGGGGTCTTTGCCCGACTGCTTGCGAGTATCCAAGTAGAAGCGGAGCTGCTTCTGCCAGATCCAGTCAGTGACAGACCGACAATTGGCGGCCAAGAGCTGATCGCAGACGTCGATATGGTGAACCAGGTCCAGCACCAGCGCCTTCACCTTGAGACTCATCAGCAGCTCTGTGCTCAGATCCAACGACGTCAGCTCTCTCAGTGTGTCTTGCAAGCTGCGCTTGAGCTCCTGAACTCCCCCACTCTTGATGGCTTGTTCAGCTTGTGAGCAGAATCGGATCTGCTCGGTCAGACACAGCACCTGGGATGGAAACGCGTGGTAGTCCGGAGCGCTAGCGCTCACACACTGCGCAGTAAGCGCGCGGATCGTACGTCGCATCTCGTTGGTGAAGGTTTCGAGCCATTCCTCCACGTTGCTGGTGACTGCCACTGGCGTGTGGAGCTCCACTCGTTCACCCGCTGCACTTAACATGGCTACGATCTGGTCTTGCTGCTCGGAAAACTCCACTCTGTACACGCCTTGGTAGAGCTTTTTCAGGTGGCTCTGGATCACGGCGGGGTTTTGAGCTTGGCCCAAAATCTCAAGTAGATCTTCGTCTCCGATGAAGTAGAACCGCGGCATGCGCGAGCGCTTCTCCTCGAGGAAGTCTGCCAGCGCCTTTTGACAGCGATCGAGTTGATCTACCATTGTGGTGAGTCGCTCTACCAGCTGAGGGAAGAGCAACTCATCCGCCAGGTTGAACAGCTTGGGGTCTCGTTCTACCGACCCCATGATGTCCGTGAACTCCTCATCAACCCGACGGAAACGACTCTGCTCTGAAGGCAGCGCTCCTTTCGAGAAGATGGGCTCGAGGAAGACCCACTTGCGCTGGATGAGGTTGAGCTGCGTGAGCACCTGGTCGAGCGTGGCCATCTTGATCTCGTACTGGCTGGCCTCGACCTCGAACGGCTTGAAGAACTGCGACTCCTTCAGCGACGCCAGCAGCGACTGGTTGTCGCCTAACGCGAGCGTCAAGTCCTTCCAGTCCTTGATGATCGCCACGCGACGTCCGTCGTGTTCATGCGCCAACAACGCGAGCTCTGCTGTCTCCGTCCAAGCGCGGAGTTCCTGTAATGCGTCTCGAATCGTAACTTCACCTTGGGCTCGAGCATGGAGCACCTTGACGAACTGTAGCGTGGCTGGTAGCTCCAGCACTGGAAACACGTCCATGAAATGCTGGACAGTAAGGTTGTGCTTCTCCACGCCACGAGGGAACCCAAGCTTCCGGAAGAGCTGCGTCCAGTGATCGTCCTTGAACGGTTCACCGCGACAAAGTTTGAGCGTTGGCATTGCGCGCTTCACGTTTGTGTTGAAGTCGTTGATCTTGTCCACCACGACAGTCCGCTCGGCACTGTGAGCTGCCTGCTCCTTCACCGCATCCGCCCACTTTTGAGCCGTATCCGGTAGAGCGAACATGTTGGTGCAGAAAGCAAACCAGTCTTGAGTCGCAATCGCTTGGACGTCTTCTCGGAACTGACGGTAGGTGTCCCAGTTGCGCTGAAGCTTGCTGACATCGTCGTCGAGAGCGGCAAGACCGTCAAAAACCGGTTCAGTCATTGAAAACGCAGCGCAGTTGGACGTCAACGTCACGCTGCGTGTCTTGAGCTCGTCCATCTTCTCACGCCACTCAGTCATGGCTGAATAAACCTTGGCAAGTGCGTCGTCCTCCCAGGAAGAAACTTCCACAGGGCGGAGTGCCGTCCACCGCTGGCGGAACTTGTCGATCTCGACGTTGCACTCCACGACTTGCGCTTCGATCTCGCCCTTGAGACTTTCACGCTGCTCCTCAATCATGTCGTTGAAAGCTTCTAGAGCGATCTCAAAGTTCTCCCAGCGCGTGGGGAGCTGCGTTAAGCGATCCTCCACCTCACTCGTGTCCATCGTCGCTCCACTCATTCCTGCGCTGCTGCCTCCACCAAGCACCGCAAGCAGTAGGATCTTCTTCTTCTCAGCCTTCTGAAAGTGCGAGTGAGCGTCACCTTTGCGTGCATCGATGTCCTTCCACTCCAACTGGGCAGCGCTGATCTCGTCGATCGAGTGGGGCCGCTTGTTCAAGCTCTCCATGGACGCCTCCACGAAGTCTTCCACAATTCGAATGTGGCTCAACGTGCTCTTGCGTAAGGACAGCAGCAATGCGTCCGTAAATCGCTGCAAGTGCTCGTCTAGCGTGCGTTTAAATGGTACCAACGACACGTTGATGCAGTCGACTTTGACGAAGTCCGGAATCTTCTCGCTCTCCTTGCGTTTAGTGCGGATCGTTTTAAAGTTGAGCTCCCAGTCGGCTGGTTCTTGCAGTGTCGCCTCCATGACTGCGTCGAGGTCGACATTCCCACCGCCTCCAAGTCGCGCGAGGAAGCCCCAGTGCTCATACTCGAACATCAACCCTTCTACCCGTGTGAATAGCCTCTCACAGGCTTCGTAGACTCGCACGAGGTTGCGCGCATTGGCGTCACACATCGCTGCAAACACTTGCGCGTTCGCAAAACCTCCAAACTTTGTGGGTCTAGCGACGAACTTTTTCATGGCCTTGTAGTACGTCGTGCGTAGCTCCTCGATAGGAGGCTTCAACACGAGTGTAGTTCCTCCAGAGGCTGCCGAAGCTAATGCAGCTGACGCAGTGGGGAAGTGCAGCTCCGTTTTGATCTCCTTAATCTCCGGGAGGTTTTCATTGAGGGTCTCGAGTCCGAGCTGGTAGCCGGACTCGAGCACCTTGTAGAGCTGGTGATCCCAGTACAAGAACCACTTGGCCGTGCGTGACGAGTCTTGCTTCCGCGTGGCCAGTTGGGCACCGCGCTTGATCTCGTCCCAGCGTTCCTTCCACTTGGCAGGGTGACGCAGTAAGTCGATGTCCAGCAGAGCCAAGAGATCTTCGCCTAACTTCTCGTGAGCGCGCTTGAAGCGCCGATTCTCCGCCGCCAGTCGATCCGCCGCAGTCTGAAGCTGGTTCACGTACTCGTCGCACTCGTCCAAGTTGGCCCACGTCACATCCTTGCTCTTGGTTTTCTGGTTCTGGTTCTGCGCGATGCCTGGCCGCTGTACGGCGTCTTCGAAGGCGAGGAGAGAGTCGAGTAGCATGGGCTTCTGCTCGTCGATGATCTGCGCCTCAATGCTGTTGTAGAAGTTGGCCACCTTTTGCAGCGTCACGCCGAAGCGGTAGTACTTCTCCGCTTCTTCGGCCACTTGACGCACTCGAGTGGGCACCCACGCGTCGCCAGCTTGAGCTGCAGTCTGCTGGGACGAGAGCTCCGTGAGCTGGCGGACATCGCGCAGCAGCGTGACTAGGAACTCACTGAAGTTCACGACAAGGTCGCCACTTTGCTTGTCGATCTGCATCAGTCGTCCACGCAGTCGAAGCGACTGGCCTCCGTTGTTCTCGTCGTCTTCATCCAGCGCGCGCAGCATGGAATCCTGCCAGTCGCGAACACGATCGAGCACGAGCCCGCTCGCCTTAGCCGCTAGCTTGTCACACTGCTGCGATAGCCGCGGGAGGGCAGGCAAGTCGGCCAAAACACCGCGTGCTAGCCGCTGCATGTCGGCCACTCGTCGACCTAGTGCGTGAGCCCAGACAATGACGTTGACGTCGCTGCTCAACGTCTTGCCGACGTGCATGCCGCTCTTCTTCTCTCTCGCTCCGGCGCTGCTAGAGCCAAGATTCTGCTTTCGAGTCTCGAAGTCGCTGTCCAGTTGATCAACATGCGCCAACAATTGAGCGAGTAGTGCGTCGCGCTCACCAGTGAGCGCTTGAGTCAGTGTAGGACGCTGGAGGAGATGCTGGTACCGCTGCAGTAAGCGCGCGGCTGCACTGGGTTTTGAAGTGACGGCTCGAAGGCGTTCACGTAGCACGACTGCGACTTGCGTCTCCATTGGGGCAAGGGAGCGATCAAACTCGCTGAGTGCACGCTGCCAAGCTGGCTCGGTGTATGCATTGTAGTACAGCGGGCGGAGTCGTTCGAATGGCTTGAAGCAGGACTCGGCCAGCTCGTCCTCTTGGTTCTTCCCTCCTCGAGACGGCAACAGAGCATGGAGCTCTTCATACGTTGTGCGGACACGCAAGACTTGATCAAGTCGAGCACTTAGCAGCTGCACACGCTGAGCTTGAGGAGACACATGTCCCTCCCAAGCATGTTCGCTGTGCGCCGGCCACAGAGTTCCCGTCAGGGACTCGATGCTGTTCCGCCACTTGTCGCACAGAGCCACTCCTTGCTGCAGCAGTTGGTGGACGGCGTGGAACCGCGCTTGCCAGACATTAGCCTCAGCCTCTTTCTCCGCTCCATTCAGCGCCTTGGCTTTAGCCAGGACGAAGGCGTTGATGGCGCCCGTGACAAGACCAAGCAGGTGATCCATTCTTCTCTGCGGGTACACCTGATCCCGCGCAAGGTCGAGACGCCACAGATCGTCTGCTACATTTGAGGCGTCATCCAGCAAGTCGTTCATCTCGTCGAAGCTGAGATTCCCCAGCGGATCAGTGAACCGCTGGTGCACCGTATCAAAGGCTGCGCTGAACTTCTTCGCTCGTCTCGCTTGCCTCCCGTCCGTCTGCATGGCTTCCCAGTAGGCAAATTCATCACTCACAGTAGCAATGCTCATAAGTCCGTCGTCTCCTCCATCACTCGTCAATGCCTTAGCCTGCTTTGAGTCGTTGCTTCCTCCCTGGATCAAAACTGTCCCAGCCAGTCCTGCATCCAGCTCCAGTAGCACGTCCTTGAGCTTCTGCGACAGCTGAGCTGCCCGTGCACCGTCACGTAATAGCAGTGGCGCGTACACTTGGTGCACAGTCTGGTAGAGACTCTGCAATGGCGTCTGCAGCGCCGACGTGAGCTGCACGCTCGTGCTCATGTTGTCCGGCGTGAGGGGCACGGCCTTCTGCAGCTTGAGGAAGGCCGCGGTCTCGTCGTTGTTCCCGCCCTCCTCACCGTCCAACGAGTTGGTCAAACGGATCTCCTCGCTGCCGCTGGCGAGGCGCGCGTGTAGCACGTTGCACTGGACCTCGTCGAGGAACTGCGTGAGTGCCTGCTGAGAGGCTTTGTCCTCACTCAGACGCGTGTTGCGAGGCGCCCAGAGGCCGCGCAGCAGGCCAGCCAGGTAGCTGCGCCTGGCGTCGCCCACGTCCGGGTCCATTCGCTTGCTGGAATATACGATAAGATCTTCTTCCTGGCTCGAGGTTTGTGCGGCTGGAGTCGAAGTGAGCTTGAGGAGGCGCAGGTTTGGATCGCAAAAAAGTATACCACTTCAACTTGGTGTAAATTACATAAGACAACTTCAAGTATGGGTTCTGACAGGGTGTCGTTTCGATATCTATTATGGGAGGACATGTTGGGTTTTTAGTGTTTTATTTAGGTCAACGACAACCGACAGATCCCCCCAAGTCGGGTAGTATAATGCCTGCCAAGGTCTTTGAAGGCTGGTCTTCCTCGGATGATGAGTGTTCGAGTGACGAAGGCGACCTCGTGGATGTTTTAGAGAACTATACGAGAGAGTTAGGGGCATTGTGTGGCGGCTTGGAGCGGCAGCAGCGAGAGGAGACTGAAGATGAAGAGTCCAGCGATGGAATCGACGCTGGGAACGACACGCTAGCTTCGTTAGAGGAAATGGCGAGGGAATGTGCGACTTTGCTTGCCTGCCTTGAGGCTGGAGACTTTAGGTAAGACAGTAGTTGTGGGAGTATAAGAGGCATCCGTTCTAAACCATGTCAATGTTCATGATATATAGCCTGGAAGATGTCGATGATGAAGCCTTTGAGGTGTCAAATGAGGATGATGCTGCGAAAATCGTTTGTCTTGATCAAGAGCCGGAGGAGCACCAGCATGAAGAGCTTGCGCGTGAACTTGATCAATTTGCGGATGAGCTGAACGATTTTTTATCGTGCCTCGGCGACACTGGTCCAAGCCTTATAGATGGTGCAGTGCCCAAGCAGAAGAAATCGGTGGATTTCACATCTGTTGCTGGCAGCGATGACATTGAAGCGAAAACCACAGACGATAATACCGAGCTTTCGTCTTGCCCAGCAGAGGTTTTCAGCAAGCGGACGAAGAAGGCTGTAGCGCAGCATGTGCAAAGACTAGCGCTTCGTAAGCAGCGGCGAGGTAGCAGTGGAAAGCAAGCGATTTTGGATTACACTCGTCAGTTGCGTGCAGGCGCAAAGGAAGAACGCGCTGCCGGGGCTCGAGTCACTTGGTCAAAATTCCAAAGTACAAGCTTCCAGCAGCACATTACGCGTCAAAAATTTGCCAGACGGAGGGTACAGCAGATCCAAGAGGCTCAGCGTCTCGTCGAGTCGGCCCGCCTACGAGGAGGGATTGGAGCCCCACATCACCGCTCATCAAAATCTGGAAAACCTAAATCTGACAAGCAAGCAACATATCTGGATCAGTTCAAGCCTACCTCAGTCCCACCAAGTGAGTTCGACCCGCGTTACCTTTGTTCCGTCTACCTCTACGGTCTCCGTCGTCTTGGAACTACCTTCATCACATTTAGCTCACTCGCAAAACTTGAACAGCGCGTGCGAGCAAGGTTTGGAATCCACGAAGTCGTTAGTATTTACCGTGAAGTGACCGAACTCATCCTACCAGAAAATGCCTCTAGCCTTCATCGCAGCAAAAGACATCGTCTGAAGCGACTCCAGCGAGTTTCGAGTCTTGAACACGTCAACGACGGCGACACACTATGTATTACCCAGAATGCGTACGATGATATGACTATCCTGTGCGACTGGATGAAAAAGCGGCAGCAAGTATTGCACGGTTTTCAACATCAAGCGCCTCGATCGTCGTCAGTAATATCGACTACTGCAAGCAAAGAAGTGCCACCGCCAAAGCCAAATCCAAGAATAAGTGCCGCCGCCAAGCCACAACTATGGGATTCCAATGGTCGCAGCATCGGCGTCAAGACACAACATGCAATTTAGGCGCAGAAAGTTTTAAGGTGACCCAAGGTCAAACGAACACTTTGATTGTTTGAAACGATTAGAAATGCACGGTGCGAGACTCAACTCCGTAGCCTTCAACCGGATACTTCGTGGATCTCTGCGTTGTGCCAGAGGTTGAAGAAAGTGACGAGACGGATAGACGACCCGACCCCATTGTCGTCAACGCAGTAGTTTGGTGGACTCCTACGACGCGGGCGCAGCAGCCATGGGAACCGCGGCGGCCGGGGCCGCAGGGGCGAAAGCCGATACCGCAGCAGGAAGTGCCGCACCGAGCAGTCCCGTCGCAGAAGTAGCCACTCCACCGATGTCGCCGCTGGTCGCCGCCTTGATAAGACCCCCGACATTCGAGATCACCGACGGGTTCGAGATGAGGCCCGAAAGCATACTGAAGAGGTCCTCCGTCGACAAGGCGGCGAACGACGGATCCACTGCGCCTGGGTTGCTCTCCACCATCTCCTTGATCTTCTTGGCGAGCTGCATGCGCTCGGCCGGGGTGGGCACCGCCGGTGGTTGGTTGGCCGCAAAGACGAACGACACGAAGTAGACGAGGGCCAGAGCGATCGCAACAATGGACATCTTCATGGTGGTCGTTGGGGTGAGAAGCTGGAAGTCGGGGCAGTGGCGGTCGGCTTGAGTGCTTGGAGTCCAAATGAACAATGAGAGAGGATTGAGCCTCACTCATTGCGGCTAGTCTCAGGACCTAACGGGATTGAGGAAAACAGAAAAGTCCGAAGTACCGAGGATAAATCCTTAGTGTCAGGTTCAAGTGCGTCAGAACCCCACGAACAAGGAACGGTCTGCGCTCACTACGCACATCTCGGATTCACTACAATAGTTTCTGGGAAATGAAAGTTCAAAAGGTTTGGTGCCTCGATCGCTGGATTAGAACAAAATGCCTTCCTGTGAATGTGCTTTACTGTCTACAACAACAACAACCACGAATGCGAATCGAACGCTTTGAGTTGGCCCTGACAGGAGAGCGTCGTTATTCAGAGCTCACGCAAAATGAGATCGATTCGATTGAGATGATTAAGGCAAGCGCAATACTTCGGCCTGTACTTCTGGTGCTTGTTGGACTTACGACGACGGGGACGCAGGAGCACCAATTCCAGCCGGCAAGCCCCCGATGCCACCGGTCATAGACGGAGAATAAGCTCCCATGTTCGGGGACGCCGGAGCACTAATACCAGCTGGCAAGCCCCCGATGCCCGCGGCATTGTACGGAGTAGTTGTCCCCGTCATCGGGGGAATGTAGCGCGTCGGGTAGTTGACAGGAGTACTACCAGTAGTAGGCGCCATTATCACCGGGGCTGCTGCCGCAATAGCACCAACCGCGTGACCGGTGGCCGCAGCGGGGTTGCGGGTCATAGCCGATAAGATGCTACTCACCACGTTGGAGACCACCGCCGGGTTCGTCGCGACGTTCCCCGCCGTTCCGCGGTTGTTGTTGTCGTTGTCGGGCTCGAGTTGCTCGAGGATCAGGTTCGCAGCAGCCGGGTCCGCCTCCGGGTGAGTTGCCAGCGTCTCCTTGATGACCTTGGCGAGCTGCACGCGGTCGCTCTTGGACAGGACGATGTTGCTCTTGGTCACGAACACGTTGTTGTTCTTGGCGTCGATCGAGTTGGTGATGACCCCGGCAGGAACGACGACCGACGTACCACGGAGACCGGGGGCCATGGCTTGATCAGAGGTCATGCCAACGTCCATGATGGCGTGCTCGTCAGCCGCAGTCACGAACGACGCGAAGCAGGCAAGTGCAGCAGCAATCGCAGCGATCTTCATGGTAGCTTGGTTGAGTAGTGGTGGTGGTCGACTTGGGAGGTTGGAGCCCAATTGAACAATGTCGTGTCGGAGTGTTGCCGTTTGCTGCTACGTGAAGAACAAATCCAAGAAAACACGAAGAAATACAAATATAAAGATTAGAGTCGAAATCTCCGGCACACAAACTCACCAGAGGTCGAAATCCAGGAATTATCGTGAAAAATGACTTCTCCATTTAACAAGAACACGAAAGTATGATCCCCTCTACACGCTCTGCACGCTGTGGAGCTTGAGCTCGATTCCATCGTCGTCGGTGGCGTCGCTGGCATCAACAACGTCGGGGACCTTTTCCTCTTGCGCGGGTGAAGTGGCGCCCAACGGAGAGCTGTGCAGAGCGTTGGACCTGGGGGTAAACTCGAACGTCGTCTCCTTCGATCCGTCCTCCTGCGTCTTCTCCTCCGTCGGCAGTTTGCCCTTCAGGTACATGTAGTCGTTGTATGCGTTGCGGTACTTGCGGTGGATAATGAGTATAGCCATCATCAGAAGCAGAACCACAAATCCAATCACGACAATCGCCACGTAGACCGAGTAAAGCGCCTTCGTGTCGAGAACCACGGCGCTCTCCGTGCAGGTCGAGATGGACTCGGTGCTCACAGATTCAGAGCCGCCGTAACACGCCAGCTTGCGCGCGTAGGAAACCAACTGCTCGCCGCCATTGCAAGTCGACCGAAGTTCGTTGAAGTAGTCATCATCGCACACGGGGCAGGCGTACGCAGTCTTCCAGACGATGTCCCAGTTGCATTTATCGTCGTCTTGCGACGCTGACGCGGGTTTGCTCGTGGTTCCTGCATGAAGTACGAGGCAGTAATTAGGTCCGAGCTGGCGAAACCAAACAATATACCGTTCCCTTACCGCTGTTGAGGTCGCATTCGAAGTTGAACGTGGCGGAGTATGTCTTGCCATTGACACAGGGCGAGCCATTGGTGAAGGAAACCTTCACACCAGCACCGGACTCCAGCGGTAAGATATCCATGTGACTACCGCCGTTAACAAGGCTCCATTGCTACACAAGAACCACAGATGGAGAAGAGATAAGTGACGAGCGCATTACTTGCAAGATAACACAAAAACCTACCGCTGGAGCTGAGCACATGACGTTGCCGTACACGCCACTGTTCTGCTGGAAGTAGTTGCCAGCTTCGCGCGGGTTCATCATGCTGGCAAAGACCACGTAAGCAATCTCCGTGGTGGTGTCCACTTCCTGGTCCACGACCTGCCCTGGCACCTGCTGCATCCAGCTACTCCCAAGAGGACGGAAGAGACCTGAAAACCAGTAGTTCTGCTTGTCGGCTTGGAAGGCCAGCGACGACTCCACGGGCTTCGTGGACTGCAGGCTCGTCGAGTTGCCATACACCGTGTCGTCCAGTATCCAGCTCTCGTTGCCCCACACAAGCGCCTCCAATAGCGACAGGTTGTATGTTACTTGCAGCCCACTAAGCGCAGACGTCACCGAGGCAGTCGACGACGACGAAGACGACGACAGTGTCACTAAGTCCGATGATGCACTAGCATTGAGCGTAAGCGCCTGAGGAGCTGCACAAGCCACAGCACCGGGGCTGCTGTATGTGTTTTCACCACAGGGGGTACACTCCGCAGCGCCCTCCTTCGAGTACGTGTTAGCTGGGCATAGTCCACATGCCACAACTCCAGTCGAGTCCCCAGCCTCAGCGAACGAGCCAGCAGGACAAATGCGGCAGCCGTACATCTGCGTGTCATCGTCCGGGGTAACGGGTTCGTACCCTGCAGGGCAGCTATCGCAGCTAACGCCGGCACCTTCTTGCGTGCCCATAAATCCAACATACACCAGTTTGGCTTCAATGGCACGCTTGGCCTCGATACTAGTCGCGCGCACAACGAAAGTAAACTCCTTCACGGTGGCGGTTGTAACGTTGATAGTCACGAGCTCGCTGAACGTGCCGTTCTCCCCGCCATGGAGCAGGTGAACGATGCTTTTGTCCTCGCCAGCCGCACTGCTATCGTCGTCGCCGTCGCTGCTGCTCGGTGAGCTTGAAATCTCCGGCGCCTTCTTAGTCTTCTTGTCGCTATCGCTCGCATCACGAATCTCCAGCTCAACCCACGCACGAGCGCCGTCGTTTTCGAACGTGGGGATGTTGCTCAACTTGTAGGTGATGTTAACGAAGCCTGAGTGCACGAACGGCACGTTGAATGTAAGCGGTGAGCGACTGGGTCGACTCCAGGCGACAGTCTCTTGGTCGTTGCTGGTGTGCTGGGCAAACAAAAGTCCAGTCTTCGTCAGCTTCCAGCCAGCGTGCTCTGCTCCCTCCGCGTCAAAAATCTGCGGCCAGTGACTCCACGCATCGGGCGTCCCCACGCCATACTCCAGTGCGTTCACGACCACCGTTCCAGCGGGACAAGCTTCACAAGTACCCGAGGCACTCAACGCTTGACCCGTCCCACAAGCTTCACACCCGTCCCCTTCCGTCAACTCATACCCGCGCGCGCAGCTCGCACACTCCACGCCCTTCTGCGGGGCAGGAAGCTTGATGCTGTCCTCCAGCGTCGTGTCACACGTCTGCGGCTCACTCCACGCGTACGTGACATCGCGCGCGCCGCCCTTGCAGGCAGTGTACGTCTCCTCGACGTCGTCCATGGAGCACGCGCGCTGCTCCACACACGACGAGATGCCAATGGAGCCCTTGGGCGCGTACGTGTTGGGCGGACACGAGTAGCACGTGAAGTCGAGCTCGCTGTTCGACTTGGCAGCGGCGTACTCGTTGGGCCCACAGAAGGCGCAGAGCGATCCGCCACTATTGGTCATATCTCCGCCGCAAGTGTGGCAGTGCAGGTCGGACCAGGCCGTGCCCACCAGCTCGATCACCTTCAGGTAGGACTTGTCCTCGCCCGCGTCGCCCGCGTAGTCCTTCATGTAGTTCCACGCCAGCGTGTGCGCACCGGCCGACACTTGGACCACGGCCTCCTTCCAGCCGTCCGACTGCGACACGAGCTTGGCGCCTTCGTCGTCGTCGATCTGGAACATCAGGCCGTCGTAGGGCTGCTCGGCGTCCACCCGGTACTTGTACGTGACGGACCCGTCCCGTACAAACATGGCGCTGACCCGCAGCGTGGAGTAAAGTCTCGTGCCTTCGAAGTTCTGCATCACGCCCGAGTTCTCGCCCGACGAGATGTAGGACCCGTCGGCGGACGCGACCCACGGGTTGCAGTTGTGCTGCCAGTGGCCCGTGTACATGTTCTGGGTCATGCAGTCGGTCTGCAACTCGGCGGAGAGTGGGGAACTCCATGCATTGGTGCGCTGCGAGAAGAGTTTGCCGCCTCCCAGCGAGTATTTGCCCTGTGGACAGCGCTCGCAGCCTGATACAGGCACTGGACCGGAGAAACTGCAGCATAGTTAAACACAAGTCAGTCATAGCAGTAGGGAAACGGATGTAGCCATGATGAGAGGGCACGTACTTGGCTCCAAGGTAGTAGCCTTTATCGCACTGGACGTCACAGCGGAGACCGTGGACTGGAGCTACAATGCCAATTCACCCATAAGACCACGACGAGTGTATCCATGTCAGTCACCCAGACTGGAATAAAACACACACAGACAGTGGGTTCTTCTTGTGCTTACGTTTCGCGAGCACCTGGTTCGTGGTGTTTGCTAAACACGTGCCCTCCTCTTTGAGGTAGTAGAAGAGCGTGCGCTCGTCGTCCACGCAGTCGCTGAAGCCATAATGGAACTTAGGGCCGGACGCCAGCGCGCCCGAGGCCGAAGCCGTCGCCAGGAGCCAAACCGCCGCCCGCATTCGCCACGAGAGACTCGCTTCGATCTTGAGATGTGGGGACTGACACGCGTGATATCGGCGGAGCCGCTGGTGTACCCAACCTTTACAAGAACGACCACGCGGAATAATCAGAGCGTCCACTAAGTACGAATATAGCCATGATGAGCAAAAAGGCAAGTTGAAGTGAGAGAGAACTTGCAGCAACGTTATTGACGACGGGTGCCTCCGCAGCCACGTAGACCAGCGCAGCGACGAGAGCGAAGGTGGTCTTCATTGCAGGAGTGTGCTTCCGGGTCGGAGGGTGGCTTGAGAGGAGGGCGGTTGAGTGAATAGTGAGAGAGCTCGTAAGACTAACGGTGGTGGCGCCAGGTTGAACAGCAAGGTCAGAGCTTTCCAAGGAGAAAAGGTTCTAACGGCATGATGCTTTTGATATTTCATTGCGCCACCCTGCCTGTCCCAGAAATGCCCCCGCCTCCAGCCAGCCTTGGGCTCATTCGGCAATTGGACGTCTCGCACGCAAGCTAAGTCAACACAGACAAGTGAAGCTCCTGCAAGCAAGTAGACCTCCATCGACATGAAGACCTTCGCCATCGTCGCTGCGCTGGCCTCGGTGCTCGCGCTCGCCACTGCAGCGGCCGAGAACGACCCCGCCGTCCACCCCGAGGCTGCGCCGGCGCAAGCTCCCGAAGGCGCGGCACCCAACGACAAGGAGGACTTCTACGGTGGAGGCTACCGCTACGGCTATGGGTACCCGCACTACGGCTACGGCTACCCGAACTACGGCTACGGCTACCCGAACTACGGCTACGGTGGCTACCCGAACTATGGCTACTACCGCTACCGCTACGGACACTGGTAAATCCTCCAGCGCTCCACGGTGGTAAGTTTTGGCTGCCTTTTTGCGCTGGCAGTTGACAAATTGGAGAAGGAGAAGACCACGCGCGCAGTTTGAGTGACGTAACATCTCGTCCAATATTGCTGACGAGCTTTTGAATGAATACCAACTGTTGTTTGTGCCTTTCGGTCTTTCAGTGATCCCTTCAGGTTGAAAGTTTCAACCAAACCATCAGCATACCATATAGGTATTTACCTTTTACTACTACTGATCCGTGGAGCAGACCAAAGCGACGCCACGCAGCATCCAATGCAACGGGCGGTGGTCTCTGGAAGCGAGCGGCACCGAGAAGATGTAGTGCTTATCAGTCCTGGTAGCGTGTCGATACACTGGGGCTTCGTACGCTCCGTAAGGTTCTAGAGCAGCTCGGGTCTTTTTGTGCGCTTTGGTGGCGGCCGTGACGTAAATGCCAAGAAGTGGGGCGAACACCCGCTTGGACTCCTGCTCGGAAAATAGTATTGTCAATAACATTATTTCAGAAAATAACAATAAATTTCGCATTCGACCATCTACTGTGATAATTGATTTCTGTGATTTGTGATATTACATAATTTATGACAGTTACCATTATATAATAATGTTTGCGGTTAACCAGCCATCTACTTGCTTCCTGTCATTTAGGAGCGCTGGAATCACTTGCTGTCTGTGTTGCAAGTCGCTGCTCACTCCACCGCAGTCAGTTATCAATTTTCACCTCTAAAGCCACCAGACCTCATGGTTCGCGCTATCCGCCCCGGTTGCGCAAGCCACCGCATGAACCTTGTTGTTCAGGCGGACATGGCATCGCACGAGGAGGACCTGGCAGCTGTGTAGGCACTCATGGTAAAGCTGCGTACTCTAACCCAATCTGCGAAACTACGGTAAGCGTCATTGTGTATGTGTGGTGTATCAATATTTTTCTAACACAATTTGTGTCCTTTTGTAATTTTGCAAAATAGGCTGAAAAGAGGCTGAAAAGTCATTTACCAGGACATACGCTGAAGCTCCACGTTCGAGATGGTACGGCGCTACCTCAAGCTCCTCGAGTTCCTCGAGTTCCTTGATGCCGAAGACGGCGGCATCATGGACCTGCTGCCGCCGCCGGCGACGAACAAGCGACTGCGCGCATTGTACCAGCAGCTGTGCGACATCGAGTCGGTCTCTAAAGCCCTTCAAGGCCACGACGTCGACCCGCTGGACGTGCGCGAGTGGTTCGACGAGCTGATTGCTGTCAAGCCACAGTATGGGTGCTACATTGGTAAGTTTATAATTATGGAATTTGTGTATTATTTTCACTAACATGTGTATAATGTTTTTATTTTGCAGGACCTCGAGCCAACATTGTGCACAGCCCAGACTTTGAGACTGGGTGTGCTCGCATTCTCCGCGGGAAGGCGCAGCGACTGACGCGTGCTGAAAAGGCCGCTTTGCGACTCTTCGAAGCTGCCAATCCGGACGACGCGGCCGCGAGCGAGGAGGAGGAGGCAACCGCGTCGTTTGTGGGGCGCCTGCGGAAGCGCCGGCGGCTTGCGCAGGATGCGATGAAGTATGAGCAGCTGGAGAGCATTCCATCCACGTCAAACGTGGTGGAACGCTTCTTTAGCATTGCTCGGGTGACCTTTGGTCATCAACGACAGGGTCTGCTGCCGCACACGCTTGAGACACTTTTGTTCCTGCGTCAGGATCGGTCGTACTGGGACGCAACGACTGTTGACAATTTGCGCTAGTTGGTAAGCTAGTGTGTGAGTTGTTAATTAACTACATCCTTTCCATAATGGAGTTATTTATTGTTTAAGATGAGGGTAAAAAATTATTGTTTAAGATGAGGCGCCCCATAGTTTACTGTTGTGTTGACAGGAGCGTCATGGGATAATTTATCCAGCCCCACATAGCGTACTAAATAACAATGCCATATTCGGACGATCTCAGGCCGCATCAAGCCGCGCGCTGGCACACGTTCAAGTGGCAGCTGCTTGTTCTTTCGTAGTCCGTGTAGTAGACCACGCCAACGCTCGCTCGCATTCGGTCAACTCGATCCCTGCGCCACCGCAAGTCATGACCAGCGTTGCGTCAATAAAAATGCAATAAACACATTGGAAAAATTGTGGTCAACTATTACAATTAGAAAATTGGCTGCAATGATTTTTTTGCCGGATATGCATCATCTGACTTGATAACTGTATGTAGATATATAGCCAATCAAATGGTCGATACATATTCCTATACAAATCACAAGAGTACACAATAATGTCGACATTGAACAATTAAAATTGTAGCGTGACGGAAAATCTCAATCAATTTTTCAATGTAAATTGACGCAACGCTGGTAATGAACCCCTGCGCCTTGTAGCCGCCAACGAAACTTGTGCAGTATTATACTACTAAAACACCCCGCTTACATCTTCTACGTGGGCACATCGGAGGCCTTGCAGGTCCCTCCTACGGCGTAGGCTATGTCGCCCTAGTTGCACGAATCACAGAAATCCCTCACACGGCTTAAGTGGCTTAAATTCGGCTAAAGCACCGCATACGGCCCTCATGCACCTAAAACATCGTTTGACCCTCGGCCTGCGCGAAAGAGAATCATCTTGGAACAAGAAAAGTACCCTAATTTCAGCATAAAATACTTAGAAAATTGGTTACTTATATCGTGCTATTAATTGATTAAGTATTCCACATAAAACCATCATCTTAAGAGCCGTAATTTGTAAAACGGAAAATGTAAATTCTCTGGGTTTTACATCCAAAGTTGACGGATGGAGTCACTCCGACCCAAACTTACTCCAACTTCTTATACTTCGTATCCAACCCCCCCCCCCTCACATCCACACACCATCATCACGTCTTTAGTTCTTAGTCCGGGGCTGTTTCTGGCTCGATTTTGCAGCGACCACATTATTGTGCTAGAATTGGTAAGTGATGACGGCGAGTTCAAAACTTTTGTGCTCGATGACCACAGTCGATTCGAGCTGAACGGCCTACATGGATCGATGTATCAGACTTGCAGGGCATCCACGAGCTGACTGTCTCTTAGCGACCGAGGCTTTGGTTTTAATTAGCGTTTTGATGGTATCCATTCTTGTTGATCTACCGGTGAATGCCGTGCCGTTTTTTTTTTTTTTCATTGCTCGCTGCGTGATTCAGCTAGCTATGTACTAATTTCCAGCAACTGGGTCCGAAGAAAGGGCATGTGGACTAGGTACTTCTAGTGCTGGTGGAGCTTCGCTATCCATGAAGCATGCTGGGAAGGATGTGATGACGAGAAGTCCCACTAATAGTTGGTGATGATGAGGAGTTGTCATACGAATAATGACATAAGGGGATGCAAGGGAGAAACCTTACGTGGAAATTAAATTACGCGAATCCATTCAGGTTACAAAAAAAGGCGAGTGTTGTTCGCTCAAGTCTCGTGCTTGCTCTTGTGGTATTGCCTGAGTGTCATCTGGAACCGTCTACCGCGACTTTTAAGTTTGCACCAAGTTGAAGGGTAACTTCTACGATAATCACTCACGATTTTGGATTCGGAGCACGCCACACTTTAGTACCAATACTTCGACATGAGGAGGAGTCCTACTAATACTCGGTGATGATGAGGAGAAGTCCTACAAATACTGACACAAGAGGAAAGTGTGTACGTGAAAATTCAATAACGCCAGTGCATTAAGGTTAAGAAGGTAAAGTGTTGTCCGCTCTAGTCGCACCATAGCTCATCAATCCTGGCGATCACCCCCTTCCTCCTCCTCCTCCGTCTCTGGCTCTTCGTAGTAGTCCACCGCGTCCAGCCTTTCCAGCTCCTCACAGTCCACGATCACCTATTCGGGTCTCGCCATGATCTCCAAGGCGTGTATGGCAAGGTGATGAGGCAACGCGCTGTATAGAAGAGCTCTCGACAGCACCTTCAACGGGTCAGGGGCTTGGATGTCGTTTCGTAGTCCATGATTGACGCCCTCAATCTCGTGAATGACATCGCTTCAACAAGCGCATTTCGCGTACGTGACGAGCGCGTACCACCTCGTCCAGCTGGGGATTCTTGGTGCTGAACCCTAGCCCGAGCCGTTGTGCTCGTGATGCCCAGGTCGTATGTGGCATGCAGCTCCCAAGTTTTCGGACCGCATCCACCCTTCCCGCCTCGAGTAGCTGTGCGTACGCCTCGTATATAGCGCAAAATTGCGTCGCCAGCGCCCCTCAAGATCGAATACTTGAATCACTCGGACAGGAAACACTTGTTGCGCTTCATCTTTAAAAGGTGATGCGATGCCACCCGAGTCAAGCGGCATGACCATGATGCGGATGTTCGTGCAAGAGCTGCCATCATGCGACCGGCGATACATGCGGGATATTTGCATGGAGACCGGACGCGCCGCTTTCGACTTGTTAGGCGGCTACCCTACGGCACATGTCGAGAGAATCGCCAAAAATGCCGAACACCTGAACTTAGCTCGCACATTGATTGAGGAAATCCGCCCAAAATCAGTCTACCCCTGCCTCACGCACCGCCAGCTAAGTGTAACGAGCCCTTTCACAACTATGGAGGTGGAGGTGGAGGTGGTTGTCGGGACGATTACATTCGAATTTCTGGCCGTGGATGCAACCCGAGCTGGCACCAACTCATTGGATGCACTCCAGGCGGCGTATCACCAGGCGCGGAATATCTTCGTCCTGGCGTCGACCTCATTTACGCTGGATCGAACGACATTCTGACCGTCGGTGATCAGCTGGAGGACTTGAAACTCGCTGGGTTCAACGATGTGGACAGCCGCTGAAATGATTTCCAGCTCACTGTTGCCGGAGGCCGAAAGTCATTTGGAATGAATATCATCGTCTAAAGCCGTACCACGAAGCCTGCATCTCCATAAGTCCATGTTTGTATATTGGCAGACTAGAGTTAGTCCCCCCACACACACATAAATCCACCGGTGCTTCATAATCGCGAGCTTTGACAGGCTTTGCTCTAGCGATCGAGAAGGATACACCGTTGGATTTAACCTAGTGTCGCAGTAGGCGAGGCTTTGGTCCGGCCGAAAATCATTTTATAGGGTTCGGGCTATTTCCATACAAACTTCTTGATAGTGACTACGAGGGGCTACTATTGAGGTGTTATTTCAGTCAGAGTAAGCTCTACTTCTCTGGCCCACTTAAGAAACAACATTCGGCATTAAACCTCAATTTGATGTGGACCACATGTCACATATGATTGGGTATAATCAACTGTTTCAGCTTACTATTGGCCAAAATAAATGGGTCTGCGCATGTCGAGATAATCGCGTAGAAAAACCTCAAAACTGTAGCCCTTCTAACTCGTCTCCAACAGGCGCTACAACATCGACAACCGAACATAAGGGTAAAGCAGTCACTCGCGATTACGGTGATATTTTATTTTCTAATATCGCTAATTTTTGACGGCACCTCGCTAAAAAACCTAATGTTGCCTAAAACGGACTTCAGATAAAAGGCTGTTTCTCTCTTCTTTCTGCTGCTAGATTTTTTTAAATCATAGCGTGAAACGGAGCAAATGCGCAGCTTTCGGTTGAGGTATTGCGAGTCACCAAACGATTTTTTTGTAAATAGTTATGTCCAGAAAACCGAAGTGTTGTTTCTTATGTGGGCCAGAGAAGTATGTACACACACTGTTGGGTAGATCGGAACAAAACAGGAGTGGTCGTTATGGTGAGTTGAGGCATCAACTTATCTGAATCGTCCAAAAGTGTGGTTGCAGTCTGCGACAACACTTTTGTTAGTCGAGGAGAGGCATCACTGCGTTCGGTATTCGTTCTTGCGATCCTTTCAGAAAGCTGCTTACCCATTTGGCCGCTGCTTGTCATCAACGTTCGCGCCTTACTCGAGGGGCAGCGCTACCATAGTGGTGTGGTGGTTCTAGGCAGTGATGGCCAAAAATGTATTGCAGGTATTGGCATTTACCAATACTTATTGCAATGCCATACTGCAAGCTTGCAAGCTATTGCAATACATATTGCGGAGCGCTGCGGAATTGCAATTCTTACTGCAGTCTTAAGCCAACCGAATAAACTCTTCAAACCCTAGTACTTTTCACTTAAAAGCAGGCAAGGCTGTCAATGTCAACATAATAATGTTCTCAAAACCCAGTTCCGACGGCATATGTGCTATCGGCGACCTCTACGACGACAGAGTAGTATGGTTATAGTATTGCAGTAATTATTGCAAGAACGACCAGTATTGCAGTTATTATTGCTGGCTGCCTTGGTACTGCAATTCATATTGCTACAGATCGCTTTACCTCCAATGCCTTCCCGTACAGTTTTGGCCATCACTGGTTCTAGGCAGTGTGCATCAAAGCAGTTCAGCCCTTGTTGTCCGCTAAGTCTAATGACGCGCTGCTCATAATCACCATCTCCACTGGGTAGTTTCCGAGGAGCCGAAGGCGAGGCGGAAGGTGATTTTTCCTGGAGGGGGAAGGTCATCAGATCAAGTGCTCGAGCTTCAACATCAAGACTGCGAAGCCACCATTCAGCACAAGCTCGTCCTCGCCAAGCTGCATGTTGTATATTTAGGTACCTTGGTTTCCTATCAACGTGCAGTTTCCGAGCGGATAGGCTTTCCCAACGCTAGTTAGGATAGAGATGAAGGGCGTACTCTACGAGCCCTCGGCTAAACATGTGAATGGACTTCCTTTTGCCCCCATGACCTGCACTCGCAAGGAAAAGCTTTTTCTTGTATTATTCTGTTCGAATGTTGTCAGGAAAACAAACGCAACAACAGTAACCCTAGCATTATACATTTGCTCACCAAAACAGGGGGGGGGATGGTAAGCGACACGGTCGAGGAGAAACCGCGCAACGTTCATGCATCCACCACTTGGTCACTGCGTGTCAGTGCTCGCACCATGCCCGACAAGTAGTGCTACGACGGCGGAAAGATGATGCCGTACGGCATGCATCCAAGCGGTCCGACCCTCATTGTCTGCCAAGTCTATCGATGCACCATACGTGATCAGCATTTCTGCAGCTGCGACGTTGCCCTGTAACGTGAGCCTGATCAGAGCAGTGGTGCCGTCCGAGGCTTGCGCGTCAAGTGCAGCCCCATGCTTCAGGAGGAGCTTGAGAAGATCTGGCCGTCCAGTACGACACGCAACTTCCTGAGTTCTGACAGTAGTCAGGGACGAATCGGTGACATTGGCCCCCTTTTCCAACAACAGCGCCACCATTTGGGGATACTGGAGTTGCAGAGCAGCCATCAAGGGGGTCGAGCCATCGTCGCACTTCGAATCAACAAAAGCACCTCGCTCGAGGAGAGCCCTCGCAGCGTCAAGCTGTCTGAGATCACACGCAACACGCAAGGCAGTGAATCCTCGCACCTCGATACTTGCTCCATCCTGCAGTAGCAGAGCGATGATACTCGTGTGGCCTTTGTGAGCCGCACTGACAAGAGGCGTCCTACCTCTGCTGTCCGGTACGTTCACTTCGTCGCGCGTGGTGTCCAAACACGCTTCAACTGTTTTGAGGTCGCCCTGCTCCCACGCAATTCGAAGTCTTGTGTCGCTGTGATGTTTCTGATCAACGGACTTGCTTGGGGCGGGATTGCTTGGAAAGACTTGAACGCTAGAGCACGACTGGCGGGCGGCCGCTGGCTTGTTTTCATCCTCGCGCATGCGTTCGTAGATGAGCTGCACAAACTCGGGGTATCCGCTGTAGTAAGCGGCTTGAGCGCTGGCCACGCTTGAATATCTCCACACAAACTGATATCCGCACCAGAGTTCAGCAACACGCGAACTACCGACAGTCGTTTGTGCCAAACCGCTGTCAGCAATGCTGTCCCCCCACTCGGTAAGCGAGCATCCATATTGGCACCTCGCAATATCAGGAACTGGACAACGTCAGAATGACCCATTTGCGCCGCGGCGATAAGCGGCGAGTTGCCAGCGTTGTCGGTTAGCTCCAACCCCGCTCCGTTATCCACGAGCACTACCACAACCTCAAGGTGCCCGTGCTCGCAAGCAATATTGAGGGCGGTAGCACCGCCGTGGCGCCGATGGTTGATGTTTGCCTTACCCTCCAGCAATGTTATAACTATCTCTGGGGACCCCCTCTCCGCAGCCTTCATAAGCGAAGTAGTGCCCAATCCGTCAGTCGCCAAGTCCACCAAGGTACCGCTTTCCACGAGAAACCTCACCACAGAGGTGTGGCCGCCACCAACAGCTCGCATTAACGGACTTGCTCCATGTTCTTGCTCCACGTTAACAGCGGCTCCGTGCTGTATCAACGCGCGAACAATCTCCAGATGCCCGTACTCGCATGCAACTTGCAGTACGTCCCTGTCAGCAAAATCGGGTCGGACGATCTTCGCGCCACTTTCCAGTAAAACAAGCATGGCATCAACATCTCCGATTTGAGCAGCAGTCATCATCTCGGACCATCCATCGTTGTTCTTGTTGTTCGCCGACGCTCCGTGCTCGAGGAGCCATCTCACTAACTCGCTCTCTCGCAGCACGATCCCTCCTGGCTCCACTCCGTTGATGTCTGCACCGTAGTCGAGCAGAGTCTGGGCGACGTCAACGTGGCCGCGCGTGCAGGCCCCATGGAAAGCAGTCGCCTCAATATCGCTCCTCTTGTCCACAACCGCGTCGTGGCGAAGAAGCACCTCCGCGGCAGCAACATGACCATACCAAGCTGCGTGCATCAGCGGAGTGCAGCCGTCTCGGGCGACATAATTCACGGACGCCCCACGCCCCACGAGGAACTCAATTAAAGCTGCGAGCCCCATTTGAGCGGCCACCATCAACAGCGTCATGCCGCTCCCGTCCGCCATGTCGATATCGGCGCTGTTCTTTACAATGAGTTGCGCTGCGTCCTCCCGCCCACTCTGCAGAAGCTGAGCCATGACATCAGCGACGTTATAGAGCGGTCGATCGAACCAACTCACGAAAGTCCCCACGCGCTGCAGCAGCAACTTTGCCTCCAGCAGGCGACTGCCCTGCACTGCGTACATCAAGGCGTCGAAGCCCGTTTTGCTCACTGCAGCGGCGTCAGCACCGCGTGCCAGCAGCAGACGCACCGCCGAGGCGTGCCCGTTGATTGTGGCCCACATCAACGGCGTGAGACCGTCTTCGTCCCGCGCGTCGAACTGCGCACCGGCCTCGGTGAGGAAATCGACGGCCTCCAAGATTCCATGTTGGCAGGCGGCAAGTAGAGCGGAATCCCGTTGCTTGACGTGGGGCCTCCACGCAGCGTCTCCCTGGAGGGGACTGCCTGCTGATGCGGACATCTGCGCGCTGAGAGAGTCCTTTGGAAAGTGGCAATGGAGATCCCTCTCTAGCGCTTGCGCTTCTCCCCTTTGTCGACGGTTTGTACCCACCGACGAGTTCCGTAGCTGCTGGAAGCCCATCGCAAGGATGGGTCGGTGATCCTTTTTGGATGAGCAGGTAGGCGAAGTCCCCGGCGGCGAGGTCGTTGAGGGTGCGTGGAGCACGGCTGGAGGTCGGCGTGCCAAGAGAGTCAAGTTGACGAGGCCAACTTCAACGTAGTCAGGATCGGGGTCTCGTCAGGCATTTTTGCCTATTTTTGTAAAATAACGGGAAACTATCAAAGTGCATTATTTAATGTGCGCGTGGTGTGTCGCGCCAACTGCCAACGTAGCATCTCATCTCATCCTTCCTTCACTCGAACCATCATCCTCTTGCGCTCCTCGCCGCGTGATGTTCGCGTCCAAGTTCGGCCACAAGAGCGCGCAGACGCGGTTCAACCTGCTGCTGCTGGAGGACGGCGAGTTCTTCCTCGATGTTAGACCGCGCCTCCCTCCCAATTCGTCCCATTTAGCCTCTAAAAATTAGGGTTGTACATTCGTATTTGTGTGCACAGGACTTCAGTGTGCATCGCTATCTCGAGCCCAATCCCGACACGCACCGGTAAGTTACACATTTTTACTTAACACTAGTTTTATTTAAATACTTAGTATAGTAAATTATATTCATGTTTTATATTGTTGTGTATGCGGCGGCAGCAAGGTGCAGGGGCGGCTGAAGATGTGCACAAGGGGCTTCTTCTTTGAGCCGCAGGACAGCAACGTGCCCGTTCTGAGGTTTTTCTTCCGGGACATGAAGGAGATGCCCGTGGCCGAGCTGCACGACCACCCAGAGGCCGGAGACTGCGCCATTTTCCTGACCTTCAAGGTGTCGTCGGTGCTGGAGATGAAGGAGAGGGGAGTGGACCACCCGTACGTGCAGAAGGAGACGTCGGGGGACGCTGGAGCTGCCGTGCCGGAGAAGTACATTTTCTCTCTGCTGCACTCCAAGATCGAGGAGTTTCTGAAGAACGTGCGTCCGATCTGGGATCTGGCGCACAAGGACAGCGTCATGAACAAGGTGGACGAGGAGGCGCTGCTGGAGCCCGTGCTGACACCGAGGCAGACGGATCAGTTCGACTCGAGTCTGTTGGTGGACTTCCGTGAACGTCCGCTGCTGACCAAGGGCAAGCTGGTGGACCGCATTGTGCCGCTGCTCAAGTACCCGGGCTGCATGATGCTGACGAACCAGCGACTGTACTTCCAGCCAGCGCAAGTGAACAACGTGGGCGACCCCGTGCTGAATTGGGCGTACAACACAATCGAGTACCTGTACAAGCGCCGCCACATGCTCAAGCAAACGGGTCTGGAGATCTTTCTCAAGAACGGAGAGAGCTTCTTCTTCAGCTTCCGAAACCACCATGACAGAGACGAAGTGTACGACATGATGGTAAACCAGCCCGACTTGAGACACCTGCAGCAGACGGATCTGGAGTCGATGCTGCGCAAGTGGCAGCAGCGCGAGGTGTCCAACTACGACTACTTGGTGTACCTGAACAACGCTGCCGGACGCACGAAGAACGACCTGACGCAGTATCCCGTGTTTCCCTGGATTTTGAACGACTACGAGAGCCCGTCTATTGATTTGTCGGACCCTGCGGTTTATCGTGACTTGTCCAAACCTATCGGAGCGCTGAACGAAGAACGCCTGGAGTTTTATAAAGCGCGCTTTGAAGCCATGCCACGCGGCATGGAGGATGAGGGGTTACCGCCACCGTTTCTCTACGGAACCCACTACTCGACACCCGGATACGTGCTCTACTACTTCGTGCGTATGGCCCCGGAATACATGCTGTGTTTGCAGAATGGCAAGTTCGACGCCCCGGATCGACTCTTCCAGAGCATCCCCAGCACCTGGAGTAGCTGCAACACAAACCACGCTGACCTTAAGGAGCTTATCCCGGCATTCTTTGACGACTCACTGCCGCCGGAGGAGTGGCTTTGCAACGGCAAGAATCTGGATCTAGGAACGACGCAGAAGTTGACAAGGGTGCGTCTGCTTGTGTAGTTCCAAGAACGTATTTGGTTGTCTAATGCGGCTTGTATTATTTGCAGGTTGGAGACGTTGAGCTGCCCGCTTGGGCATCCAGTCCGTCTGCCTTTGTTCGTCTCAATCGGGAGGCTCTGGAAAGTGAGTACGTGTCCGAGCATCTTCATGAGTGGATCGATTTGATTTTCGGATGCAAACAACGAGGCGACGCTGCAATCGAGGCCAACAATCGTACGTACCCGCCATGCTGATGAAACTGTGGAGACGATCGGCTTACTGACGGCTGGGCAATCATTCGTTATATTTCACAGTGTTCTACTATCTGTCGTACGAGGGCTCGGTGGATCTTGAGACCATAACCGACCCTGTGGAGAAGTGTTCATTCGAAGCACAGATTCAGGAGTTCGGGCAGACTCCGAAGCTGCTCTTTTCTGGCGCCCACCCTTCGCGGAATGATGTTGGCAAAGCGGTGGAGATCGCTACACTTGAGTTTGTACCTCCGCATCCGAAGCTGGACGAGTCTTTGCCGAATGGATCGTCGTCGACTAACGAGGTCGATAACCGTAGTCGAGAGGATAGCGTGGCGGGTGAAGACGATTCTTATGATGAGAACGGTGATGAAGGGAATGCATTACCGGGCAATCGGCGCAGTATGTTTGGTTTCCGAACGCGCTCGTTTGGTGCAAAACAAGCGCAGCGTCTTGTAGGAGGGCTCACAGCGCAACTCCGGCGACGAATGAGTGTCGAGTCGTCCAAGCGCTGGAACTGGACTCTTGGTACCAGCGGTGATATGTCGGCGTGGTCACCATCGGCGCGATACATGCTTCACGCCGGGTACGTTGCAAGCTTTGAAGCTTAACTTTTGGGTTGTTTGTTGAGCTAATTTCATCGTAAATTTGCACGCAGTGAGGTGACGTCGCTGGTGTTGGGCAAGGATGGTCGAGCGTTGTTCTCGACGTCAAAAGATACCACTTTTAAGGTCTCGGCGACGCTAGATGGAACTCTGCGGCGCAACCTGTCGTGCAACTTGGCTCTGTCGTGCTGCGATGTATCACCCGACGAGAAGTACGTGTTTATTGGGTCTTGGGACAATTGCATCTACATGTACTCGATGGACGTCGGCCGAGTTGTCGACCAGATTACGGCACACGACGACGGTCTCTCGGCTATTTGCGTGTTTGAGGACCGCTTGCTGTCGAGTTCGTGGGACGGTTCCATCAAAATGTGGCACTACACCCCCAAGGGCATCGCCACGGCACCTTTGTCGACGTTTATGGAGTGTGAAGAGTCAGTGGTCAGTCTGTGCATCAGCAATGATGGCTCCACGGTCGCTGCTGCTACCAAGAATGGTGCGTATTTGAGCTAGCAATCGTTTTTGTTGGGTTGTATTTTCTGATAACGACTCACGCGTGCAATTAATATCTACAGGGATCGTGTACCTGATTGACTTGCGTACCAGCGAGCTTATGCGCAAACTGTTCGCCAGTCCTGTGCAGCGTGCCGAGATTATCGGCCTGACATTCTGCGGCGGATCGTCGACTCTTGCGTGCATGAGCAAGGCGAACGAGCTCTCCGTTTATCAAACTGACGGTACAAGAATGATCACTGTCAACGTGAATGCTGATGGGCCTGTCCAGTACGTATCTACCTTTGGTTGTGAAGATGAAAGGCCAAACCCCTAACAATTTCGGTGTGCAGGTGCTTCGACTCGGATGGAGAATACGCGGTAGGAGGAACTTCTACGGGCAAGTTGCTGTTCTGGAAGCTGGACGAGCCCAGTGGCCAGGAGCAGGTGTTGGAGATCCCAGAAGCGCATGCCCAGGGCGTGTCGGCGCTGACTGTGAGCTCGCATGGCTCCACAATTGTATCGGCGTCTGCTGACGGAGGGATTCGCATTTGGCAGCTCCGCAAGAAGGCGTCATCTCGTGGTCGACTTCCTGCCTTCTTCTAAGCACCGGAATGTGGGATGAGGTAAGACTTCGTGATGCGTTGCATTAGACGTGGGCTGTTTTTAGGAGAGATATCCATGTCAAGATTTATGTTTAGAAGCTTGTAGATTTTCTTGTTATCATTATGGCGGGTGAGATCAGATAACGGTCTTCGTCCTGGTCGGAGGGCTGAGAAGCACTGTTCGTAAGGGTGTGGCACTCCGATTTACTTTCAGGAATGACAAATGCTCGCGTAGCTGCCGCGCCGGCAGACGGCAACGTCGCTGTGCGAGCACCTTCTGTAATCGGCTTATGGACTCGCGCTGTGGAGCGATGGGAGGAGCTCCAAGTGGGTCGTACTCCGTCGAGCGCCTCGTAAGTCTGGATCACTACTGCACAACTGCCTCCAGAACTCGCGTCGTGTTGGTGTGCGTACTCACCCCACTACCAGCTTTTACGTTCGCTGTATTACTGGAGTGTCTGCCGCTAAAGCTCCCAACAGAGGGGTGGTCAGCGAACTGGTTGTTCAGGATTCGCTGGACGCTGACGATGATGGCGATAAGCTTCGTAGGCGTCTCCCAGCTGATCACGTACGTCCCGGGTCTCAACTTTACACTCGTGAAGAGAATTGTCGTGTCGGTGGGCTCAACTACTGTGTTTGTGGGAATGTGTATCCTGGGGGCAAACGCGATGAGGTTTCCTGTTCCGTACATGCTGCAGCTGGGGAGCGTAGTCATGGGCCTGTGCATCGCAGCGATGTTCGGTTGGTCTTCACTCGGAAGGAGTTCGCGAAAACCTCCCCACTGCGGCCTTATCTCCAGCGGTTTTACCGGTTTCTGTTCGCCTACTTGGTACTCGGAGGAGTGTACCCGTTCTACCGCGTAGTCTTCGACTTCGCGCCGGTGTCAGCTCGAGGGATCGTCATCTTGCTGCTTCCGATGTGGAAATTCGCCGCCAAGCACCTCATCGTCAAAGCCATCCGCGACCTGGAAGACTTTATCCCGGAGCTGGTGGCGTTCACGGTGGATTTCTTCAGCGCACTCTTTGTGTCTGCGTGTATGACCACCTCTGGCTCCGTCTACCTCTCGGCCATGTTCATCATTGCTGATGTGGGGCAGTCGCTTCTCGAGTTCAACGAGGTGCGCGGGAATGCTAAAGTTTTGATGCAACTTCTTCGAAGTCGACGGGAGTCTCAAACCCGATCCCAGAAGAAAAAAAACCGACGTACGAACAGCTCGGAAGACTTGGACCTGGTGGCGATGATCCTGTACGTGGCTCGGTATCCAAGCACGTTTCAAGTGGCATCGTTGCGGCCTGCTCGTCTTCGGGCGTGCTTGCCCCATCCATTGTCACCTCAAGAGCTTGAGCAACTTCAGGCATTGGAGGCGTCGGACGCATACGATATAGACGACCGAATTTCCAGTAGATGGATCAACCAATACCCGCAACATCCAGAGCCACAGCTTCGCAGCGTAGCTATTGTCCCTGTTTCGAGCGGTGTTGTGAGCTCCTTCCCACCGGGGTCGGAGTTTACTGGGAAGGAGATGAGTTCGAATACCAGAGTGAGCAGCAACAAGTTTCGGTATGCCGATCGACCCAAGAAACTGGTGCTACAAGGACTGCAGCTGCTCTTCCACTGCGAATACCTCGCCCTTGTCGAGTACGTCGAGTGCGTCGTCCCGCTCGTGTTCGCCGCGTACAAGTCGATCCTCGAGCAGCTGCCGAATGTCGTGTACTACCCTGGTGGCGCTGGGAACTGTAGTCACGAACTTGCTGGTCGAGCTCATGACGTTTGTGCTGTTCATACGGTTTCTGCAGCGCAAGTTCTCCTTCTCGCCGCTGTACCAGTTGGCGTTTGTGTTTAGTGCTGGTTGCGAACAAGTTCTGAACGATACCAACATTTGGAACTTGTTCGTAACCTTTCCGAAAGTGTTCCATTTACAAGAGGCACCAAAGCGACACTATAGAGAACTAGAGAGCTTGTCCATCCCGCGCTTGGCGAGAAGTTGCAATTTCGTACTTAATCGCGAATATGAACCACCCGAACAACACCGAACAATTGGATCAAAGCGAACAATTGGAACAATTGGAACAATAGGAACACGCCTGTTCGCAACCAGCACTATTTGTCTTTGAGACGCAAGTGTACTTGGTACAGGCGAAGCTGCTGGTCGAGATCGTGACGCTACTACAGAGCAAGCTGGCTCACTTCGGCGGCGGATATGCAGCCAACATCGATCGGAATACTACTAACAGTACAGCAAGTTGAAGTTCTGCTAAACACGTATGCTAGATGTCAAAAATGCGAAAAACGTCGGACTTAACATTAAGTTCGCATCTGGTGTACGCATCACACAATTCAATCCTACTTCGCGCAGCATGTCGACGCCGCGCCCGCACCAGCGCCTGGGCGACGCCGCCTGGAGCAAGATGCCCAAAGTGGTGCGTGCACGTGCTGCGTACTTAACCCCCTCCCCTGGGTCTCCTCTCTGACTGTAGGTGTATGTTGTACAGAACGGGGAGCTCTTCGCGCTCACGTACGGCTCGCTGGTGACGCAGCTCATCAAGGACTTCGAAGACCTCAAGGTGGTGAACCAGCAGCTCGACAAAATGTACGGGAAGTGGCACAACTGGAGGCATACACATTATGAGAACAATTGTCTGACTTGGTACTGCTGTCGGCAGGGGCTACAACATCGGCGTGCGGCTCGTGGACGAGTTCCTGGCCAAGTCGGGCGTGGCCAGCTGCCAGGACTTCCGGGACACGGCCGAGGTGGTGGCCAAGGTGGCGTTCAAGATGTTCCTGGGCATCAACGTGGAGGTCTCGCAGTGGAACGCGGAGGGCAACGCCTGCAGTCTCCTGATCTACGAGAACCCGTTGACAGGTGCAGTAGGCTCTTGGGGGTCATTTTCAGGAGTTCTTTCTGATCTGTTTGTGTTTTACAGAGTTTGTGGAGCTGCCGCCGAGTGCGTACGGCGTGCTGTGGTACTCGAACGTGCTGTGTGGCGTGCTGCGAGGCGCGCTGGAGATGGTGCAGATGCGCGTGGAGGCGCAGTTCGTCAAGGACGTGCTGCAGGGGGACGAGGTGTCGGAGATCCGGTGGGTGGGGACTTTGAATATTGTTTTCGAGAGCTTGTGGTGCTGATTGGTGTGATTGTTGGTTGGGATGGATTTTGTGAGAGTAGACTGGAGCTGAAGGGCATGATCGAGGAGGCCATGGGCGACGAGTACAAGGAGGACTAGTTGCTGTAAGCCTTACATAGTCCGGTGACTGCCTAAACCTCATTCTGTATTGCAAATGTGAGCCTGCTGCCAGTAGTATCTTACGTGAGAAGTGTGAGATGATACAGGACGACAGAGCGTTAAAATCTCGGTGGCCGATTTGATGTCCGCGATTTAAAAATACTCGAGACTGCGGGTACTATTTACAGTTAAGCTGACCGAATTCGCAGTCCAATACTGCGTTCTCACAACACCAGCACCAGTCAGAATGATCAGACCAGAAGGGAGCGCTCCTGTTGGTAACTGGGTCGGTGGTGTGGTTGAAGGCGGGTCTATCTCGCGTTCCTCCAGTTTGTCACCCTGGCATCGACTGGAGGAGAAATGGGATGAAATTCAAGCGGGACGGCAAGGGGCTTAATCTGTCGAGCGTTTGGAGAGCTTTGAGTACTACTGCAAGACCACTTCTCGTGCGCGTGTGATAATGGTGTGCACTCTCACTCCGCTACCAGCACTGACAACCGCTGTGCTCTTGGAGTGTCTTCCACTCCGTCCACCGTCGGATGGGTGGTCGGGTAACTGGGTATTCTGGATTCGATTGGGCTTGATGACATTTACGCTGACGTTTGTAGGGATATCGGAGCTGATATTATTCGTCCCCAACCTCAACATTACACTCCTCAAAAGGATCGTGGTTTCACTGGGAGCAAGTCTCAGCTATGTGGGGACATGGTTAGTAGCTACAGCAACCGGGGTCGTCGGGTTTCCGGTTCCTTTCATTTGGCAATTTGGAGGCTTGTTGCTGGGGATTTATTTACCGTCGATGATGTTTCTCGTCTTTGGGTTTGCGCCGTTCATGAGTACTTCTCCGTGTCGTATATATCTAAGTCGATATCTTCGCTTATTGTTTGCGTACATGGCCCTCGCAGGAGTCTACCCACTTTATAAGGTGCTGTACGAGTACGTCCCAGTGGATTATCGAGGTGGTGCTCTAATTATTCTCCCCCTGTGGAAATTTGGTGCGAAACACTTTATCATGAGTGCTACACGCGAATTGGAGGATTTTATTCCCGTGGTGGTATCGATGACTGTGGATTTCTTCAGTGCGCTCTTTGTCTCCGTATGCATTTCATCCTCCGGATCTCTCTACCTTTCAGCACTATTCATCGCAGCAGATGTGGGTCAGGCATTGCTGGAGTTCCGCGAGGTGCGAGCTAACGCAACGGCAGTGATAGAACTGCTGAAAAGAGAAGGCTCTGGGCATGCAGAGGATCGTGATCTGGTGGCTCAAGTTCTAGAAGTGACTCGAGATCCTCGCGCCTTCCCAGGTTGCATCCTTGAACGGAGCGCGACTACGCGCTTGTCTTCCCCACGTTATGACTGATAGCCAAGCCAGACGACTGGACAAACTCGAGGAAGACGGTATCTTCAGTACCATAGATTCCCACCTTGAGAGGAAGATAAGTCGATCTCGCCGACGACCTGAGCGGCGGTCACTGCATATTCGACGCGTTCAAATCGCCTCTGTTGTACCTATCCCGGTAGATGCCACGGCTGGAAAAGGTGCTGTGTCAAGGAACGCGGAAGGCGTGAAACGGAAATTGAAATCGAGCGCGTCTGGTGAACGAAGCAAAGCGATGGTGTTGCAATGTCTACAGCTGCTATTTCACTGCGAGTACTTGGCGCTAGTCGAATATGTGGAGTGCATCGTCCCTCTCGTATTTGCCACGTACAACCTGAATTTACTATCCTGGCGGGGCTAGTGACGGCATTAAGAAACATCCTAGTCTTCGCGTCGCTAGAGGTCGGATCGTTGTTTTTGCTGCACTACTTTCTGAAACGGAAGTTCGCATTCTCGCCTTTGTACCAGCTGGCGTTCGCTCTCGAGACGGAAATGTACCTGGTTCAGGGAAGTTTGTTTCTCGAAATCGTTGTACTGCTCCAGTACGAGCTCGTGCATTTTGGTAAGCAGCCTTTTGAGATTGGTCTACTTGTAGTTCGTTTGTAGAGCTACTCTCTTCTGCAGGTGTTGATTTTACATTTCAGTTTGAATGGCTTCGTCAATAAGTATATTGCAAATATTCTGCTTCGAAGACGTAGTTTTTGTGGATTACCTGTGTATGAGAATGCACTCGGCACTCTGCTGAAGCAGTATAAATAAGCGGCTAATAAAAGTTCACTTCCTATTGTGCTGCTGTATCGTACAGCCGCCCGGCTCTGCTGATCCCTTACGATGGCGGGATCGATCGGTGCTGTCCAACTTGGGTCTGATGGCGAGATAATCTCTACCCAAGCCTCAGTTTCGAGAGAAGGTCTGTGGAGTACAAGCGCTTGGCATCGACTGGAGGAGAGATGGAACGAAATGCAAGTCGGTCGGCAAGGTTCCTATTCCGTTGAACGCCTGGAAAGCCTGCACCATTATTGCAACACCACATCACGAACCCGAGTTATTGTGGTGTGCGTTCTCACACCTCTCCCCGGTTTGATCGCTGCCTCTCTGTTGGAATGTTTACCATTACGACTGCTGTAGGAAGGATGGGCTGCCAACTGGATGTTTTGGATTCGCTTTAACCTAATGGTATGCAGTTTGATATTTTATGGGACCGATGCATTCAACCAGTTTGTGCCGAATTTCAGTCTAACAAGCACGAAGAGGATGCTTGTGGCGCTCGGAACAACGCTTGGGTGTGGCAGCAACGCAAATCGTTGGGTTCCGATCCCTTTCATCTGGCAGGGTGGAGGTTTATTGGCTGGAATACTTATCCCTGTAATGTTTGTGCTCGTCTTCGGCACGGAGCCCTTCTCAAGAAACTCGCCCTTTCGTCCCCACATTCGAAGATATATTCCTATGCTAGCAGCCTACATAAGCCTGGGAGCTGTCTTCCCGCTGTACAAATTACTGTACGAATCGGTACCCGAAGCATATCAAACTGGTGTGGTTATCGTGCTGCCAGTGTGGAAGTTCGCAGCCAAACACTTTATGGTGGTGTTAGAGTGACCAGCTTGGACTCGAGCTGAAGGGTTGGCTATCTGCCGCACAGGCAACCACTGAGCAAATATGCAGACCAGTTACGGTGGCTACAATGGTCCGGCGCGAGCGGCGCCAACTAGCTACTCGGAATGGAGGGATGCAAGGCGTTCTTACTACGGTGAACCGCTTTGGGACAGCCATGCCTTCTGCCTCCCGTCCACCCACTGGAAAACGCAAGTTAGATGAGCGCGGAATCAAACAGGAGTACAAAAGCAACGACGCCAAACGCTACCGCCGAGTACAGCGCGATTTCTCCAAGGCCCGCTGCGGAGAATGCGGAGAACTCGGGCATACAACCAATTTTCACGATCGCTTCGTCGCCAAGCAACAAGGGATGGCCCATGCCGCCCGAGCTCAGCGCGGACATGTCCGATCCGTAGTAACGGTGGACGAGGAAACTGGCGCTGACGATGCTATTTCCGACGATCCCGAGCAGATGCCATGCGATTCGTCTGAATGAAGAGGGGGGGAGCCACGCAAAGAGACACCCGACGATATTCCAGATCTCGGTACCCAGCGCGGTGCCCCGCTAATTGACTCTGCCTCAACCTATCACATTACCGGAGATCCCACCAGACTTTTCGATCTACGAAGCTGTGAGGTGCACGCCGTAGAAGTCGCTGATGGACGGCTAATTACAGGTGATCAGATGGGGAAGATGATGATCGACGAGCTCAACAACGTCGTGCTGGAAAATGTCGCTTATGCCCCTGGATTCAGCCAAACACTGATCTCCGTCAAGCGGCTAATGGATAGTGGCATGAAGGTGGAGTTCACAGAGTCAGCATGCAACGTATACGGACCTCCGATCATGCAAGGTACAGCCACTCGCGGCGTATATGCTCTCAAGCCCCCCCCGCGTGTTGCAGCAGCAGCCTTGCGCCCGAACTCAATCGAGGACTGGCACCAGCGACTCAATCACCTCAACTACGGCGACATTGTTAAGCTGTCCAAGTCTGACGCCGTCAAAGGACTGAAGATCACTGGACCACTAACCCTAAGCAAGAAGTGTGAAGCGTGTGCTCTCAGCAAAATTCACCGTGCTGCCGCACCCCTCAAGGCGACCCGATCCAAGTACTCGCAAGTCGAAATTTGCCACGGTGACTTAGCGGGACCCTTTAAACGTAGCTACAACGGCAATCGCTATTATCTCGCTCTCAAGTGGATGGGGCACACGTCAGTATATTTCCTGAAGCACAAGAGCGACGCCGCCGCCTCTTTTCGGCCCTACATGAACGCGGTCAACTGTCGGTTTAAGGACAAGCGGCCAAATGTGTTGACGTTCCGTTCCGACAATGGAGGAAAGTTTCTCAGTCACGAGTTTATGAAGGTATGCGACGATGAGGGGATCACGACGGAGATGTCGGAGCCTGATGAACACCACCAGAACGGAGTAATCGAACGGACCCACCGAACCATCACTGAGAGTGCCAGAGCTATGATCGTGCAGTCAAAGCTACCGCATTACCTCTGGGAATATACCGTTCGCAATGCTGTATACTCCCGGAACCGGGTGCTCTCAAAGTCTGACACCGACAAAATACCGTTTGAAAAATTCTGGGGGAGGAAACCAGACCTGAAGTCAGTCCGAGCATTTGGACAGCGCTGCGTCGTGTTGATTCCAGATGAGAAACGATCTACTGCCTACAAGTTCCGGCCAAGAGGGCGCACCGGTGTTTACCTCGGAAATGACTCCCAACGCAAGGGCCACTTTGTCTACGTCACAGGCCGTGGACACCAAGTTGTCCACAGGCCGTGGACACCAAGTTGTCCACAGCAGGAGCGTGGTCTTCTTAGAGCCACCTTCCAATGAACCTCCTAGGCACGAAGGCAAGGAGGACCCAATGAGGGTATGTGACGACAGTGACGACGAAGAAGACGATCTCGATGTGGACAGTAATGATGAACCGACTCCCAATTTTGTCCAGGGTCGATCTCGCCATTTAATGGAGACGGGCGAGGAGCGAATGTCCATCCAAGCTGTTGCAGTACGACGTTCAGCACGGCACGGCAACGGCAGCTCCGCTGCGACGATCCGCTCGGATAGCCGGACGTGCTATGAGCGCTGCCGAAGCTACTCTTGATGAGATCATTCAGGCGCCTCCAAACATTTCGGCGGCACGGGCTTCGCCACACTGGCCAAAGTGGGAGAAAGCAATACAAGAAGAAATCCAGGCGCTTCGCGACAACGATACTTTCGCCGTCGTCGATCCTCCACCTGGCGCGAATATTATTGGCTCTATGATCGCGTTTCGAGCAAAAGAAAACGAAGATGGCACTATTGAGCGCCTAAAAGCGCGAATATGTGCGCAAGGATTCACGCAGGAGTTCCTGAAAGATTATTTCGAGACGTATGCCCCAGTCGCCCGATTGAACTCATTCCGTGTATTTCTCGCCCTGGTGACCCAATTGGGCCTTCATGTGCGGCAAGGCGGTGTCCCCACGGCCTACGTGAAAGCACGACTGAAGGAGGAAATTTACGTCCGCCAACCACGTGGCTTTGAGGAGGGCGGTCGTTCCAAAGTCTGGCGACTGAAGAAAGCGTTGTATGGCTTGAAACAAGCCGGACGCGAGTGGAATGCAGAGCTCAACGCGTTTCTCCTCTCAATGGGGCTTGTCCCTACCAAGGAAGACTGTTGCGTATACACGCATCCTGAGCATGAGCTGATTGTACTAATCTATGTCGATGATGTGTTAATAGGCTACCGAGATGAAGCCGTGATGCAGCACTTGATGGGGGCACTGCAGACGAAGTACGGTATCAAGGACCTCGGGGAAGCCAAATGGTTTTTCGGCATCTCCATTCACGTTGACCACGCGAGGGGCATCACAACGCTGAATCAGTCCAAGTTCGCCGCTGAAGTCACAAGACGTTTTGGGATGGAAAATTGCCGGCCGAGAAAAACACCCATGGACAAGGGGGCCATCCTGTACAAACGCACTGCAGATGAAGAAGCAGCAGGAGACGTGCCGTACAAGCAGGCCGTAGGGGCTCTACTCTACCTCGCTCGAGTCACACGGCCTGACATATCTTACGCAGTGAATCAAGTCGCTGCCCACGCATCCGATCCATCGAAGGAGCACTGGAACGCCGTCAAGAACATCCTTCGTTATGTCGAGACAACGAAGGACATTGGCCTGACTTACCGAAGGAATCCATCTGAGCCTCATGTGCGCGTCTACACAGACGCAGACTGGGCGAACAATGAGCTTGACCGACGCTCAATCTCTGGTGTAGTTGTCCAAGTTTTTGGGTGCACAGTGTCCTGGCAGACTAAGCGCCAAAGAGTGGTCTCAAAGTCTTCGACCATTGCGGAGTACATCGCTGCTGATGATGGCGTTGAGGAGGCGAGGTGGACAATGATGTTGGTGCAACGCCTCATGAAGTTGAACCGAACGATCCCGATCCCCGCCATGATCGATAACAAGTCGACCATAAAGCGACTAACCAACGGGAAGAACTCGGAGGCCCAGAAAACGGTAGACTGCAAATTCTTCGCCATTCGCGATGCGGTTAATGCTGGTGAGCTGACGCTACAATACTGCCCGACCAATCTCATGCTGGCGGACGGCCTCACAAAGGCTCTTCCAACTGTACGATTTCGCGAGCTTCGATCCATGCTTGGGGCTACTTCCTCGCTGCTAGCGTCCAGCGCTGGCGGGGAAGTGTTAGAGTGACCAGCTTGGACTCGAGCTGAAGGGTTGGCTATCTGACTGATAGCGATCAAGGGTTGACGTTTAGTTGACCCTCATCTCCCAGCTCTCTAACGTAAATAAATCACTTTCCAATTCTCCAACAGATGGAGGCGTCACGAGAGCTGGAGGACTATATTCCAGTAATTGTTGCCCTGACGGTCGACTTTTTCAGTGCGCTCTTCGTGTCGGTATGCATTTCTTCCTCAGGCTCGATCCTCCTTTCAGTGTTCTTAGTCGCAGTTGATTTGGGCCAAGTTCTGTTGGAGTTTCGTGAAGTGAGAGACAACTCCAAGACGCTGCTGGCACTTCTTCGAGAACGACAAGTATCTCAATACACTGGACAAGACTGCAAGATCAGCAATTCCGATGACACCTATCTACTGGAAGCTGATAATGCATCCCAAATATGTGCCCAAATCGCCCCAAATGTCCCAAATAATGAATTGTCTCTGTAACATTTAGGTACATATTTGGGGCCAAGCATACATGTATGACTGCTTTCTCGTAAAACTATCCCAAATATGTACCAAAACGGAGTTGACTGATTATGGTCTATAGTCTATGGGCGAGGGCGAGTGGACGCGAGCGCGAGCCTCACTCGATGCATTCACTAGTCGCCAACACCCGCCGATTAGGCGGGGGCGTGTCTGTGCGAGCGAGCGAACGCGAGCGCTGCAACCCGATATATTTTTTCTAGACACCGCGCCTGGCCGAGACGAGGAACTTAGCGTAAGGGACAAGGGGGTGGGGCAGGCCCCCCGCAGACCCGTCGCTAAGTAAAACGTTCCCATGGTCTTAAATCATTTGGGAAAAACTTTGGGATTTGGGGCGTTTTCGGGGTGCATTATCCAATACCTATCTACTGACCAAAATTATAGCAGTGACCCGCAATCCTGCTGCTTTCGACATCGTGTCATTGAAGCGTACGCGGCTTTGGGCGTGTTTGCCGCATCCCATCTCCTCTGAACAAAGTGAACTACTAAACAAGTTGGACGCATTCGCAGTATACGGCCCGAGAGGTCTCATATCGAGGGGAAAGAGGAAAAGACGAAGCCGAGCTCACCGCCAATTACGGCTCCGAGTACTGAAAAACACGTCCATTGTGCCAGCCCCCATCACAAAAAGCAAAAGCCAAACGAAGCTGCGGTCTGAAGGGTCCACGTGCACAAATGACATTGGATCTAAACAGGGCGAAGAGTCGAGAGAGTTGGTGACTCAAGGTCTGCAGCTATTGTTCCATTGTGAATATCTCGCTCTGGTCGAGTATGTCGAGTGCGTGATCCCGCTTGTGTTTGCGCTGAACAAGTTGATACTCGAGGAGCTACCGAATGTCGTCTACTACCCTGGGGGCGCAGGCAAGTGGGCAATGTCGGCTCTGGCGAGTGTGTTCGTGTATGCCACACTGGAAATTTGTACGCTCTTCATTCTGAACCATTTTCTGCAGAAGAAGTTCGCTTTTTCTCCGTTATATCAACTGGCGTTTGCGCTGGAGTCGTCCATGCACTTTGTTCAGGGGGCGTTGTTTCTCGAAATTGTGGGGCTACTGCAGTACGAGCTCATGCATCTCGGTGAGTTTCTATTCCGTTGTACTTCTTCTGTTTGCTGTATGTATTCAAATGCATCAGATGAGGAACTAATGTTGTGCCGAAAAACTCCATGATAGGCGCCGACTTCACTTTGGCTTCGCGACAACAATGGATAAGTTCAGCCATTGTACAAACAGTGGGGATAGATGTAAAACAAACTACTCTGATTTGGAGCCACTTACTACAACTTGAGAATAGACTGCGCCGTGGCGAAGCAGCGGTCATTTTGAGGGCATTTGCTCGACTAACTAACTTAATCCAGCTCTTGCACGGGGTACTCCTTCATCCACAGGTCGTGAATGAACTCGTACAGCTCGTTGGAGACCGACACCTTGTACGGCGTCGGGTTGAGCGACCGAACGACGTCCTCACGGATGAGCTCGAACTGCTCCGTCACGTACTGGCGTCGCTCCTCCAGAGTGGGCAGCTCGCCCACGAGGCCGCCGTTCGGGCCATCCCAGTACAGACTGTGCAGCGGGATCACCTGCGACGGGGTCACGTACGCGCGTCGGAGCTCGTCGAACGGATTCCTGCACAGCATCTTCTTGCCAACCTCCGGAGCCTTCTCGTTGACGCCCGTCATCAGGTCCAGCAGCGGCTTGCCGTTCGCGCCGATGAGACGGAAGGCCTCCTTGCGGCCAGGGATCGTCACCTTGCTCACGTCCTGAGACAGCTTGATGCGCGGCTCGCCGTTAATCTCCACGAGCTTGTACACCATGCCGAGCGCCGGCTGGGCCTGGCACGTCACCAGATGCGTGCCAATGCCGTACGCGTTGATCTCGTGGCGCTGCTCGTTCAGCGAGTTCAGCACCGGCTCGTTGATATCGTTACTGGCGGTGATGTTGAGCGTCTTGAAGTAGTCGATGTTGTAGCACTCACCGGCAGCGATGAACGCTTCACGGCAGCGCTTCGACAGGTACGACAGGTCGCCACTGTCCAGACGGATGCCAACGGGGCGGTGGCCCAGCTCGTGCAGCGCCAGCGCAACACAGACGAAGTTCGGGACACCAGACTGCAATCACAATAACCAACTATGTCAGCCAAGAATGCTCCTTGTGACCAAATCCATCGCATCATCAAGCCAATACATACCGAGAGCGTGTCGTAAGTGTCCACCAGCGCCAAGAACGCATCCGGGAAGGCGACAGCATACGAAATAAAAGCCGCCAGCTCGCCCTACAATACCAAAACCCCACAAAACGTGTCAATATCCACCAAAAACTCAACGCCTGGCCTCCTCGCTCTACTTACGTCATTGGTCTGCGTGTGGCCGAGCTCGTTGCGGTACTTGAGCACCACGTCCAGGAAGTTCTTTCCGTCCAGCGTCGTGACCTTGACGTCCTCCAGCGACGTGTGCGCCTGCACGAACGCGTGCGCGTGCGTGCCCATGATGGGGATCTTGTGCAGCTTCCCGGCCAGCACGTTGCTGGTGCCGGCGAACCCGGCCATGTACGAGTAGCGCGAGGCGCTGAGGCCGCCGTCGGGGCCCTGCGCGCGTCGCAGGCCGAACTCGAGCAGCTTCTTGTCGGGGCCCGCCGCCTTCTTGAAGCGCGTGGCGTTGGTCGTGATGAGGCTGGCGAAGTTGAGCAGGTTCAGCAGTGGCGTCTCCAGCAGCTGCCCCACGCCCAGACTACCCTCGATGCGCACCAGCGGGATGCGGGGGAACACGATCGAGCCCTCCTATAAAGCACCAAAGTAGAGTGTCGGTAACGCATACCCTCGCTCTACCTTTTGGGTTATTCTACCCTCTACCCACCTTGACGGCGTAGACCTTGACGCTGGAGCAGTCGAGCGCCGCCAGCCACTCGAAGAATCCCTCCTCGGCGTGGGGCAGCACCTCGCGCAGGTACGCGATGTCGCTGGGCGTGAACTTGAACGTGTTGACCATGGCCAGCGCCTCCTCCAGGCCGGCGAACACCGTGTACTCGCCGTGGAAGGGGTTCTTGCGGAAGAACAGGTCGAACACGGCGTGGTCGTTGTGGCGCCCCACCTTCCAGTACGCGTAGACCCTAGAGTAGAACAGAGGTAGAGCAGACGTATAGAGGTAGGGTGAGACTACAGTCTGTGGGGCTGACTGAGGGGGGACAGCCTCCCCTTACATGGTGATCTGGTAGAGGTCGGTGAGCATGGGCCCCACCAACGAGTTGGTGGGCTCGAGGACGTTGCCGTTCATCATGGTGGCCGGCTCTACTCGACGAGGGGAGAACAGGTAGGGCGGAGGCGCGGGGTGCGGAAGGGGAGGCGAAACGCAAAATGCAGATGGAGGCGTCGACCACGTACGCGATGGAAAAAGAATCCACAACCTTCGGACTATGCCTGCGAGACCTGATGGGCGGGCTATGGGTTCTATAGCAGTAGATGGCTCGGGGCGGGATCGTCCATATGGGATATCCTGTGGAAAGCGATATGGGTGCGTGTCACGTGAAACGACGGGGAAAAACTGCGGATTGCTATCATAGCAATGCCATGTCACGAACAGCGACGCGCCTTTGACTGGACCTGCGACCTGCGCATGCATAGAGGAGATCCCTTAGCGACACCACGGGGGGCGATCGGTGTCTGGTGTCGGCAATGAATGGATTCACCCACGCGACGCAAAGACAAACACCAGTCGCGCGCAAGGACACCTGCATGGACACGTGATTGGTCTGGGGTGACTTACCTCACAGGGCCCATACATAATCCATGGGAAGGTGCGATTAATGGGCCGCCAATCTCGAGATCCGATGCACCGGCACACACAAGTGGCCTGGTCTCATTCGTGTCATGCACCTGCAATGCAGGCTGCATCCACTGTGGAGCTCTAGTCTTGCTGCAACTTGCAGCCTCCATGACGAACTACAGCATGTCGTCCAGCTCGAGTAATCAGCTGGTTACGCCGGACGCGTCACGCTTGGCCGAGGCAAAGCAGAGCTGTGCATCCTGCGGCTCGAGGTGAGGTGAACTCATTGAAGCGTATGGATCGCTGATGCCAACTTGGCAAACAACACGGTCGTACCAGGTTCCCGCGTTGAGGGAGCGCTCGCTACGCATGAAGGAAGACCCTTGACGAGTGCACGATGCAGCAATGCCACCTGGCTGTCAGAACCTGTTCGCCAGTGCTGCGATCTGCCAATACATGTACAGCTTGGAGGTGCATCCATGTAAGTTCTTGTTCTACTTTGCGAGCTAACAAACACCTTCCAATGTATTTTAAACAGGATGCTATTTTCATGCGAAAGATGTCAACGTGGACGTTGGGCGCACAAGGCTTACCTCACTTTGCCAACCTCTTCTCACAGCTCATGAATCCTGTTCGTGTAAGCCCCGACAGTCACACACAGCTAAGAACCCGGAAGCTGTCGAGAAGCTTGTCATGGAATCAACTGGAGAAGAGGTGGAATAATCTGCAAGTAGGACGCCAAGGCTCGTACTCGGTCGAACGGCTCGAATCCCTCGACCATTACTGCAAAACGACGTCCCAGGCTCGAGTTGTATCGATTTGTATACTCACACCGCTCCCTGCGTTGGCTACAGCAGTGCTATTGGAGTGCCTCCCATTGCGACCGCCGACCGAAGGGTGGAGAGCCAACTGGATGTTCTGGCTTCGCTTCGGCTTGATGTCGTTTACATTGTGCCTGGTGGAGATCACGGAGCTGCTCGTGTTTCTCCCCAATCTCAAATTCACCCTTGGCAAAAGGTTGTTTGTGGCAATAAGCGGAACTGCAGTATTGATGGGGGTACGCTTAGTAGCCACAAGTTTCGTCGGGTTTCCGGTGCCATTTGTGTGGCAGTTTGGAGGTCTTGTACTGGGAGGCTGTGTTCCAGCGTTGGTTCTGCTGGTATTTGGTCGAAAAGCTTTTGCAAAGAACTCACCTAGTCGCGTGCACTTGCAACGATTCGTTCAATTTCTACATGGCGCTTATCGTGGTATATCCGTTCTTCCGAGTGCTGTACGACTTCGTACCGCCTTCATATCGGGGATACACTACCGTCCTTCTTCCCATTTGGAGACTCGCTGCAGAACACTACATTATACGGGCAACATGTGAGATGGAGGACTTTATACCGGAGATTATCGCCTTTTCTGTGGATTTCTTGAGTGCACTCTTCGTTTCTGCCTGCATTTCTGCGTCGGGGCCTATTTATCTCTCGGTGCTGTTCATTGGAGCTGATATTGGCCAAGTGATGCTGGAATTTCGTGAGGTGCGAGCAAACGCGCACACGGTTGTAAAACTTCTTCAACAGCCACAAAACTCCCAACCAAATCATGATCTTGTGGCGGAAATACTCGCTGTGGCTAGAAATCCTAATTCTTATCGCATAACTTCGCTGAAAAATGTTCGGCTGCGCGCTTGTATCCCGCATCCGCCTACAGTAGAGCAAGAAAGTCGGATTCGAGAGCTGGAAACGTCTGGTATATACAGACAGACGCAAAGTCTCTGCAAGTCACAGGGAAGTGTCTGTTGCATCTGTCGTCTACTAACTCGGAACAATATCGTACCCGCACCTCCTGAGGACGCAGTCGGAGCTTCGAACGCGCGGTTGCTGACATACAACAAGGCGAAGGGGCTTGTCGTACAGGGCCTGCAACTGCTATTCCACTGCGAATATCTGGTGCAAGTCGAATACGTCGCCTCTCATCTTTACGCTCTACAAATCGATCCTTCACTGGTTGCCAAATGCAGAGTACTATCCTGGTGGTGTAGAAAGCTGGAGCACCAGTGCAGCGGTCAATGTCCTGGTGTTTGCAGCACTAGAAGCGGGATCGCTGGTTCTATTCAACATGTTCTTGCAGCGGAAGTTCGCCTTCTCCCCGTTGTACCAGCTTGCGTTCGTGTTGGAGACTCAGATGTATGTGATTCAAGCAAGCCTGTTTCTCAAGGTAGTGACTCTGATGCAGTACGAGCTCGTACATCTGGGTGAGTGTCCATTGCTGCATTTATTACATTTCCACACCCGACGAGCTTAGTGAATGGATGTTCTATCGTGATCGTATCTGCAGGGGTTGATTTCACGTTTCGCTTCGAGTGGCTTCGCGATAATGCAGTCTAAGCATACTTCAGTAGTTCGTACAATGAAGCGATACTGCATCCATTCATGTAGAGTTCTTTATAGTGTACCGCACGGCATACCAAGATCAATACCCTCCGATCCGAACATTTTTCCTGTAGCGCGAGGTGGATGGTGCTATCCTTGGTAACGTGATTGTGGATGTATTGAACGAATTGACGGAGTGCTCACAAACTGACCATCATTATTATTTTGACTATGCACAGCTTGTCGGTCGTACAGCCATTGCCTTCTTCAATCGAAGTCAGCGAATCTAGGTGTCGTAAAGCCACTCGAAGCGGAATGTGAAATCAACCCCTGTAGTTTTCAGAATCCAGGTCAACAGCTAATAGAAAATCATCGCAGATGCAGGTACGGGCACCACTTACCTAAATGTGCGAGCTCATACTGCAGCTGAACCACAATCTGAAGGAATAAGCTTGCTTGGATAACGTACATCTGTGTCTCGAGCACGAATGCAAGCTGATACAGCGGCGAAAATACAAACTTGCGCTGCAGGAAATATAGTAACAGCAGCAGTGACCCAGCCTCCAGTGCTGCGAACGCCAACGTGTTCGCTATTGCACTTGTACCCCAGATTCCTACTCCATCCGGGTAGTAAATGGCGTTGGGCAGCTGCCGAAGGATTTCCTTGTAGGTCACGAGGAGGAGAGGCACGACACACTCAACGTACTCAGCCAGCAGAAGGCACTCGCAATAGAAGAGCAATTGTAGTCCCTCCAAGACAAATGCCTTCCATTGTGAGGAATTGACCAAACCTCCTTTGTCCGTTTTGCTGTAGGAAGCTACAATTGCTGCACTTTGCGGTCCAACATGGGCCGGATGACGCCGGGGTCGAGCTCGACTCTTTCTGCGCGACGAGGCGTCAATACATTCATAGATTCCAGACGCTTCGAGAAGCTGTAGTTGAGTGACTTGGTCTCATGTAAGAGGGTGGGGAAGGCAAGCCCACAAGCGTACATCACTTATCGATTGCAATTGAAAGGCTCTAGGATTTCGGGTCACAGCCACCAACCTTGTCAGAAGGTTGTTATTCACTGGTGTTTGAGCACATTCCTGGGTTCGTACGATCTTTAGTATAGTGTTTGCGTGCGCGCTCACTTCTCGGAACTCAAGCAACAGCTGCCCCACGTCCGGCACCGCGAATTTCTTGCAAAAGGTTTGGTCCCAAAGACCAGCAGAATCATCGTACGAACTAGAACCCCCTCCACGACCCCCGCGGACTGCCATGTATTGGGCACAGGGAACCCGATCGTGTCCGCAACAAGTAAACACACCGTCATAAACCCCGCGCTGGTACCCGAAGCAACGATTAGCCGCTTGCACAAAGTAAAATTGAGGTCTGGAAGGAACGTGAGAAGCTCCGAGATCCCCACGAAGCAAATGATGAACACCATCAAACTGAGTCGAATCCAGAACATCCAATTCGCCTTCCACCCTTCGGACGGCGGTCGCAATGGCAAACACTCCAGCAACACAGCCGTACTCAAAGCAGGTAATGGTGTGAGTAAGCACACCATCATGGCTCGAGTTTTTGACGTTGTCTTGCAATAGTTGTCCAGACTCTCGAGCCGCTCGACGGAGTACGACCCCTGACGTCCGATCTGGAGGTCGCTCCATCGCCGCCCCAGCCGATGCCAGATCGAAGGCCGATTTACACTTGCGCGAGCACTCTTTGCCTCCTCCACGGATGGCCCGACGCTGGCTGCCCCCATGACTAGCGCGCAGAACATGAGGCAAGTTGAAGTGACCTGGTCGCAAAATGTACCAATATTTGGGTACCATTGATAAAATACCGTCATTTTTTTATAGAGATCCGAAGACGAGACCCCATAGCCAGGGTTCTGGAAAACCCGGGTTTTTGACAGAAATTGGATGGGTGAGAGCACCCTCCGGGGTGTTTGGGTTACCGGTATGGCTTTTTTGTTACCTAGCCGCTTTGGACCGTTTATCACACATAAAACCTGTGACATACTATATATTACTTCTACCAACATGTATTATTGTGTAACTTGATTGAAATATGTCGTTAATATGCGTCAAGATGCGAAAAAAACATAACCCACACTTTTTCATTTTGGGGTGGTTGGTTGTACTTTTTGGGGTAACCCATTTTCGAAAAACCCAACTAGGAACCCTGCCCATAGCGCGGTAATCTATTCTGTCGCCATGGATGGCGGACGCGGCGGCGGCCGTGGCAAGGGCAAGAAGGTCAAGGCGACCAAGAAGAAGGCGGCGGCAGCTGCAGCGCAAGCTCAAGCCCAAGCGGCCCTAGCAGCCCAAGCCGCGCACAAGCAGAAGCCGCACCACAGCGGGAAGACAGCGGCCGCCAGCCACGCCAGCGGCCAAGTGGTGGCCGTGTCCAAGGCGTCGCCGGCGACTGCGAGCGCTCAGGCGGAGGCGACTGCACACGAGCAGACGATGACCAAGTCCAAGCGCAAGCGGCTCAAGAAGGCGGCGGCCGGAGCGCTGCTCAAGAAGCAGGCGGAGGCCGACAAGCAGCCGCACAAGAAGCCCCCCACTGCAGCTGCCGTGTCGCCCAAGACGAAGAACGTGGCGGTGCTGACGCCGCCTCCACCTGCTGCTGCTGCTGCTGCTGCAGTGACCGTTGTGAAGCCGCACGTGGTGTCGCTCACGGGCGGCAAGAAGAAGAAGAAGAGGAAGAGAAATGCCGGTGCTGCAGCTGCTGCTGAGGAGGGACCGAGTGAGGAGAAGGGGCAGGAGAAAAAGGAGAAGAAGGTTGCCGAGGTGAAGAAGAAGACGGTGGTGCTGGTGGGGAAAGCTTCGGCTACGTCGCCGTCTGTGGCTGCCAAGGGGAAGAGCTTGACGCCGACCTCGACAAGTCCCAAGCGGAAGATCGCACAGGTGAGGAAGAGGCTGGCACGGTTAGCTGTGGCTTTGAATTTATTGACGATGCGGCTGGATTCTGTGGTATTTATTTGCAGCTAGGAAGTGCGTCGCAGAAGACGAAGGAAAAGCAGCATGTTCAGAAGGAGGCTGGCGTGGTGTTGACCACTGCATCGCCGAAAAGTGGCTTGGCTGCTAGCCCACGCAAGATCGTTAAGAAGGTGAAAGCGAAGACAGAAACTCCGGGTGATATCAAGACTGTTGGTGCTGGGGCTCCCGCTAAGGCAAAAGGAGAACCTCAAGTAGCTGCAGAGAAATTGGAAGCGAAGAAACCGGCTGCGGTGGAGGGAGAAGCTATAGTGGCTACGAAGAAAGCGGTGCAGCAGCAACAGCAGCAGGAGCAGAAGCCTGTCGTCGTAGTCAAGTCGCCAGCGGCTACATCGTTGAAAGCGGACACTGCGACACAAAGTCGCACGATTGCTCAGGTGCTGCTTGGCTCGCTAACTGTTGCAGGTTTTTGGAATTGTTGCTGATGTTGTTTTGGTTTTGCTTGGGGTTTTGCCACAGGTGGATACACCAGTGAAGCATTCTCCAACGAATCGTCAGTTGCCTGAAAGCGCGCAAGGAAACACGACTTGTGACGTGTCTCCCAACGCATCGTCGACTAATGAAGCGGCGACCACTCTTCGCAAGGCTACGAAGACTGCAGTTAGCCAAGCCGCTGCTACGACCGCCTCGGCAATCGCAGCTGATGATAAGCTGGCAGTTTCAAAGCCAGCATCTCGTCCCGTCGTTGGCGCTTCAGATTCTTCAAAAGCAGCCCATGGTGACTCCAGCGGTACAAGTTCCTCAACCGCTAAAGTTGCATCTGAATCTCACGGATCAGTGTCAACCTCAGCAAACGGTCTTGCACAGGCTTGTCCGGCAACACCTGTTGATGAGACCGTTGTAGCCACTCCAACGACGACTCAAGAGGATTCAACACGCACTTCGCCAGGGTCGGTGACAGCGAAGCCCTCCAGCCCTGCCTTGCCAAGTGGTGGCCTCAAGCGACGGCGTTCTACTGACCAGGGGTCCGTGAACTCCTCCACCCTGCAGCCGCCCGTTAAAAGGAGTGCTGTTGCAAGCGAAGCTGCTCCTTCTCAGCCGGCACAAGCTAAGCGAAGTGATTCCAGAGACAAGCGGACTCCCACGGATACACCGCGCTGCTCTTCAGATCAAACACCGAGTTTGCAAATGGCATCAACGTCTCAAAGTGAGCGATCAACCGACACATCACTAAGAATCCAGGACACACAGAAGGAAAGGACAACCGCTCGTGGTCGGTTAACACCACCAGTAAGAAAGGTCCCTCATCTTGCTCAGAACGCGGCACAGGCTCCAGCCAACAACATAGTTTCGGCGCCTACTGGTGCTACCGCGGCGGACGCAACCAAGCAGCTCAAGCCCCCTCACAATCCGAAAGTGACGCCCAGTGTGACAGCTCCGACCAAGAGCCAGACCGGTCGTCTGCCAGTAAAAAATGCTTCTCCTGACACCGCTCCGAGGTCTAGGAAGGTGGACATCATCATGGACAGCCACTCGTACGTGCACAAGCTGATGCAAGACGAGCTGATGGCGAATAGTGGTGATTGTCGAGGGGATCAGTCGGCGGAACTGGCTGTGGCTCTGCCGCCACGGCCACGAAATGCTTGGGGTGCATCTTTTGGAATGGCGCCTCCATCTAATACTGCATCATCTGCTCGTCGAACCATGCCAACGACGCCTCTGAGTTCGTGGTTCCTGTCCAAGGGCTCTGCCAATTTTATGAAGACAGTTCATTTCTCGGATAACGACGACGGCAGCAGTGATGATGATAGTGGCGACATCTCGACTCCAGAGCTCCACAGCGGCACACCTCGTGGAATCGACAAAGCTTCGCCCAAAAGGCGAACATCAGTTGTGAAGAAGAACGCGTTCCTTGAGTCGCTTAAAACGCAGTCCAACTGGCGATCCTGGTATGGAAATGTGGATATGCGCAATCTCTTAGACCCTCCGCTGGCGCATGTCCCGGTAAAGCTGCAAACGCACAACGTAACTCCGCTTGAGCTTCCGGAGGCAACGGAAATTCGCGCAGCTGACAAGAGAGCAAGCGATTTGGAGATGCTGGAACATGACATCAGGTACGCCCAGTTGACGTAATTGGTGACGAAGCATGCATCTATTATAACTTATCTGTTATCTTGGACCACTACTTGCAGACGAGAGAAGCAGCGAGGTTCGGCATTCAGCGAGCAACTTTTGATGATGCTTCAAGGCAAAACAGTATCGGGGAAGCCACTCGAGGAGGAGTACAAGCAGATCTTACAGTAAGTAATATCACGTCTGTGCTGACGCCACTGGCAATTGTAGAGGACTCCATTATTTTCTAGGATGAAGCCACTCGAACTGGAAAGTAAAATCCGCACCTAGAGTACGAAGGAGAACGTTATGTTTGACAGCTCGCTGTTAATTTTCCGTACGGGATGCTTACCAAGATGCTCAAGCTTGTACTGCAGCAGATTTACGATTTCAAGGAATAATGTCGCTTGCACGGGACGGGGTACATTTGGGCCTCGAACACGAACGCGAGTTGGTGGAGTGCCGAGAAAGCAAACTGGCGCTCTAAAAATCGATGTAGCAGAAGCAACGTCCCCGCCTCCATTGCAGCAAACACCAAAATATTAATCAGTGCCGACAGACTCCAGTCGCCCGCACCGCCAGGGTAGTAAATGATGTTTGGTAAATGCTCGGCGATGGATTTGTATACGGCGAACACGAGGGGCACAACACATTCGACGTATTCGAGTAGTAGAAGATATTCGCAAGGGAAAAGAAGCTGCAGTCCTTGGCGAACGAAAGTTTTGGGAGTTGGACCCACATGAGATCGTACTGCTGAGCTGGATGCACTGTCGGTCAAGGATGCCGGTGTTACCAATGCTTGCGCTGCGGGTCGAGGGGCGAACCATTGGCGGTATGGACGAAATCGACTTGTTCTTCGTCTGGAGAGAAGTCTCCGCTGACCGTACGTGCCGGAAGCTTTCAGCATCTTCAGTCTGTTGGCTGTAGCTGCAGTCATCGGATGCAGCAGGCACGCCCAGAGCCGTACTCCATCCATGGATTCTAGCTGGAAAGCTGTGGGATTTCGAGTGACCGCCAGCAGCATCCCTATCAAGTCATTGCTCGCCGGAGCACGGAATGGAGGCGTTTGCTTGCTTTGAAGGAGCTTCAAGACGGCTTTTGCGTTTGTACGCACTTCTTGGAATACCAGCAAAGTCTGCCCCACGTCTGCTGCGATGAATAGTGCCGAAAGGTAGATCGACCCGGTCGACGTTATGCACACGGACACGAAGAGAGCGCTGAAGAAGTCAACGGTAAAAGCCACTATCTGGTATGAAGTCCTCCAAACCACGAGTACGAAATGTTTTGCCGCGAATTTCCACAACGGGAGGACTACGAGTGCGATCCCTCGATAATCTGTTGGTACACGTGCGTAAATTATTTCGTAGAGAGGGTAAACTCCTACCATAGCGAAGTAAGCAAACATGTAATTGAGAAATTGCCGTAGGTGATGTCGTGAGGGCGAGTCCCGTGCAAACGGTTGGCGACCAAAGACAAGAAGAATCATTGCTGCCACGTACGCTCCTACTGTCATACCCAGTGATGGCCAAAAATGTATTGCAGGTATTGGCATTTACCAATACTTATTGCAATGCCATACTGCAAGCTTGCAAGCTATTGCAATACATATTGCAGAGCGCTGCGGAATTGCAATTCTTACTGCAGTCTTAAGCCAACCGAATAAACTCTTCAAACCCTAGTACTTTTCACTTAGAAGCAGGCAAGGCTGTCAATGTCAAGATAATAATGTTCTCAAAACCCAGTTCCGACGGCATATGTACCTCTACGACGACAGAGTAGTATGGTTATAGTATGGCAGTAATTATTGCAAGAACGACCAGTATTGCAGTTATTATTGCTGCTGCCTTGGTACTGCAATTCATATTGCTACAGATCGCTTTACCTCCAATGCCTTCCCATACATTTTTGGCCATCACTGGTCATACCTCCGTATTGCCATATAAACGGAACAGGAAAACCAACCACGCCTAGCCACTAGCACGCAGGATCCCACATAAGGAACGGTCGTACCTAGTGATACAACCAGCCGCTTGGTGTTTGTGAAGTCGAGATTCGGAAGAAACAGCACCAGCTCCGAGATACCAACAAAGGTTAACCCAAACACCATCAAGCTCAAGCGAATCCAAAACATCCAGTTGGCAGCCCACCCATCGGAAGGCGGTCGTAAAGGTAAACTCTCGAGCAGCAAAGCGAAACTTAGTGCAGGGATCGGGGTAAGAACACACACCATCAGAACGCGCGTTCGAGACGTTGTTCGGCAGTAGTGGTCCAGACTTTCCAGGCGCTCGACAGAGTATGAGCCCTGTCGACCTACTTGAATTCTGTCCAATCGCTCTTCGATTTGACTCAAGGCCCTCACAGTGCGACGCGTTAAAACTTGCTAGAACCTGCCGCCTTGCTCGGTTCTTCAGCCCACTCAGTGACAGGAGCACTTGCTATTCGTGCTGGCATTGTTTCGCCTGGACAAACACGAAGTCAGCTTCAGATGTCAATGTTTATGATGGGGGTGGCTATTTATTGACGCAGTTCGTTTTTAAGATCATGCAGCGTACACTTTATGTTAGGAGATGCTATAAAAATCTATGATTGTCAGTAGTGACACGATGACGAGAATATCATAAAGAAATTCGGAGACTTCGGAGCCATTCAAAACGAAAAGTGAAATCCGCACCAAAAGAGCACGGTACAAACGTTAGCACTTTACTTCGAAGTACATTGATGTAGTATAGACAAGAAGATCGCTTACCGAAATGTACCAGCTCGTACGGTAGTAAGACCACAATTTCGAGAAAGAGACCTGCCTGGACCAGAAACATTTGCGTTTCAAGCGCAAAAGCAAGCTGATACAACGGGGAGAAGGCAAACTTGCGCTGGAGAGAATGATGCAACAGCAGAAGCGACCCAACTTCGAGAGCAGCAAACACCAGCATATTGATGAGAGCTGCTGTGTTCCAGTCACCTTGGGTATCGGGGTAGTAAGCAGCATTAGGAAGCTGATGGAGCACCAGCTTGTATGTGACGAACACTAGCGGAACAACACACTCAACGTACTCCACCCATGCTAGATATTCGCAATGGAAAAGTAGTTGTAGACTCTGCACCACCAATCGCCTCGAATTTTCACCACTCTTAGTCTTATTATCGTTAGATTTGGTTTTGACCGAGCTTGTCGACTTGTGTTTAGATTCTGTCTTGACGCTGGCGAGCTCTGGTACGATTGAAGCATTTTTCTTAGTTTTCAATAGTCGGTGGCGGGGCTTACGACGGAATCCATCCGCTTTTCGTAACGATAAGAGACCTGTTCAACGGTATAAACCCAATGCCTCTAACGCCACTAAACTGTTTGGCTTGATCACTGGTCAAAGTGTGCGGCAAACACGCCCACAACCGAGTACGCTTCATCGATACCACGTCAAACGCAGTCGGATTCTGAGTCACCGCAGTGATCTTTGCCAGCAGATCAGGTTTCTCCGAGCTTTTATCCAGTTTTTTCGCTTTAGCACGACACGAATCGGAGGAATCTCCTTGATCCTGAAGATTCTTCAATACGGCGGTTGCATTCGTTTGTACTTCGCGGAGTTCCAGAGCAGCCTCTCCCAGGTCTACTGTGTTATGAATCGGCTCCGGTTGCAGCCGTTAGCGCACACGGTGGTGCGTTGGCGCACTGGAGGAGGCGTCGCAGGAGCGACGGTGCGGACACTGCCCTGGAAGAAGCCGAAGGAAGGAGAGACAAGGTCCTGGGAGGAGGACAGCAGGGGACAGGAGTTGAAGTGCAACGAGTGGTTGGGAGCTCTGGAGACGCTGCCCAACGTGCATGTGTAGCAGTAGGAGTAGGAGCTCAGTCTAATATCTACTAAGTGCGTGTCAAGCCGTGCGGGTGTTCGCCTCCTCAGTCTTCCTCGAGGTCGTGGCCTCACTGCGTGGACCGAACCGACCCAGAGCGGAACATACTGCAATGAATAGAAATGAAAGATAGAGAGGCCCGGCAGAGGAGATAAACACGGAAACAAAGAGCGCACTGAAAAGATCGACAGTGAGAGAGACCACCGCAGGAATGAAATCCACGAATTCTCGCGAAGACCACATCATAAAATGTTTTGCAGCAAATTTCCATACTGGCAGTACGATCAGAGCACCGCCTCGATACGCTACAGGCACGAGGTCGTACAAAACTTTGAAGAGCGGAAATACGCCGGCAAGCGTCATAAAGCCAAAAAGAAGTTTACAATATTTCTCGAAGTATGGACGGAACGACGAGTTGCTTGCGAACGGGGTAGAACCCATTATCGGGAGAAAAATCCCGAGCAACAGACCCCCAAATTGCCAAATGAACGGAATCGGGAACCCAACGATATCGTTTGCTGCACCAAGTAAACACGACCCCACGTAGCCCACGGCGCACCCAAGTGCTACAATTAACCGCTTGCGACTTGAGAAGTCGAAATTTGGGATAAACAAGATCAGGTCGGAGATCCCTACAAAGGTTATTCCGAACACCATCAAGCCCAAGCGAAGCCAGAGTATCCAGTTGGCAGCCCACCCTTCAGATGGGGGTCGAAGTGGCAAACACTCGAGCAACAGTACGAATGTAAGTGTCGGTAATGGCGTACATACGCAAACGAGAATGACTCGAGTGCGTGACGTGGTTTTGCAGTAGTGGGCCAAACTCTCAAGACGCTCGACGGAGTACGAACCTTGACGGCCCACTTGGATATCATTCCACCGCTCTTCGAGCCGCTGCCAAGGCTGTCAAACTTGGGTTACGTGAGCTTCTCCCCCAGCTACCCAGATTCTTGCTTGCTGTTTTGATGGACATCGCTCCACTTACTTACACGAGGTATCAGAATGGAATGCGTCTAGGGATGGGTAGCAAAAATACAATCCGATTCGATCGATTGGATCAAGACAGATCGTGATCGAATTTAATCGGATTGGATGATGTATAGATCAATTCCGACTCGATCCGATTGGATCGGATCGAATCGGATCGATTCGACAACGCTGGTGAAACACGGATAATTGGCTGAAATTAGGGGGAGTCGAACCTGGCAAAAAACGTGCTGATTTTTAGGGCGATTTGATGTTGATTATTTCGGCGAAACCTTGTTGATTTTCAAAATCAACCACCTCCGGAGGTGGTTGATTTAAAAAATCATCATGATGATTTCGAACTTCAAGTGGTACCGCTTGCTGTTCCCTCCTCGACCTCTGATACAATTTCAGCCGTTTTTGAAGTCCCTCCTCAACTAGAAATTGTTGTGTATGTGTTTAGGCAAGTTTTCACACGAATCCTCTCCAAATATACATGTTCACTATCACTATAAACAAGTTTTAGATGTCAACTCGCGATGATGGAGACGTTGTGAGCTGCTGGACAGTGTTACGTTGGAGTCGGCCATTGCTAGGTATAAAGCTGAATATAAGAAGATGTATATGCACTAAGCAAGAGCCTGCGCGTGCTGGCGAAAAAGGAAGTGATAATTCGCTGTTTTCACCAACTAGAATGTTGAAGCAAGTGCAGGCAGCATCGTTGCAGTCCCCCATTCAGGCAGCTTGCTCGAACGGCGCTGCTCAATTCGGAGTCCGAATTTCGGACCAGGCGCGCTCATGCCCGGGATTAGAGGGAGGCTTGAAGATGGCTGCAGCAATCGTGTGCAAGTCTCACTTGATCGATGCTAAGATCGTTTACGCGTCACCCGCTCTCGAGGGACCATTCGGCGAATGGCATTCGCTGTGTGATGCGCGTGGCGCTGGCGGCTTCCTAATGGTCCCCAAGACCTTGACGACTGGATTCAATTTCACCCGATCTTTCCAGCGCGTGACCTGATCAAAGGAATCTGTCCACACAGGAACGCTTGCGGCAACTTGTCAGTGCAGCTCGCTGGCTGAGGAGTGAGACAGCTTTGCACTTGCTGGGCGTGTCAAAGGCTTTGACTCAAAGCATCCACTCCTTGCTGCCAGAAGCGCAGGGTCAAAGGACCCTTCCGTTTAAGAAAGAGAAGCATGCGGGTATTGGCCTTAAGTACATGAACTACATAGCGGCGCTGCTCGCTACAGCACCTAAAGGGTGGCAGGTTGTCCTCTCAGTTGATTGGCTTGACATTGTGCAGCCACTCCAGTCGCTGAGCCTTCGTTCGGCACCGATCGACCACATCTCACTGCATGTGGTGCGCTTCTAACTGGTGGATGGACATACACTCCTGGAAGACCAACCGCTGCAGTTCCTCCTTGGGCATCTCCACGCCCAAATCGAGCGACTCGCGCTCGAAATCGAAGTTAAACGGCTCGGCACACACGGGCTCGTCCGCCTGGCGGCAATGGATAAAAGTTAGCAAAACTAACACAACGACCAACTTTGTGATGCAACACCAACTCGTACCGGGTTCTGGAGCTGCGCCAAGTACGGATGTGCGAGTGCCTGAACCACCGAAATGCGCTCGGCCGGATTGAACTTGAGCATCTGAGAGAGCAAGTCCACGGCCAGCGGGTTCGCATCCGGGAAAAACTCGATCAACGGGCGCTAGTCCAGAGAATCATAGCTCATTAAGTCACCAACAGAGACCAATGGTCAACTATCGAGAGGTATTGAGCTCCGACGTACCTTTGGGTAGAATCCATGCTGCAGGATCGCTCGTTTGGCAGCTTCATGGGGCACGAAGCTCATTTCCTCTTCTGTAGGCGACCCCAGCACGCGGATGATCATGTGCAGCTGGTCGGACGGGTCTCGGCCTGTGAAGAATGGTCGACGCCGCAGCATTTCCGCGAAGATGCAGCCGATGGCCCACACGTCCACCGCGTCGTTGTAGTTCTGGCAGTCGGTCAGCAGCTCTGGGGCTCGATACCAGCGCGTGACGACGTACTCCGTCAGATCCTCGTTGTGAGCCGTCTCCACGCCGCGGGCCAATCCAAAGTCGCAAATGGACAAGTCGCAGTTGGAGTTCACGAGCAGATTCGACGGTTTGAGGTCCCGATGCAGCACGTTCCCCGAGTGCACGAACTTCATGCCGCGCAGGATCTGGTACAGGAAGTACTGGAAGTGCGCGTCCGAGAGCGGCTGCGACGAGCTGATGATGCGCTCCAAGTCGCTCTCCATGAGGTCCGTCACGATGTAGATGTCGTGGAAGTCCATGACGTTGGGCGGGATCAGGATCACGTCCAGAATCTGCACCAAACGTCAACATCCCTATCAGTATAATAGCACCCCCACTTCTTGTGTGCTCTATCGACTCTACCGGGCCCTACGTTGATGATGTTTTCGTGCACGCCGAGGTGTCGGAGCAGCTTCATCTCCCGCAGGATCCGCTTGGCGTCCGTCAGGTCGTCAAACACGTCGGTGATCTTCTTGATGGCCACCTTGCGGCCCCTTAACTACAATAGTAGATAACATAAAGATAGTATTTAGTGGAGCAATGATAGATGGCGCTGCGAGGGCTGATGGTGGATTGATACCGTGTCTTCGGCCGAGCACACGATGCCGTAGGAGCCGCCGCCCACCGGACGCAGGTTCACGTAGTGCGAGCGCACTTCGAACACGTCTCGAGAGACCGTGACGCAGTGGAAGTCCGGGCCGTAGCGAGACGGCTCGATCGCCATGGCCACCGGGAGATAGAGAGAGAGGAGACTCGACGCCGATTGCTCCGACTTGAGAGGAGACTGTTGAGGAGCCGTTCAAGATACTTTTACACTCAGATGGAGAGCATGTCGGATAAACGAGCGGTTATATAGGAGAGAAGTAGGTACACATCTAGACAGCATTAGAGCACAATGATAGCGTACCCATGTTGCGCTTCCACTGATATTTGGTCCTTCCGTTTTATTAATAGAAGCATGGCGGCACCTCGACCTCTTCGTGCTGTGGAGCAGGTATTTCAGGACAAGGCGGTGTTTGCTGGGCTGCAGGAAGTAGTTGCATCGACTAGCGAGTTTTTGGACTGCTCGGTGGAGCTGACGCTCGCGGCGGCGTGCAAGATCGGCTCGCGGAAGCTGCTGGATCGGATCTGGGAAAGTTGCCCACTTGAAATTAATGCCAGCACTCCCAGTGCGTGGTCCGTCCGCAATTATCTTCGCACAGATCGCCACTACTTGCAGTTCCAGTTCCGGCAGTCTCTGCTGGAAATTGTGAGCACTGCGTGTCAGTACCCGGATCTGGAGAGGTGGCTGTTCGAACACTGCGCGGATTGCGACGTGCCTGTCGAAGTGGTAGAGAAGGCTGCAGAGCTCGGCAAGCTGGACTTGTTGAAGTTTTTCCTCATGGTCTCAACGGGACGAGAGAAACTCGACGGTGGTGGGAGACACGCCGTCCACTGGGGAGGGCAAGATGCTGAGAAAGCTGCTAGGAACGGACACAGCAACGTCGCCTGGTGGTTGTTGACCCACCTCGTGACATGGGGGGTATCATGAGCGCGGCTGTAAGAAGTGGTGACGTTCCGCTAATGGAGTGGCTGATGCGCAATGATTTCGACCGGCACCTCGATGAAAATCCAACAATTGGTGCTGCTGCTGGTACTGACAGTCTTCCGGTGGTCAAGTGGATGTACGAGCACGGATTCACGGAAGATGGAGCAATGGCGATGACAGACGCTGCAACCTGGAGATGGTATCCTGGCTGCTCGGCCACAGAATTGGGTACGATGCGCACGACGCTTTCGACTCTGCCATCCTTAACCAGTGCCTCGACACTGCGAAAGTGCTAGAGGCTCACTCCGATCTAATGGACGGTGGTCATTGCTACAACGATGCACTGCTGAATGTTGCTGGAAGCGGAGAACTGGAATCGGCAAAGTGGCTATTCAATCAATTCTCCGACGACCCGGACGTTGATTTGTTTGCACCTGTACACGTCTTCACGGGAGAGCCGAGCACGGTACTCGACGCTGCCGCCTACAACGGCAATCTCGCTATGGTGCAGTATTTCCACCAGCTTGACCTGGACATAAAAGCTCTGAAAGACAAACAAAGAACTGTTGGGAAAGCACAACGGAAAGGAGGCACCTGGAGTGGTCGCGGTATAACTTGTACTGCAGATGCTATGGACTTCGCTGCTAGCGCTGGAAATCTTGAAATCGTGCAGTATCTGCATCACAACCGGTCCGAGGGCTGCACTGTTGACGCTATGGATTCTGCGGCGACAGAGGACAACCTTGAAACGGTTCAATGGCTTCATGAAAATCGGACGGAAGGATGCACAGACGAAGCTATGGACACTGCTGCAGCCAAAGGACATTTAGATATGGTCAAGTGGTTGCATGAAAATCACAACGGGACACAGCGCAAAATGGCCATCTCCATGTTGTCAAGTGGCTGAGCAAAGAGCGCAACGAAGGATGTACGACGACGGCGATGGATGCAGCGGCAACAAACGGACACTTGGATGTCGTGAAATGGCTACACCACCATCGACTTGAAGGTTGCAGCACGGAGGCGATTAATGGTGCTGCCGCGCAAGGTCATTTGAAAGTTGTTCAATGGCTACACAAGAATCGAAGCGAGGGCTGGATAAGTGACGCCTTGAGCAGAGCCGCCAGGGGCAGCCACTTTGAGGTGCTGTTATTTTTGCATTCCCAGCGAACTGAGGATTACAGCTACAACTTGGTGGATATATTAAATCGTCGTGACAACTTCGACGATATGGTGCTTCTTCCAGAAATTCTGGCGTGGGGGTCTGCCGCCTTGAAAAACATTGAGTTGGCGCCCTTGTAAAATGCACGCACCCACTGGGGAAGAAATGGTGTTGTTTTGGTTTCGAGTAGTGTTGAAATATGTGGAAACTTTCAATATATTTTGGCAACGGACCTGGCATTTTGCCACTCCACCCCTCGGTACTCGAACCGTGTGATCGCTTCGAGCCACGGTTACCACTGCCTCGTGTTGGGGTTCCGTTGCTGTTGCTGCTGCGGCTGCTGGCCCATTCCTTGCCACTGGAGGCCCTGGAAGCGATTCTGCTGCTGCTGTTGCTGCTGCTGCATGCCGCCCTGGGGCTGGCCCATTCCCATGTGCATCTGACTAATGTTCATGCCGCTAGGACCTCGAGGAGCCATGGGCGACGGGCCGCCAGAACCCATCGGGTTGAAGCCTCCTTGAGCTCCGTACGCTCCAGCATGGTTCGTAGTCGGCGACAAGCCTCGGGGTCCGTTGTTTGCACCCATATTGGCGGCGATAGGCGTCGGTCGCATGTGCGCGGTGTTGTTGCCGGCAAACACATCGAACGGAGCAGCACCCGGCGGCTAGAGAAACAACAAAGATACACAAATCAGTCTCGGCATAGCATACGGCGAACCCGTCAGAAGCACTAACACTTACCGGCGGGACTGGAGAGGGAGCTGAAGGAGCCTGTGGCGTCTGTGCGGGCACCGGGTCCGACAGCTGCAATGGAACACAAAATGCACAACAATCTGTAAGTTCCACACCTTCATCAACCTTTTATAATCCAACAAACTGCACGCACCAGACCAACCAGGTCGTTGTTGAAAGTCTTCTGCGCCACTTGAGGCTCCTCCCGCTTGGCTGTAACAGATGACGGTCATTCACCACCAGCATATTAGTGAAACTAATAAGACTAACACATTCTCGAATCAATAGCAGTGCGTACCAGGCGACGGAGGGAGTTCCGACGTCTCAATGAGGTCTGGCTGCTCCACTTGGGCCTTGGGGGTCTCCGTCCTCTCGGGTGGACGCGTCGAGCTCTCGCGCTGCATCCTCGAGATCTTGCAGATGACGAGGCCGTTGAAGTCCGGCACCGGGTCCGCGTCGTTCACGACATCCAGCCACACTGCACAAGTACCAGGTCAGCTCTCGTTGCGATTGCTCTCCAAGTGTAGGTGGGTTCGCGACCCTAATCCCGCACCGTAAGTGCCCTCGAACGCCGTTTTGAAGCGGAAGTGGAAGTCGCCAGGCAGAGGGAAGCTCTAAACACACGAAATAAGAGCAAATATGGCGTTAGTGAGGCTCGCAGAGACCCCTCCCTAGGTGGAATATAAGAGTGCACCTTCTTGACGTGCTGCAGCCGCAGCTGGTCCACGCGCGGCAGCGGCACCACGTTCAGGTGGTCGGACGAATCCCCGTCCTCCGGCACGAAGTAGTTAAGCATCCCCTCCATGGTCGCACCGCAGCAAGCAGGCTGTTACGCGGCGGCGGTAATTGGCTTCTTCCCACAGCACTATCTATATACGTCACGGCCCTAGAAAACGCCAGTGTAAGACCGAACATACAATAACCGACTAAATCGCATAGCCTAAATAGTCAAGAATGCTCTAAAATAACCTCTATAATTTAGACTGAAACATACACTTGATAGTATTGAAGCAGCTTGGTTTCCGTTCTGTACTGTACTACAATGCTGTGTACCACACCACTCGTTCCCTCGCGCTAAGAACCTCCTTAGTGACATTTGACACCAAACAAACAATAGCAATGAGCAGCATAACGCCGGCCAAGCAGGTGAACACGGACGCGCTGCAGGCGGCCATGGACGCGCGCCAGCAGCAGCGCGAGGCCGCCAAGAAGAGCGAAAACTCCGAGTCCAAGCATGAGGACGGCGACTCTGAGGAAGAGGAGGAAGAAGAGCGGCCGATTGCGACGCTCTCCAGCTGCGTGGACCTGGACGCCATCGAGGACGACGAGCTCTACTACGTGGGGACGGCGGGCGTGAAGGTCACGCACCTGGACGCAATCGACAAGCTCGCGGGGCTGCAGCGGCTGCACGTGCGCTCGAACCTGCTGCGCTCCATGGCGAGCGTGGCGACGCTGACGCGTCTGGAGCATCTGGAGCTGTACGACAACCAGATCCAGGCCATCGAGGGCCTCACGAGCCTCACGGGGCTCAAGGTGCTGGACCTGTCGTTCAACGAGATCCGCGTGATTCCCGATCTGAGCCACCTGACGCAGCTGGAGGAGCTCTACGTGGCTAACAACAAGCTCAAGAAGATCTCGGGCATCGAGAGCCTCAAGACGCTCAAGAAGCTGGACCTCGGAGCCAACCGCCTGCGCACCATTGAAGGGCTGGAGGGGCTGACGGAGCTGGAGCAGCTCTGGTTGGGCAAGAACAAGATCACGGCCATCCAGGGACTGGAGAAGCTCGCCAAGTTGAAGATCATCAGTGTGCAGAGCAACCGCGTGACGGTTATCAAGGGGCTGGACAACAATTTGGCGCTGGAGGAGCTGTATTTGAGTCATAACGGCATTGAGAAGATCGAGAACGTGGAGCATTTGGTAGGATGCTGTAGATTGAGCTCTGAAGGGATTAGTTTGTGGAGCTAACTGGTTCTTTGGGTTGTTTTGTAGACGAACCTGACGACGATGGATCTGGCTGGCAACCGCATCTCGGCTATTCCGACCGGACTGGCGCCTCTTACGCAGCTGGAAGACTTCTGGCTGAATGATAACCACGTCGCACATTACGCCGATGTGGAACACTTGGTACCGCTTGCTGGTCTGCGCACGCTCTACTTGGAGCGTAACCCTATCGCTCAAGACTTTGAGTACCGGAAAAAGCTGGAGGAACTGCTGCCGGAGCTGGACCAAATTGACGCTACGCCGACGACGAAGGCGAGGCAAGGGCGCATGTAAGTGGCGCTTAGCGTCCTAAATTCTGGGTGTTGATGAACAAAATGCAACTGTGAGCTGGTAATTTCATGCCAGGTGAAGAAGGTGAAACTTCATGCCAGTGTAGTTGTGTTCGTATCGGCAGGTTTGTTAATCCTCGCCTTGGCTGATTGCAAAATTTGTCTCCAAGGCATCGCAGACCCTTGCTGTTCAGGTGCCTTCGGTTGTTTCGGCTGCTCGCTGACACTGTGAGTGAAGGGCTTGCCATTCGTGACGTAGATCTTGGCAGGTGGCGGGTGAATGCTGCAGCTGATCACGATGCAGATCGTGCACATCCCATTCAGCACAACCATCCACGACCCGCAGTGCAGACACCGTTGTCCACGAAACTTGCCTTTGTACAACGGCACAACCATGACTCCTGCCATCGCGAGGCATGCAAGTACGGTAGGTACAATCCACGCGGTAGGCCGATCTTGGGGAGTGGGTGTCGACCGAAGATGCAGCACCTCACTGAACGTGTCGGGAGGGTCCTCACTCTCCGTTATGGTCACCGAGCAGTCCACAACGCTCCGCCAATACTCCACTCCGAAATTTGAAGAACGCTCGATCACAGTGAGGTCCAGGGTGTACCCACTCAAATACGTTGACAGGTTTCGTGTCGGCATGGGGCACTCGATGATTGTGTCGTCGTCGAGAGTATTGCGCCGGGCAAACCGATACGTCCGTCGACCTTTGCTCACACTCAGTCGTTGCAGATCGTTCAGCGGACACGACAAATTCCACGTCTCGTCGGCCCCAGTAAGAGGCACAGGCGTGGAGCAGCACTGCAAGCAGTACTGACGGCTCATCAGACTCGGATCTGTGAACTGAGTCTCGAACGAGTAATCCTTGTGGAAACCAGCACTCGCGTTCAAGTCCTTGCACCCGTTGAGAGCAAACCCAGCATAGCATTGCTGCAGCAAAACTCGCACTGTTGTCGCTGTATCCAGCGACTGAATCGCCCCGTAGATCCCATACGTGGCCTGACCAAACCGATCCCAAAGCTCAGCACGGGTAGAAGAAACAAGAGTTCGTATCGAACTATCCGTACCTTTACCGAACTTGCTGCCGCCAACACGATGAAGCTCGAGGCTGCAAGCAACACGAAGCAAACCCACGCATTCCGCATTGCTCGCCCCCAATGCACAACTAAAAATATGGGATACAGCAAGTGAGAAACTGTCGGGAGATGTAAAGAATCAAAAATGCATATGCATCGCGCATATTTCTATGTATTGGTTGGGGGGTGAATGGCGAAGCGAAGTTACCGAGGTGCTTTTCGCATCGAAAACGAGGACAGGCAAACGTCTGCAAAAACGTCCGAGTCGGGCTGCCAATTCATATTTTTCACATCCACCAAAGCTGTCCCTCCCATCAAAATAACACGACGAATCCCCCTCCTTCCTGCTCCGCCATCTCTTCTCGCCTCACCTCGCTATCCCCCGCTAAATACCCTTCGAACCGGGTCGTGGCGAGCTTGCGGCTAGCACTATTGCGCTTGTGATGGCTTCACACGACTGAGCCGAATAATCTAAGCAAGTAGCACTTGACAGCACCATCACGAGACGGCCAACCTGCGCTAGCACACAGCTGCGCGCTCTCTACTACGACTGTCCAGTCGGCGGTTGACTGGGTGTCGGTGTCGGTGCTGTCGTCGTCGTCGTCGTCGTGTCATTTACTGGTGCCGGTTGTGCCGCTGACTGCAAGTAGCTTTCGGGGATCAGCTCGTCCACAGGCACTGGGGCGGGCGCCGCTACAGTTTCAGCTCCTGAGCTGGCAGGCGCAGGCACGGTTGTCGTTCCCGAAGGCGGCGGCGAAGGCTCCTCATCAGATCCGTCAACAGGAAGACCCACGTCGATATCAAACTCCACTAGCATTGAAGACGGGTTCTGCACGCTCGCGTTCGCAAGCGACTCGCCCTGAGCAAGCAGTCGGAGGCTTTCGTCCAATGCGGTAGATGATGAGCCATTAGCCTCGCTGAAAACAGCGCTGTCGCCACCGTTATGCTGCCGAGCAATGGCAGCACGCTGCTTGTCAAACTCCTCCATCTTCTTGCGGAAACGCTCGATTTCACGCTGGTGCTTTTCCTCCTCACTACGGATTGCAGCTTCCAGGGACGACTCCCGCTCGTCAAACGAAGTCCGCGCGATTTTCAGTCGGTCTTCAAGCTGGTGAATCTGCTGAACGTAGGAAGGGTCGGCGATCGAGCCCATTGACACTCCCCGTGCCCGCATCTCCAAAATATTCAGCAGCGCCTCCTTCGTCAGCGTCGACTCACTACCAGCGTGCGGGAGGCCAGGGCGTGGCGGCGACCGACCGACTTCGGAGCCAGGGAACGATGACAGCGCACTGGTACTGCTACTAGTACTCAGTGGGGGGACAGAAACACCCCCATCCAGCACCATTACCGTAGACGACGGGTCACTGAGAGCGGCAGGGTTCAATTGCTCCTGACCAGCCACAGACGCACCCGTGGTAGCTCCTGCGGCGCCGCTTGTGCCGAGCACGCTCTGAAGCACGGATGCCGGTACTCCCGAGGCGGAGGTGCTGGACGCACTCGCTGAACGCTCCAATGCCGCAGCACCCATGAGATAAGCTTGCTGCTGATACGAACCAGGCGGTGGTACATGGACAAACGACATCTTGGACACGTTAGGAATCGGCTTGGACGAGAACGAATGCGGCTCCGGCGCTTCCTCCCACACATCTTCCTGCACGTCCGAAAGGTTGTTGATCTTGCCCTCGGTCACAAGGAAACGGATGGAGTCGGCAATGTCTTCAAGGTCCGGCTCGAGAATCCCCACGTCCACAGCCAATTCACACGCGACTTCGTGCGTGCTGTCAGCGAACAAGTTAAACGGAAATTTGATTTCCTTTGATTTGCCGTCGATCATGATGCGCAGATTCAGTAGGATGCTGTGCTCATTGTCCGGGTCTTTGGCAGCCTTAATCTCATGCCGCTTTACTCGCTTTCTTGCAGTCGCGTTGCTAGCCGTCTGCTGAGGCACCTGGGGAGGAGGTGGTGGAGATGGCTGACTGGCCACAGGGGCATTTTCCGCCACAGCGTTAGCAGCAGCCACTGCTGCAGCCACGTCAGCTGCTCCATGGATACTGGCACGGCGGACGAGGTTCGTTTGAGGCTGCACATCACGTTCAGGAAGCTGCATTGCTGGAACCTGAGCCTGAGGAGCTTGAGACGGCGTCAAAAGCCCCGGGGCTGAATTGGGCGGCTCGACCTTCGGTACATCCACCGGGGCCACTGAAGGCTGCCCTGCAAAAGATTGCGAGTGCTCCGGAGTTTGTTTACCGTTTGCCACAGGCGACTCCGCGGGACTTTCAGCATACTCCGGTGTCACGTCATTCTCCAAATCCAGTCGTTGCCCTCTTCCACCCATGATGTTTATCCTCGTGTTCTGAATGGCGCTCTCAGTTCCAGGCAGCGTAGCGAGGAACTGGTCCACATGTGAATCGGCGTTCTTCTTGCCCGATGACAGCGGTTCATCACCACTAACCATTTCACTGATAACCGGCTGAGAGGGCGAATGGGCCAACGTTGGAGCCGCTTCTGCCTGAGCGACCGGCACTTGAGCAGGCGTTGCTGCTGGTGCTGGTGCTGCTGGTGCTGCTGGTGCTGCTGGTGCTGGTGCTGCTGGTGCCACTGCAGGCGGCGGTGCTGCTATCACGGTCGCTGTTGGGGCCGCTTCGGGAGTTGGAGAAGGTGGCTGAGTAATGCTGTCACGAGGAGGCACAACCGGGGGCATTTGAATTATTCGATGAGTTCCAGCAGTCTTCTCCTCCGCAGCAGCATCCGGGGAAGGTGCCGACGCACTGCCAGCACTACCCGGCGCACTACCACTGTTGGAGGACGCCGCCGACATCTCCTCCGGTTCCAACGACAACGACGGGAACTGTTTCCGTCGGTCGCTGATGGCAACCTTCGATCCACTCTCCATGTTGAACTCCACCGAGAACGACTCCTCCGCCACCTTCTCCAGTCGCTGCTGCTCCTCCTTGCTCTCACGCTCCAGCTCGTCTTCATCCAAACACTCCACCATGTCATTGTCATCGTCCTGCACCTTGAGGAACGGGTGACCCAGCAGGTACTGCGCAGTCACGTCCACGAGCCCGTTTCCACGCGACAGACACAGCTCAATGAAATCCCGCGCCGCCTGACTCACCACGCGCTGCAATCCCTTGGGGCGAATACCCGCCGTCACCTTTTTGTAGATCTGCGCCGGGTTGATGCACTCCGAGTAGGGCACCTCCTTGGTCACCATCTCCAGCACGCACATACCGAACGCATAGATGTCCACCTTCTCGTCGTAACTCTCATCATACAGCTCGGGGGCCATGAACTCGGGCGTGCCCAGCACGCTCTGCGCCTTGGAGCGTTTGTCCACCGCCAGCTGCGTCGACAAGCCCAGGTCGCCAATGCGGAGGTCACCGGTATTACCGTTCACAAAGATATTGTCGCACTTGAGGTCGCGGTGGATGACCGGCGGGTTCTGGCTGTGCAGGTAGTGGAGCCCCTCGAGGATCTGGATGCACCAGCGCTTGATGATCTTCCACTTGATGAACTGCACGCGCTTGATGTAGGATTTCAGCGTGCCCGACGTCATGATCTCCGTGATGAACACGACCTGGTTCTTCTCCTTGGAGAACCACGAGCCGTAGAAGTTGATGATGTTCTTGTGCTCGAGCTTCTGCAGCAGCTGCACCTCCTGGATGATGCGCGTCTTCTCCGTGGACGGCAGCAGGCCAATGTCGATGGCGTTCCACGCCACGTCGATGCCCTGGTCCGTGTCGTACGCCTTGTAGACCGACTTGTACGCGCCCATGCCCAGCCGGATGTCGAAGCGGATGTAGCGCCCGCGGGGCGAGTGCTCCACGGGGCGGTCGCCCTCCTCACGCACGTACACGTCGCTCTCCTCCATGGCAATGCTACGAGGCTACAACTGCGGCTCCTGGACGCTATAGAGGTCGCTGGGGGCTCGAAGAACGCGCGCCTGAACGGTGGAGAGGAGGCGCGTGCTGCTAGGGGGTTGAAGGAGCCGGAAAGGGCCTGGGAGTGACGCTAGAAGCCGAGGAAAGTGCTGCGGGAGGCGAGTGGACGCTTTGACGAGAGGTAGCGGCGCGTGCACCGCTCGGACAGAGACCGCGCTTGCACCACGAGACGCGCCTGCTCCAGGCGCACGCGGGAAGCTGCTGCTCGCTGCTGTGGGGGACCGCGGGCTTGCTCGAGACGCTCGAGTCGGCGCGCTGCCTATGCCGCTTGGGTCTTCGCTCGTCGCTCTCTCCGCGCCCGCTGTTGGTCTCCGCTGATTTCACTTGAGTTGGTTATGTGGTATAGTGGAAGCGAGTGATCGGAGAAACATACACCAGGGGTAGGGGCCTAGATCCGAGCAATCATTTCAAGATGGCTACATATATATCGTAATGAAGCATAGATTCTCGACGGTTTCCAATATCGGATAGTGGCTGCGTTGACTCAAGACCATTCTACCAGTTTAGTTAGTGCGGAAGGGTGGCTGTGGGTGTATAAAGTGGATTGATGGACGGCATTGTTTCCCTGTTCATTGAAATCGCCCACCTACCGATCGAACAATGCAACCTTCAACGCGTTGATTTCGGATTGAGTTCTGTTGAAGGCGATTTCAATGAGAAAGCAACAACCTGCCACGCGTTGCAACCACGAATACCGACCTCGAGCGTTACCTTTTGCAAAAATGGGCCGCGAAAAATAGCACTTGCTGAGTCTTCTGATCACATTTGCGTTCATCCTGCACTACTCGACGGATGTCGTCGACACGGGTAGCCTCCACTCCTCTCAAGCCCGAAGGCGACACCGGTGCTGCAGCTTCTAAGAAGTTATCGAAATCTCGCGGGTTGAGTAATATTTTGAAGCAACTCGAAGATGACTGGAACCGCGTCCAAGTTGGTCGACAGGGCTCGTACTCCGTCGAGCGCCTCGAGAGTCTGGACCACTACTGCAAGACCACGTCGCCAACTCGTGTGTTACTGGTGTGCATACTCACTCCAATTCCAGCGCTTACGTTTGCGTTGCTGCTGGAATGTCTGCCGCTACGACCTCCGTCCGAAGGGTGGGCTGCCAATTGGATGTTCTGGATTCGCTTGAGCCTAATGGTGCTTGGATTAACCTTCGTTGGCGTCTCGGAACTGATTTTGTTTCTCCCAAACCTCGACTTCACGAATATCAAGCGGTTGATTGTGACCATCGGTGCCACAATTCCCTACATTGGAACTTGCCTACTAGCTGGGATATTCGGCGGCTTTCCCGTTCCGTTCGTGTGGCAGTATGGAGGAATGACCATGGTCGTATACATTGCTGCGATGATTTTGCTGGTGTTTGGCCGAGAACCGTTTAAAAAGAACTCGCCTTCCCGCCGCCATTTCCGACGATTTATTTATCATTTGTTCGCATACTGCGCTATGGTAGGGATTTACCCCCTTTTCGAAACAATTTATAAAGTTTTACCTGCGCAGTATCGAGTTGGCGCGTTGATAGTCCTGCCGATCTGGAAATTCGGGGCGAAGCATCTCGTGATGCGAGTCACACACGAGCTGGAGGACTTCATCCCCGAAATGGTGGCCTTTACAGTTGACTTCTTCAGTGCACTCTTTGTCTCTGTGTGCATCTCTTCAGGCGGATCCATTTACCTGTCTGTGCTGTTTATCGCAGGCGATGTGGGTCAAATATTGCTCGAGTTCCAAGAAGTGCGCACCAACGCAAAGGCTGTGCTGAAGCTGATCCGATTAAAAGTGGTCCCTAATTTCCAGCACAAAAGTGAAATCATCAAGAAATCAAGTACGGACAACAATTTGGTAGCAATGCTGCTTGCTGTGACCCGTAACCCTGAGGCATTCCACGTGGAATTGATGAAAGACGTGCGGCTTTGGGCCTGCCTGCCACATCCGTTGACGGAGGAAAGAGTAAAGAAACTCAAGTTGTTAAAAGTGGCGGGGGCCTACGTCGACAAAAAAATAATATCTAGACGGAGAACAAGTCGATTCCGGCAATATCGGCAATGGTTTGCCCCTCGAGTTGTGCAAACAGTGTCCGTTGTGCCACAACCGACTCCTTTTGACTCGATGAAAATGCAGGACCCAGCAGTGCAAAATGCTCTTGCAGAACCGTCACAGGCTTTCGTTCGCCAAGGGCTGCAGCTCCTATTCCACTGTGAATATCTGCTGCTAGTTGAATACGTCGAGTGCATTGTGCCTGTGATATTCGCGGTGTACAAGTCAGTTCTCGAGTACTTACCGAACATTGTATACTACCCTGGCGGGGCGGGTAACTGGGGTCACTCGGCGCTGATAAATATTTTCGTCTTCACCTCGTTGGAGGTTTCCTCACTACTGCTGCTTCATCGATTCTTACAGCGCAACTTCGCACTCTCCTCGCTCTACCAACTGGCGTTTGTGTTAGAGGCACAAATGTACCCGATCCAGGCGACCATTTTCCTGGAAATTGTCAACTTGCTGCAGTACAAGCTCGAGCATCTCGGTAAGAATTTGTGCGTGACGTGTTCAATGCACAACTCATAAAGTACTAACGTTCTGCTGTGATAGGCGCGGACTTTACGTTTCGTTTCGAGTGGCTTCGCGCTAAGACCCAATAGCTTTGTGGATTGGCAAATCAGGAACTTGCATTAAGAGGATCGACATGTTTTAGTGAGATCATGAACCTAATTGTTCAATGGCCCCTCCTGACCGTGGATCTCTACGCTGTACTCTCGTAGCCTCGCATAGCTCTCCGTCAGTGGCGCAGCGAGTGGAACAATGGCTTTTGTGGTCGCTGACACATCGAGGATACGTTTCTGTTGTCCCAAAATTTCCTGCATCAACTCACAAAGAAGCAGTTCTTGTGGAAAGCGACCAACACAAGTCACCAACATCTTCGTGGCTTCTCCAAACGCCATCATCGCGAGTTCGTCTGCGTTTTCGGTGGACTTGATGTACTCCACCACGTGGAGATTCATGGTTTGCGCTTTCGCTGGGAGTCTCTGGATCACGATAGGCGTGGCTTGAGCTTCATTCCCTTCGCGATTGGTCCATCTGTGGTGCAGTTGCGTGAGGGTCTTGAAATACTCGGTCATCATCGCGCGCGCAGCAGCGATGCGAGCAGCAGGAACATCTGACGAACGAATGCGCTTGATCCGTGTCACGGCCCTCGCCTCGGCCGCAGCTTTATCTTCTTCAGCATGTGCATGAATGCCTGAACTGCCATGATTCGTTTCATAGGCTTCTGGGATCCACGGACTTGTTGCCATGCAATCACACAACCTGTCGTCGATAGTCAAGATCACTTTTCGAGTTAGAATATACACCGGGCGGGACCTCTCTGCGATTATTGATCAAAGGTACTTACGCGACGAGTTGCCTAGGCAGTCGTCCTAGATGTTGATGCTCGATTTGCTGTAGAAGTCTCGACATCGAGCCTAGCCACTGGGGCGGTGGAAGTGTCGCTCCTAGAACAAGTTTCGTCCAGTTCATCAGGAACCAGCATGCCTGGATAAACTTAAACCACTGGTCGTCGGACCACGGCTTGATCTCGGGAACTTGGTGCCGTAGCAGGACGAGTGAGCCAGCTTTGCAGAGCTTATCTGCTAATTTATCGATAATGCCTTTCAATTTTAGCGCCCACACTTCCTCACCTTCCTGTTCTTCGACGCTCTTCACTTACGCTTCGACGTCTACACCTTTGTCCAGCCTGTGTTGTCTAATCCCCATCCAAAGTCGTCAGCTTTTATTTTGGGTGGGAGCGAGGTACCCGAATTAAGGGGTACCACTCTCCTTAGTGCAAGCGAAGTCGTCTAATCCTCAACCGAAGTTGGCACTGACCAAAAGCTACACATGCACATCATCAAAGTAAGCACCGATGGGCTTCTGCACCTGCCCTTACTTGCCGTACACCATGGCCTCGCTGCGAGTTGCGGCGTTGACAAACTTGGCCGCGTGCAGCTCCATCTTCTGCACCATGCGCTGCGTGATCAAGTACACGATCAAGTCACCTTGTTCTTGGTGCTTGATCAGTGCCTCCGCGAAGAGCCTACGCTTCTCCAAGTTAATCTCGCTGTTGCAAGTCACAGGCTCGACACGAGTCTATGCGTAGCAAAGCAGTAAGAGCATTGTAAGCAACCATACCACAACATATTTAAAACAGAATGCATCACCTCTTTGACCGTGTACAGCTTGCCGACCAGGTAGCGCGACATGGTCGACTCGGAGATGTCCACGTGGAAGTCGTCGCGGATCATGGACCTCAGCGTGCCGAGTGTAAACGTGCAGCACTCCTCCAACCAGAGCTCAAGCGCCTCCCCTATTTATCTTGCCAGCTCTCGTAGCCCCTCCTCGAGGTAGATTTTCGACGCGCCCATGGGCCACGAGATACTCCGCTGTGGTGCGTGGGAAGCCGTTGTGGCGGGCGACGGCACGCCAGTCCTCACCGGCATTGAAAGCGTCGAGGACGCGGCGTCGTTCCTCTGGCGAGTGGTGCTTGAGCGTGGACTGGTAGGGCATCTGCACGAAGCTTGGTAGATTGAGAAGTGTGATTCCCAACGGCGCGCATCTTGCGGGCTTCGCGCGCGCGGGAACTTCACGTTAGGCTCTCGTCAATTTTGACAACTTTGATTGCGGATTAGACGACTTCGCTTGCACTAAGGAGAGTGGTACCCCTTAATTCGGGTACCTCGCTCCCACCCAAAATAAAAGCTGACGACTTTGGATGGGGATTAGACAACTAAGGCTGGGCAAAGGTGTAGTAAAGGGTCTTGAAAGGTATTCTCGTAATGGATCAGGAGAGCGTTACGGCTGTTGAGTATCTTCAAACGATCATCACCACTCGTCCATTTGGTTTTGTGAATCGCATCCAACAGGAGGATTGACTGCATAATCCACACACGTTTGAACATGTTGCGCTTCTCACAGGTAATCATACACGCGACTGCGTCGGCCGTAGCTTCAAAATATCCAGTACACAGATCGTGATCCATAGCTCTGTTTCGAACACGCAGGATAAAATCTCTACTGGCCACCATGAACAGCGTCTTGATAGCTGAGACCCAATTGCTTAATGCAGACGGGCCTGTCGATTTTTGTTGGCCCACCGAGCTGTGCGTCGCACGCTTAGCCACCTCGGCGGCCGCGAGAAACTGTTGAAGGGGTGTGTGGGGAGCCGCTGCAGTGAAAGCTTCTCCCTCAATGCAAGTTGCTATCGCTTTATCTCACGAGGATTGATGTCGAAAGGGGCAACGCGTTTTCTTCTTGCGGTTTGCGTGATGCCACGCACAAAATGTTTTCTGGTTTCGAATACCGGCCAGTTATACACGGGTACTTCGATGCTGCCACAAACCAGGCAGTGCCAATTTCTACAGCAAGAAAGGGAGCGACGCATTCGCGTTAGTGTAGTAGCGCTTCAAATAAAAAGTGGCAGCATTGGGAAACTTACGCAAACACAGCTTCTGGAATCTTGTTGGGGAACCGACGGTCGAACTGTTTTAGCCGCGTACTATTGAGCGAGGGGCTCTGAAATTTGAACGTGCTTGTCGTGGTCGAAAACATGCGCATCCAGTCCGCCAAAACCAATCCAACCTCGGTGAAGCGTGACCACTGAGACTCCGTTCGTGGTAGGCCACCAAACTCCTGTTCAAGATTGAAGCTAATGCAGTCCCACATAAACTTTTGCAACAGCGAAATCAGGAGCGGGAACTGCTGTTCGGATCCGCTGTCGCAATGCGTTTCGACCAACGACACGTAGATCGACATGTCATCCAACGAGTCCACAAAGCTCCCTCTGCAGTAGCTGTACAGCTCAATGCGGCTCTTTTCCACGCCCGTTGCAACGACGAATCTTTCGCAATGTCGACAATATGGCTGAGGTCCTCCAGAAATCGCTTGATAAAGAAAATCTCTTGCGTCATGTCTCGAATCAAAAGAGCAACGACAAGCGTCGCGGCGTCTGTGAAGCGTTCAGCTGCTTCTGCTGAGACCTCTCCAATGGCTAGATACTTGATGAACGCACCATTCGCCAGCAGAGCATACTCGTGCACCCTAATCCTCCACTTATTGATGCCCCTGTCATCTGTGCATGACAACACCTCGTCGGCACCATGAGCAGTCGTAAGGCGATTAGCCTCTTTACGTACACAGCAAGGCTGGTGTACATCATGAACGAGTAGATGGAGCTCAGCTCATCCTCAAACTCTCTTGGTTGGATGGCACTGGTGTGTTGACTACTGCCTCCCGCCATCTCTTTGGCACTTCCACGCATGTCTGCGTATCGTCCTTGACCTGCATCAACCTCCTGCTTCACATCGCGCTTTCCAGCACTAACTGTAGCGGGTGCTACAACACCCACATCAACAGTAATACCCAGTCGAAAATCTGGATTTTCAGTCTTCACAGCGACCTCTGCGTTCGGCTCCAGCTTAATGGGGATTTCAATCTCATTTTTGCTCTCACACTCGTCTTCCGTCTCCGTGTCTTCGTCAGCATTAGTCTGCAGATAGTAGGAAGATCCCAACATCACTCACCAAAGCAACAAAAGTCACTATTATATCGAGAATTTGGCAGAGTTTTTACCTCGCTTGAAGGGGTTAAGCGTCGTTTGGCTACCCCATCAGGCTAAAATAAAAACCTATTTTGTGCAGATGCTTTTTAGAGACCGGATTTTATCCAGACCGGGTGAAAATCTGCAAATGTCTAAACATGATGATGACTTTTGCCAAAATAAACGTCGAAGCTAGAACAAGCTTATCGTCTTCTCACAGAAATAGCTCATGTTTCCTTCCTGTAATACATTGAAGGTTACGGCACTGACGCATTTAGGGGTGGGTAATCGATTCAATCGGATTGATCGAGATGTACTTTCTGACCGATCGAATCAGCCTGTGCCGATTCTCGATTCATTTCGATCAGATCCGATTGATCGGTCGATCCAATCCGACTATCAAGATATAAAAAACAGCAGTAATACCTCCAGAAAATGTTTCTCTAGATATCGCATTTACGTGTGAATAACTTTTAGGCGACCCCCGAAATGACCAATAGCATATGTCCACTCTGATCGCTTATACATGCGATCATGTCCGAAGATATACAATACCACAGGTTTCGGTGCTTCCGACTTTTTACTGCAGCAAGAAAATGTTTGGCTTTAGATGCTGGTGTTATCTATAACAGTGACTTGAAGGCGCTAGATTCGCGCTAAAATCGAGCGCTGTAGCAATGATACCGACGCGGTGCCAGTTCCGTATATGACTAAGGCTTAAGGCCTGAGACTTAACCATATACGGACGTCGGTATCATTGCTACAGCGCTCGTAAGCCTACTTGTGTTGTCTACCAACTCGCCCAGCCCATTTAATGCGCTCAGTGGCAGCAGCGTCTGCGACGTAGCGTGCGCAGCGCTAACATCACCTCGGCTATCTTCAGCCAGCTCACGTTGCTCGACTGCAACTCGCCAGCCACCTCCCACGCATCGCTTCCGCTGTTGCAGCTCGACACGCGCTTCAGCAACACGAAGTCGCTCCAGCGCCGACTGCATGGACTCTGTGGCCTTGGATATCATCTTGGACTGGGAGGAGCCAACCGCGCAGTCGCCCCGCACGAAAGGCACACACAGGGCCAGCACACCCACGACGCCGAACTTGAGCGTGGACTCGTTCGGGTTGCCCGAATCGAGCGTGTCGAAGGCGTCCGAGGCTTGACCAGGAAGATGGCGAGTGCCGGGCTCACGGACGCGTTGATGCGGATCACGAAGAAGCAGAAAACGAGGTCGGTCATCTGGTTGGACCAGTGCCACATCGTGCTGCGCACGACGTCCACGATGCCGTAGACCAGCGTGGACGAGGACGCGTCGATGGCGTGCAGGTACGACAGGAACCAGGCAGCCGAGAGGTTGTGTAGGCGGTAGTGCAGTGCGCGCTCCAGAAAGTCCGTGCGCGCTCCAGGAAGTCCATGGGCTTGTCGTGCGTCATGTCGCCCACAGATGATGTGGCCGTACTCGCTGTAGCAGTCGCCCGCGTACAGCACCTTCTTGTCGTCGAGTCAGGACTCGCACGTAGATAGGGCCGCGAGTCTCTCGCGGCGAGAGAAGGTGGGGCTGCGGCTTGCCGTTCGGGTCGGTGAAGCCGCAGTCCGGGTCTGTTGGCCGTCTTGCGGCCTCGCACGTACTCTTCGCGCTGAGAGCGGACGTGGCCTTTTGTTTGACGTGGCCTTTTGTTTTTATTCTGTGATATCGGTTATACAGCATCACCTCTGTGAGGCACAATATCATCGCAATAGGGGGAGTCGAACCTTAAAAATGGCGACAAAAATATCAAAAGAGACGGGGCCGAATAATCAGCAACGTTCTGCCCCAAAAATCAACAAATCAAAGTAGGGTACTCACTCTCAGTTTTCGCATGTGGCGGACGGATTATTCAACCCCCGAGGAGGAAGCGCTGTTCCTGCCGTTGGTTGTGGCTAGTACATGTACAAGCTGCTGGTGGCAAGCAGCGATGGCCCGCAGTCCCGCCAGCTAGCATTTCATTTGCCCGCCATCAAATTCATGGCAGGTTCCTGCTAGACTCGTCTGTTGACTCACGGTGTTGTACAGTAGGTTCTTTGCGGCGGCATCGACGCGGAGCGCTTGAATCGATCGGCAGCTCGAAGGTGTCGGTCAACCGTTGGTCAACGCGGAATCCGCGTTGACCGGATGCCATTTGCACTTGCCTGGTAGTGCCCTCGCCCAGCCGCCGCATTGCCTCGAGGCGATTTGATTGTCTTCGCGATCAAAACTTCAGCCAGCGCTTTCGGTCTCTTGTCTTTCAGTGCGGCGATCGATGCACCGAAAGCAACAGATGCCGATGCATTTGACACGTCCGACATCATGTGACTCATGTCGGGCACCGCGCGAGCCGCATGGGATTTGCTAGGCTCGATCACCGAGACTGCTTATCATAATATGTAGCGACGGATGCCATGCTGCCGTGCACGGCGCTCCAACCGAGAGAAGATCGCTATCGAAGAAGTATGAGCACTTTGAGGCCGATGCGTATCGACACTATGGCATTCGCCTATATGTACACTTATGTTTAATGTGGACAATGAACTTGGTGGGCTCGTGGCTCGAGGCGCTGCGTTCTCGCAGCTCGATGGCCTCCTGGACTTCCTAGCTTACTTAACTCGAGCCGGGCAAAGGCATAGCGTACATAGAGTTGGCGTGCGACCGGCACAAACCTTTCTTCTTGACGTGCTTGGTGCAGTCGGGCACGCGGCACTTGCGCTTGCCGCCGTGGGCGGTGCACAGGTCCTGCCGCACGACGCCCTTCTGGCAGCCCTTGACGCTGCAGCGCCGGCCGCCGCCGTGGCGGATGCACAGCCCCATGCTGCGTTGGATGTTGGAGCACCCAGCAGCGCGGCAGATGCGGCCGCCGCCGTGGGCCACACACAGCCCCTTGCTCTGGGCGCCGCGCGTGCAGCCCTTACGTTGGCACCGGCGGCCGCCGCCGTGGCTGATGCATAGGCCGCGCGTCACGGCGTTGCTGGTGCACTGCGGGAAGGCACAGAGCTTCTTCTCGCGCTTGGCCTCGCGCGACGCGTCGATGGGGTCCGCCCGGGGCGAGTCCGAGATGCGCATGGAGCGCCCGGCCTGCTCGAGCAGGTGCATCGAGTCGGCCGCCGAGTCGGCCGCCGAGTCGGCCAGCGAGCTCAGGGAGCTCCGGCACGGCCGGTCGAGCCACTGCGTGAGGTCGACCGGCATGGCCGCGGGGCGCTTGAGGCCGCGCATGAGCGTCTGCGCGTCCATGGAGCTGCTGCGCTCGAGGCGGTTCCGGCGGAAGTCGTCGTCCATTGACGGTGGGCCGCTCAACGGCAGGCTGCCGCGCAGCGTGTCGACGTCGCTGCATCCCGACTGCGTGCGCATGTAGGTCTGCGGCTCGATGGCGGGTCTCCAGCTCTGCTCGACGCTGGGCTGGGGCAGGCTCTCGGGCGGCGTGGTCGGCGCCGATCCGCCGGCAGCTGCCGGGTTCGTGTCGGACGGGCACGAGGCCGCGCGCATGTAGCGGAACGGCTGGCAAAGATCGGCGATGGACATGGGGTGGTGCGTCGTCGTCGTCGTGGCCGGCGTCTCCTGGTGCTGGCGCTTGAGCGGCGGGATCGGGGACGCGCAGCTCTCGGAGAAGCTGCCCGAGCGCTGGATGAAGTTGCCGGCGCCCTGGCCGAATGCCGGCAGGCTCGGCCGGCCGCTGCCGTCATTGCCGGCCTGCGCGTCGTCTTGGCCGGAGAACGGGGACGGCCCCGCCCACTTCTGCGGCGACAGCGGCGGCGTGCCCGAGAGGCTCGGCAGCCGGAAGGACGGCGAGCCGACGCCGCTGGCGCGCGGGCTCTCGAAGCTGAAGACGCCGCCGCCGTAGACGGGCGACGTGCTGCGCTCGGGGCTGCGCACGCTGAGCTTGGGGATGTAGCCGAGCGCCTGCTTGGCCATGAAGCGCGTCACCTGGTTGTGGTGGTTGAGCGGCGCCAGCGGGTTGGGCGGCGCGCTCGAGGAGGGCGGGCGCAGGTCGTCGAGCGCCGGCAGTCGGCGCGGCTCGTCGGTGCCGCCGGCGCAGCTCACGGGGTCGGGCTTGCCGTCCATGGGGGGCTCGCGGTCGGGCTCCCACTGGCGCCAGCAGCCAGTCTCGGGCTGCTGCTGGCCGTTGTTGCTCACGTTCTCGCTCATGTGCTCCGCCAGGCCCATGTCCGGACGCGTGGGAGTGTCGGTGCGGTCTCGACGCTGCCGAAGCTGGAATGAGCCGAGCGGCCTTTCGGCGGATCCCGGCCCGGCCCTTCGGCTAGCTGCGCGGAGAAGGAAAAATATGGAAGCGCCGCTGGACTGCGTGGCTGGCGTGCCCGCGCAGATGAGCCGCCCAGAGCGAGGGCCCATAGCGAAGACCACGAGGCAGCGTTCCCGCGGTCGGTCGACACGGCCGCCTCACGCGCCGACAGTGCCGGCCATTCACGCTGCTGCTGCCATTGCCACCGCTGCTGTTGTCGAGCGCGCGCGCAGCCTGTCGATTTTCGATGGCGCGATGGCGCTCGCCTGTCGGCAAAACGCCGGCGCTGATTTCCGTTTTCGGTGAGGTGGCGGCGGCCGCAACCAGTCAGTCAGCCTTTGCCTGTACGGGTCGGTCGAGCAGGGTGCTGCACGGTAAAGATGGTGCCGCGACTTCAACCGCCCAAAGTGGCTGCATCGAGGTCCACGCGCGGTGGGTTCCAGCGCAAGGTTGGTCCAGCGTAGACGCAGCTCGACTATTGTGTGTCTACGAGTTTGGAATCTCCAGCCGAGCGGCACCGGCCTGACAGCGGGCTTGGCGTCCTGAGCTGCTGCCGGACCCGCAACGGAGACCTGGAGCGACCATTTTCCAAGCTGCCGTTGGCGCTGATGCGCGAGTGTCCACCGGCCCCGTTCGAGTCAGTTGAACCCGATAGTCGATTCGACTGTCGAACGTATCACGGGATTCCTCGTCGACATGGTCTCCGATGTCGACGCAACCACCAGCAGATCTGTAGCGTTTGTTCCAGTACTGTATTGGCACTCGATCAGCCCGCTTCGACCGAGTCGAGGTGCTTGGCCTGAACGACCAAGCTGGTTCGCTCGCGCTGCTTGGCGGCGGCCCCATTGACGAGGACAAGTGGTAATGGCGGCATTGATGCTTCATGCCGCTGGGGAAGAAAGGCTCCGCGGGCATTGTCGAGGTGTCCTCGATGGGGGGCGTGGCGTGCAGGCCAAAGCGGCTGGACGACACGGCGATTGTCGATCGAGTCCAGCTTGAAGTTCGGGGCAACTTCAACCAGGGTGGATTCGGAAAAGTGTAGGCTCTCAAGCGCTGGCGCCAAGCAATCGACTCCGGTCGACTGGTAAGTGGGCGGTGAAAGCGGAACGTTGGCCGCGTGTCTGGCTGGGGGGCGTTTCGAGGATCAGCTCGCCTTGCGCGAAGCGGGTAACCGGATTTTTAGGTCAATCCTACATTTTGGTCACGGGTCAAATCCTTACTTTGGTAACGTGACCTAAGCGAATGAGGTCACATGTAATTCGCAAACGGTTTGGTTGTTAAGTAAATGCGTTATAGCGATTCTGCTCCTGACAGATAGCGACTTCCGCACCATTATTCCGCGCTGTCGTAGTCAAAAGAGTCGTCTGGACGATAGTCTGCTGTTTCATGATCCATCTCGGCATCGTCGGCCTCTAGCACTAGAGCAGGATTCAGGGTCATCAGTGGCGATGGTAGGCTGCTCTCATAAGTCTTTGCTCTTCTCTGACCCCACAATGTCGGCGGCCTGACGCAGTTGAGGCGCACTCGGCAGCTGGAGACGTTTCCGCCGAGGAGGCCTACCGGGTACCGAGCCTGGAATGGATAACAACGCGCGGTGCCGCATATTCGTGAGAAATACCTTTTCGTGGCCTACATTACGCGATGGGGGCCGTCTCATGTTGAAGTGTCAAGCTCGAGTGCTGAGCTGTGGTGCGATGGGTTAGCTACTGTTCTAGGCGCGTATAATTTTTCTAAGTGAATGCTACAAAGGACGAAATAGAATCCGGAATTTCATAATGGGTTCCCTATGTCAACGAAGTTGTTCATGGGAGGGTGTGTAGCCCTACAGTCTACTTGTACTACCATGTCGCACTATACGAGCCGGTTGCCTCGCTATTACACTGTGTACTTTGCAATAGTTGAGTTGCGTTATTGTGTAGAATGAAAGCTAGGTATGGTAGGCGGCTCAAAATATAGCATGGTACTACTAGCAGTGAAATATGATAGGCAAATACATGATAAGTGCAGTGGAGGTTTCCACAGAAGCGAGCCCAGCCCACTCATCGGGTGGCTTCTACAGAGCGACGCTACAAAGCGGGCGGTAGGAAAGGGAGGAACATGCGAACGACAGAGAGAGAGGGGGGTCGGTTTGGTAGAAGACGCTGGCAGAAGGCGCTAGCAGGAGTCAGCTGAAACACATACACAGATTACTTTGAAATCAACCTCTTAAGCTAAACAGAGCTTTGGTTTGCTCGGAGCGCTAGCCTCCCTGGTCCTTTATAATAGTGTTCCGAAACCTACATACAGCTCTGACTCTTCGCTACAAATACAGTCGTTATGCCTCCGAGACGGCCGAGTCGCGAGAATCTCCCCCGCTTACCGTCGCGGTGGACAACAGTGCTCGCGTCCCTCCAAACCGAAGCTGGACGCTGGATGGACCACCGGACCTTCACTCTCACTGGCACACCGTAGCAAGTGTGCATATGCTGTCACCTTGCAAGGTAGGCAGAGTGAATTGTAAGCGCTGGAGGATCGGGCATTTGCTAAGCCGTTAGTTAGGCTAAATGACTGTAATGCGCCGCACCTTGAAACGAAACGAGACGGCGAGTCGAGTGTGCGGTCAAATCTGTGCAGCATGCCCATGGCCTTCGGCAACGCTGTGATCCCAGGAACAGCGGGCGGCGGGGTACTCGACTTCGACCTCGAGCGAGGTTACGGGGTCCGACACGTCGAGCAAGACTCAAGGCTAGGTCGAGATAACGCTACGTGACGCTGAGTCCATGAGCTCAAGCGCTGAATGCGAGCGGAGTCCCGTGAGCACGGGTTGGTGACTTTGTACGGTGCTCGTACTGCAACATGGTAGGTAGCACCACCTCCTCTATCTAGGGTATTGCGATCTGCGCTCATACTACGAGCATCACACACGCGTGGTAGCAGCTCACTGTTTAGCAATGTAACTACTGCCCGTGCAGCATGCATGGTGGGCGGTCTCTTGCAGTGTAAATGGTAGGAAGCACACATTTTAGCATGGTAAGGACTTGCAGCGCAACATGGTACTTTTGCTAGTAGCAAGCACGCTGTGCAAGATGATAGGCAGCCCACAGTGCAGCACTTAGCCAGCTTCTACTGTAACACAGCAGCAACTCACGGTGCAGCACTTCGTGTCCTGTAGGAAACCGCACTGACAGAGTACGAAAGCATTGAGAGAGGTGTCGTGTGTACTGAGAAACTTGTATGATGTCTGAATTCTTCAGGCTGACGAGAAGTGGGTCCTCGTCCGCTTCGAAGCTGCATACTTAAGTATGCATTTTGCTCTCATTCTCATGCGGGCGTGCGCGCATCTTACCGTCTACATCAATGGGTGTGACCTGTTAAGTTTGGTCACGTGACCTAGCGTCCTGATGTGTGACCTATTTGACCATCATACCCGTGACCAACTGTTAGGATTGACCTGTTTTCCCCTCTTCGCGCGAAGCGAGGGCGGTGACGACGCTCGGTCGGCCACTCAGCCGTCTGTGGCTTACAGAGCAAGTTGCGTGCGCCTCGCCTGGTCTGCATTGCATTGCATGCTGCTGTCATGCTGTGCATACATGTGCAGTGCAGCCCGCTGGGTACGTGTTCGACGTCTTCTGCTGCGTTTGGCTGAAGTTAGGCATGGTTTCCGGGGCTTGGTGCAGCAGAATCCTTGAAGGTAGCATGGCTGCATGGCACCGGCCGCGCTCGACCACTGGGCTCTCGCGATGCAGTTCGTCTCATCAGGTGTTGCGCCAGCGAGCAAGCCAGGACTTGTCGCTGCGAGCTGAAAAATTGTCCAGTGGACAGTATGATCTTGGCTCCCGCAACAGATTCTGCCCGTTTCGGGTTGCACTCGAGTATTCAGCCCAACGCTACGATTTCGAAGGAGAAATGAACAAGAACAGTATCATCATATTCAAGCGAGGTTCCGGTGGAGTCCTGGCTGCATGATCAAGAGCGCGGGAATGTAGCATTTGCGGGACCCCTTTTCGAAGTGTACTGGCGTGTTACGACTCATAACGCACAGTACACCGCTCTTAGTAGAGTAAGGCGATAAGTGCTCGATACATTGGTGTCTCTATAGCTACATGTACAACGAATGCCTCACAGCCCCTCAATCGGTTGGCTGAAGTCCCCACACATAAAAGTTGAAGCAAGACTAGCCCACGCTGACGAAACAGGCGTAGCAAAGTGAAATTTGGAGAGTGAACTCCAGAACTGAACTGGTAGGATTCGACGGGGTCATGAGGTATGCTAAGTTTGGGATACAAGCTGCGCGCACAAATCTTCACATCAGCTTTCGCTACTCCTAGAGATTCCTACCAACCGCCGTAGGCCACGTGCCGACTGTAGTCAATTCTGCAGTAGACAGCAACTCGTGCTTGTCAATATCCAATCGAGCTCAGACTTTTCGCTGGCGGCAATTCGTTACGACAACGCAGCTTATGTTCATGTTCGTACGACGAGGATCATGCAAGTGGGGGGGGGGGAGTGATGCTGCCGTCACAGTAGAAAGTGATCATAAGCATGTGAGTGTTGGGTACCAACCGCTGTCCTGGGCAAACGGAGGCCAGATGTACGCAGCCTTCACCCCGTAAAGGTGGTTGGGATCGTAGAGCCACGCTGCAGCGCGAGAGGTGGATCACCCCCCAGTCACACCTCTCTACGAGTGCAGCCGCTGTAATTATTAGTGCCATACAAGCTTGCGTACATTTGGGTCAGTTAGACACATTACCCGCACATCAAGAGGATGAAGCATGCCTGGTGCGAACAGTGAACCTGAACGAAACTTTGATACAAACTCTTGCGCTCCGACAGAAAAAAAAGTTAAAGCACAGTAAATCCCATTGACGGGTTACAGGGGACACAAAGGCAGCGTCTAGGACGGTGCCACGACACTTTGTTGTCGGTCCCCGAGGGTGTCACCCTCGGCAGCACCTTTGGTCAGCTCACTCAGTTGAAAATTGACCGAACGTTGCAGCGATACGGATAATACTGATAATACTGGGTACTGCCGGAAAAATTAAATACTTATAGTATCTATCTAATCACCCTAAGATGTCTCTACTTCAACTTGGTGTCAATAACTGTCAAAATGGGAAGCTCGATGGCAAAACCAGCCTGAATCGGAGACGATATCGCTGGAGAGCAGTGGTCACGGCTTCAAGATCATGGGCGAGGACCTGGACATCACCGTTCAGTACAAAGACTCAGCCCCGGTTATCGTGGAACCTACGATTCCGGCCGACGCGAAGGAGTACTGTGGCAAAGTTCAATTCTGCGATACTGTGTCACCGCCTGCGGTGTCGCTGCTTCACCGGTCGTTGTCGGAGTGGGGCCACCGCACTCTCCGTTGGCTGTCATCGCTCGTGTCGTCCGTGATGTCCACTGTTTCCGGCGACTCGGGATCGAGCAGCAGCTCGTGCAGCACGACACCTCGCCCGTGCGTGTTCGTGGCTGGACTCGGTCAGAAGACGGACTACGGGTTGTCAACCACGGACTCGAAGCCTTACTTTGGGGACGAATTCCAAGACTACGTGCCGTGTTGTTCATGGTACGACCTCACCCTTGTGAACGAATTGGTCGGCTATTTGTTAGAGGTCAGCTCGTCAAGCGACTCGAGCACTGGTCTCATCGCAGACACGGTCATCTTTACGCACTCGTCGGCTAACAACATGCTGGCGTACGCGATCTCCCAGAACTTGTGCTCGCTGGCCTCGAGCACAACTTGGCCCGGTGCCAGCGCCCCTATGATGGGGAGTATGGGCTCCAATTTCATCCAGGAAACCTGCGACGGTACTCTTTCTGGCGTCGTGTCGTCTCTCCTAGAGCTCTTGGACGAGTGCCCCGTGACGCCAGGAAGAACCGCACTCTCTTATGAATCGGGGAGCTACGCTTCGTCCGAGTTGAAAGCAGCGTATGAGGCAGCGCAGACCGCGTACGCGACCAATGTGGACGCAGTCATGTGCAGTAGCAGCTACAGCGGCCTACCAAGCCGTGTACGCCATGGCCGGAGAGGTGATCTCGCACAAGGCTTTTCTGAGAACGACGGCCTGGTAGAGTACCAGAGCTGCGCTTACGGGCTCGACACAAGCACGTTCTCGTCCTCGTACACCAGCACCAACTGCTTGACCGAGCTCAACCACCAGGACTGCACCTTTCGCGACGGAGACAGCCTCTTTAGCGACGTCAAGAACAAGAAGCCCATGAAGTGGCTGCAGCACTTGCTCTCATAGCGACACTACCCCCCCCCCCCCCCAGAACCATTAACATACCGTACTGTCGTGATTCATTCCTAAGCGAAGGATCTCTACTGTATTTCCGTCATTCGGGCTGGGTCGAGAGTAATGAGCTCTAGTAGAGGTGGATCTGTGGCTTGGGAAGGTTATGCCTTTCGTCGTGAGCTCATGGTTTGCTGCCAACGTTGAAGGGGCAAGCAGTGTTGTGGCCACGATGTCGCTCTTCGCAAGGCGTGCGAATCTCTCTCCTTACGCGCGCATTCCTCGTCGCTGCATGTGAACCTCCGTTCACTCATCATCTCAAGGGGATGTCATGGGCCGGAAGTGTTGGCCGCGCCTGACTCACGCTGTGTGAGCTCACTGAGCTCCTTCCATGTGCGAAAAGCTTGATAGCACAGCCCGGAAGCCGCTCCCCGAATCCCTCTCCACGACACCAGACGCCTTTGATCCGATGTCTCGAGCCATAGTCAACGCGAGTGTGGGCAAATCCCAAGTGCAGGCTCCCTGCATTTGTACCACAACTGTCGGAGACGTTCAGGTCATTCACGCCTAGCTATGATATGAAGCGAATTGAAAAGTGTCGTGTCGACGATAGCGACACGACACTTTTCAATTCGCTTTCGCTTTGACAGCTTATACTGTTGCTGCCATGGGCCTCGAAGCCGCGGCGACGCTCAAGCATGAGGAGGAACGGCGCCCCACGCGTCAACCATGGGCGTCCTGGAGGCTGTCGCTGATCGCCACGGTCGGCGCCGTGCTGATGGTGACCCAGTTCACGCACTACACGCACCACTTCCACGCGCACATGGCCAAGCACCGCATTCTGCGCAGTCTACAGGAGCAGCCTGCGCTGCGCATGACGTTCGAGCTCAAGCGTAAGCCCATGTACGTCCACGGGGCCTCAACTTTCGACGTTGTGGCGACTCCGGCCCCTTCAAGCGGCAAGAGCATGGTGTACGATGGCATGGCCTCGTTTGAGCAGGGCGGACACACGCACGAGTACTCGATCGTGGACGGCACGGCGTACTACACGAGGCGTCCGACCGGTCAATCAGATGCCGAGGTTGAGTCGGGATGTCTGCCGGCAAACTCCATTCCCCCTATCGGCAGTGTGTTGAGCGCCATTCAGGGTGCCGCCACCGCCACCCACATGCTGGAGCCTGAGGTCGTCAAGGAGAAGTGTCCGGGTGGGTCTATGATAGTCTTCCCTTTCGCCGGCGAGGATTTCGTGCTGTGTTCTCGCCCCTCGAGCTCGTCGTGGTTCAAGGACGACGGCTTTCAGATCTACGGCTCGGACCTCAACATCAACGTCAAGTACGAGGCCACGGCGCCGAAGATCGTCGCGCCCCGAGTGGCGTCGAGTGTGCTGGCGTCCTGCAACAAGGTCCCGTTCGGAGAGCGTATCGCTCCGTCACTGCCGTCGCTGATGACGCGCTCCGTCTCCGAATGGGGCCACCGCGCTCTGCGTGCCGAGAAGGCCGAGTGGGACATCTTCAAGAAGGCCTGGAACCTCATCACCGACAACGTGTGCGGCTGCAAGGGCGCCCAGCGTCCGTGCGTCTTCGTCGCGGGTCTCAGCTCGTACGATGACCTTGGTTTGACGAACGACGACCCCAAGGGCTACTTCGGAGACGAGATCAAGGACCACTCGCCGTGCTGCTCGAGCCGACAGTTCATCACGCTGGCGACCAAGGACAACTCATGGTACGACCCCGTGTTCCAGCAGCGCCTGGTGGACTTGATCATGCAAGTGAGCAGCTCCAGCGACCCGGCGACTGGAACGATCAAGGACACGATCATCGTCGGCCACTCTATGGCCAACTTGATCCTGTCCGGAGCAATCGCAGGCGGCAAGGCCAAGATCGATCCGTCGACGTCGTGGGTGGCCGCCAGCACCCCAATGGAAGGGAGTATGGGCTCCAACTACATCCAGGAATCGTGCAACGGCGAGCAAAGCGGCTTCGTCGCGAGCATCGTCGAGTTGCTCGGCAACTGCCCCGTCAACACTGGCCAGATATCGCTCGCCTACGAAGGCACCAACTTGTCGTCTGCCCCTATGAACTCTGCGTACGCGGCGGCCCAGGCGGCCTACGCGTCAAACGTGACGGCTGTTATGTGCAGTGACAACTTCTCGGGCTTGGTCACGGTCAAGGCGGCGCTGTACACGCTCGCGGGCGAGCTGTTGCCGCACCACTCGTCTAAGAACGATGGCATTGTCGAGTACTCGAGCTGCGCGATGGGGCTCCCAATGGAGAGCTTTGACAACACGTACGAGAGCGCGCGCTACGTGACGGAGCTCAACCACGTGGACACGTCCTTCCGTAATGGTGATGGTGTCTTTGGCGACTCGAAGAAACCGGTGAAGTGGTTCGAATGCCTCCTGTAGGTTGGTGGCTGGCTGGATTCAATAAATACTCGCGCGGCAATGAGCAGAACTTCCTGTCGCTGTAGTACAGGTTTTGATTGTATTGATGGTTTAATGGTGAACTGGTAGACGAGATACGTCGACATCTCGCTACCTTCTTTCGTCTGGTGTAATAGGCGTTGAAGCTTAAGTTTAGGAGGAAGTGCTGCTTCCATGATGGACCTCATCAAGTTGATGCGACTCAAACGGTTGGCATGAGCCACAGAAGGCAAAAAGGTGAACAACTGCACAGCTCGTTCCTCGCTCCCCCACATTCAATCTCCAAGACCGGATGCCTTTGATGCCCGATCCAAGCTGCTGGCTCCCCATAGTAAAGCAAAGTGCTGTAACAGGACATGGGCAGGTGGCGGTCACGGCATGGTGACCATGAAGGCGAGCAGCGGTAGCTGGTCGCATGGCGGATGAGAGCGGCTGGCATGGGTGCGCGGTGGCGGGTCGCGAGATCCAGACGACGGTGGGTGCGGAGAGCCGCACGAACGCGATCTTGGCAGCGAACGGTCGCTCCGAGAGCAGTGGCAGCCGGAACGGACGGCTGGGAGTGGCTGACGAAGAAGATCTCGAAGCTGAAGGGTCGGCAGTGCGAACTGGCCTTCGGGCTGGAGAAGAACGAGCGGTGGCGAACGAGTGAGGACGGGGAGTCGGAAATTTGCGCGGTGAGGCGCAAGCGGTTGAGAATTAGCGCGCTTGGAGCAAGCGAGCACTTACGAGTTGGGTGGCCTGGTGACGGGTTGCCGGACAACGAACGAGGGCGAAAGCTCTTGCTGAACGAAGTACGAGGGCGAAAGCTCTTGCTGGGGGTGACAGCTCCTTCTGGACGAGTGACGGACAGGTGGTGGTGGAGTGTCGACGGGCGCTCCGCTGCTACTGACGAACGAGTGGAGGGTTAGTAGCTCGCGTGCGTGGGTGAACTCTCTTTGTATTGACTGAGTGTAGTTAGCTCTAGTTGTCGGCTGTGGGCTGACAGCTACGAGTTGGCTGAGGACTATTGAGTAATCTAGCCTCCTTAATAAAATTGGATACGTTCGTGTGTGTACGGACGATCCGGCGCAGTAGCTCGGTTAGCTGCTGTCGGCCAGCACGGAGTCAACTTCCAGTTCCCGCGGGCGAACGAACGCAGCGGAGCAATACGATCTGCCCCACGAGCTGGGCAAGATAAGAAGCTCGTTACAGTGCCAAGGACTGTAGCAGCATAGAGCGTTATGGTAGCAACGTACCAAACGTGGATGACGGCAAATTCGTCGATGCATTGTTCTTTGCCGGAGCACCGATTTATCACAAGCACTGCGGACATTTATCAAGGATGCTTTTGTGTGTTTTGCGCTTACGAAAAGCTAGATCAAGTCCGAATAATGCTTTACCCAACCATGAATTCTGTGAGTTCTACTCTACAGGATCGATACCGACAGCAGAACTCGAAGATCCAACGTCAGCGGACGACCCACTCATTCGATTACTCCAGTTCATCAAAGCGAAGATGTGAGCGCGCAGTCTCGAATTTGCATCATGAAGCGCGAACCTACCGCTGCAAACCAGAGAAGACGTGAAAGTCAAGAGCCCGCATCGACGATCATGGTTCTGGCTACGAGCGGCACTGGTCGCTTTCGTCGGCGTCCTCCTCTTCATCACACAGTTCACGACTTTCACCCACCACTTTCACGCGCACCTCGCCAAGCATCGGATTCTGCGTAGTCTACAGACTCAGCCGTCATTGCGACTCACCTTCCAACTCAAGCCCAAGGCCATGCACATTCACGATGCGTCAACCTTTGACGTTCTAGCGACGCCAGTTCCGACGGTATGGCGGGGCGAGAATGCGGTAGCGTACAACGGAATAGCGTCGTTCGAGGAGGATGGAGACACCCACGAATACTCGCTCGTGGACGGCGTTGCCTACTACACTCGTCGTCCAGGAGGCAAGGCCACAGCAACCGAGTCGGGGTGTCTTCCGTCTCACGTCGTGCCACCAATTGACACGGTACTCAGCGCCATTCACGACGCTAGGACAGCCACATACCTGCTCCCCCCAGGACATGCCGACAGCAAATGCCCTGGCGGATCCATGCTTGTTTTCCCGTTCGCTGGCGAAGACTACGTGCTGTGTTCGCGTCTATCGAGCTCCAACTGGTTCCAGGACGACGGGTTTCAGATATTTGGCTCTCACCTGGACATCGATGTCAAGTACGAGCAGTCTGCTCCAACTATTGTACCCCGTCGTGATGCATCAAGTGTGGCAGCAGCTTGTGGCTCAGTTTCATTCGAAAGACGCATCGCTCTGTCCGTGTCGAACATGGTGAAGCGGTCGTTGTTGGAGTGGGGACACCGTTCCCTTCGTGCTGAAGAGACAGAGTTCAGCTTTGGAGATGTGGTGAACGCGATAACGGGAGACGATGACTCGACGTGCAAGTGCAAGGGCAAACGACGCGCCTGCGTGTTTGTTGCGGGGCTCAAGTCTTACAAGGACTACGGTCTTACTGACGACGACCCAGCGAATTACTTTGGAGATAGTATAGCAGACCACGCACCGTCATCAAATACATCACATTGGCGACGCAGGTGAACGCCTGGAACAATGCAACGTTCCAAGGACGCCTAGTGGACTTGCTGCTTGACGTGAGCAATACGAGCGACGTAGCTAAGAAGACTGTCAAGGACACTATTGTAGTGGCCCATTCTATGGGGAATTTGATGTTGGGAGGAGCTATAGCGTCGGGCCTGGTAGCTTTGGACTTGACTTCGACGTGGGTGGGCACGAGTGGGCCGCTGGAGGGCAGCATGGGGTCGAACTATCTCTACGAAACTTGTGACGGCGCGCTGACTGTTGTGGTGGAGAAAGTCTTGGATTTATTGGGGAACTGCCCTCCTAAACCCGGTCGAGCCTCGCTCGCATACCAAGGCTCAAACTACAGCAACCCGAAGCTGGATAAGGACTTCGCGTCCGCCCAAGCCGCGTACGCTTCAAACATCTCCGCCGTCTTGTGCAGCAAAAACCACACGGGTCTGAATACGATCCAGGCGGCTGTTTACTCGCTGGCGGCGGCTGTGATTCCGCACAAGTCTCCGCTGAACGACGGCGTCGTGGAGTATCAAAGCTGTGCGAAGGGCCTCGATATGGACAAGTTTGCTGGCACATCGAACAGCACATTCTACGTGTCTGGGCTCAACCACGTCGACACCTCCTTCCGGAACGGAGACAGCCTCTTTAGTGATAGCAAGCGGCCAGTGAAGTGGTTCGAGTGTCTTCTGTAACTTCGATGCGTGAGCGTCTATGAGTAGAATCGTGGCGTTAATTATACGGTCTGCTTCGTGCGCTCGTGGATGACGTTTATTAGAGCAGCATCAGGTTGCGTAGTTTGATCCGAGAAACAAGCATGAGGCCTGGAAGTTGTTACCTTATAGAGGCAAGACCAAGAGCAATGCTCTTCGAACATGCGTGTACATGTAGCGGTATTTGGCTACCGTACTTACTCAATCGAGTCCAGCTTGAACTCGCATCATACGGCAGTACGCGGGGGGATCACGATTTGGAGAGTACAGTAGCGATAGCGGGAGGAATCCTTTGGGCCTACATGTATTGTGCCTTTCACTTATTCTGCCGTGATAATTCTGGCATAATTCTAATCCCTTCTCGGCTCTAATTATGCCATGAGTTATCTAATTCCCATGTTAATTCCGGGTCGTCCCACGGTCGAATTAAGAGCGGCGATGATGAGGCCGAGTTAAGGCGGAATAAGCTAATCCAGCCTGATTTAGACAGAAACAGAGCGATTGGCGGTTTGCTCCATGCCATTCTGCTTGTATCTCCGTCGATTGGCTCGCAAATGCTGATGGCGTGGGTTAGGGGAATCACTCACAATCATAGGCGGAATTAATACTAAATAAGCGTTGTTCGTCCATTTATGGATCTAATTCCGCCTGATTTAACAGCTCACCCGCCAAAATAGGTGAAAGGTACAATAATACATGTAGCAGCACACGGATACGTGCACCAAGCATTTTCTGCGTGATGTGGGAGACCGTATATCGAGCAGCAATGGTGCAGGATGGCGAGAGAAGTTCTCTCAGAGAACCTCCGCAGAGGGAGACTCACCGCACCGCGCGCAACTCGCGGGCCTCTCGGTCTGAGACAGCAGACCCCGTGGCAGGACTGCGCGTGAAGCAGCAGCATGTTTCCCCACCCTCCAGGCGACGACTATGGACTCTCGTCCCGGTAGCGGTGCTCGTCACCACGGTCGCTCTGCTCTTCGTCGTCCAGTTCTCCACATATTCCCACCACTTCCACGCACATCTGGCCAAGCACCGCATCCTGCGGAGTCTGCAGGAGCAACCAGCACTTCGACTCACTTTCCAGCTCAAGCGGAAGGCCATGCACGTCCACGGCGCGTCCTCATTTCAGGTCCTGGCGACGCCCGCGCCAAGGAGCGCACTGGACGACAGGAGCATCGTTTACAACGGGTTAGCCTCGTTCCAAGAGGAAAATGGATATTCGCACGAGTACGCGATCGTGAACGGCACGGCTTACTACACCCAGCGACCGATTAACAAGGACGCAGGGCAGATGGAATCAGGATGCATTCCGTCCACGTCGGTGCCTCCTATTGAGACGGTGCTCGACGCCATTCACGAATCCACCATCTGATCCAATCTAGCGGCAAGTGTCCACGTGGGTCCCCGATGCTGTTCCAGTTTGCAGGCGAGAACTACGTGCTGTGTTCAAGCTCCTCGTGGTTCCAAGAACATGATGGTTTCCAGATCTTTGGCTCGGATTTTGACATTGACGTGAAGTATGAACAGATTCCACCGACAATAGTTGCTCCGCGCGTGCCAGTTGACGCAGCATCGACCTGTGGAAAGGTGCCATTCGCCGAGCGTATCACTCCGTCGATCCCGTCGCTAGTGACGCGCTCGTTCACCGAGTGGGGTCACCGTTCCCTACGCTCTGAGGAAGCTGAGTACAGTTTCTCGGACTTTGTCAACGGGTTGAGGGGCACTCCCGACGCCACTTGCTCCTGAAAGGCCAAGAGGTGGCCTTGTGTCTTCGTCACTGGGCTCGCAACATGGAAAGACTACGGACTGACTACCCATGACCCGCGGTCGTACTTCGGGAGCAAGTTCCCGGACCACGCGTCATGTTGCACGATCATCCAGTACATCGTGATGTCGACTCATGTGGACGCTTGGAACAATGCAACATTCCAACAGCGACTAGCAGACTTGGTGCTCCAGGTTAGCAACTCCAGCAACGCAACCTCAGGAGACATCAAGGACACAATCGTGGTCACGCATTCACTGGCGAATTTGGCGCTTGGAGGTGCCATTGCCAAGGGAATGTGCAGCTTGGACGCTTCGTCGACTTGGATGGGTATACCATGGAGGGCAGTATGGGCACAAATTATCTGTACGACGCGTGCAATGGCGATTTGTCTGGGATCGTGCAGAAGCTGCTCGATCTTCTCGGTGGATGCCCTGTTTGCGCTGCTCGAGGCGCGCTCGCGTGGCGAGGCAGCAACCGCAGCTCGACGAGGTTGAACGCTGATTATGAAGCTTCGCAACGCGCGTACGCCGATAACGTCGATGCGGTTATGTGTAGCAACAACTACTCGGGGCTGGTGTCAGTCGTGACGCCCATCTTCAACGTTGGAGGCTCCTTGATCCCTCACCACTCGCGTGAGAACGACGGCATCATCGAGTTCCAGAGCTGCGCCAAGGGCCTGCCCAAGGACCTCTTCAACGCCTCGTCGAACAGCAAGCTCTACGTGACTGAGCTCAACCACCTCGACACGACCTTCCGCTTCCGAGACAGCTTGTTCAGCGACACGAAGAGGCCAGTCAAGTGGTTCGAGTGTCTTCTGTAAGACAAAGTTCACATACCTGGTAAAGTAAGTGGAGACATCAAAACTGTATCCAAGCGGTACAGACAACGACGGATAAATCCGGCACCACTGAATGGCATCCTCCATAGTAAATGTGCCAGAATTCTCTGTCAGGAACGATAGAGATTGTACAAGGCAATGACATAAAGTACACGTAACGGAGCATAAAGTACACACAAATTTAGAGAAAGTACTTAAAACCATATGGAACACAAATGTCAAGTGTAAATCTCGAAGTTGATTGGCTATCTGAATTACTTATTGTAAAAAGTACAACATATGTGTGCCGGGTTTTGCGTTGCCGTATTTATCCGTCGTTGTCTGTACTCCGCGTGACAAACACGTTGCACAATTTGGCGCAGGCTCTCATACTCTGCATTTCCATCACTTCATTCTTGTTTACCTATGGGCCAAATCGCAGGATAAGCCGACGACACGGCGAGAAGCTCAAGCGGCTCCTTGACCGCCATTTGGCGATCGTCGCGGTCGCCACCACCGGCTTTCAGCTCCCCTGAACCATGGTCTCTTCACGCTTAGTCGCGATGGCGATGACGTTATTGGTGCTTGCGAGCTGCGACGCCGCGCTGCCGTCGCTCAAGCTCGTGTTCGACGTCCATCGCCCCAGTATGGCGGTGCGTGGAGCCTCCGCCTTCGACATCTTTGTCACGCCCGTCGTGAGCGGGGACAGTGTTCAATTCAACGGGAAGCTGTCGGTCAAGCAGGACGGCGCCACGCACAACTTCCTCCTCGTCGACAGCGTGCCGTACCACGAAGTCATCGACGGTTCAGCCAGCATCACCACCTGCCAGTCCACAGAGTTCATTCCAGGCGTGTCCGACGTGGTTAACGCCATCGCTTCAGCTACTGCGGTCGCCAGTGTCTCGACGAACCAAGCGATCTCCTGCACCGACGGAACGTGGCTGAGCACGACATTGGACGGCGAGTCTTACGTGGTGTGCTCCAAGCCCGACGATGTCAACTTTACAGTGTACGGCGCGGACTTGAGCGTCTCGCTCGAGTATTTGACCGAGAATGTGGAAGTGAACAAGCCGTTGAACTCTCCAAGCGACTGTGCCGCTGTGAAGGACGGATCGGTGGCATTATCGGCTCTGGAAAAGATTTATGGTAAGGCTCTCTCCGGCTCACAGCGCAGACTCAAGGAGGAGGTTAAGACAGCGTCCCTCTCGAGTGCCAAGTGCTCGTGCCAAAGCAAACCTCGTCCGTGCCTTTTCTTCCACGGTATGGACGTCGAGAAGGACGGCGGGATCATCGATGACTACCCGTTCTTTGGGAAGATCAAGCAGCACGCGCCGTGCTGTTCGTCCTTCAGCTTCGCGATCCTCAACACGGTCGACTACGAGTGGTACAACGAGACGCTATTGGAGAAGGCTTGCAACGCCGCTTTGAACGTCAGTACCGGGTCCACGGACAGCGAATCCACAGTGATCAATAACCTTATCGTTGTCGCACACTCCATGGGCAACAACATGTTCGCGAGCGCGCTCGCGAGTGGCATGTGCTCCATTGGGAGGAATGTGGACTGGGTCGATCTGAGTGGGCCTATGAAGGGCAGTATGGGCTCGGATTTCATCCACGACATCTGCGACGGCGGCGAGGACGGATCTCCAGACATTTTGTCCAAGTTTGGAGGACTGATCGGCCAATGCCCCGGCAGCACGACTCGGCGGTCTCTTGTGTATTATGGAGGGGAGTATTGCGATAAGAAGATGTCGGCTCGGTACGCGGCGGCACTGAAAATACACAAGAAGTACGTGACTGCGAGTATGTGCGGCACGACGTACAACGGACTCTTCTCGAAAGAGTACGCGGGTTTGGTGGCCGGAGGCTTGATCATCCCTCACCGTTCGTCTAAGAACGACGGAGTGGTAAGTATTTCGGCATATTTTGCTGGCGTTCTGGGCTTTTTTACTTACAAGTTTGTTGTGTTTTATGCTGTTGGTAGGTGGAGTTTAAGAGCTGCGTTGGCAACTTGGACGCCTCGTTGTTTGAACCCACGTATTCAAGCACTTGGTACGCTGCAAAGTTGAACCATGCTGACACGACATTCCACGACGGCGAAGGGCTCTTTAGTAAGGGCCAGAAACCTCTGAAGTGGTTTGAATGCTTACTGTAAAAGTGCCGATAGATGATGAAACTCAATAGAATAGAACTGAGCTGGAGGTACATGCGGTACATGTACTCGAGCGCATTGCATGATGCACGTGTCCCGCGATACAGTACAGGACCGACCAACTAAAAAGGAAGTCGAAGCTTCATGAGTACATGCATGGACGCGCGAGTGATAAACATCGGTTGCGAAATCGGCTGTAAACGAGAACCCGCGGTCTGGTCTCATACTGTATCCGCAGACGGCATGAGATGCCAGGCACCACCAGAAACGCACGCGTGCATGCAAGCTACTGTAGGTCGTGTTGCGGCAACACGACCACACTGTTGCCTGAAGCAATGAGCGTTGCAATGTATACATGTATCCTACTGTAAAAGGGAGGCAGCCTGCTACCCGAGCTTTGAGTACATGCACACCATGTTGAAGAATGATAAGCAACACTCCGACGACGAACAATGGGAAGTGTGGGAAGTTGCTACAGCTCGTCGTCGTCGGCGACGGCGAGAGCTTCAGGTTCTGCCATCGTGGCCATCCGATGATTCCGTGAGTAACAGGGCACCGAGCACCAGCTTCGATCTTCATGTATCCATACACGCGTTTTATGCTACAGACCAGCCACTTGAGTTTTGAGCTTCATCGCCATCGGGCCCACCACCAGAAGAAGAACGTTGGAAGGAGACTGTCAAGCTGTCTCCTGCATAGTACCATCAAACTCTTTACGCGACGGAGTTGGCTCACATCGAGCACTTGAATAGTAAACTGTATGATAAGTTACATTAAGGTGTTGTGTTTGTACATACTCTACTTACTGTAAGCTACTGCAAGCTTACCATGCCCATGTCACGGTGACTTGCTGCTGCAACTGTGGCCCCTTTTCTTACAGTATAGCTATGACGCCCACTTGCGCTGTTCGGGGTCATGTTGCAGGATCAGAAGCAGTCTTTTTGTTGAATTGGCTGCTTATGTCACTGCACACTCCGATGAAGACCCCGTGCCTCCTCATTTCTCAATCGGAACTCTTGCCCTGAGTCGGTGGATCAAGATGGTGGCGTCACGGCTCGCTGCTGCGACAGCAATGGCGCTATTGGCTCTGACAGGCGGCAACGCCGTCTTCGGAGCCTCATTCCTCCCGTCGCTCAAGCTCGGCTTCAAGGTACACCGCTCCACTATGCAAGTCTTCGGCACCTCCACCTTCGACGTCTTCGTCAAGCCCGTTCAGCGCGGAAGCAGCGTCACCTTCGACGGCAAGGCCTCCTTCGAGCAGGATGGCACCACGTACAACTTTGTGCTCATCGACAATGTGCCGTACTACGAGGTGGTCTCCAGCACCTCCAACTCGACCACGTGCCTCCCAACGGATAACGTCCCGAGCGTTCCTGACATCGTGGAGGCCCTCGCATCCGCCACCGCAGTCTCCAGTGTCAACACGGACCAAGACATCTCCTGCACCAACGGGACGTGGCTCAGCACCAGCTTCGCCGGCGAGCCGTATGTGCTGTGCACGGGTGCCGAGGCTGACAGTGGCAACTTTATGGTGTATGGAGAGGACCTAAGCGTTTCGTTTGAGTACTTTACGGAGGACGTGTCAATTGCGAAGCCAACCAACGCTCCTTCCGACTGCGAGGCGGTGACCGGAGATTCCGTCGCGCTGTCTTCACTGGGCCAGATCTACGGTCTCACGACGTCAGGATCGCGCCGTGCGCTCAAGGAAGAGGCCGGGGCCGCGCACCTCGCGAGCTCCAAGTGCACGTGTCAGGGCACGACGCGCCCGTGCCTTTTCTTCCACGGCATGGACGTCGCTGCGGACGGGGGGATCGTGGATGAATACTCGTTCTTCGGGGACATCAAGGAGCACGCGCCATGCTGCTCGTCCTTCCACTTTGCGATCCTCAACACGGTGGACTACGCATGGTACAACGATACGCTGCAGCAGAAGGCTTGCAACGCCGCCATGAATGTGACCACGGGCAGAACGGACAGCGGGGAGACGGTGATCAACGACCTCATCGTGGTGGCTCACTCGATGGGCAACAGCATGTTCGCGGGAGCGTTGGCGACTGGCAAATGCTCGATCGGCAAGAACGTCGACTGGGTGGCGTTGAGCGGGCCCATGAAGGGCAGCATGGGCTCCGACTTCATCTACCAGATCTGTGGCAGCAGCAGCAGCGACTCGGATACTCTGCTCGCGAAGTTTGGAGGACTCATCGGTCAGTGCCCCGGAACGACAACGCGCCGCTCGCTGGTGTACGACGGCGGTAAATACTGCGACGCCGCCTGCTCGCTTCGGTATGCTGCTGCGCGCGCCATGTACGCCAAGTACGTGACTGCAGGCATCTGCGGCACGACGTACAATGGACTCATCTCGAAGGAGTACGCGGGACTGCTGGCGGGAGGGCTGCTGATCCCGCACCACTCGTCCAAGAACGATGGCATCGTAAGTCTTGTGTGGACGATTAGAGTGCATGGCGACGTGTTCTAACTGCTTATTGCTTTTGTTATTGCTGTGCAGGTCGAGTTCCAGAGCTGCGTTGGCGACTTGGACGCGTCCAAGTTCGACACCACGTACGCCAGCACCTGGTACGCTGCGAAGCTCAACCACGCAGACACGACTTTCCACGATGGCGACGGGCTGTTCAGCAGTGCGCAGAAGCCCCTGAAGTGGTTCGAGTGCCTGCTGTAAAATGCGAGCGATGGGTATGATAGAGCTGTAGGTTCATTAAAAGCCAAATGCATGGATATCTGAAGCCTGTAGTGGCTGGACGCGAGCCCTTGCTCGCTCCCTGCTTCTCTGCATCAATTGCAGACACTCCATGTTGGTCGACCACGAGCGTCTGGTCCGAGTGATAAACATTTGAAGCCGTTGCAGTCAAGCCAAAGTCGTAAACCAAGCGGCAAGGCAACAGACCCCAGATCAGTAGCGGGAACCAGCATCGACTGCCAATTGGGGAGGTTGATGTCACGAAGATGTTCCGCTGTCTGCGGCGTCCAGCATCGTGGCCATCCGAGCGGGATCCGTGAGTAACAGCGCAGCCGAAGCAGCAGACGCCGCGCGGTGTATCCAAACGTTGTCACGCTTCGCGGCTGCATTAAAAGGACACACACCTCAACTGTCAGCTGAACCTGCTATAACTTTTGCACCAGTCACGACGACTTCACGTCGATATACATACGTATGATCAACTTAGTCTTCAAAACACATACCTCCCGATCTTTTGCATGTTGAAGTGATCGCGTTGGAGGGGCGCAATGGCCTACGTCTGCTTTCCTGCGTTATCAAGCGCGCGTGCACTGTATCAGCTCGCCAGGATGGCCTTCACAAGCTGCACGCGGCCTCGCATGACCTTACTCCCATTCCTCAAGTTGCTCGGTGTGGCGCAGGACTCGTGACCCTCCAAATCCGAATGAAGTCGGCCCTCTCTCTCGCTGCGGCTGTGCTGGCCCTGGCCGCCTCCGATGCCGTGGTCTCTGCTGCGTCCTCGCTCCCGTCCATCAAGCTCGGCTTCAACATCCAGCGCTCCACCATGGAGGTCTACGGCACCTCCAGCTTCGACGTGTACGTCAAGCCCGTGCTCAGCGGCAGCAACATCTCGTTCGACGGCAAGGTCACGTTCCAGCAGGACGGCACCACGCACAACCTCGTCCTGGTCGACGGCATCCCGTACCATGAAGTGATCAACAGCACGGCCGACTCCACGACGTGTCTGCCCACGCAGCTGTTCCCGAGCGTCCCGGTCATTGTGGAGGCCATCGCCTCGGCCACCGCCGTCTCCAGCGTCGACACGAACCAGGACATCTCGTGCGCCAACGGCGCGTGGCTCAGCACGACCTTCGCTGGCGAGTCCTACGTGCTGTGCACGGGTTCAGACACCGAGGACGGCAACTTTACGGTGTACGGCGAAGACCTGAGCATCTCGTTCGAGTACTTAACTGAAGACGTGACGATCACCAAGCCGGCGAACGCTCCGAGCGACTGCACCGCAGTGTCGGACGGTTCGGTGGCGCTGTCTTCCGTGGTTCAGCTGTACGGTCTCAGCTCGTCAAGCTCGCGTCGTACGCTTAAGGAACAGGCTGGAGCTGCTCGCCTTGCTAGCGCCACGTGCGCGTGCCTAGGAACCCCCCGCCCGTGCCTTTTCTTCCACGGCATGGACGTCGAGGCGGACGGCGGCATTGTGGACAGCTATTCCTTCTTCGGGGACATCAAGGAGCACGCACCATGCTGCTCGTCCTTCAGCTTCGCCATCCTCAATACCGTCGACTACGAATGGTACAACGACACGCTGCAGGAGAAGGCTTGCAACGCCGCCATGAACGTCAGCACTGGGACAACCGACAGCGGCTCGACGGAGATCAACGACTTGATCATTGTGGCGCACTCCATGGGCAACAACATGCTGGCTGGAGCGTTGGCGACTGGCAAGTGCTCGATCGGCAGTAACGTGGACTGGGTCGACCTGAGCGGACCCATGAAGGGCAGCATGGGCTCGGATTTCCTGCACCAGATCTGCGACGGAGGGAGCGTGCTTCAGGACATTTTGGCTGAGCTCGGAGGACTCATCGGTCAGTGTCCAGGCACTACCACGCGCAGGTCGCTGGTGTATGATGGCGGCAACTACTGCGATGCCGCGTGCTCTGCTCGCTATGCGGCCGCGCGAGCTGTGCACGAGAAGTACGTGACTGCGAGTATGTGCGGCACGACGTACTCGGGACTGCTGTCCAGTGAGTACGCGGGCTTGCTGGCTGGAGGGCTGCTGATCCCGCACCATTCGTCCAAGAACGACGGCATCGTGGAGTTCCAGAGCTGCATCGGTAACCTCGATTCCTCGTCCTTTGACGACACGTACTCAGCCACTTGGTACGCGGCTGCGTTGAACCATGCCGACACGACGTTCCACAACGGCGAAGGTCTGTTCAGCAGCGCCAAGAAGCCGCTCAAGTGGTTCGAGTGCTTGCTGTGAAGAACCTGCTGATCTCAGGACTGAGAGTTCGTAATGAAAAAGTGAATATATCGTACAAAGTGTTCAGGTGTTCCACGCTCACAGTTGCTTCGCCACAGCTAGGAACCGCGAGAGACCCGGACGTTGCTTTGCGTACTCCTCGGCAATTTTCTCCTGGGCGGTAGCGCTTAGAGAAGAAGCACTTCGAATCCACTCTTGCTTTGTCTGCGACTGGCGTCGGTGCTGTGTCTGAGATGCTCGCCTATGGCTATTCAACTCGTGCAGCATCTTGGCCGCAGCAGCGTTAGACGCCTCGTTGGCTTCGGTCTTAGTGAGATTGAGTTGCCACGGAATGGATTTATCCACGAGATCACCCACGCATCGACCGTCCACCGTGTAAAAGGAGATAGCCCCGCTCTCACTGGTAACAGCAAGCAACGAGCTTGAACTCTCAACTCCATGAACCACACACAAGGCCCTCACTGAGTCACCCTTTTGAACCAACCACCTACAGCGAATCAGTAGCAATGCTGAAGAGAAGGCGTCACTTCGATCCAAATCTGTCCACCTTGGTGTCATAGACTTTCGAACTGTGTCGATCTCCTTGAACAAGCCCCCAAAGTCGTATAAAGTGACGAAACCTTGTAGCAGCAAGAACACTTGTTAGTATGTACTCGAAGAGATCATCGACTAGTGCTCATGCACTTACCGTGATCGTCTCCAACACATAATATACTGTTAGTATCGTCAGAGAGCCACGCCGCAGCACAGACGAGACAATCTGCGTGAGGATTGTGTCGAACGTGTCTGTCAGAGCACTGATCATCGACTTGTGGGTCGAGTTCATTGCCATACTGCAGACACAAAATGCGTTGATGCGCGTATGGGAAAACTGGTGGAATAGCTCTGCTGGACCAAATCGATAGCTGACACGAACGCCCTTCCTCCACCAGCACAAAGTATGGGTGTGGGTCGAGATACACAACTTGCCCAACCAGAGACGCCTTCAGCCTGCTCGTCTCGTGAGGACAATCGAGCATACAATCGCTGTCATGCTCAGGCTTGCTCGCAGTACCTGTTGCAACCACCGTCCCGCCCTTCACTTTCCACACACAGAATGTGCCGTCAAAGGGGGAGACCGTCACCAAGTGCTGAAGTTTACCATGCACGTCAATTGTGACGGCATCGGGGCCTCCATTCCCACTACTCAGCGTGGCTGCTTGTTGAATATCTTTCAGTCTCATTTGCGCTTTCTTGAGGAACGCAGTCAGTGTGACTGCTTCTCGACCAGCGAAAGTTTTCTTTACTGCGTTCGATAGTTGACTGCTATGGAGCGTTGGGAATGCTGCGTCCAAGAGTTCTTTGGCTTTTCGCGTTGTAATCTTGCCGGTTTGGGCGTAGTCAGCAGACTCAAACAGTCTTGTGAACTTCTCGATCGACAATGTATCACCGTTCTCGGTACTATTCTCATCCAAACTGCTGTTGTTGCTTACACTTTGGACGCCGTGCCAGTGATTCAGCGTGTGACGCACCTCTAGATCCGCGGACTGCGAAATCAACACTGTGCCGTCAAAAGAGCTCGAGACGACAAGTCTTGAGCCGCGCACCCATCTTACCGCCGCAACTTCGGCAGTGTGCAGACGCTTTGATAAAATCACGGCACCGCGAGGGAGCATCACACGCGCTACGGTCCCATCTTCTGTCCCCACAACACACGAGTACTTGTCTTCCACAATGGAGACGCAGGTAACATCGACTCGAATGGAAAGTTTGTCTCGTCGAAGCAAATCTCCCGAACTGGCAGCCCAAGCTTGAAGCTCTCGCGGTGTTATTACTACAATAGAATCGCTTGGATGGTGGGAAACCACTGCAAGAGGCTTGGACCGCTCCTCCACATCGAAATCATCCCGAAATTTACCACGATGTACCGACAATTGTTGACTGGCTTCCTTCACTTTTGTTGTTTCTCCGAGATCTACACCAAAATCCACAAAAAATACGCTGGAGTGGGCGATTGCAAGCCGCTTCCGTGAAGGCATGTAGCACATGGATCGCATTGGGCGCGTAAGCGTTCGTGGTAAAGTATGGTCCTGTATGTATGATTCGCGCTTGAAAGCTCGAACAGGTGCAAACTTCCGTAGGTCCCATATCTTGATGAAGCCGCTTTCGTCGGCTGAAATCACTTGAGGTGAGTCTGGGGCGATCTCCAGACCGATCAACTGGTGCTTGTGGCCCTTTAGAGACCCGATCTTTTGCTCCACGTGAGGATTCCACAGATGAAGACAGTGATCCAGCCCCCCGCTCACTAGGTAGCCTTTAGTCGCGCAGTATTTCAGCATCGTCACGCCTTTGTCGTGGCCACTCAAGGCTTTGCCAATGCGCTCGAGGTGCAAATCGAGCACGTAGATTTTGCCATCGAGACAACTTGCAGCAATGTGCGTCGTGCTGTGAATGGCAGCGATGTCGGTCATGACCTCGTGGCCCTTCGTGAAAAATGAGTGCAAGTTTGAAAGCGTCTCCAGATTCCACACGTGAATTTGTCCATTCGTACACGAAGAATAGAGCCGCGGAGCTGACGTGTCCAGGGAAATTTCTAAAGCTGTTTGGGCCACCTCAGTAGGAATTTGCTGAAAGCAAGGGTTCATCATGAAAGGTTAGGATGCAACAAATTGCTTTTGGACCGAGCCTGGAGACAAACCTGCCGAATGAGAAGTTGGTCTACATCGTAAAGCGTGATGACTGGTGACGTTGCAGCTGTGATCACGTAGCGACCCATAGGCGAGTATACAGCGTCCAAAATGCTGGTGCCTCTGTAAGATCACTTCATGGTTAATAAAAAAGATAAATAGTGATTGTGCGCATGGATCGAAATTATCTTTGTGGGCTCTTCATCTTACCTTGAGGGAGCGTTATACTCACTCACGATGGTATTTGTTGTGGGATCGAGCAGCCGAAAGCCTTTATTCCTCGCATCATTCAGAAATACTCTATCGATACCCTCGAAATAATACTATAAAAGTCCACAACAGCGAACATAAGATCCACCGACACCAACCCATAACATCTATGCAAGACCCACCATGCCGTGGAGTTCAGCTGACATGTTAAGCGCGTCGGGTTGGCACATCAACTGAAAAGAAAATAGTTTTCAGTCTGTTAGCAGCGAAAATAAAATAAAACAAACGAGTGAGGCTTTACGCACTCGCTGACTGGCTGTTTCCTCCTCTGGCAAGTGCTTGTCTACCCGTAACATGCATACCAGCGTCATGAATTCAAAGATATCAGTAGGTATTAGCACAATGTACGAACCGGAGGGCTTGAAGATTGACGAGCTGAAGTCCTCCCACGTCAGGTATCCCGCCGCATGCAAATCGGCTTGCTGGTAAAGGCTACTGAGCTCGTGGATCAGGTTAACCTTGAAAGAAGTATAGATCAGCGTCCTGCATCTTGTAAAATCTAGGGCGCAATACCCCACAAACCTGCTGGTCCCATTCTAAATCTTGTGCATGCAATGCGTGAAGCATCTCCGCAGTAAAATCCTTTTCATCCAGCCGACCGCGTCTTTCAAACGCCAAGCGCATTGCAGCCATCCCGTCCTGGCCTGCACCAATTGACGTGTTATCTGTCTGACACCGCAGAAAGACAAATATAACAGAACGAACCTAGCATTGCTAGCGACTTTGTCGGTGCATGGACCGTCGTCGAATATTGGGGATGCGAGTTGGGAGTCCGTCGAGACGTCCGCGTCGACTGGTTCCATCCTTGGTGTGTCTGCTTCAATACCAGCTCCTTTTCGCGCTTGTCCCGGGCAATAGCGCTCTCTCGAATTTTTGGAAAGTAACTTGACGGCTCAGCAACAAAACGATCCCGAGCGTTCTGGAATCGCTGGGTCTCGCTTGTGGCAGGCCGAGCAGCCTCAAATCGACGAGATCCAGTCTGGAAGGCGGAAGGTATCTGCCGCAGCGATCAGTCAGTGGACTGGACTGGATTCTACATGTAGTCGCCTTCGCCAGCTCGACGTACCTCTGCTGGTAAGTAGATTGTTCGTTGATCCAGCCTGCTGGGACGCCTGGAGCTATGGGCCGAGGACGGGGGCTGCGGCTTCATCGGCGAGACATCGACCAAGTGGACACGCCGCTTCAATGCCGAGGACCGTTACTGCGTATATTGGTCGGCCACGAAAAAAGAACTCCATCTCGATGACAAACACTTCATAATATTGTAAAGCTTTCTCGCTGTTGATGGTGCCACGTCTGTATTCGTTTGTGTATCGTCACGTTTGCTGCTCGACTCTATTGGGGGGAGTGGATGCTCGCAGTCTTTAGTACGGCGTCAACCAGCTCCGCGTGTTTATCCTTGGTGACCAACTCCAGCTCGACCTGCTTGAACGCAGCAACGTAGGCGTACTTGATGTACCCAAGCCTATAGTGTGCCATAAACAATTGTAAGCAACGAATGTCAGCTGAGGTGTCGAGTACAGCGCAACCAGGAAATATAACTTACTTCTCGAAAAGCTTCAGCGACGCGCTGTTCGTTTCGATGATCTTGCAGAAGAACCGCGTGACCTTGAGTTGGGAGGTGGCTACAGCAGCAAAATTCCCCACCAGTCAGTTAAAGAGCCTCACAACTGGAGACCAGCACTTTTCAACCATACCGTAAGCCATCATGAGCTTCACCGCCTCCTCCGCGAAGCCCTTGCGACGGTACTTGTCCTCGGCGATCATGATCTCCATCTCGCACGCGTGGGGGTCGTCGTAGTCGTTGAAGAACAGGTTGACGTCTCCCGCCATGCCTGCATCAAGCCATCCACACGGCAATACTTTAGCCTATTTGCACCAATTCATCTCCACCTTCGCAACAAACTGACGGTCAATCGCGCTATCATCGACGTACGAAGCCCCCGGCTGGCCATCGCCCTCCGCGTGCGCCAACACGATGAACGTGCACTCTGCAGCCCCATAAATTACACAGAAAAAGAGTATCAGCGTCTCTATCCAGTCAGATTCAACTGCATCTCGTTCGTACTCTCGGCGTCGTCCCTCCAGGCCCTCTGCATCTCAAACTCCTCCTCGATCGAGAGCGGCTCCGACGCCGTCATCTCTGCGCCATACAAAACAGTCCAGTCAGTATACTACCGTTGTTATAATAAAACCACCGAGGTGGTTGCAGCTATTGGTTCCTCGCCTTGCAGCCACGGGTCCTTCATCCAGTTGTGGTACTTGGGCACATGCTCCGTCTCGTACGGCACGAGCGTCACGCGCTCTCCTGTCTGCATAATAATTAAAATACAGCAATGCGCACAGTAAGTGCGCTTAATGGTGTCAATATGCAATGCAATTAATTGTTGCGGCTGGAACTGCGTACAATGACGACGCCTGCATTCGCCTTCATCGTGACCGCTCAAGTCTCTCTGTGCCGGAGGTAGGTCAGGAGGAATAGTTGGTGTGGCACACCTGAACTAATCATTTCCGACAATCTGACTTTTGATGCACGAGCCATGAGCTCCTCGGCGGACGGGGAGCTGGCGACGCCGCTGGTGGAGGCTCTACGCGTTCTCGCGCAGCACGGATGGGTCGACGTAATGCGCCTTGATCTCCTCTTCACTCCCATACCCTATTGTATGCGTATTAACGTACGGGTGCGCAGGTGGACGCAGTGGAAGCCGTCGCTGCAGTCAACAAGACGCTGCGGGCGGCTGTGGAGCGTCTGAGGCTGCGGCGACTGGCGGTTCGAGTCGGAGGTTTCCCCAGGGCGACGAGGTTTCAGTGAGTTACAAGTGTGAAGGCTGTAGAGGTCGCAGTGTGGAGTGGGGAGAGTTGGAGCTGAAATGTATCAATGGTGCGGAATGTTGAAGCTACTGGCTGCGAGCTGGCGACGTCGCGACGCTGATGGGGGAGGCGGCCAACCAATTGAGCAGCAAAGAGCTCTATCTGGAGGTACTGGGAGACAAACTTCAGTGTGCTGGAGCTTGGTGGATTGAGAGATGTGGTTGATGTTGGATAGTTGGCTGGGATTGAGACACTGGAGGACACGGCGACACTAGGAAGCACCGGCGTGGAAGGTAACCAGAGGATTAATGATTCGGGGTTATGAACGTCCAGCGGCCGAGTTGATTATGCGGTGTGTGGTGGCGTGGGTACAGGAGAAATCAGTCGAGATATTGAGCGCACTTTTCCAGCAAACCCTCTCTTCTCTGAGGAAGGTGAGTAGTGCCGTTATTGTTGAGTAAGCCAGTCGTATTGATGCAAGCATTGTTATGCATTTGTTGGATTGGCAGGTGACGGTAGACGGCTGCTTGGGAATGTACTGAAGGCGGTTGCTCTTCATGCAGACGATATTGGCTATTGCCAGGTATGGATGGTGGTGCGAGTTTTGTGTTGTGGTGGTGGAGCTAAATGCTTGAGTTTTTTTTTTACAGGGCATGAACTATGTTGTGGCTGCTCTAATTGTCGTCATCAAAGATGCTCAAGAAGCCACGAACCTGGACCTCGATGGACTTTCAGTTCAAGAGGTTGCGTTTTGGCTGACAATCTCCTTAATTCGGCGAAAAGGGATGGCAGACCTGTGGAAGCACAAGATGCCAGGGTTCGTTTACTGATGCGGTCGTACGAGTGTACTCGCGAACGCCTGACTAACGTACTACCGATAATCTGCTTTATGATCCAGGCTGTCGCAGTGCATTTATCTTTTCCAGCAGCTCCTCAAGCTCCACTTTTACGATTTATCAGCGCATTTTCGGCAGATTGGGATGCACTCCAACATCCTTATCACCCAGGTAACAAATCTCTGGTGCCTTAGCTGCTTGTGACTGTGACTTTGCAATAACTAACGACTGGCGCTGCTTCAGTGGTTTGTGACAGTATTTGCGCGAGTGCTTACCATCCCGACCCTTACTCGTGTATGGGACCTGTTCTTTATGGACGGATGGAAGACTGTTTACCAAGTTGCTCTCGCCATTACCTCGGAGCTGCGACCAAAGCTTCTTGATATGGTAGGATAGAATGTGGGGCGCATCTCACACTTACTTTCTCTAATAGCGCTCTATTCCTTGACTATCAACATCGCAGGACATGGAGCAGTGCAGCGAATTCTTCCGAAAGAACCCCAAACTCGGCCTGGAAGAGGCGTTTACCCCCGAGCTGTTGCTACAGCGTGCCTTGCTGTACAAAGTGACTCGCTCCAGTCTAAAGCAGTTGGAGGAAGAACGGCATCTTGAGGTAAGATTTCAAATTATTCGTGCCTCGTAAGGAAGAAGCTTAAATGTTTGCGTGTGTATCATCTGTGTGCTATTTGACAGTATCTTCGGCTTCGGCTACAGCAAACACCACTATCTGAAGAGCATCGCATGCTGTTCCCCACCCTCGAGCACGAAGGCGATGCCGCTGCACAGCGGAAGTCTCTGGAGTTGATCCGCTCTAAACTACGTCGGTTCGACACAGATGTTGCGAGTGATACAGCCTTCCTGCAGCACAAGATTGAGGCGGCCGAGAAGACCCAGGCTCAAGCGATGTCAGTGCGCTATGCCATCGCGTACGAGCTATCGGAGGCGGCCATCGAGTTGAACGAGCGTATCGAGATCCGAAATCGTCTACGCTCCAAGTTCCGCAAGCTCATGGAGGTCGCTATCAGCGAGGCAACCACCGCGTCGACGACGCGCTCATCGGCTTCAGGCTTCACAACGTGGATCAACCCGTTCGAGTTCATCAACGAGCGCATGGCCAGCTGCTTTGAGCGACTTCCTATCCTTTCAAGCTACATGGACGCAGGAGATGAACTTCGTGGTGGCGACAACGACACAGACGATGAAGAAGCGGAGGAAGCAGAGCGCAACTTGGTGCACCTCGAAGTCCTCGTCCCTCAGCTGGCAGCAGAACTTCGACTCTTGCAGAAGTCACTCGCGTACAACGAGAGAATTATTCGCCCTCTGCTGCAGCGAACTCGAAGACTTCAGCGTGACGCGCAACTAGCTCGAGTCGAGTTGGAGGAGGCCCAGCTCTTCAAGGACCGCTTGGCCGACCAACTGCTGCAGATCATGTTGGCCAGCGAGAAGCTCAAGAACGAGCGGATGCAGCAGCTCTTCGCCGAGGTTGATCGATCGAGTAGCTAGCGGAATGAGCACAATGCTTGGAACTGGATAAACGTGGGAAGTATCTACTGTATTACTACCGGGGGATGGAAGCAGACACGCACTAGAGTAAAAGAAGGCGCGAGAGCACGCGAGCTCTTCCTTGGCAACAAGCGAGCGCCTCTCGCCCCTTAAGCGTGCTTGGTTCCGTGTCCAGAGGTGACTGAGTGAGTGAGTGATCATTCACTCTTGAGCTAGACTCTCTCCTACGAGGAAGGAGGCTGGCTTACTCGTCTTCCGTCACGACGTCGGCGTCAGCGAACTCAGCCGCCACAGTGGGCTCGGCGGCAACGGGGGGAGCCATGCCCGGGCCCCACGAGGGGAGCTCAGCAGCGACGCCGCCCAGCGACGGGAAGGCGTCGTTGTCTCCGGCGTTGAACTTCTTGTTCTTGTTGCTCTTCTTCTTGGGGGACGCGGCCTTGGCGGGGGCAGCAGCCTCGGCAGCGGTCTCAGCGGGCTTCTCGGCCTTGGGGCGGGCCGTCTGCTCGTTGAACCAGACCTTCTTAGCCTTGACGGCGGCCAGCGACTCGGACACAGCGTCGGCGGCCGCCGGGGGCAGCAGGCCGATGGTGCTGAAGGCCTCGAGCTGGGCGAGCGGCAGGACGATCTTGCCGGCCTTCTTGGCCTTTTTGCCCGACTTGCCCTTCTTGTTCTTCTTGCCACCGCCGAGCATCATGAAGTCCTCCTCCTTGCGCTGCAGGGGCTTCATGCCGTCGAGCTCGACGGGGGCGGCGGCGGCCTCGGCCTTCTCAACCTCCTCCTTGAGTTCCTTGGCGTACGTCTTCTCGAGGAAGCTCACGAGGGCGTCGCACAGGTCCATCTCGTCCTGGTACGGGTGGATCTTGGCCATCTCCTTCTCGTAGTCGGCGAGCTTGGCCTCGTACTCGGCCTTGCGGGCCTCCTCCTCCTTCTGGAACTCGAGCTCCTTCTTCTTGCGCACGAGGCGGATGTTGTTGTAGTACTTGTCGTTGGCCTCCTTGAACTCCTTGCGCAGCGCCTTAATGGCCGTGAACTTGTCGTCCAGCTGCTCCTTGATCTCCTTGCGCTCCTTGGCGAGCGCCGGGAACTTGTCCTTCTTGTTCTCCTCCTCGTTGAGGCGGTAGAGCTCGTCGAGCACCTGCTTCTGCGCGTTGAGCTTCTCCTGGACGGCGTCGATCTCCTCGTTCTTCTTGGCCTGCAGCGCGCGCGTCTCCTTGATGCTCTCGTTCTGCTTGTCCACGACGCCCTGGTCGCCCGAGAAGGCGCCGACCTGCAGCTTCTGCGCCTGTAGCTGCTCGATCTCCTTGATCACGCGCTTCTCCTCGTTGAGCGACATGGAGCTCGTCTCCTGCTTGTGCTTGAGCTCGGCGATGGCGGCGTCGAACTCGGCCTCGGAGCCGAACTTGAGGTTGGCGCGCAGGCTGCGCTGGTGCTTGATGGTCGAGTCCTTCTCGTCGCGGGTCTGGCGCAGGCGCGCCGTGATCTGGTTGCGCTGCTGGATGAGGTTGTCCTTCTCGGCGCGCAGGGCCGCGAACGTGGCCTTGGCCTCCTGGATCTGGCCGCCGTAGCCGCCGCGGTTCGTCTTGAGCGCGTCCATCTCGGCGCGGATCACGGTCGTGCGCGCCTGCAGCTTCTTGATGGCGGCGTCCAGCACCGCGATCTTGGCCTCGTGCTCGGCCTTGTCGGGCTTGCGCAGGCGCTCGATCACGTCCGGGATCTCCAGCTCAACGGCGGCGGCGGCCGCGGCAGCAGGGACCTCTTCGGCGCTCATGGTGACTCGTAGGTGTGGGGTACGTTAGTCTAAGGGGGGACTCGATCGACTATGACTGGCAAAGCAAGCACATGGTTTGAAGGGATCGATCGGCTTGGACAGGGCCTGTGGGACTTGGTATACGTTGCTAGAGGTTGTCGGTTCCACGTGGCAGAAATGTGGTGCACACGATACTTGGGTGTGGACACGCAAACTGCACCCGAATGACAGCTCAAGTTGAAGCTGACGTGATGTTGACCCTTGACCGGGGCATTCCATATTCATCCCGAGGGAGAGAAGGAATCTCACACCGCAATCTTCCGCCCGCGCAGCGCAGTCTCAGCATATATAGAGATAACAATACGATGCATCCAGTGCCTCCGCTGCCGCTGGAGACGGCGCGCCGCATCGCTGGCGCTGCCGTCAGCTCGCTGGACGTGACGCTTCGTCTGGATCCGGACGCCATCGCGCCTGCGTACTCGTGGGTCGTGGTGACGCTCTCGTCGCACCAACTGGCAGGCCACGCAGGAGACACGCTGCGCCGCAACATCCGTGAAAGTTTGCGGGTGCTCACGGCGCTATCAGCGTGCAAAGGGCTCTCAATGACGGAAAACGCAAAGTTCTGGAGCGAGCTGTGGCCCGAGGACCCGGAGTATGAGCGGCACCAGCCGCCGTGGGCCGCCCAGTGGAAGCACCTGCGTCTGAGAGGGCTCCCGGTGCCTTCAACCGACAGACTGAAGTTCCTCTTCAGGGTCTGGGACGGGGAGGTCGGAGGCAGGAACCACGCGGACGTCTTGGCGCTGGTGGAAGGCATCATTGCGGACTCGAAGGAGAGCGAGAGCGCGGGCTTTCGCCTTACGATGGAGATCTTGGCGCGACACATTGAGCAGGACAGGTGGTCGTTGTTGCAGGTGGAGTGTGCGGTCGAGACGACGCAGGAGCACGCCAACAGATGGGGTCGGTTGACTAATGCAGCAAAGCAGGCGGAGGTGACCAAGATGTGGATACCCTTTCACTTTACAGAGTGCTTTCTATCGGCGCAGCATTGCCTGGGGAGGTCGGGTGTGCTGAGGGATGCGGCGGCGGTGTTTCAGGTGCAAGGCGGCGATGTCCCGGTGACGGAACTCATGCTGCACTTTGGCTGGGATTCTGCCGAGAGGAACTTGGACAAGCGGCTTCGGGAATTTAAAGCACTCCTGTGGAATGCTTCGAGCGCGAATGAGCACGCGCTACGTATGCTACAGATCACGGGGAGATGCCTGACGGACGCGGCGTTTTTCGGTACGCTGTGCTCAGCTTTTCCGTTTATTGGATCGTTGCAGGACCTTCGCGTTGTGCTACCGCCGGCTGTTCGAAGCGATAGGAGGACTTTGCTGTGGATATGGCTCGCACTATCGATCTTCCATCCAGAGTCGGGGTCCAAGCTGCAGCATCTCGATCTATCGCAGCTTGATGTGTCGGCTGAAGACGTCAAATTGGTTTGTGGCATCAAGAAGCGACGATGGTCCTCTGTTGCGTTCGAATTGCTGATGGGAAGCCCCGGTTTGCAGAATTCGTCACTACCAACACGCGGAGTGACAATGGCTTTGGTGAAAAGTTATACCAGAGTTGAACCAGAGCCGATACGTCGATTATTCACAAAACCTCTTGTGACGCTGAAGAAGGACGAGGAATTTGTCGTACTCTCCCTAGAAGAAGATTGGGTTTGCGTATGGCTACCCGGTTTCGGACGCGGATTCGTGAAGCGCCAGTCTGTTGTATCCATCTCCACACGTTCGAGTGTTCTACCATCGGGCGAGTCTGGCATCACTTCCCTCAAGCTAAAGACAGTGGATATATCGGCGACCTTAGCGCTGCTGCGAGTAATTGGAGGCCATCTCGAGCGATTGACGCTGAACTGCGAGGCATTCACCAACGCGCACTTCAACGAATTGCTGGAGTGTTGTCCACACTTAACCCAATTAAGTTTACGATCGGGGAAACTCGATGACTTTTCTACACTGATGGAAGCCTCGGTTGCAGGAACCTGTAAGGTTTCCTCCTTACACATCTCGTCCCGAAACGTTACGACATCAAGCTTGGAATGCTTGGCAAAAATGCTTTCAAGTCCAAGTCTGGCTAGTGCATCCCGTCTACGGGAGCTATACTTGCAAACTGGTCGACTACAACGAACGGACTTGGAGATTTTGCTTGGGCTGCTGAAATCGAATCGTACGCTGAGCTGTTTGCACATTAAGCTTGCGTTCAACCTGTTCGATGAGTATATGCCGCGCTTTTTGGCCCATCGCGGCGATTGGCTGCGAGGAGGCAAAGAAGCCAGGAAGAAGCTGGCATTCATCAGCGCCATGGACTCTCCTGCACTCGAGGACAGTGCAATGCAGAGGACTGATGCTGTTATGTTAAGCAAGATCTTTGAGTTTGCCTGTGACGGGGAGAGGAGGATTTTGCTGGACGAGTATACGGACGGAATGACTCTGCAAGAAATCGTGGCGCGCGTGGATGCAGCCGAACGGTGACGCCCAAACGTCTAAGCTTAGACAATTCATTGAATGTCGGTGTTGAAATTCTGACGAGCACTTTGGATAAGGTGGGTGCTGAGCTACGAGATAACAGCTATTTTCGTGGCTTGCTTTTATTTTTTACGCTGAGAGCGTGCACATCGGGGTCATGCGAACTGTTCTTGACTGTCTCAAAACCCAAGTAGTGAAGTGCAACAACGCATACGTAGAACTGCTCAAGCTCTGGATTCTGTTGTCGCCGCAAGTGAAATCGGTGGTAAGGTGGTGACTTTCTTGAGCTGAGTTTCGAGACCTAAGATCGAAGAGGGCGCGTTCGCAACGGGGAAAAAATAGCCATCACGATCTGGTTCTCCTGCGTCCTTCTCAGGGTATCACCACTTTCCATTTTAGGCTGGATGCCTCGAACGACCCCCACCAGCGCGGACCAAGAACCAGTGAGTGTCACCTCTTCGCGGGTCCCGCGAATTTCCAGAGTGACACGCTGCTGTTATGGCTTGGATAAACTATGGTCTGAAGTCCAAGTGGGTCGGCAGGGCTCCAATTCTATCGAGCGCGCTGAAAGCATGGACTACTACTGCAAGAACTCGTCGTTGACCCGCGTAATTGCTGTGTGCGTGCTAACGCCGCTGCCAACGTTGGCTTGTGCAATTCTGCTCCAGTATCTGCCGCTCCAGCCACCATCCGAGCGGTGGGCCGCGAACTGGGTCTTCTGGATTCGCTTGGGTTTGATGGTGTTTTTATTGACCTTTGCTGGGGTGTCCGAGCTGAAGATATTCATCCCAGAGCTCCACTTCACATGGTGCAAGAGGGTGATAATAGCTTTCGGCACTACTGCAGCGTACATGGGGACATGCTTACTCGTAGCTAGCTTCGTCGGATTCCCGGTGCCCTTTGTATGGCAGTTTGGAGGCAGCTTACTGGGCGTCTATATCCCCTTGATGGTTCTGCTCGTGTTTGGTCGTAAGCAACTAGACCGAAGCTCTCGCTGCTACCCGAGTCTATGTCGGTTCCTTCGGTTCTTCTTCGCGTACATCGTGCTCATCGAGCTCTATCCATTGTACAAGGTGCTGTGCGATCTTGCGCCACTTGACATATCGAGGGTTGTGGTCGTTGTTCTGCCAGTATGGAGACTCGCCGCTGAGAACTTTATCGTTCAGTCCACACGTCAGCTGGAGGATTTAATCCCTGCAATGGTCACCTTTTCGGTTGACCTCTTCAGCATGCTTTTCGTGTCCGTATGCATCTCAACTTCGGGATCGATTCGCATGTCCCTGGTGGTAATTGTGATAGATTTTGTGCAGTCTCTGCTTGAACTCCGTGATCTCCGCAGAAATGCGGACATCGTGGTAGAATTACTTCGAGAGCAGAGGGACTTTAACCGTGATCTAGGACAGGGCATTCCCGATCAATCCGACTGCTCAGGAATCGATGAGCTCCTGACAAAACTTCTTGTTGTGGCTCGCAATCCTGGTAGTTTTCGCGCTTCAGATATGGAAGGCACTCGACTGTGGGCGTGTCTCCCTCATCCAACGACTGCAGAGCAAAGAGAGCAGCTAAAAAGGCTGGATTCGTCTGGGCTATACAGTCGAGAAAGCCTTCCAGTGAGCGGAAGAACGTCGAAATCAACTCGGCGTCTAGCGTGCTGCCAACGGCTAACGTCTCAACTATTGCGAGGCACTCCTGTAGTCCCAGGTCCTGGACTAACACTTGTTAATGTCTCTACCCAAGCGGGGATTGTGAGTCCAGACTTTACAAAGTCGGACCCCAAGACGCCCAAGCTCGGCATGTCCGCCGGTAGATCAAGCGCTTTTGTACGGCAGGGACTCCGGTTGCTATTTCACTCCGAATATCTTGCCCTCGTCGAGTATGTCGAGTGCGTCGTTCCCCTCATCTTCATGATCTACAAGTCGGTGCTTGCTCAGCTCCCCAATGCTGTCTACTTCCCGGCTGGTACTCATAAGTGGAATGTGGCCGCTGTGACGAACCTGCTGGTCTTCTCGGCGCTCGAAGTTATCTCTCTCGCTCTGATGGATCAGTACCTTCAGCACAAGTTTAAGTTTCGCCCGCTGTACCAGCTTGCTTGTGTGCTTGAAACGCAGTTCAACCCAGAGGTCGGAAAAAATAGTGCAATACAATAAATTATCAGTATTTTCAATATTAATTTTTATTATTGGGCTACAGTGGTCCCCGTACAATATTAAATTGGCCCAATTATTGACAATAAATTCCATAAAAGTGCCTTGGCTGGACTCCTATAGTTTTTGTACAAAGCTTCCTGTTGATGGCGTCATCTCCAGCCTCCGATGACATCAAAAACGGCGTTAACCACACCACATTTCGCCCAAGGCAAATGACTGGCTTGGAGACGTGCTCCAACCAACTCCGCAGCCTGCAAATACGGCTCCACTGGCAGTTCATATCTCCATTTCCACAGGATAGCAATGGTCGCCAACAAGCAACTCGCCGCCTTCTTCTGCACCTCGCGTGGCGAATGCCTCTTCAGCTGCAACTTATGTAACAGCGTGCGCAAACAGTTGGCTGGGTCAGGTTACTCCAATCTGGTGGCACACCTGGCATCGAAGCACGCTGGCTACGAGGCAACGTACGCATCGCTCCAGGCCAGCCCGGACCGACCTCTTCAAGCGTTCGGCTTCGTCGCAGTGGAAGCCAGCCATCTCTTCCAATGGGTCCGTTGGATCATCGAACGCAACATGCCCGTCCACGAAGTCGAAGAAGCACTAACTCGGGCCATCAGCAAGCTCCGACCTGTGACCGCCAAGGCCGTCAAGAAGGGCATGGAGGGGATCGCAATTGAAGTCGGCGAGAAGCTGGGGAAAGAGATGGGAACGCTCTTCGCCCTGATGTTTGACGGCTGGACCCACGCTGGCATTCACTATGTTGCTCTCTACGCCGTCTACGAGACAGCTGGTAAGCTGCGCATACCGCTACTTGGTATGTCTCCCCTTGACGATGGCGATCAGACGGCAGACGCCCACATCAAGCTGTTCAAGAACATCCTGGATGTGTACGACAAGACCAGCGACATGGTGGGGTTTCTGGTGGGGGACAACTGCGCAACTAACCTGTCCATTGCAACCAAGATGGGTATCCCCCTCGTCGGCTGCGCCAGTCATCGTTTCAACCTGGCTGTGAACAAGTTCATGGAGCCGTATGGCGACTTACTGGACGAAGTCAACAACCTTATGGTGGAACTTCGTCATGAAAACAACCGTGCCGAGCTGAAGAAGTACACCGAACTCGTCCCTATCAAGCGGAACGTCACGCGTTGGTCCTCGACGTTTACAATGGTGGAGAGGTACATTCGTATTCGCGTAGAGATCAAGAAGGTCGACGCCGTGGAGGAAATGGTCCCAACCGGCGGGAAGCACCGGAAGTTGGTCGCGCTGTTTGAGCACCTCAAGAAGTTCGAGAGCGTCTGTAAGCGGCTTCAGCGCGAGGACACCGATATAGGAGAGGTACGCCTGATGTTCGACTCCCTCATCGCGGAGTACCCTGTCATGTCAGAGCATCTGAAGTCGACCGCCAAGATCGTCCATACGCCTGCATTCGAATCGGGTGTTGTCAAGGTCATCTCTGGCACGGCTCTATCGTCCGCGGAGACAGCAGTTTGAAGCGGTTCGAGCAGGCACAACCCACAGGAAAGAAGCGCAAGGAGCGGGAAGAAGACTACGCGACGATGTTGCTCCAAGGCAAGGGAAAGAAGAGGAAACAAGCGCCAAGTACCACACATGACATGCCGCTCGTGAAAATGGTTCCTCCGACGTCAAACACTGTCGAGCGGCTTTTCTCTCAGTGCAAGCTGGTATTGACACCGCAGCGTCGATCTATGCTTCCGGCCAACTTCGAGCAGCTGGCGTTTCTCCAGGTCAACCGCGGCATGTGGGACGTTTCCACAGTAGCCCGAGTTAGCAAGCAGCAGGGTAGCTAAACTAGCAGAGGCATTGATAGTGGGGAGCGTTCTAGCTACATAACTCAATAAGACCATCCCTAACATTGAAGTTTACACTCCTCATATTTATAGAATTTTTTTTAAATTATGCCACGACACGAATACAGTATTTTCAATCCAAGTCAAATCGTAGTTATGTAACCAAGTATGTCCGCTTTTCAACGCAGGTATTCCCAGCCTCGACAGAGGCATATTGATGAAGAAGATGCATTTCATATCGAGCGTATGCCTATCTTGACCTGTATCCCCCTCTAAAAAGATATGGTCGGCCCGAAATAAATAATTATAGATCAATCCTTCAACATGCCTTTGATGAGTGTAAAAATATACTGCTTGAAATACTCCTACAATAGCTAGCCAATTAGCACGCACTTCAACACACGTCTACCTTAGATTCTTGGCTTAGCTAGCTATGCACTTGGGAAAAACAAAGATGCCGAAGAAGGGCAAGAGGCTCAAGCAAATTGCCGCTCTCGCGGCAGCTAAGCGGGCACGCGACCGGCAGGCACGCCACCAAGCTGTTCCAGCCCCTCTTGAAGTTCTCCGACAAGAAGCGCTGTCGACGCCATGGTGCTGTCCACGTCCAGCCGTGGACGAGAGTGATACGTCTTCGTTAGAAGACAACTCATCCGACTTCGGCGAAGGTCCCAATCTCTACACAGTAGACGCGATATACGCGAAAAAAACGAATCCAGCAGGTGCCGCTTATTATTTTGTTGGCTGGGTGGGCTATGCGGAGCTAACATGGCAGCCCGCAGTTGACCTGCCTCAAGATCTCATCAGTGAGTTTGAACGTGCTGAGCTTGGTGTAAGCTGGCCGGTCGATTACCGAGCGGTGATTCCAATTGGGGTTCCTACCGGCACCAGTGGCAGGGGTGACTTGCTAGGCGCACCATATAAATTGCAATATAAATTGCAATATAAATTGCGGGAATTTTTATTATTGTTTGCTAAGAAATTGCAGTTTTTATTAGTGCTTCGTGTCAGGTGCAATCCAATATGATACTGTATTGGCGGACCTCTGGTTCTACCTGGTGCAAGCAAAACTCCTAATTGCGACTGTGAGCCTCCTGCAATTTGAACTTCTCCATTTAGGTGAGCTGCTATATTCTTCTCGTTAGTTGTGGATCTGCTTACACTAACGGACAACTGTTTGCATCCCCCATAGGCGTCGACTTTACGTTCCGCTTCGATTGGCTCCACAACAAGCATGGTTAGAAAACGTCTGGAAGCCACTGTTCAATATATACCGACGCGATTCATGCACGAATCAATTTGAACGAACAGCAGATACTGTACTTGTATTGATCTTACTAGATCGACAAATGACGTTGCTTTTACGTACGGCCTTATCACCGATGAGTCATCGACCTTCACTTGTTGCTATTTCCAGAAGTTTGTGGAGGCATGTCATCGGTTGTGTGATCCATTTTTATATTGCTATTTCACCACCACAGTCCCGCAGCGTCGACCCACAAGTAAGGAAACTGAGGTACGAACGAGCGCTACGCCCAGCAGACCAAGCGTTGCAGTTTCCCCGACTCGCCTCGTATCACTGTGGGATCGCCTTGAAAAGATGTGGAATGCGATTCAAGTAGGCCGTCAGGGTTCGTACTCCGTCGAGCGCCTGGAAAGTCTCGATCACTATTGCAAGACAGCGTCACGGACTCGAGTGATCGCAGTATGCTTGCTTACTCCAGCACCCGCACTGGTAGTAGCTCTGCCACTGGAAACCCTACCACTCCGACCGCCGTCCGAGGGGTGGGCTGCCAACTGGATGTTTTGGATTCGCTTAGCGTTAATGCACTTGGCAATGGGTTTTGCTGGCTCGACTCAACAGATCGCATTTGTACCCGGTCTTCAGATTACAGTCTTGGAGCGATTTCTGGTAGTTTTAGGCTCGAGTGCTGGTTATCTTGGTGCGTGCCTGGTTGCCGCCGCTACTATCGGGTTTCCTGTGCCGCTCCAGATGCAGCTTGGAGCCATTCCAATTGGCATTTCGATGACAGTGATGACGCGTCTCGTGCTAGGGCCAGCCCCATTCGCGAAAGACTCTCCGCATCTACAGCATTTCGAGCGACTCAATCGTGTTATCTCCGCTCACATGCTTCTCATCGGGGTGTATCCCATTTACAAAGTTCTTTATGACCACGTACCTGTGGCATATCGAGGAGTAGTGGTTATCGTGCTGCCATTGTGGCGCCTTGCTGCTAAACGCTTTATCGTCTGGAAGACGCGCGAGCTGGAAGACTTGGTACCAGAACTCGTGGCGTTCACGGTGGACTTTTCCAGCTCGTTGTTTGTCGCTGTGTGTATGTCGACTTCTGGATCAGTCTACTTGTCAGCATTGTTCATAGCGGCGGATCTTGGGCAGACGATGTTGGAGTTCCGTGAAGTGCGAGAAAATGCAAATATTGTGCTAGAACTCCTTCGAGATCGAGCAGCTTCGCGGTACTTTGTTGCTGCTGTTGGCTCGAGCGATGATATTCCGAGTCTATTGCCGATGATCCTTGCGATAACAAGGAATCCTGTGGCATTTAATATACGCTCGCTAGAGGGCGTGCGGTTGCGGGCACACACAATTACGGTCCAGCAAGCGGCACAACTTCGGAAGCTAGATGAATCGAGTGTCTATACCCAACGAGCACCCCAAATACTCAGCCAACCGCACCGAAACAAACGAAGAGGTCCGCTCTCTAAGTGAAATATCCTGGTCGTACCATCTCCCACTGGACACAGTCTATCTACGATTACTGTAGATCCCAAGTCTAAGACGGGCAAGAGCAACAAATCTACCGAGAAGTCGAAGCAACTAGTTCTGCAAGGGCTGCAACTGCTTTTTCACTGTGAATACCTGGTATTAGTGGAGTACATCGAGTGTGTCACCCCATTAATTTATGTTGTGTACAAGTCGGTGCTAGAGCAACTGCCAATGTTGTTTACTACCCAAGGAATTGGCACTTTGGGGCCATCGTCAACATTCTCATATTTTCGCTCATGGAGTTCGGGTCATTCAGCTTTCTCGCCGTCTTCCTACAGCGGCGGTTCGCCTTTTCACCACTGTACCAGCTTGCGTTCGTACTCGAGACCCACGTTTACTCAGTACAAACGATACTTTTCGTTGAGATCGTACTGCTGCTGCAGTAAATTTAGGAAACAATTTCAGTTTTCGATTCGAGTGGCTCCATAAAACCTAGCAGACTTCAACGACACGAGCGAGTTGTCCATCTTGATCTAGCGAACGATCGACATAGTTAAAATTAATTACAACTATTTTAATGTACTACTTCGAAGTATGTTATTTATTTACATATATTCATACATGTTAGTTGACTTTATAAAGATGTCAAAATAAAAAACAATTCATTAAATAATTACAATTTTAACAAACAAATTATATTTTAAAACCATTAAACTTAAATATTTGTTTTAATAATATTTCGTAAATATATATTAGAGCATCTCCACCGGTCGTGAGTAAAACTAAATTTTACCCCTTTTCTGTCAATATTTGGTTATAGTTTTAGTTTTGTACTGCTCCACGGGTTTGAGTAAATGGTGAGCAAATTGCTCCATTTTTTACGCAGATCAAATTTTTGTACAAGTTTGCCGACGGAGGAGGCTTTGAGTAAAAGGTTGAGTAAATGTCGACCAGCCAGTAGTAGGGCCAAGTCAAGCGTTCTAAGCAGCGCTAGCGTTACAGACCGCAGCGTCGCCCTTGTTACGTCATCCCTGGGTCTTCCTCAACGTGTTCCCGGACCCGTTTTCATCTTTATAGGGCTATACAGCTAGGACTCGCCGTCGCCATTGCTGGCGCCGTGCTAAGAGCTTTAACGCGCTCGCTGCAAGTCTCAATGGCCGGTGGAGCTGCGCACTGTCTTTAGCACGGTTGTGCCGTTGTAGGCACGGATCTGAGGGCAATTTGCTTTTAGTTTTACTCTGCACCGGTGGAGATGCTCTGAATGTATTATCAATAGAACATAATAAAATAATTCCTTTTGTTTTTTTAATCAATTCTATCTACAAATCTAACTACATGAAATAATTGAATATAAAGTCACTATTTTGCATAGGAAATAATGCTTATATTTATTGAATTTTATTGAAAACGTATTGCGCTACCGTAAAATAAATAATACTTCCTTTATATTTCATTTCGTATTTTTCCTTTTTCTGACTTATACAAACTTTCAGTCATTATTTTTCCTGCGTGTTTTGAGGGCGGGCTACTAATCGGTTTCTCGCCTCCTACAGCGCTCCAAGATGAAGGCTCCATCCGCAGAGGAAGTGCTGGCACTCGTACATGCAGCAACCGGACCCGATGGGACTTTGGATCCGGCCATGACCCACCTGCTCCTGCAGATCCAGGAGCAGCAAGCGCTAAATCAGGCCCAAAACCAAGCTCAAGCCCACGCCGAAGTCCCTCCTAATACCAATACCAGTAGTAGTGACGGTTCACCAGCCAAGACCATGAAAGTGGACCACAGCGCCAGCAATGTCATGGACCTGATGCCGTTATCTGCAGCTGCAGCCGCCATTGGCCCTCTCTCCGACTCGACAACGGAGAGTGCACCTACAACACCTATAACCACTGCAACGCCATCACCATCATTAGTCCAAGTACCTGCTGCGGCCCCAGACCAGGCGAGTTCGACGACGGCCATGAAACGGAAAAGTATCCCATTGAGTATGAAGAAAGAGGCCATTGAGTGGATAATGGGTCCGGGTAAAGGGATCCCGTCCCGTGCCGAGAAGCACTTTGCGGCGCTGAACTGGGACGTCAGCGCGTCCTCTTTCCGCAAATGGTGGAAGAACCGAGACAAGATTCTGGGCGACTCTGGCAGCAAGAAGCGCATCAGCGGGGGAGGACGCAAGCTGTACTTGGAGGACTCGGAGGAGAAGCTACTGGTCGTGGTGATTAAAGAGCGAGCCAAGAAGGAGCGCGTGACAAGGAAGTGGATCGCCAAGACGGCGCAGCACATGTTCCAGCGCTCCGACTCGACCTTCAAAGCCTCCGAGAACTGGGTCACCAAGTTCATTCGACGCAACGGACTCACGCTCAAGCGCAGCTACGTCACGTACGAGCCGCAATTGCCGACACCGGCAGCTGCTGCGATTATCTCGCAACCAGCGGCGGCGACGGGGGCGGCTACCGGAAACAAGTAAGTATTGGCTTTGACGGATTGGTGTTGTTTGAATCGAGTGGACGCTGATTCTTTTCTCTTCTTTTTTTATGCTGTAGTGTTGTGGTGTAGTATAGTCGAGCAAGGTTGGCTTTTGAGCTTATTTGAAGTCATTGGTATCGAAGCTTTTTTTTCTTTTCTCTTGCTTCTCACCTCAGTTTTTTTCAGCGGATGTTCGCCTTCTCTCCTCTGTATCCACTCGCTTTTGTGCTGAAGGCGCGAATCAGTATGGTTCAAACGCATCTTTTCATCCAAAACATCAATCTTCGTACTTCAGTATGAACTCCAACATCCAGACTTAATCTCTCATTTTTCATTACTTAGTAAAAAAAATCGAGCTGATTTCATCATACACTACCAGGCGCGGACTTCAAGCTCCAGTTCAAGTGGCTCTTGGCAGCAAATCAACTCAGAAACGGAGGCAGCTTCGCAAGTAGAGTGCGTCATGAAATAATAATTTGATCACATGGTCAGAGGGGGGGATATTTGTAGTGCTGGGCACAACATAACATTATCACAAGCTATGAATACACCGCGATCATCTCTCTATCTTTTCAGTCCTCATAACCGTATTATTCGGCCGCGCTGACGGGATGAGCGCAACAGCCCATGGTCCAACGTCACCGCCTCCAAGGGAGCGCTGGTGGCAGCGCCTTGAAGAGAGTTGGAACAGATTCCAAGTTGGTCGTCGGGGATCCTACTCGATCGAGCGTCTCGAAAGTTTCGACTACTACTGCAAGACCACATCGCCAACTCGAGTATTCTTGGTGTGCATTCTGACTCCGCTTCCCGTGCTTCTCACGACTGTGTTGCTCGAAAGTTTGCCACTACGTTCTCCTTCCGAGTCGTGGAGTGCTAATTGGGTATATTGGATCCGCTTGGGACTGGAAAACTTCGCAATGAGTTTTGCTGGCGTATCGCAGCTCGTCGTGCTTGGTCCAGAGTTAAACCCCACGGTTCTAAAGCGATTCACAACTTGTGCTGGCGCCTGCATCGGCTATGTGGTAACTCTTCTTCTTGGGGCTAGCATTGTCGGGTTTCCGTTCCCTATGACGTGGTATTTCGGAGGGTTTTTATTATCAGTTTACATCCCATTCATAATGTTTCTCGTGTTCGGCCGACAAAATCTTACGAGCTCAGCGGCTTGTCGTCCCAATCTGCTACGCTTCTTTCGATACTTTAACGCGGTCATGGCGCTCGTCAACATTTTCCCTCTCTACAAAGTCCTCTACGAGTTCATACCAGTTGCGTATCGAGGTGTTGTAGTTGTTGTGTTGCCGGTGTGGAGATTCGCTGCGAAAGGCTTTATGGTGCGCTCTGTCCGTGACATGGAGGACTTTATCCCCGGGATCGTCGCCATGACGGTAGACTTCTTCAGTGCTCTATTCGTCTCGACTGTCATGTCGACCACTGGATCGGTTTACCTTTCGGTGTTGTTCATCGCAGCTGATCTTGGGCAATCGCTACTAGAATTTCGGGAGGTGCGCATGAATGCAAAGATTGTTTTTGAGCTACTGCAAGATCTCAAGAAAAAGTCATCGAGGTGTGGCAGACTAGCGAAAAATCCGGACAATTGCAATCTACCGACGCTTATTTTGTCCGTGGCTCGAGATCCAAACGCCTTCCACGTCGTCTCGTTCGAGGGCGTACGACTAACCGCTTGCTGCCCTCATCCTCTCACAAGAGAGCAATCCGATATTCTTCTGGCGCTACAACAATCGCAAATATATCAACCATCGACTATAAGGTCAGCAGCACCTCGCCCTGGTCAGATTCGAAGGGCACAAATTACACCATCAGCGCCAGAGATCGATACTATTAGCGGCAAAGGAGCTGGCCCCACCACTGTTCAGGTTTTCGTCACGAGTCCAAAGTGTATCGCACAGGGAGATGTAGCGAAAAAGCTGGTGGTTCAGGGCCTGCAACTGACGTTTCACTGCGAATACCTGGTATTGGTCGAGTACGTTGAGTGCATCGTTCCGCTCATTTTCGTGCTTTACAAATCTGTGCTCGAGCACCTACCAAACGCTGTGTACTACCCCAGTAGCGCCAGCAATTTTGGGGCTTCCGCTGTGGCAAACACTCTGGTGTTTGCCTTTCTTGAGATTGTGTCGCTACTACTGGTTCACTTGTTTCTTCAACGCAAGTTTGCCTTTTCGCCTCTGTACCAACTCGCGTTCGTACTGGAGACGCAAGTCTACATGGTGCAAGCCCAACTTTTTATCGAAGGCATTTTCCTGCTGCAGTACGAACTCGACCACTTTGGTAAGCCCATGACCTCGTACTCCCGACGCACGATTCTTACTTACTGTTGTTGCTTCATCTCCAGGTATGGACTTCACTTTTCAGTTCAAATGGCTCCACTGAAACGAGTAGTAAAGCCCATCGCCTTCAACGAAATGATAGGCAGCCTTCTGAAGCCCAATACTGGTAAAAAAGAATTCATCATAAGATATCAACCCGACAACACCCCGAGCAACAATGCAAGAAGCCACACATGCCTTACCATACAAAATACTTAATAGTTGGGGACGAAGTCCCCCCTATAATCATGAGACTCCGTTTTAAGGAGTTTTTACGTCTCTTATATACACTCCGCTTTACTTTTTACATTAATTCTGCGAATGGGTTAGGGTCACAATTTATAATCGCTCACACGAAAAAAATACCTCGGTTAAACAACATTTGGATGCTTATCAGAAGGTGGTATCGGCACGGATTCTGAGCTGAACCGACGTCACTATCTTTAGATGCCATAAAACCAGATGGTCGAAGTTATGAAACACCGTATGGAGGACATCAGAAATAGACTTAAACGTGACATTTTACCCTTATTTGGACCCGCTTAGGACCCTTTATTAAGGCTATTTGCCTTTCAAACCTTATGATGTCGTAAGAAGGGTCGCTCTGCGGCCGTTGGTAAGAAGTCTGTGGCCCTTCGGGATCGCTTGACCAGCGCACAACAGAGAGTCCAAGCATCAACAAGCAGAGCCTCAAGGAAGCGCCAACGCTACGCCAAGTAGCAAGCAGCTTTGCATGCTGTGGACCGGGTACTGTCGAGCAGCAACTTCTCTAAATTACATTGAAGGCTATGCGCGGATGACGAGCTGGACGATGAGCTGGGGTGTACGAGCCGGATTCCGTGTCGGTGCTTCTTGGTAGCAACAATGGCTCTCTTTTGGCCCGTTCGAGCTCGCCTGCTAATTCGCTTTAAGGAAATCAGACAGCTCCAAGTCCTTCCTGCGCGCTAAAGGCGCCGATTATTTGCTCCTTTCTAGTCTGCGTTAATTCATTCATTGCGTTGCTCATGAAAAGATGTTCGACTAAGCAAATGCATTAGCCCACTCAATTACAGTTCTGTTGGGTCGATATCGGGCGTCACAGCTCTGCTTTGATACCCTACATGCATGTGTGATGGTACGATATCGGGCTCAACTACATTATTTTGAGCTAGTTATCGTTCATTATATATGTTTCCTTATCGCGCTCAACGTGCATGAGGTTATCTACCTACGCGTGCAGACTAACAGCTTTGAACAGCCGTGCATGTCATAGTCGCGGCATCAACATTGGCCATTGCGGCTGGGTGTAGATGACATCTAGAGGAAGAATTTCAACATGGATCGCGAAAGGTTACTGGAATAATTCGCTCGTATTTTCATTCTGAAAATGAACACACCACGAAATTGAAACATCGAAAGTTAACCTCTTATTCACTTTTCGTTGTGCCAATGTGCACATTCTGCACTTACACTTACCTAAGTATTCTGGCATTCGAACCACAGGTCAGGTGTATCAGTCTACCGTTAATAACAACGTATGAATGGTACTTATGTTGTTTGCAAAATCGCCAGCAAATCGGGGAGAGTGAAAGGGGAAATAAAGAGTAAGCGGCTTTGTACTCAAATTCCTCAAGTGGGGACGTCGTCCAAAACTCTGTGGTCAGCATAGTTTTGGGGGTCGACCCAAACTGTCAGTCAATGACTTAAGAGCACGGAGAGGCACTGAGGGGTGACGGAGGCAACAGCCTTCACGTCTTGAGTGTATTGAGTGGCAGCCAGCGGTTCTCGGAATGAACGCGTTTTTCTCTTCGAGATCAAGCCGCGTGTGGCTAAACCTCAGCATCTTCAACTTACTGTAGCGTCCTCGTCCCAGCTTTCGTGTTGATGTCGATATCTTTCTCTTACTCTCTTCTCGACGTCAACTCCGAGGCGCTCAGTTTGGTGGCTACATACATCATGGTAACAACTCATCAGTTTCACACAGTAAATATCACCACAATGCCTCGTATGCCACTACACTATTTTTTTCAGTCTACATGCATATTGAGCATAATACACACATGGTCGGATCTGGCCTTCCATCATCCAGCTGCTTCAGCCCTTGCTGTCAAATCCTCATGCCACATATCGTGACGATCACGCTCTCTCCAGTTTCATCTTAACTCGGGCTCTCTTCTTGAAGCGGACTGGGATTCCTCGACGGCCACGACTCTGCTCAACAACATTGTCTTTGCCGGTCTCGTCGGCTTCGGGGCTTGTCTCCTCCCGAACTCTTCGTGCTTGGCTCTGCGGTGAACCACGCCACTCTCGGCCTTCCCGACGAGAGATCATTCTTGAAGTGCGCACACCGAGCTTCTCTCTGTGCCGTTCAAATACCTCCAGAGGTAGAGGTTTCGTCATTGTGTCAGCCGCGTTCGCTTTCGATGCCACGGGTTCAATCTTGACTCCCCGCTTCTTCACGTACTCACGAATCTTGAGGTCACTAATATTGAGCTGCTTGGTCCTGCGATGCTTTCCAGCATGCTTCATCAGTTCACGAGCGCTGGCCGAATCACAATACAGCGTCGTGGTTTCTCGTTCCAAGCCCAGCTCATCTACCATGTCATGATGCAGCATGTCTGCTGCTGGCACCCACGCAAGCGGGTACGCCAGCAACATACATGCTCAAGGAAGACATACCTGGTGGCTAGGAAGGCAGGCGTCGCAGCGCCGCCGCCTCCTCCTCCGCCACAAGTAGCTTGCGCACCGCGTCGCTTGAAGGCTGGCACCAGGCTTGCGCAAGACTGCCTGGCGCCCGGAATCCAGAACTCTACCTGCACAAGTATACAAACATGCATATATAGGATTACAAAAACAGAAAAACACTTGCATTTAGTATAGGTTAGCTCAGCTTCTAGAACGACACTAACGAGAAAGCAAGAGGAAGACCTAGAGCCGTAGCTAGCCCGAAGACTTAAAGGAATCAATCTCACTTTGCATTTTACCCAAAAGCAAGCAAGCAACCACAACAACTCCACGCACTTTCGCTGCGGCAGGCCCCACCGCATCGGAGCCTGTCATACTAGCTGTTCTAGCCAGATAGGGTGTTGTAACCCAGTGTTGGCAGCAATCAGCTCGGCCTCACAAGTACTCTCAGCTAGAGTCTCTTGCTTCCAGCATCTCGCGGAGATTAGCTGTTCTTGCAGAATACAGCAAATCCACTCAAGGACTTCATATCACCACCTTCCGACGCAAAGTTTGCATCAGATTAGACCTCAATGCGTAGCTTGTTATATTGGCGTGCCTTTTCGTAGTCAAACTGCAATCCCATGTCCTGGCTTCCGATTAAGTACCGCAGTACTCGTTTCGCTGCGCGCCAATGCGCAACACCATACGTGTTGAGGAACTTACTCAAAATTCTCACAGCAGTACCCAATTCAGGGCGCGAACCGCTCACCAGATACTGTTGGCACCCCACAATACTTCGGTACGGCAGCTTCTTACATTTCTCATGCTCCTCCGGGCTAGCTTCGTGAAGCTTGACCCCGTCCACCGTCATCGGAATGCGTACCGGATACGCGGACTCCCATCTTGAACTTCGCCATGATGTCCTGGATGTACTTCGAACGAGACATGCGTCTCAGGCTCGTACTTTATTTGTAGTCCAAGCAAGTAGTTCACGTCTCCTAGACACTTCATCTTGAAGCGCTCCGTCAACGCCTTGTCTACGAAGTCCACATCCTCTTCCTTGCCAACAAGCAGAATATCATCCACATAGATTGGCAGTAGGACAAGTCTGCCCTCAATCCGAATCCAGTACAGTCCTTCATCCTTGTAGCTCTGGTGGAAGCCAAACTCGATGAGCACGAGATGCAGCGTGTTATTCCAGTTACGAGGAGATTGCCGTAACCCATAGATACTCTTCTTCAACAGGCACACAAAACTCTCGTAACCACGCTTCACAAAACCCTCAGGTTGCTCCATATAGATGATCCGTTCAGTTGGTGCATTTAGGAAGGCAGTCACGAAGTCGAACTGCTTCACCACCGACTTGGTCCTCCCAGCCCACAAGAAGACGAACCTCAACGTCTCGAATCTCACAACAGGGGCGAACGTCTCATCAAAATCTATTCCCCAGATCTCGAAACAACCCAAGACAACTAAACGAGCTTTGAACCGCAACATTCTCAGTTCATTCTCTTTCAGTGTCCACAACCATTTGCACTTCAGTACATGCGCATCTTTAGGCCTTGGCACCAGGATCCAAGTTCCATTATCCAGCTGAGCCAGAAATCCTCCTTCGTGGCTTCAAGCCACTTCTCTCTTTGCGCCGAAGCCATCATCTCATTCCAGGTTTTCGGGACTTGGATATTCATAGTTGCCGTTGCAGAAGCTGATGAGCCGAATACAGGAGACATAAAGTCATCTAGCCGTGTCGGTCTCTTCCGAGCACGCGTCGATCTGCGCGGTTTCTTCACTTCAACTGGTAAGTGGCGCTTCTTTCTTGGCGGTGGAGGTTTGTCTTCAAGACTCTCTTCTGAATCTGATGCGTCCCCAGGTTCATAATTCTTCTGTTCCTGGTCAGGTGTATTCGTTGCAGGAGGCGGTTCTTGCATCCCCAACTCACGCCTGAGCTCTAAGTCACGATCGTTGCGATCCAACTCATTCACATCAACCACTGGAAACCGAACCAATGGGAGATTTTTACAGTCTACAGTAGGGCGCCTCCGCAAACGATAAGCCTCATTGAGAAGTTTCTCCACATACGATCTCTCCACCGTAGTCTCTTCGTAGAACTTCACGTTTTCATGCCGATGCTCAGTTATCACACCCGACTCCAAGTCAAGCAGCCCGTAGCCCTTTGTCTTCGTAGCATACCCGACCATCAGAGCGGGCGCTCCTCTCACCGACAATTTGTCCTTACGATAGACCGTGTCCACAAACTTGATCGCTAGACAGCAAAATGGACGTAGATGACGCACGCTCGGCTTTGATCCGAACATCTTCTCATGTGGCGTCACCTGGTCTGCATTGCCCTTCGTACTCGTCCGATTGCCCGTCTCGATCACATAGTTGGCTGCTTATCCCCACAACATTCCAGGAAGACCACTACTATACAACACAGAGCGAACTTTATTCATCAGAGTGTCGTGCGCTTTTTCAATCAGGCATACTTCTTCAGGTGTATGCGGATGAGCGAAAATCTGGATGGTTTCGCCAGCACACTGTTCTTCCACCGCTTGATTGAAAAACTCAGGCCCCTGGTCCGAGTGGAAAGTATTCACGACCTTGTGGTGCCTAGCGCGAACGTCATCACGAAAGCACTTCAGCTGCTCCACAACCACTGGTACCTCGATCCCTCATCAATGAGGTGCAAGTACACTGTGTTACCCTCCAACGTAGGGACACTGAGAAAGCCCAGATCCATCAGAACTTTGACGAACGGCACCTTTGCACGTTCTGGTGTCGTCTTCTTGAAGGACATTCTCTTCATTTTGGCCGTATCACAATCGATAAATTGCGCTTTCCCGCTACGGTCCTCTTTCGTCAGCTCCAAGCCTCTCTCCATTTCCTTCGATGACATGTCCTTGATCACCTGCCAGTTCGCGTGAGCGAGGCGATGATGCCACATCCGAAGCTTTCTGGTAGGCTGAGCAGAGGTCTGCAATACGGCCAGCGTAGGTTGTGGACGCTGGACTTCTACCATTGTTTGATAGAGTTCACCCACCATGTCAAACGTCCAGGTAATGTGCTTCACCCGGTGCGTCAGTGTAGTCACCTCCTGGTCCTCACTAGTCTGCACGGAAAACCATACTCCTTGTACAGCATTCGCTGCGACAGCAGATTCGTCGCTCCTTCTACATAGAGAGCTTCCACTGTGATCCACACTCGAGTCTTCGTGTGCGCATCCACGATCGCGAACTTGATCTGTCCCTGCATCTGTGCTTTCTTGCGGGTCGAATTATCAAACCACTTCATCACAGTGTCACAATCTGACGTAAGAGACACAAATGCCTCTCTGCATCCACATATATTCACGTCAGATGCGTTGTCCAGCACAAACGGGATGAAAAAACTGGTACCCGATGCATTTTGCACCGTCGCGTTAGCGAAACACGGCATCGGCTTCTCTTCCACTACTTCGGTCATGTTCACAGGCTTGTTCTTCTTGCCGCCAGACTTACTTGGATTGTAGTAGCCAGGAAGATCACCACAGGTATCATCATCACTCTGCTGCTTTTGGCGCTTACTCTTCGATTTGCCCGAATTCTTCTTGCCACCCTGCTGCTGATCTCGCTTCGGAGCTCTGCACTCGTACGCATAGTGTCCGGGCTTGCCACAGTTATAGCAGTCGATGTCAGCACGTCGCTGGGCTTGACCACGACCACCACCTCCACGACCTCGGTTCTTCTTGTTGACGAACGACACTTCCTTATCGTCCGACTGCACAGGTGCGATCTGCGAACCGGTATTTGCAGCCTGGCCATTCCCTTTCTTGCGGGCCTTGGCAGCAGTCACCGCTCTTGCCTGGTTGAGGCGTTCTTCACGACTCGTCAGCTTGATTTTTACTTGCTGCAGAGAATAGTCGTCCAGGTTGTCGAATGTTTCGACCATACTTTCATACTTCCCCCCCAGTCCAGTCAGCGAAGCAGTAATCATCTCCTTGTCGGACACTTCCTCGTGCATAAGGGTCAGCTCCTGCCGAATTGCCTCTACTCGGTGGATATAGTCCCGAATTGATTCACTATCGGGATCAAACTCCACGTTCAGCAGCTCTCTTCGCTTGAACAACGCCACTGCGAAAGAGTTCTTTTCGAAATCATCAACTAGTGCGGCCCACTTGGCTTGAGGCTTGTTCAGATGAGCGAGCCTGACTCGCGTCACGTCGTCCAGCGTGTTCGTCAAGATGTCGTTCAACATCAGCAGCTTCTGCCGCCACTCCGTGCGCTTCTTCTTCGTCGCTGCAGTGCCGTCCTTCTCGGGTTTCGGCTCCTCATCTTCCAGCACTTTCGAGCTCGCAGCGCCGCCTTCAGGCCTTCCTTGTACGCAAGGAAGTTCTTCCCGTCGAACTTGAGCGAGCGGATGGTATCAACCTTGTGACCCTCCATCCTGCACACCTTTGGGCTCATAACCTAACAGTCAGTCAATGACATAAGAGCACGGAGAGGCACTGAGGGGTGACGGAGGCAACAGCCTTCACGTCTTGAGTGTATTGAGTGGCAGCCAGCGGTTCTCGGAATGAACGCGTTTTTCTCTTCGAGATCAAGCCGCGTGTGGCTAAACCTCAGCATCTTCAACTTACTGTAGCGTCCTCGTCCCAGCTTTCGTGTTGATGTCGATATCTTTCTCTTAGACCCCTAAAGCAACATGAGCGCAGCGACCGTGATGCTCCGCTAGTATAACATATATTTAGTACGACCACATGCTCGCAGAGCGGCAGTGGGGCAGTGGAAGTGTTAGCACGCTAAATAGCGTCCATGTAAAAAAATAGATTTAGAACATTTTTGCAAATGCAAACCAACACCAGGAAGACAAGGACACGGAGACATTTTATCTTATAATAGCTCTGCTTGTGAAATCCTGTTTATTCGTTCCGGAAAACAATCGACTTCACAAACAGAACCCTCGATGAACGTGGCTGACCCATCGCGAGACCACGACGCAGTCTCCACACACCCACGAGAACGGTGGTGACAGCGCCTCGAAGCGAAATGGAACCGAATCCAAGTGGGTCACCAGGGGTCGTACTCGGTGGAGCGTCTCGAGAGTTTCGACCATTACTGCAAGACGACATCGCCAGCTCGAGTACTTCTGGTCTGCATACTGACCCCGCTGCCTGCACTTCTGGCCCCCGTATTGCTCGAAAGTCTGCCTCTGAGACCTCCTTCTGAATCCTGGACCGCTAATTGGGTGTACTGGATTCGCTTGGGCTTGGCAAACTTCGTGATGAACTTTGCCGGTATGTCGCTGCTCGTCCCTCTTGTTCCCGAATTGAAGCCAACATCTCGTAGGAGATTGATATTGTGCGTGGTTACGACTGGGGGATACGTGGCAAGTTTCGTGCTGGGAGCAGCCGGTGTTGGCTTTCCAGTCCCATTTACCTTGTACATTGGGAGGCTCTTCGTGGCACTTTACATCCCAACGACGATGCTATTTGTTTTTGGCCGGAACACTTTTTCTGGTTCGTTGCCTTGCCGTCCCAATCTCGAGCGCTTCTTTAGCTGCTTTCGAGGGTTCATGGCACAGACCACCATTTCCCCCTTCTACAAACTTCTCTACGGATTCGTGCCTGTATCATATCGAGGTCTTGTGGTTTTGGTGCTCCCAGTCTGGAGGTTTGCTGCCAAAGAATATATGGTGAGCTGCATCCGTGGGATGGAAGACTTTATCCCTGAAATCGTTGCTATGACCGTGGATTTTTTTCAGCGCGTTGTTTGTATCGGGTTGCATGTCGTCCTCAGGATCATTTTACCTTTCAGCGTTGTTTATCGTCGCGGATCTCGGACAATCGGCACTAGAATTTCGTGACCTGCGAACGAACGCAACAAGTGTTTTCGAACTCCTTGGCGATCTCAAGAAAAAGTCGTCTTCGTACGGAAAAATAATGAAAAATCCCGACACGTGCAATCTGCCGACGCTTATCCTGTCCGTGGCTCGAGATCCGAACGGCTTTCACGTTGCCTCATTCGAGGGGATACGGCTACGCGCTTGCTACCCCCATCCTCTTGCGAGAGGGCAAGCTGAAAATCTTGCGAAATTACAAGCAACCCAAGCATATCAACCGTCCGACGCCACCTCGCCAAAAAGATCAACGCCACTTCGATGCTTTCAGATTCAAAGGGCAAGAATTGCAACAACACCTCCAGAAAGCAGTACTATTACCTGCAAAGAAGCTGATGCTGACCCCTACGATTTACAAGTTTCTGAGGCTACACCCATCGCCACTGCCGCCTCAGGTCTCGCAAAACGTAGTTATCCAGGGACTCCAGCTGATGTTCCATTGCGAATACCTGATACTGGTCGAGTACGTCGTCGAGTGCATCGTTCCGATCATGTACGTAATTTACAAAACGATTCTTGAGCATTTGCCAAATGTGGTGTACTATCCTGGCGGAGCCGGACAAATCGGAGCAGCGGCGGTGGCAAATGTTCTCGTGTACGCCGGTCTGGAGATCGTGACGTTATTACTCTTCCACGTCTTAAGTTTGCCTTCTCTCCCCTGTACCAACTTGCCTTCGTGCTGGAGACGCAAGTCTACATGGTTCAAACTCGACTTTTCATCGAAAGTATCTTCCTGCTGCAGTACGAGCTCGCACACTACGGTACGCTCACAACTTCACGCCAAACCTGACGGAATCCTCCAAAACCTAAGATTTCCTGTGTCCTGTTTTGATTTTGACTTTGAAACACCAGGCACGGACTTCACCTTCCAATTCAAATGGCTCTACGAGAACAGTAGCCATACTCTTCAATCATCTTTAGCTCAATGCTGGCGAATTCCCACCATAATATTAGCTGCGTTATCATCTGACTGGAAATTGATCAAGATCAGAGCGAAAGCATCGGCTAAGGCTAAATCTTCTGTAATCTGTAGGTTCACCTCTGCACCTAATAACTCGCGCTTTCATACATATCTATGACGGCAAGACCATCTACTCTACGAGACCTTGAAGAGTGCACGCGGCGTCCGAGAGCAGCTTGAAGGCCTCTCGAATCGCGTGGAACTAAGAATCGCAGCTATCCGCAAGACGTATCACCACCAGCTACTTCTACAATACAGTCAAAGATGGACGTAAGGTCGCGCTGGATCCGTTAGTAGGAATGACCGTCTCCTTCGTTCACGGCAGGTCTCCGTTGCCATCATCGCAGTAGCTCATCCCCACCAACTTCAACTTGTGGGACTCGTCGCGAGCGCTTGTTCATAATCAAAAATCCCACGTTGGGCTCAAGTGGCCGCTGTGCCATCCACGTGAAGATGCTGCCGATCCTTCAACTCGTCGAGAAGTCCCCCGTGGCAGGTTTAGCCCTTACGGGGCTACTGGTGCTGCCCCTCGTCATCACACTCCACTCAAGACACAAGAAGAGCGAAGAAGGCATTGGCAAGATCCACCGACCAGCCTCGACACTGCCATTCCTGGGGAACACGTGGGACCTCGTCATCCACGGGGTCAGAGGCGACATGCACGACTTCATGGTCCAAATAGGCAAGCAGTTCAACGCTGAGCCCGTTCTCCTCCAAGCCCTCGGTATTCCCCTCAACCTCATTCTCTACACCCCCGAGGGGTTCGAGGACGTGCTCAAGACCCAGTTCAGTAACTTCGGCAAGGGCCCCTTCATGCGCGAGAACCTGCGGGATCTAATGGGCGACGGGATCTTTGCTGTCGATGGGGAGCAGTGGGTGCACCAACGCAAGACGGCCAGCAACCTCTTCACCATGAGAGCACTGAGGGACTCCATGACCGTCGTCATCCAACGTCACGCTGTCGTGCTCTACGACATCCTCCGGCGTGCGAGTGAGAGCAAGGAGACTCTGGATCTGTTCAAGCTCTTGAACCGGTTCACAATCGAGGCGTTCACGGAGATCGGCTTCGGGGTCCACATGGGGTGTCTGGACTCGGAGGAGGAGCACCCATTCGCGACAGCCTTCGACCGTGCGCAGCGAGCTCTGCGCTTCCGCTTCACCCGCCCCGGGTGGTTCTGGAAGACCCAGAGGTGGCTGGGTCTGGGAGTCGAAGGGCAGCTCCAGCGGGATATCCAAGTGATTGACAAAACCGTGCTGGAGATCGTGGAGAAGGCCTTGGCACGACGATCAAGTCGCGTGGAAAACCCGGAGAAGAAGGCTGGTGGCGATATCGTGTCGCTGTTCCTTGATAGCGCTGGAAGCTCCAACGAAAAGCAGTTCGACCCCAAGTATCTGCGCGATATTGTAGTCAACTTCCTCATCGCCGGGCGAGACACGACAGCGCAGGCTCTCAGCTGGTTCTTCTTCAACATCTCCAAGAACCCTCGAGTGGAGGCTGCAATCCGGAACGAGCTGGCGCAGCGACTACCAAAGGTTAAAGCGGAGGCTGCCACCCCTTCAATGCAGGATGTGAGTCAGCTGGTGTACCTCGAGGCTGCATTGAAAGAGACACTGCGCCTGCACCCGTCCGTTCCTGTTGAACCAAAGCAGACTCTAAAGGACACGACGCTCTCCGACGGGACTTTCGTCCCTGCTGGGTCAGCCATTGCGCTAGCAAACTACGCCATGGGAAGAATGCCGCAGGTCTGGGGACCGGACGCTGAGGAGTTCAAGCCTGAGCGGTGGATCGACCCCAGCACCTGGAAACTGATCGCGGTCTCCGCCTACAAGTTTGCGTCTTTCAACGCCGGCCCTCGCATGTGTCTGGGGATGAACTTGGCCATGCTGGAGATGAAGCTGGTGGTGGCAGGTCTGCTGAGCAAGTTCCACATCGAAGTGCTCAACCCGGAAAACGTGACGTACGATGTGTCGTTGACGCTGCCGGTGAAGGGCGCTCTGACCGTCAAGGTCTCGCAGATTGCGGAGCCTGCAGGTGCCTAGACTCATAAACAGAAGCCGCTTCTGAGTCAGAAGTGGCCCGAAGTTCTGGCAAAGCTAATTAGTTCAAGAGGATTAACAGTAAACCAGGCTTGGAACGTTGAGCACACCACTTGTAAGCTAAAATAAAGTATGTGGGAGGCAAAACAACGTTTCCTTTCCTACATGCTATAGGCCCGTATGTCGAATAGAAAGCCAAGGCATCTACAATTACTACTAGTGGTAATTGTAGTAGGGAGCAGCTAAGGAGCTCCCATTTCCGGAGCTCCCATACACAAACAGGCCAACCACATGCATGTGTAACTCCATGTGCCAGCACTTCAAGCTAAACTAAAGATCGAGGAGGACTAGTATAACCATTATAGTTTTTATAGCAATGGGACATAACGAGCGTGCTGTCGCTGCCGATGGAGGCAACGTGAGGGACACGCTCGTTAGGGTCAGTGCCACTCCTCGCAGGTCTTCGACTTCAGGTCGTAGTGGACAGGTGCATCTTGGCGTCGTCACCGTCATCGATGCTCTCCGCTGACCATTACTTGTTGCTCGAAGCGACGGAGTCGGGCACGATGTCACCAAAGTTTTGGCTCGCATGAACACTCTACTGCCACTACGCGTGGGCCCTAGCAAAGATGAGTTCACTACCGGTACATATACTTGACGACGGATCGATTTCCTGTGTAACCCTCACCGATCACGAGTTCGCATACAGGGAAGCTACCGGCACGGTGTTCCTAGAGGTCAGTTACTCTGTCGGTAGCACGCTCGACGCAATGTGCTGGTTCAGGGACAACAACAAATTGACCAAGTAGCAGTCTAATGCAGGTGTTAAGAGTTCAAGGCATCAAAACGTGGATAACTTGGTTACTTTAAAAAAATACATTTAAAAAAATAATGTATCGTAAGGTAACTTCTAAGACGACTCCTGCAAGATAAACACGAGCGTCAAGTTTGAAAATACTTCTCAAAAGGAGTTGGTGGTACTGCTAGAGCACCAACGAGACTAACTGCGCAATCTACAAGTCTTGGACAATACCGTTTAATTCGGAGAGTACATGCGTGGCTTCGGCTCTCACCTTTAGAGGTATATACATGACAACGGTTGCTCCGTTATACTGCGTAGTACATGCGACCAGTATGCAGCAAAGTTATAGTCGACTCGTTGTCGCGTGGGCACACCTGTACTTGCTCACAGTCTTCCAAAATTCACTGCAGTGGTGAGCGTTGAACGCGCCAAGCAAAACTATGACACTCGCTAGAGATTTAGGAGAGAGCTTGATGCAACTTCGCGCCGACGACACGTACTACGTTGCCGTAAGGATCATCAGCGTTTGAAACAAAAACACGATTTGTGGGCGAAAGCGAACAAATTGTTGTACATCAGCGCGAGCAGATCGCTTGCGATGGCGTTTTCAGACGAGTTCATGGGCGACCAACACCGTCCATACCGCGCCCAAAGATGGGGTTACTGGCCTGCGATGGCTAGCTAACTAGACAGCACAGATATTCAATTGCATGCTCATAGTCCTCTTCGATCTTTAGTTTAGCTCGAAGTGCTGGCCCATGGAGTTACACATGCATATGGTTGGCCTTTTTGTGTATGGGAGCTCCGGAAATGGGAGCTCCTTACTAAGGAGCTTCTAAGGAGTCCTTAGCTGCTGTACTACTGTAGTAGCATTGTTGTTCTTGGCCAGGACGCGTCGTCGCATCACGTTGAATCACATGAGATCGAGGATTGTGTGCTTTGACCATGATGTTCTGATCAGCTTTTCGTAACCCCCTAGTCCATCCACCGTCCAGGATAGCCATTCTCCAACAATACGAGTTATCCAAGGAAGTCACTTTGCCAACGAAGGAAGTCTGCCTGGAGAGCGACCCAAAGGATGACCTATAAATGTGATTTCCAAGCAGGCAAGTACTCGATTGGCGGCGCAACATCGCCAACTCGAGTCTTGTTGGTTTGCGTTCTGACGCCAGTGCCTGCACTCTTGACAACCGTATTGATCGAGAGTTTACCACTGCGACCACCGTCCGAGTCATGGAATACCAACGGGATGTTTTGGATTCGCTTGACCTTGGCGAACTTCATCATGTTGTGTGCTGGCGTCGTGCTGGTTCCAGAGCTGAATGCCACGCTGTTAAAGCGATTACTTTTGTGCACTGGTGTAATCTGCGGCTACTTGGGGACCTTTGTGCTTGGAGTAGATGCTGTTGGGTTTCCGTTCCCCTTGACTTGGTATGCCGGAGGGATCCTCGTCGCACTGTATACCCCAATCATGATGCTCATAGTTATCGGTCGAGGTTCTCTTTCGAGTGCGTCGCCTTCTCGTCCGAATATGGTGCGGTTCTTTCGCTACTTCCAAGCCTTCATGGCTCTAGGCAACATATTTCAGCTTTACAAAGTTGTACTACTAGTACGGATTTGTGCCGGTGGATATTGAGGTCTGGTAGTTGTGGTGTTACCAGTCTGGAGATTCGCTGTAAAATGATACATGGTGGGCTCAATTCGAGAGATGGAAGACTTTATCCCGGGAATCGTGGCTGGCCATGACCGTAGACTTCTTTGGCGCGCTGTTCTCATCGGTGTGCATGTCGACCTCAGGTTCAATGTACCTGTCGGCCTTGTTCATAGCCCAGTCGGTGCTAGAATTTCGCGAAGTTCGCATGAACGCCGACACGGCTCTCGATCTCCTTCAAGATTTGAAGAAGACCTCCTCCAGATCTCAAACACTCATCGGTAGTTGGAACTTGGTGGATTTAATCCTATCTGTGACCCGAGATCCGAAAGCTTTCCGCATACTTTTAGGGGAGTACGGGCATACCTCATCGTATCGCAAAAGAGCACTCCGAGAAGCTCCGTGTGCTACAAGACATGAATGGCGAGTTTGACGGTTTGTCAGTTCCAAAACGATCAAAGCCGGCGTCCCGATTGGCTCATACACGGGTAAAACATGCTCAAAGCGCGACAATCGTACTAACGACCGGTAGTTTAGATGCCGGTCCTACTGACGGAGCAATAAATGACGAAGCCCCGCTGTTCACACTTCCCTTAAAACTCCGACGAATGATGGAGCATTCAGCGCAAGTTCGAAAATACTGGTTCTACAGGGCCTACAGTTAATGTTCCATTGTGAGTACCTGATATTGGTTGAGTACGTCGAGTGTATCGTTCCGCTCATGTACATGCTGTACAAACTGGTTCTTCAACATCTACCGAATGTGGTGTACTACCCTGGCGGAGCCGGGCATTTTGGACTAGCCGCGGCGGGGAACACTTTCGTGTTCGCTGCCCTGGAGATTATTTCGCTGTTCCTGCTGCACATTCCTTCAACGCAAGTTGTATCAACTTGCGGTCGTGCTGGAGACTCAAATCAACATGGTCCAAGCCCAATTTTTTATCGAAAGCTTTTTCGTGCTGCAGTACGGGCTCGAGCATTACGGTAAGACCACAACCAAAGCCTTGCCTACTGAGGTCTCTCACCTGAATTGTTGATGGCATTGTATTACCAGGCGCCGACTTCACGTTCCAATTCAAATGGCTCCACAACAACCAGTAGCGTATCTGTTAGCTTGGACAGTGCGCGCTCGATGAGAGTGGAAAGGAAGCCATAGCTTAACGCAGATGTCTGAGTGTAATGCTAGAGGTTGGGCTAGGAGTGGCAGGGCAAGTTCTACATCAAAATGCTCAACCCGGAGAACGTGGCCTACGTTCTGTCCTCGTTGCTGCAGGCCTGCTCTCATTGCCAAGATATCGCAGATTTCAAAGCCTGCAGATGCCTAGAGGCATCATCAGAGGCTAAGCATTGCCAACCGTATGTAGGTATCCACAGAAATCCATCCACCCTTCCTTCATAGGTTGTACCAGGGTTCACCCTTACCATTAGGTGGCAACAAGCCATTCAAGATCCATGGGTTCTTCCACCGTTACCAAAACCTAGGTATCCTTATAGGATGTTGTCGTGCTGGGACCCGTCGGGTGCTGGCCATTCCCGGTTTTCCCCGCTCCAAGTCTCAAGCCGTCAAGATGCTAACGGTCGACCGCATGACCGACAAGCTCTCGTCCAGCGTCGCAGTCGCAGCGTTGAGTGGACTTGTCGTGCTCCCACTGGCCTGACGACTGCTGCACGTTGACAAGGACAAGTCTCAGCTATCAACTCGCAAGGTGGTTCGTCCGGCAACGACTCTACCGGTGCTGGGCAACACGCTGGACGTGATTAAGAACCTTCCTATCCGTTGTGACTGGCTGACGAGTCTCTGCCAAGATGCTCAAGGTGAACCCGTGCTGCTGCAGTCCTTGGGGACCCCTGACACGACACTGCTGTCGACCCCTCAGGCATTCGAAGACGTGTTCAAGAACCAGTTCGACAACTTCCCCAAGGGCCCCAAGAAGTCCGAGTACCTGTGCGAGCTGCTCCGAGAGGGGATCTTCGCTGTGGACAATGAGAAATGGTACCGTCAACGCAAGACCGCGAGCAACCTGTTCACGATGCGGGCTCTGAGGGACTCCATGACGAGCACCATCCAGCGTCACCTGGTGGTTCTGGACCGCATCTTCAATCGAGCAGCCGAGACCGACGACACTTTGGACCTGTTCCGGCTGCTCAACCGCTTCACGATGGAGGCGTTCACGGAGATCGGCTTTGGCGTGCACATGAACTGGCTGGACTCGGACAAGGAGCATCCGTTCCAGACTGCGTTCGATCAGAGTCAACAGCTTTTGGTTCTGCGCTTCGTCCGACCCAGTTGGTTCTGGAAGGCCCAACGGATGATGGGGGTCGGCGCTGAGGGACAACTGCAACGAGAGCTGCACGTGATCCACTCCACCATCTTCGACATCGTGGCCCAGAATCTTCAGAATCGAGCTAAGGGGGAGAACGATAAAGCGGGGATGGACATCGTGTCGCTGTTCCTGGATGACTTGAACAGGTCGGGCGATGCAGACGAAAGCTGCTTCGACCCCACGTACCTGCGAGACATCGTCGTCAACTTCATTATCGCTGGGCGAGATACGACGGCGCAGGCGTTGAGCTGGTTCTTCTACTGCCTCAGTCACAACCCTCAAGTGGAGACCAAGATCCGCAAGGAGTTACGGGCTAAGCTGCCAAGACTTTTCAGTGGAGACTGCAGTCCCTCGATGGATGAAGTGAGTGAGCTCACGTACGTCGAGGCTGCGTTGAGGGAGACGCTGAGGTTGTATCCGTCTGTCCCCATTGTCAACAAAGAAGCGGTTCATGACACGGTGCTGTCGGACGGCACATTTATCGCTGCAGGGACGGTGGCTGCCCTGCCCATGTATGCTCTGGGGAGAATGACGCATTTCTGGGGCCCCGACGCCGCTGAGTTCAAGCCTGAGCGCTGGATTGACGCGCAGGCTGGCAAATTGATCTCCGCCTTGGCGTTCAAGTTTGTGGCATTCAACGCAGGACCGCGTCTGTGCCTCGGCAAGAACCTCGCCATGCTGGAGATGAAGCTGATCGTCGCATCTCTGCTGAGCAAGTACCGTGTGGAGTTGGAGCGGCCGGAGGACGTGACGTACGCCATTTCCAAAGATCTTCTCGTGGGGGAATCACCGTAGTGTATTGCTGCTCGTGCCTGGGAGTGGCGTGGAGGGTTAGTTCTACGCTAAAATCAAACTGAGCGACTGTGGCTGCGTTCCTTGGCTCCGTCGCGCTGTTGTGGCTCGAGATTACTGGTTCTCGAGCCGTGTGTGTAAAAACTCGTCGATCTGGAAAAACAGATTCCCCGACGGCTACGCCGCCGGGTAATCAACCATCTCGTACGCGCTGCCGATCAAAGGACAACTCACTGCCAAGATCTCTGCAATTCGGTGAAGTGCAGGCCAAGCTCCAATACTAATAGTGTAGGAGTGATAAGAGCGAGTGTATTTGAGTTGGTTTACTGGAGCATTTCTATAGTTGAAACCGGACGGGCTGCTAGCTGGATATGGATTTCTATCAACACTCGTTCAAACCTGAACCCATTCTTACTAAGAATTTATTAGCTGACAATAGTCACGAAAGCTTAGTGCTATTTTGTTTGATCCTACCGGTAGTTTATTCCACACCGTGAACTGGCAGGCTTGCCGGGCTACTTCTGAGAGCTGGGTCGTCAAATTCATTCGAAGCAATGTCGTCACGTAACAACTCGCAGCAGATATTGAAGCCCAACTACTTGGTTTCGAAGAGCCATTTGAATTGAAACGTGAAGTCGGTGCTGCTCAAACAAGCAAAGACAGTAAGGACTATATACTGCGAGCGTAAATGCTGAGGTGGATGGCTTACCGTAGTGTGCGAGCTCGTACTGTAGTAGGGAGACACTTTCGATGAAAAGCTGGGCTTCGACCATATAGACTTGCGTCTCAAGCACGAATGCAAGTTGGTACATAGGCGAGAAGGCGAACTTGCGTTGGAGAAATATATGAAGCAGTAGTAAGGAGACGACCTCAAGACCAGCATACACCAAAATATTCGCTGCTGCGGCTGCTCCAAAGTGCCCGGCCCCTTCCGGATAGTACACGACATTCGGTAGGTACTGAAGAACGGTTTTGTACAGCACGTACATTAGCGGAAAGATACACTCGACGTACTCGACCAATATCAGGTACTCGCAATGGAACATCAGCTGCAAGCCTTGAAGGACTAGCCTTTTCGCTTGATCTCGGGGGAGTAGCGGTAAAAATCGGATCGGTGGTATCGCCTGGTGTTAGAGTATTGGGCTTAATCCTTGCTCTTTGAACTCGCATTCGTTGAGGTGGCCGTTCACGTCGTGTGTGATTCTTCTTTGATCGAGTAGGTGAGGAAGTTTCAGACTCACTATACATTTCTTGCAGTACCCGGAGCTTTTCTGTCTGCTCTCTTGCAACGCGATGAGGGTAGCTAGCTTCCAGCCGTATACCTCTAAGAGAAACTACGCCAAATGCTTTTGGATCTCGAGTCACCGATAGGTCCAACCCCACTAAATTAATCGGTAGTTCCCTCATGCTTACAAACATTTTTCTTGAGGTCGCGAAGTAGGTCGAAAACCGTGTTTGCATTCATTCGTACCTCACGGAATTCTAGCACCGATTGCATCAGGTCTCAGCGATGAACAGCAGCGAAAGGTAGATAGATCCGGTCACGGATATGCCCACGCAGACGAATAACGCGCTGAAGTAGTCCACTGTCATCGCGACGATTCCAGGGATAAAGTCTTCCATCTCTCGAGTAGACCGCACCATAGTGTTTCGCAGCGAGTCTCCAAACCGGCAAGACTACAGCGATGAATCCTCGATACGCCACTGGCACAAAATCAAATAGAACTTTGCAGAACGGGAATATGTGGATCAGTGCCATGAACGCGTGGAAATATCCAAGGAATCGCAACAGATTCGGACGACAAGGCGACGAGCTTTTAAACGTTTTACGCCCAAAAATCAAGAGCAGCATTACCGGGACGAACATTGGCATGAAAACCCCTCCGATATACCACGTAAATGGGATCGGAAACCCAACAACGTTAGCTCCTAGTAGAAAGGTCCCCACATAGGCGGTGATCGTACCGACACATAGCATCAAATTCTTCCAAACCGTAGAATCAGTTCAGGAACAAGCAGTGTGGGCTGAGACGTGCCAGCAAAGCCCATCGCGAGGTTGGTTAAGCCCAAGCGAATCCAAAACACCCAGTTAGCCGTCCACGACTCGGAAGGTGGCTGTAGTGGCCAACTTTCGATCAATACGGATGCATGTATTGATACTATTCATCTCAAGTCGACCACACCACTAACAACGCAGTATACATCAAAAAGACATGTATCAGCATTTTTGCCGGGAACTTATCAGCACTTTTAGCCGGGAACTTCTCATGTTTCTAGTGAATCCGTACCAGATTATAATTGTATGAGTTTCCGCACACCACGATTCCGGTTTGTCGGCGGCAATCGGTGTTTAACGTGAAATAACGCTGCAGATATTGTGCTTTGCACGAACTTTGGCATGCGATTAAATCGACGAGTTAGCCTCCTAACTCAATGATGGGCTAATCACCATGATTTGCTAAAACAACGAATTACGTCGTTGTTTAGACAGAAAGCATGCAAGGCACAATGATAGTAAGTCAAGAACACAATAGACACAAACTGCAACAATTGTGAACGCAGCAAGAATGATTGCTGCCAGCCTCCTTGTCGCTCCATAACTCAAAGTCTAATAGAACTAATGCATTACAGAGTATCCGTTAAGCATCCCCAGTATTACCTTCATTAGCGATGTTGCGTGGTTGCTACATGTATAATTTTCGTAATTTTGACTAATGATCCAGTTACTGGGTCCGATTTCTCACAAATGGGACCTTAGATAACGCTGTGAAACTTGAGATAATGATGCGTAAACCTATTTAGTCGTTAACAATTCGATTCATACGGCGTGCAGTAGCACGCAATAGCACAATACCGTATTGTGCTTACACAACAGTCGTATTGACAATACGACTGTTGTGTAGCATTAATTATTTAGAAATGCTTTTTACGCCCAACCACAATACAATTCGTTGCCTACCGCTGTTACTTGCATCGACACTTCAAGACTGAGGAGTAGTACGATTTTCTTTGTGGGTCAATGGCGAGGTACGATCCGTAGCGTAGCAAGGCAAGTGGACACGCCGAGTACAACGGAAGCCTAATCACGCCGAGTCCAACGGGATGTTCTCACGCTCATCGTTGCTGTCATTCTTTATCGTGTACAGGAACAGCAGCCCCTAGGACGAGCACAAGATGTCCATGACGATCGGCAGCACTGCGTCCCAGTATATGGGGTCTGTGAGCACGAAGACGGTGGCGAACGGCTGCGTGTCGAAGCGTCTGTTGTGCTTCAGCCTATTGGGCACTGAAGTCCAGGTATATAATACATGGTGGGGAACTGCTTGTGCGGGTGGTCTACCGTGGTGACCCGTGGCCGGCGTAGTCCTTGTCCATGCCATCACGAGCTCGCCATCATGCTTGTCAGCCAGCGCGCATGGATCATGCAGTGCATGTGCATGACATGCACATGCACATGCTCGTAGCGCGCGCACGCCACCGCTTGAGCTCTGCTCAGCTTCCTTGCTACCGCCGTGGGTAATGGTGGCGAACGGATTGGCGCCTGCAGCTCCTGCAGCACGTCACGTGCCCGCGTTTTGCTGCAACAGCACGGCGTCTGAGCCGAAGGTGGAGCCGAGGTAGCCAGAGGCGCGGCGGCTGCCGCGCATGGCTAGGAGGGAGGGGGGTCTACGCAGAGCGCTCGTGAGCGCGGTCGTCCTAAGGGTGTGTCAGGCGCCCGCCCAAATCCACGCCGTCGCCGGTGCCTCTTACTCTGTGCCCGTGTGTCCTGCTGCCAGTGTACCAATCGACCTGGCCGCATCCAAGGGCGGTCCTGGAGGCGTGTCGAATGCGTGAGGCGACGGCAAGCAACCTGCGGCATGCAATAGCAATAGCTAAGCAGCAGAGCTATTCTAAGTAGACCTTCAACAAGTGCACTTACCCCGATATCCGTGCAATACGACGCTAAAGCAGGGTCAATAGTTCAGAACCCATTTAGCTAAAATAATGCGGTTTTAAGCCAAATCCACTTAAGAAGGCTCACAGCCCATAGATACCCTATTTGGAAGTGGCCTCCTAAAAGACTGGCCTCAGTTTAATGGCTTTCGCACCCTTTTCTGGAGGGTAAGTCCCTGACCTGCGATGAATAGTCACTCGGAACCGTTGGACATTGAGTCTGAAAGGATCTTATACAGAGGTAAATTGCTGCATTTTTGCTCCCGGGAGAGGCAACCATTAAACCTTTCCCTAGCCCTAGCCATAAATTCATCGAAAGAAAGCAAATCAAAGCCATAAAACAGAGCGATTTCATTATAGGGGGGCTTCGCCCCAAATATACATGTAGTATTCATAGCCAGTATACTGTCAGGCCATGGGACAACTGCAATTTGCAAAAGAAAAGAGAACGAGCCCCGATGAATGTTCTAGTATCTTCAGCCGGTAACCCGGTAGCATCATCTTCGAAACAGCGGTGGTGGCAGCGTCTCGAAGAGAGATGGAACTAAGTTCAAGTGGGTCGCCAGGGATCGTACTCGGTGGAGCGTCTCGAGAGTTTCAACCGCTACTGCAAGACCACATCGCCAACTCGAGTGCTGCCACTACCAGCGCTCATCACAGGAATCATTATGTCCGAGAGAGAGAGAGAGAGAGCGAGAGAGAGAGAGACAGAGAGAGAGAGAGAGCTGACAACTCGAAAAGGAAGTCACGGAAAGGTCATATTGATGTCAAACCTGACTCAAACCTGATGGTAAAAAAAAATGCTCTACCGAGCTCTTTATGAAAGTGAAGGAGAGGTATAATCTCCAGCAGAGAGATAAAGTGTGCTGCCTACGTTCTCACCACTTTCAGTGGTTCTTTGTATGTCATTCCTATGAGGCGAATTTTAAATGAGGGGCATATGGTTAGTGCTGGCCGTGAAGGGCGTCTCATGAAATAGTTTTCGAAGGGGTATCTCGTTAGGTTTCCCTAAGACATTAATAAAATAAGCACTGATCCAACCTCTTGCAAGTACAGAGCCTCAATCTTAAACAAAAAGCGGCACAAAGACTAAAGGCGCAATACACGTCAACTCGGGGATACGAAAGGATTGCTAATGCAAGTGTTGCTAAAGCGCTGAGAAATAAACTTTATTCCTGTTGTCGTGTTGCTACCCAATTGCCTACCGTTATTCGTTTTCAAAAGCACAACTATTTTCAGCGAACTTTTGTGCGGAGGTAAGATTAACCGAGAGTTCCAGGGCTCGGCAAATGTGTAGTAGTGCACTAAAGGAAAATGCCAGGTTATCAAAATCGATCAACAGGACATTAGACAGCGGAGGACCGCAAAACCGACCAAGCAATTGATGCAGCTTGCTATACAAAGCAGCTACGTCAAGAAATTTGCACTGCCTTGTGAATTCCCTCCAATTCCCGGCGTACACCCGTTCACCCCGCTTACAGAGGTATGATGTACCGTACAAGACGAGGGTGTCAAAATATACAGATTTTCAGGACAAAACATACAGACTTGGGGCATTCCATATCAGATGGGCTGCGTCATACATATCATGTAGATTGGGTACAGAACTTACGAGCGGGGTATCGATATACAAGCTGACCGGCGTACTTTGGCATGGCTGAACAAATAAATCTTGCCAATATCTAAACATACTCGTGCTGTAGTTTTGGGGAATCCTTTTGAAACCAACGACTATACGTAGCCCCCACACAACTGAAGTCACAAGAACAAACAACTAACTTCCAGCCATGGCGGCGGCTTTCAGTCCAGGCCTCCGAAGACAGCTTTAAGGCCTATCGAGATGATGATATGTGCTGCTCGGCGGTGACACTTAAGCGCGACTTTGACGTATGCAGCGTATGTGTGGGGGGGGGTATGCATGCAGTGACTGAGAGACGCATTACGTGTACAAGCAAGACCTGCAGCGACATAGGGGTTTGTGCTGTTGTGTGGAAAGTGTTCACCTGTACGGCTAGCGATACCTGGACGATATGGGTGAATGAGCATGGGCACATGCGTGGTGTGGTTCCATGCAGTACCATCCACCATGCACGCGTGACGACGATGATGAAGCAATTTCTTGCAGAACAAGACGAGATTGGTATTCCATCATGACTCATGCTGGTCAATTTGAAAAAGCAATCCCAGACCCCAGTGACTAGTCGTGGTTGGTCAAGCCTGAAGCAAGTGCAAAACGCGTTGAAGTGCCTTCGGAGAGACCAAGGGACGAAGAACTCGCACAAAGCTGTCCAAGATCTCGTTCATATTCGCTGTTACCGCCCGGACCTAAACGCAGACATGGCCTTTTAGTTTGGCGCGAGCTTAGACAGCGAAGGGTACGCATACGTTGGGTCGGGGTCGGATGAAGATCCTTTCATTATTGGCATAACATCATTAGTGATGATTAATGGCTATGTGCGGTTTGCAAATTCCGGGTCGAATTGCCAGTTTCACGCAGACGCCACTTTTAAGTTAAGTGAGATAGGGCACCCAGTGGTGACGTGTGGATTTACGGACAAGGCCAGAGCCTATCAAGTGGGGGCCTTCTTCGTTGTCAGTCGGCAAACAGCGCACGAATACACCGAGTATTTCCGCAGCTTCGTCGAGTTTATACGTGAAGTGCGTGGGGTCTCTCTCCAAGTGGACACAGCCATGGGGGACGCGGAAGACTCCCAATACAACGCAGTAGAGTCTGTTTTGGTGTTCGCGGATGCTAAAAAGCTTATGTGCTTCTTCCATGTGTTGTACAATGTGCGGAAGCGAATCCAGCATCTACCGATCAAAACAAGAATGATGGTGATGTCATCGATCGTTGACCACCGGTTTGCTGGACTTTGAGCTGTGTCGAGATCGTGAGCTGCAGAAATGGAAGGGGACCACGCATCTGAAAGAATTCGCGACGTATTTCGACTCGCAATGGCTCAAGGGTCGGTACTGGATGTGGCAGGCATATCACACCCCCGCTGGATATGCGTCCACCAACAATCCATGTGAGAACCTGAACGGCGCCACAAAGCTTTTCTTACAGCGGCGTCCATCACCCCTTTGGAACCGGCTAAGCCGGATTACACACCTAAGCCGACTACAGACGTTGTGAATGCAGCAATCACAATGGCGGAAGCTTCCCGCGTACAATTTGAGCGCACGTCGGACCCAAATCTGATACGGGTTCTCGAAAAAGTTGATGTCACGTCCAGCGCTAGCAAAGTTGATGAGGCGGAATGCCACTTTAGGTTATCGTTTGACTAGGTGGATTCACCAACCGTTGAGGGTGCGTCAGAGGTCGCGCCTCGAATCACTAGCGCCATGGCTTTATTCCATACTCTGACATCGGGCGGTGAGCCCCGAGGGGGTGAGCCCGAGGCGGTCTCGAATGAACAGGATCCTAGCACGGAACATACTACTGATGAGCTCATACAAACCCAAACGAGGATTCTGAAGAACAAGAAGAGGAACTACGTATCAAGGAGAAGGACCTGAATGACCTCACCACAAAATGGTCTCTCCGTCGCTCACATCAATTGGGAATGCCAACAGAGGGGTGACTAGTAGATCTCAAGCTCAAAGTTTGTGGAAGCCGGTACTTTGGCAAATTTCGGGTATGTGCACACCTGGTTACTGCTCAGCAAAAGTATGGTATCATCAATTTTGCACCAAACAAAATCGAAAAACTGGTAAGTCGGGTGACTAGAAAGTACAATACTAAGCGTAGCTGCGCCAAGGTACCGAAAAGATCAAGCAAAAAGCGCTCATCGAAAAACCAGAAACCTCGGGCCAAGGCTGCATCAACAAGTGGAAATGCCGTGCCTGGGTTAACGGGCAGACCGCCTCTTGCATCTACCGCTCTGATTGTTCAGGAAACCCTAAATGAATAAGCAAAGCAAACACATGTATACGACTGCGTTCAGAATTTAAGAGAAACTCGACAGAACTCGTGCAATAAATTAGCGTACGTATATGTCCACAGGGCGCACAAACGACACACCATAAATCCAGCTTTAACCGCACTGTCCGATACCAACACCAGTGATCACGTCGTCGTAGATGAATTTCTTCCCATCCACAACAGCAATAATAAAAGAGTGTGTCACTCACAGTGAACTAAAAGCAGCACAGATATAGACACCATCTTCGAGCACAACTGCGCACAATTTACTTGACGATGGGTGGCCGGTCACACCCCGAACAAGTTTTTATCCAAAGGCTGCGTGCTCACTTGCTACAGATTCCTAGAGTTCGCAAACTTCACGTAGCAGCGCAATTCACCATACGTCACCCCCTCGGTCGAAATCGGTTTACCCCTTCCTGCACATTCCCTCATAAATTGACGAGCTTGATCCATGGAGTGCCAACCGGCGTTACCCACCAGCTCATTCACAATACCTAGCGCGTAAAACGCACATAAGCCTTCGGGTGATGCTCCAATGTGGTGACAATGTCCATTTAGCTTGCAAAATGTAGTATGTAGACACTTTGGACACATTCCACTCGTCCACCACATTGCACGCACGATCAAAGCCGTGCTCACGAAGTCCTACACCATACTCCCATGTGTCATCCCACCGAAACCCATCAGCTTCGTCACACCACTTGACCAGGTACTTAATTCCGAATTGTGTTTCTTTTCGATCCACAATAGCAAACACTACACCACGCTCTTGGTTACGCGAGGGCGTATTGGTGGCCGACTTGAGGTCAGGGACAGGATAAAAAGCGCGAACCAGCGATGCCGTACCCGTGCCTGACGCCGCCACATTGGTAGGCCTACTGCTCTTCGCTCGTATCGTACCCTTCTGGGCATGTACGATGGCCATCATTGACTTTCCCACACGCACACATACTTTAGTCCACTCAGCAGGGGCTTGCTTGTACCCATGGCTCCGTAACCCCCGCGATAATGACATGGTCCCTCTGCAGCACGCATCGGTCGAGCCACAGACACCACCACGAAGAGTGTAAAGCATGGTCGCTTGGCTGTTCAGCGGCTGGGCGTGGATGTGCACGAGGACGCAAAGGAAGCCGAAGTTTTCTGCAATGCTTGTTCAGTGATCTTGAGGGCGGCAGATTTAGCGTTGTGATGAAAGAAATGCACGCGCGAGAAGGCCGTAAATTGATTGAGAGATGTAGACCACTTTTTATTTCAGTGTGATTGAACGCTAGGGCCATTTGTCAATGTTTGTATGTTCTGGAGCTACTAGCTGTACATGTATAGCTCATCCCGCTTTTTGTTTAGTCTGGACCATTTGTCACCGTACAACCGGTGCGCATTTCTTTGTGGCTCATTATTACGCAATCGGTTGTACGGAGAACGGTAGAATTGCACAGACAATGCAGGTGAACCACACATACATATTGGTACCTGCACAGATAATGTGGAATTCGCACAGACAAACTGGTGACATGGTTGGAATCCACAGATCTTCGCGAGAAAGGCACAGATAGTATGCTAATATAGGGTGGTTTACATTAAAATCGTACAGCAGCTAGTATAAGGTAGACATTCCCTAAAGTAGTGTGACCTTCTATCGAGCTGTGGCCACTCTTTCTCGAACCCGCCCCGTTAAGCTTGGTGGTGTAGGTGACGAGCTGCCGAGTGAAGACTTAGTTGTGCGTGGAGGAGGGACGAGGGACGGAGTGGCAGAGAGGTGTGTAGTAAACAGAGGTGTAGTGACGAGTGGAGGAGGGACGGTGTGGTGAGTGGTGACGAGGGACGGTATGGTGACGAGGGACGGTGTGGTGACGAGCGGAGGAGTGGTGACGAGGGACGGTGTAGTGACGAGCGGAGGTGTGGTGACGAGTGAAGGTGTGGTGACGAGTGGGGGTGTGGTGACGAGTGGAGGAGTGACGACGGCTGGAGGACAGGTGGCCAGTGGAAGGATGGTGACGAGTGAAGACGCCGAACCAAGGGATGAAACGCCCTTCGTACAACTGGGTGAACCTGTGTACTTTGGACTCAGAAGACGCACTGCAAGAATTTTTGGATATTGAGCTTTGTTGCGCTCGGGTAGGTCACACGGACCCATCCCGTCGATGCCGAGTTTGCGGTAGTGTTGAACACTCGATGAATGAGCGCCGAATGCGGTGTGGAAGCAAAACATGCAAGTTGTACGGCAAATGCAAGTTCGTTATGAAGATTTGGCTGTGTGAGTCCACCAAGGCGTGCCAAGTATTTCACAACCGAGTCGCTCACGCGAGGGACATTCAGCTAGAGTGCGAAGGTCCCCACAAAGCAGTTATAACTGCCCAAATGAAGAAGTTCATTTTGCAGCAAGATGAGTGTGCAGTGCCCCCGCAGCTAATTTTAAGTAGTATGCGCCGGTCTTCTGATATTCTCGAGCCCAAGAGAGGGTACCCTACTTTGAGCCAAGTCACCAACTGCGCCAAATACTTACGCCGCTTATAGGGAACGAAGAATTCCATTCAGGTCGTACGCAAACTAGTTCGGGAAAACGCGTATGACCCAACCGGAGATCTCAACCGGTCTTTCTGTTTCGGGCAACGGGAAGATGAAAACGGGCATGCCTACGTAGGCAAGGGCACGGACGAGGACTCGTTCGTCGTCGGCGTAACAAGCCTAGCGCTGGCCCATGCCTCCATCGAATACGCATCACCAGGCCGATTTACTCTCTTCCACGCGGACGCTACATTCAAGCTTAGTGACTTGGGGTACTCTTTGATCACGTGTGGATTTTCAGACTCTTCCCGATTGTACCAGCTTGCCGCAATTTTTATTGTGAGCCGTCGCACAGCTAAGGAGTACGCGATGTGTCTTAGCGCGTTTGTCCGAATGGTAAAACTTGTGCGAGCGTCGGCTACCCTTCACATTGAAGCCGTGATGGGGGATCCAGAGGATGCTCAACTGAACGGGTTTCAGCAAATTGCTCCCTTTGACTCGGCTACCTACTTCATGTGCTTCTTCCATGTGCTGTACAATGTTCGGAAACGTACAAAGCATATGCAGTTAGAGCACCGAAGAGCGGTAATGGATGGCATTGTGAAAATCCATTATGCGGCAAGCATGACGGCCTATTATGCGCAGAAAGATGAAACACTGAAGGAGTGGAAAAAGATTCCGGAGCTGACAAAATTTACGAAGTACTTCAAAGGGCAATGGCTCGACAGTCGTTATTGGCGGTGGCAAGTTTTCCATACACCTGTTGGCTATGCGACGACAAACAATCCCTGTGAAACATTTAACGCTATTTTGAAGAAGTACACCGGGCGGCGCAGATTTTTTATGCAGCGGCTTCTTGCTGTGACTATGACAGTGATACAAGACGCAAAGGTCCATACGCCAACAGCGGACACGAAGGTGCACGCTCCCACCACAGCCGCTGCTAAAGCGGCAGCTTCGATGATTGCAACAGGACGTATTGTGGCCTACGCTGCTGACAACCCTACGCTCTGCCGTGTAAAACAGTTACCGAAAGTGGACGAGACAGAAACATAGAAGCTAGAGGATCTCTCGCTCATGCTTGACAGCCCATTTTACGCTTCAACGGAATTAAGCGATGACGGCGAAGAAGAGCTTTGCGTGGGACCAGCTCTTCTTGTTCGAGAGCAGCGGGCTCGTGCTGCCCGGCTGTACAATAATGTAGTGACTCGGTCGTTGTGGTATGCACACTACGACTCGATGCCTGATGATGGATGAATTGTAGACGTCGAGAAGTGCATTTGTGGCTGCAAATTCTACGCCAAGTTCAGGACTTGCTGCCACATCTTCGTCGGAAGGAAGGCTAAGAGGCTTTCACGTCCTGGAGGGGAGGATAAGACGGAGAAACAATTCAATCGACAAATTAAAAAGACGAAATCCACACCACCGACCAAGAAACAGAAGAAGAAGCAGCAGCAACCGACTGCAAGTGAAGCGACTGAAGCGCTACCACTGGCGGAGCCTATTCAAGGTCGACCGCTACTGGCTTCGCGAGCGTTGAACTTACAATTTATCTTGTGCGAAGACACGTAAGCCAGTTACCAACTAGAAAGGGGGAGTGTAAGAGTGCATTGTTGCACCAGCAACTTGAACCGTTACATGATAAGTCTGCTTCTGACTTCCACCACGTAGTATGTTTTTAATTTTGGTAGAGCACTAAGTCTTCATTAGTCACATAACTGCTATCGATCACCTGGTCACCAAACCTTCCTCGGTCACCAAAAATATACCGGTCACCTAAACTGTCTTGGTCACCTAAACTGTCTTGGTCACCTAAACTGTCTTGGTCACCTAAACTGTCTTGGTCACCTAAACTGTCTTGGTCACCAAAACTCAATCTGTCACTTAAAACTTGTTCTAGTCTCCCAAAGGGTTCAATTGCAGAGATTTAATTTGCTTGTCAAACGTTTGGTTTTAACCTACAAGTCGAACTCGAACTCGCTGTCCTCTGACTCGCTGTCGCTCATCTGGTCCACGCTGTCTGTCGACGAGCTCTCGCTCATCTGCTCCTCCGAGGAGCTCTCACCGGTTCACTCAGATCACTCTCATTCTCTTCCCCCTCCGCCTCCTCCTCTTCCTTGTCTTCGTCTTCTTCTTCGTCCTCGCTCTCTTCTTCGTCGCCCTCGCTCTCTTCTTCGTCGTCCTCGCTCTCTCCTTCACCATCTCCATCTTCGTCGTGAATATCGCTCTCGGTTGCCTCCTCCATTTCCTCGTCTGCGTGACGCGACGATCGCCACGCGCGGTGCTCACCGGGATGCTTTCGGCTGATGTGCTTCGTTAGCGTGTTCGGTTTGTTGAAGGAACTGTCACAGTACGGGCAGGGAAAATCCGCTTCAAAATCACACACCAATTTGTGCTCGCGTAGCCCCTGGCGCGAATCATACAAGCCCATGCACTTGCTGCATCCATAGCTTTTGAACGGGACGGCCTCTGTTGTATTTGAGCGATGCCTGATGCCTCTGACGCGAACGTAACAATGCAGGCGAATGTTCTCGTCTTCGTACTTTGCACCTGCATGCGCCAAGTCACCCCTGAACAGAACCATGTCGCCTTCATTTAACGTCAGCGTGACTCTGCGTTTTTTTTTCGCTTGACAAAACAACGCGGATACACATGGAGCAACGTGTTCTTCATTAGCGCCACAATCACGGAGCCCTGAACGAGCTTATGCTTTAGAAGAGCGCGTGAAATCTCAAACTGGGGATAATCTTGGTGCACAGCCTGTGTTCTGCCACCAGGTGTCGACTTCAATGCATGCCACGTAGATACATTAACCTCACATAGATTGTTTGCGCCCTCCACAAGTCCAGCCACCATGGCATGAATGCTACTAACTCCATCGTCGAGCACTTCGATTGACACCTGTTCGCGAAAGGGGTCCAGCCTCTTCGCGTAGACCTTTCGGAATATCGGCTTGAATCCCAGCTCTTTGACTTCTTCAAGAGCCTGCTCGCACAGCGCGTGACTAAACACTTTTCGCTTCACCGTGTCGCCAACATTCCAGAAGGCAGATAACTCTAAAAACGAAAAACCCACCACCATTCTTGTCCCTCCAAAAATACGCTTGTTTCGTCAAAAAGCCCTCGCAAAGCACGTCTCCGGTCGTCCTCCGCTGTCCACCGGCCGTTGTCATCCTTCTAGCGTCGCTAGCACGCTACTCGGGGCGTCTTAGGCGCCTGCCGCGCCGCTGCTGGCATCTTGGGCGGCCGGCGCTAGGCTACGAGCCTCTTGGATGGCAAGCGCGAAGCCGACAGCGTCTGGGGGGCCGGTACGAAGCGACGAGCGTCTCTAGGAGGCCAGCCGAAGCTCGGGGGCCGGCACGAAGCGGACGGGTGTCGTTGGTGCGGGGCCGAGTCTGCACTACGGCTAAAGTTGGTAAGTGGCTGGTTGCTGTGTACGCGCTGTTGCATTGCGTCATTGCGTGTAGGCGATGACGCAATGATGTGCTGACGTGCTGTGCATACAGCATCTGTGGATTTCACAATAAGTGGTCTGTGGATTTCCCTATTTTGTTTGTGCGATTAACCTTATGTCGGTTGTACGGCGTACAACAATACGAAAGTGTCTATTAGTACCAGGGGCTAATGTTAACACGGTATTAATGATATTTTTTCGAATATAATATTGATAATATTCTGTATTAATGTTATATTAGGTAGTCAAACCTGATATCAATCAGATATTTCATATATCATTTCAAATCTCACCGAATATCAAATATTCTATATGATATTTCCAGAAGACCTCCGCCTCTTGCCTCTAAGGAGTGCGCTTCCTCCGGTAGGAGTTCTCTCAGCATGGCAATGAACATCACCTAGAGCTTGTGCTAGCCGTCGTGTAAGATGTTTTGTTAGCTCGGCCCCACGTAAAAATATTACCCACGATCCTCATATTTGAACTGAATACACTCGATATCTAAACGTGCACGCTGACATGAATTATTGCTTCCTACAAGCGTCGTTGTTGTTATCAGCGATGACGTTAAAGCACAATATTACTGAAGTAAGAAATGCTTTGAGATAATGTGCAGACAGCGTTGAAAGGTAAATACCCGGTCCAGCTGTATCTGAATCCTGGACCGGGTAGCGTCAGCTGTATCCGAATAAATACCTGGTCCGAGTATTCAGATACCTTGGTTACCATGTGCTCGTTAATACGTTGTTCTAATACTTGTAAGTATTGCAATGGTTCAAACGTACCAAATTCTGGTAGCTTGAACGTTTGCTCTATAGTTAGCTATCATCATGTCAGAGTACACAAAGAATGTGACGCTGCGTCAATGGTATGCCGGATCAACCTAAAATCGTTCTGATATTCATGATGACGCTAACAAAATGGTCTCAAGCTAGCTATCGATTGGCAAAAAAGACGAGATATACATCATTATTTCGTACTTAATGAGATATTAATATATCATATTATATATCAGAACTATTATTATTACTTTTCCCGAGACATCCAAATATCATATAATATTTTACATATCAAAACCGAAGGTGCTTGATATTATATCAATATCAATATTACCCATTTTCGAGTTAACATTAGCCCCTGATTAGTACAGCATGGGCCAGAGAAAGGACCAACGGAGGCGCATAGCAGACCCGCACGGGGTGCCCGCGAAGCAGGGCCGCGCGGTGTCTGCGGAGGCGGCCCCAGCGCCGAGCATTCCAGCGAGCCGAGCACTGTACTCGCCAGGTGAGAGAATCTTTTTATCGCAGGAGCGCAGCGACTGCCTTTGCCCAGCGCAGCGAAGCAAAGCCCATGATCCAATACAAAAATCAAGATACAGAATTCTGCCCGAATAAGGAACGGGTGTACAACTAATAGCCTCACATATTTAATATTATTTTCCAGTCGATGTGGCGATAGGGGGATGTGCAAGGTACTGCAAGGTACTAAGGCACTAAGGTGAAAAATCCAGTGCCAATCATCAGCTCTCCACCCTCGTTTGAAAAATGGCGCGCATTTAGCGATCTTACTAGACTACGAGGTCGACCAGTTGACAGCGCTGTTGTGGTGCGAGGATGCCTGGTCAATGGTTAGTGTTTCGACCATACGCCACTGTTGGAATCATTCCGGACTCGTAGGTAAAGCTGCTCTTCGGTTCATTTTGAAATAATTAAATCAGTACATTGGAAAAGTATACTCAACTTAACATTAATTTATATATTCTGCGTCTTTATATATATCAGGCGTTCCTTACTCGGGCAGATTACTGTATCGGTTTTCGCTGTGCTGTACTAATATCCTCTGTCCAACAATACACCCGTACAACCGCTGCTAACCCGTTTTTAAAGTTCGTTAAGAACGCCCCTCAGGGGCTTAACGATGCGAGCCTCGAGCCAAATCCAAACATAATCCGGTGTGCCGTGTCGTGCGAATGCATGCATGACGATGAAGAAACAAGACAAACCCGCGCGCGTGATTCGGAATGACGTGAATGACTCATTCAGCATTTGGCTAAAGCCACGTACAGTAATTAAAATTGCACAGTACTTGCTAGCAATACCCAATCAATTCTAGGTTTACTGCATGCTGCATGCATTGACCGCTTGCTGTGGCCTCGATGAGCCTCACGCCGTAGTTTACCGTGTTGAGCCAGCTCAAAATCGGGTCGTGATCCCATCTGCCGGTGTTGCAGTCATCGTCATCGGTAATCAAAAAGACCATCACTCTCCTGATTATGCATCCCACGGGTGGTCCACTCCACTGGCCAGCAGCCGTCGAGCGGGTCTCTCAGTCTCCAATCGGCGCCGCAGACGGCAAGAGCTTCAAGCAGGCGGAGAGAGACCGAGCCAAGGCCGCCCCTAGAGAGAAAGTAACGGTCGCATGGCGCCTTCCAAGCACCGCCGCGACGAGGAGCGCAAGCCGCTGCTGCAGGGCGTGACCGTCCTACACGATGGCGGCGCCACGTCCGACAAGTCCAGCGGCACGTGGATGCCCGTGGACGCGCCCGGCCTGGGCGACCGCTACCCGTCGCAGCTGAGCGGCTGCTGGGGCAACGTCTTCTTCTCGTGGGTCACGCCGCTCATGAAGCTGGGCAACGAGCGCCCGCTCGAGAGCGACGACCTGTTCCAGCTCGACCCGCACAACCGCGCGACCAACGTGTCGCGCCAGTTCGGCGCCGCCTGGGAGCAGCAGAAGCAGAGCGGCAAGCCTAGCCTCGTGTGGGCGCTGGGCAAGGCCTTCGGCTTCAAGTTCGTGGTGGCGGGCTTCCTCAAGCTCATCCACGACTCGCTGCAGTTCGTGGGCCCCATGATCATCAAGGACATCATCGCGTACCTGAGCGACCCGACGGCGCCGCTGTCTGAGGGCCTCACTTACGCCGGCGTCATCTTCGTGTCGGGCGTCGTGCAGTCCTTCGCGCTGCGCCAGTACTTCTTCTACTGCTACGAGACGGGCATGCAGTTCCGCAGCGCCATCGTCACGGCCGTGTTCGAGAAGTCCATGGTGCTGTCGGCGGCCGCGCGCCAGCAGCGCACGTCGGGCGAGATCACTAACCTCATGTCCATCGACGCGCAGCGGCTGCAGGACATGACGCCGTACCTGCACGCCGTGTGGTACGCGGCCTTCCAGATCATCGTGTCGTGCTTCCTGCTGTGGCAGCAGATCGGCGTGGCGACGTTCGCCGGTGTGGCCGTGATCCTGCTGGTGATCCCGTTGATGACCTTCATCTCCAAGGCCATGCGCAAGCTGCAGCAGCGCCTGATGGAGGTCAAGGACGAGCGTATCAAGATCTGCGTCGAGGTGCTGTCCGGCATCAAGGTTGTCAAGCTCAAGGCGTGGGAGAACTCGTTCGGCCAGCGCGTCATGAAGTTCCGCGACGAGGAGCTGGCGCGCCTCAGGACGTACGTGTTCGCGCGCAGTACGTCCAACACGCTGTTCAGCTTTGTGCCATCGCTGGTGACTGTGGTGTCTTTCAGTGCGTACGTGCTCCTGGGTCACACGCTGGACGTCGGCACGGCGTTGACGAGTCTGGCGCTGTTCAACATCCTGCGTTTCCCGCTGTTCATGCTGCCGCAGGTGCTGAACAACGTCGTGGAGGCGAGCGTGAGTTTCGACCGTCTGCGCAGCTACTTCCTGGCCGAGGAGCGCATCAAGGTGGGCGAGGGCGACTTGACGGAGGTCGGTATCTCCGTGCAGGGTGCCGACTTCAAGTGGGACGCTGCCCCTCCGGCTGAGGGTGACAACAAGAAGGAGAAGGAGGAGGAGAAGGAAGCGCTGGTGACTCCCGTCGCCGAGGACCCCACGCTCCGCCACATCGACTTTTCGGCCAAGAAGGGCGAGCTACACGCTATCGTGGGTCATGTTGGCAGTGGCAAGTCGACGCTGCTGGCTGGAATCCTTGGCGATGCTCGCTGCAGTGCCGGCACGGTGGCGCTTCGTGGCAAGGTGGCGTACGTCTCGCAGCAGCCGTTCATTCAGAACGCGACGGTGCGCGATAACATCACATTCGGTCTTCCGTTCAACGCCGGAAAGTACGAGGAGGCTCTGCGTGTGAGTTCGCTGAAGAAGGATCTGCGTATCTTGACGGCCGGAGACCGCACCGAGATCGGTGAGAAGGGTATCAACCTGAGTGGTGGCCAGCGCACGCGTGTTGCCATTGCTCGTGCTGTATACCAGGACGCTGATATCTACCTGCTCGATGACATTCTGTCGGCGGTGGACAGTCACGTGGGTGCCGACATCTTCAACGAGTGCATCAAGAAGACGCTGAAGGACAAGCTGGTGGTGCTGGTGACGCACTCGCTGAGCTTCGTCAACCAGTGCGACCAGATCGCTGTGATTGCCGACGGAAGAATTGCCGAGCACGGCTCATACAAGAAGCTGATGGCGAAGAAGAACGTATTGGCTCAGATGGTGTCGAACTACGTGGAGAGCCACAAGGATGAGGAGGACGAGGAGAACACTACGTCGGCTGAGTCGGTGGAGGACGAATTGGCTGACTCAAGCGACGACGAGAGGATGTCGACTGAGGGCCGCATGCACCGCCGTTCTCGTGTGTCGTCTACGAGGAGCGACGACAGCCAGGCGTTTGAAGAGGAAGGCCAGTTAATGGTGGAGGAGGACCGGTCGGTTGGCGATGTGTCTTGGTCTGTCTATCGCGTGTGGATTAGTGCGTTCGGTGGCATGTGCGCCGCGTTCCTGGTCGTGTTGGGTTTCTTTGCCGCACAAGGTTTGACCCTGCTGGCAACCGTGTGGATTTCGTACTGGTCGGAGGAAGCGTCGAAGTACCCGGACTCGCAGATGTACTATGTGTACGTGTACATGCTGATCAACCTGGCGTACGCGGTGCTGCTGTTCATCCGCGTGGTTCTGCTGTACCTGGGCTCCCTCCACGCGAGTCGCCTGCTCTTCAACAAGCTGCTTAACCAGATTCTGCGCGCGCCTACCTCGTTCTTCGATACGACGCCGCTGGGCCGCATTGTGAACCGCATGTCGAAAGACATTTACACACTGGATGAAGCCATCCCTGGCACGGTCGTGGGTCTTCTGAACACTATGGTGTCCGTCGTCATCACACTGGTCACGATTTCGTACGTTACTCCGATGTTCATGGTGATTCTTGCCCCCGTCCTGGCTGGATACTACTGCTCGCAGCGGTACTTCATCAAGACTTCTCGTGAGCTGCAGCGATTGGACTCCATCAGCCGTTCCCCTATATTCGCCCTGCTTTCCGAGACTCTGGATGGCCTCTCAACGATTCGTGCTTTCGGCGTAGAGAGCAGCTTCATCGGCCACAACAACTACCTTCTGGACAAGAACCAGCGTGCGTATTTCCTCAACTTCACCATCAACTGCTGGCTGGCGCTGCGCCTCGAGTTTGTCGGCACGTGCATCGCGGCCGCTGCTGCCTTTGCCGCGGTCATTGCCCACGGCACAAACGCTGCGGAGGGCACGGCTTTCGCTGGCATTGTTGGTGTCGCACTCACGTACGCGTTCACTATCACGCAGCCCTTGAACTGGACCGTGCGCATGCTCAGCCAGTTGCAGACGCAGATGGTATCCGTGGAGCGCATCCAGACCTACACTGATATGCCGACTGAAGCGGCCCTAGAGAGCACCGCCGCTCAGAAGCCAGCCTTGGAGTGGCCTACTGCCGGTGCCATCAGCTTCAACCGTGTGGACCTCCGCTACCGTCCTGGCCTCCCGCGTGTGCTTCGTGGACTAACGTTCAGCGTGAACCCCAAGGAGAAGATCGGCATCGTCGGTCGTACGGGCGCTGGCAAGAGCAGTCTGATCGTGGGTCTCATGCGACTCGTGGAGCTTGACGCGGGCTCCATCACGATCGATGGCGTCAATATCAGCAAGATTGGCCTGCATGACCTCCGCGCCAACATCGCCATCATCCCGCAGGACCCCGTGCTGTTCTCAGGCACGGTGCGCTCGAATCTGGACCCGTTCAACCAGTTTTCGGACGACCAGATCTGGACTTCCATCAAGCGCGCGTCGCTGCAGAAGGCGGTCACGTCGCTGGACGACGTCGTGGACGAGAAGGGCTCGAACTTCAGCGTGGGCGAGCGTCAGCTGCTGTCCATCGCTCGTGCGCTGCTGAAGCGCTCGAAGGTGATTCTGATGGACGAGGCCACAGCGTCGATCGACCCGGAGACGGACCGTCAGATCCAGCAGAGCATCCGCGAGGAGTTCCGCGACTGCACCACGCTCACGATCGCGCACCGCATCAACACGATCCTGGACTCGGACCGCATTCTGGTGATGGAGAAGGGCTCGGTGGCCGAGTTCGGCTCGCCCGCGGAGCTGCAACGCAAGACTGACGGCATCTTCAAGTCGCTCGTGGACGCCTGGCGCCAGAGTAGCGAGAAGTGAGAGAGATAGCGGAGACCTTCGTTCGCTCGGTGGTACAGATCGACCGAGGGTTTGACTCAATACAAAATAGCTGCATAAATACTTTGTTTACAGCAATCGCGTTGGAAACGCTGTCAGATTTTTTTTTTCCGAGATGACTTTCTCGTACCGTTTAGTGCACTTGACATACAAATAGCTAGTAGCTATCCATAGATCTTGCTTCGAATACTACATCATTCTCTTCTCACCATGCCTCGCGTATCGCCAAGGTGTGATACAGATTCAGCCACTCAAGGCATGCGGTGGTGGCAGCGCCTCGAGGAGAGATGGAACAGAATTCAAGTGGGTCGCCAGGGATCATACTCAGTGGAGCGTCTCGAGAGTTTCGATCACTACTGCAAGACCACATCGCCAACTCGAGTGCTGTTGGTGTGCGTTCTCACGCCGCTGCCAGCGCTTCTCATCGCCGTATTGCTCGAATGCTTGCCACTTCGATCACCTTCCGAATCGTGGAGTGCCAATGGGGTGTTTTGGCTTCGCTTTGGTCTGTCAAACCTGATGATGTGCCTTATTGGGTTGTATCAACTCGTTGTGCTTGTGCCGGAGCTGCATCCGACTTTTTGCAAGATATTGACAGTGTGTGTAAGTAGGTGTGATCGGCCTCTACGTGGCAACTTTCGTTCTTGGAGCAAATTATGTTGGGTTTCCGATCCCATTGACGTGGTATATCGGAGGGGTCCCCATTGCTTTGTATTTTCCAATCATGATGCTTATCGTGTTCGGTCGGGCAATCTTTTCGAGATCGGCGCCTTGCCGTCCCAATGTCCTCCGCTTCTATCGCTACATTCAAGCGGCCATGGGTCTAGGTACCATCTTCCCGCTCTATAAAGCTTTCTACAGATGTGTGCCTGCGGAGTACCGAGGGGTGGTCTGGAGACTCGCTGCAAAACAATTTGTGGTGCGTTCTACTCCCGAGATGGAGGACTTTATCCTTGGAATTGTCGCCACGGCAGTAGACTTCTTTAGTGCATTATTTGTCTCCGTTTGTATGTCGACCTCAGGATCAACGTACCTTTCGGTGCTGTTCATCGCTGCAGATCTCGGTCAAGCACTGCTCGAATTTCGCGAGGTGCGAATGAGCGCGAACGCCGTGTTTGACCTGCTTCAAGACCTGAAGAAAAAGTCGTCCAGGTCTGGAGGCCTGATGAAAACACCCTTATCCTGTCAGTAATTAGAGATCCAAAGGTGTTCTCTGTCACGTCACTGGGAGGTGTACGACTGCGCGCTTGTTGTCCTCATCCTCTTACGAAAGAGCAAATAGATAAGCTGCAGGCGCTGCAAGTGTCTCCAGTATTTGGGCAGTCAGATTCACCCTCGACAGTCGAGTCGAGTACAAGGTCAAAACCAACCCGACGTTTGCAAGTTCAAATGGCAAGAATTGCACCAACTTCTTTAGAGATCACCAGCACTGGTAAGGAAGTAGGTGAAGGGCCCTCCACTATGTTTATTGTTACCCCCAACTCCGGTGAAGTGCCTAAAAAGCTGGTTCGTCAGGGCCTCCAGCTGATGTTCCATTGCGAATACTTGATACTGGTCGAGTACGTTGAGTGCATCGTGTCGCTCATCTTCGTGCTGTACAAAACGGCGCTCGAGCATCTACCGAACGTCGCGTACTATCCCGATGGGGCTGGCCACTTCGGACCAGGTGCAGCGGCAAACGTCTTGGTGCTAGCTACCCTCGAGATTGTGTCGTTGCTACTGCTACACTGGTTTCTTCAGCACAAATTCGCCTTCTCTCCTGTATCAACTAGCGTTCGTACTGGAGACGCAAATCTACATGGTCCAAGCCCAACTTGTGGTCGAATGGATCTTGCTACTGCAGTATGAGCTCGAACGCTACGGTAATGGATACTCACGGAACCACAAATGATGCATCGACTTTGAAATACCCTAATGCTTTTCGTGTTCTGCATCACCAGGCATGGACTTCACCTTCCAGTTGCAGGACAACTAGCACACGTACACGTAGCGCCATGCTCAACGGACTGTCGTTTCATAGTTATTTCGCTGCTCGACGGTCCCTGCTGGTGTTGCACCGCTCATCTTTGCTGGCAGCTGACAGCTCCGCAAGCTTCAACGTCGCCGACCTCGCATCAATCTTGTCAGAATCGAACGGACCAGCTAGAGCTCAACTCCAAGAAAGAATGCTGTCGGTCTCCTCGCTGCGCAATAAACTCCCCTTCAACCCAGTGAAACTCGGCATCGGAACGCTCGTATTCGCCTCGGTCGTCGTGCTCTTGGCCAAACCTCCCTACGAACCGACCAAGAAGGAGGATCCGTCCAAGAAGTCGCACCGGAAGATCCACCGCCCCGAGGCGACGCTCCCAGTGCTGGAGAACACGCTGACCGTCATCGAGGCTGCTCGTGCCGGGGATATACACGACCGAACGCTGCTCAGCTGCCGTGAATCCAACGCAGAACCAGTGCTGGTTCGCTCCATCGGCGTCCCGGACCAGCTCATCGTTTGCACACCAGAAGCCTTCGAGGACGTCCTCAAGCTCGAGTTCAGCAACTTCCCCAAAGGATCCTACCAGTGCGAAAACCTACGGGACCTGCTAGGCGACGGGATCTTCGCTGTAGATGGGGAGCAGTGGGTCCACCAGCGCAAGACGGCCAGCAACCTCTTTACTATGAGAGCACTGAGGGACTCCATGGCCTTCGTCATCCAACGTCACGCTGTTGTGCTCTACGACATCCTCCGACAGACCAGTGAGAGCAATGAGACTCTGGATCTGTTCAAGCTCTTGAACCGGTTCACGATCGAGGCGTTCACAGAGATCGGCTTCGGAGTCCACATGGGGTGTCTGGACTCGGAGGAGGAGCACCCATTCCAGAAGGCCTTCGACCATGCCCAGCGAGCTCTCTTGTTGCGCTTCGTGCGCCCAGGGTGGTTCTGGGAGCTTCAGAAGTGGCTGGGAGTTGGCGCCGAGGGTCAGCTGAAGAACGACATCGAGGTGATCAACAAGACGGTGCTGGATATTGTCGAGAAGGCGCTAGCGAAGCGTTCAAGCATCGGCAGTGGTATTGAGATTGATGGCAGTGCCAGCCAGGGGAAGGACATTGTGTCCCTCTTCCTTGGAGATGCAGACAGCGACACCCAGCAACTCGATCCCATGTTCCTGCGCAACATTGTCGTGAACTTCCTCATCGCCGGCCGAGATACGACAGCGCAGACGCTGAGCTGGTTCTTCCTCAACCTCGCTAAGAACCCCGACGTCGAGACAGCTATTCGCAATGAGATTGCCAAAAAGTTGCCAAACATTGAAGGCAGCGAGGTAAATGTGAGCCACGCAACGATGCAAGATGTGAGCCAGCTCGTGTATCTTGAAGCCGCCTTGAAGGAGACGCTCCGACTTCATCCACCCGTTCCGATGATCCCGAAGTACGTTGTGGAAGACACCACGCTGTCTGACGGAACGTTCGTCAAGGCGGGCTCGCTTATCGTACTCGCGACGTACGTGATGGCGCGACTGCCGCAGGTCTGGGGGCCGGACGCTGAGGAGTTCAAGCCCGAGCGATGGATCGACCCCAGCACCGGGAAACTGATCGTGGTCTCCGCCTACAAGTTTGCGTCTTTCAATGCGGGGCCTCGGATGTGTCTTGGCATGAACTTGGCCATGCTCGAGATGAAGCTGGTGGTGGCAGGTCTGCTGAGCAAGTTCCACGTCGAAGTGCTCAACCCGGAGGACGTGACCTACGACCTCTCGTTGACGCTGCCGTTGAAAGGCGCCCTCAATGTCAAGGTGTCGCAAGCTGCGCTACCATCCAACCCTGATTTCGCGTAAGTGGGCGGTGCTTTAACTGAATTGAAACTCCGCATTGCCTCGAACACGTCCGTAAGTACAAACCGTAAGTTTCATCACAATGCTGTTCGTTATTGCTTAAAGCGTCTGCGATTAAGCGTCGCCGCTTGACGGCTTGGCAGCGTCTCTCTGTCGCTCCTGTTGCAGCGCCAACTGCATGGCGTTGTGGATCATCCGGCAGTCGGTCGTGTACGGGATCGAGTAGTCCACGAACGAACCTGTCAGTAACACACAGACGTCAATACAACTACGAGCACAACGCCTCCTGCATTGCCACGCTATTGTCACGAACCTAGGACGCCCAGGATGGCGAATGGCTTGTAGGATTTCCGCTGGATGCTGATGGGGATGCCCACCAGGACGCCTGCAATACAGCACTATGACACACAAACACAAGTCAGTTGGAGCAGAAGTCCCAGTGCTGCGTCCACCAGAGCAGATCGGTACCAGGATCTGGCGGTTGATCATGCAGGACGTGAGCATCTGCTGCAGCTGCGCCGAGTCTTCATTGCCCTTGGGCTGCAGGCTCTCGTCTCCTTCGCGCTTGAGGAACATGACGGGCAAACCAACTCGATGTCCTGAGCTCGAGGCGATAATTACCGTTTGTGTGGCGGTACATCAAATACATCGACTTGGAGAGGGGTTGAGACATGGCTACATAACCTGTGGCGATCTGCCAGCAGCGGGAGGAGGACCTTTCTTAGCCATGGCTACATTATGAGGACCCTTCTGCAGCTGAAGTGCGAAGTTACAGTAGCTCGGACTAAGAACGCTCCTGAGCGGCATGGAGAACGCCCAACCCAAGCGGGAGAATGCGTTTAGAGCCCCCCGCCAATACAAATCCATCCGTACGTGCTCACGCTCCACTCTTTTTGAGGTCTGACTATCTTCGGGCAGGCAGTTGGGTCCATAACGTACTACGTCGTGCCCCCCTCGCGCGCAACGAACGCCCTCTCCTCCTCAACGCTCTACCGGCCGACGCAGCGAGCATGAACCTGTCCGTGAAGCGCTGCACGCCTCGCGTGTTCACGATCGCGTTGCTGGCGTCGCTCGGTCTCATCGCCGTCTACCTCGACTCGAAGCTCGCGTGGAGCACGCTCCCCACGTCCACGCACGTCTTCCACACCGTCGAGCGGACCCAGCCGCACCAGCAGCCTGCTGAGACTGCTGCTGCTGCTGCTGAGCAGGATGTGGATCTCCACGTGGACCCCGAGAAGCTGGCGCTGGTGCGGACGCTGAACGCCATCGCGCAGAAGACGTCGAAGCCCCGGGGCATCGTGATCCCAGTGTACGAGCCGATCGTCAAGCTCGCAGCGTCGCTCATCCTGGAGCTGCGCACCATGGGCGTCGACGACCCCATAGAGATGCCGTTCTGTGGAGACGTGGAGGCTGCGTCGCAGGAGCTGCTCATGCAGAAGTCAGCACTGGGGCCCATCAGGTTCTACGATGTCTGTGAGCTCGCGGCTGCCGCGACGGTGGAGGCCGACAGCAACTCGACCAAGAAAGTTTTCTGCGAAGACTTGGCCGCGTGCCACACCAAGTTCCGGAACTTCGACATCAAGGTCGTGTCCGTGGTGTTCTCCCAGTTCGAGGAGATCATGATGATCGACGCCGACACGGGCTTCTTCGTGAGCCCAGCCGTGCTCTGGGATTCGGCCAAGTTCAAGGCCACGGGCACCTTGCTCATGAACGACCGCATCGCGCACGAAATCTACTTCATGGCCGAGCGCGTGGGCGGATCGGGGAATGTTTCCTTCCAGCATCGGTACATGTCCAAGTTCGACCCTGCCCCGTTCCGCTTCATCCCCACTCTGGATCGGGAGAAGGCCACGCTGCCGAACCCCGCCCCGGTCGAACTGCAGTTCGAGCCCAGCGACTACTTGCTCAATAGCCACTCGTGGAACCTCCGCACGGGTCACCAGGTCGACTCGTCTCTCATGTTCTGGAGCAAGAAGAAGCAGCCTCGCGCGACTGCGATCCTGGCGTCGTTCAAGGCGCTGAGCGATGTTGGCTCCCCTCCTTCGTACGGAGACAAGGAGCTGTACTTCTACGCTGCGGAGCTGGCGGAGACGCAGTATTCCTTCTCGGACCACGCGATCGGCGCGGTTGGGACAGAATACGAAGACCACGGAGAGAAGAACTCGACGCTTTGTGGTGATATGGCCCAGGTGTTCCCTATCAAGCAGGCCAGCGAGGACGACGTGCCGTTGTTCTACCTCAACAGTGACCGCGTCTTGCACTTCAAGCCTGAAGCACAGCCCGTGTACTACATGAAGGCGCGAATGGCCGATGTATACCCCGGAGCCTTTGGCGAGCGTCGGATGGAGTGTCCGTTTGACATCACTGGAGCGCAGTTTTCCAACGCTGAAGCACGACACCTCACTGGGCGACAGCGTCTGCATGACCTGGTGCTCGAATGGGAGAAGATTGCGCAGGACACTGCGAGTGATCCCATGGCCAAAGAAAGTAGGCAAGCGGCTACGGATGGAATGATAGATGAGCAGATGCATCAAATGAGAGGAGCGTATCGGCAAGTTATCAAGCCGAATGTCTAAAGACTAGAGTAGCTCTCAATCAATAACTACATAGAACTTCTTGGGTAGCAATTCCAGTTGAGTTCCACTGCTGCAGCACGCCATGCTTTGGATGATGGATATCGTGTGGTCCTGCGATGCTCTCCCACGTGGTCAAGTTGGGTGGTCGAATGCTTTTCAGGCACGAACGCCTGGCAGCTGGGGTCACTGCAACATGCAGTCTTCGAGACACGCAACGTGTGGCAGTCGAGCGTTGCATGGAGCCAGGCCATCCGAGCGACAGGGTCTTCCTATGAATGCTGGAGGGATGACAGACCCTCTCTGGCCAGAAGGCAATCGCCACAGTCTCCATTCGATCCGTCTTACTTGGCAACATCCGCGCTCGAGGTCACGATGTTGTCGGTGTCGGCGCTGAAGCTGGAGACCCCTTTGCACCACGCCCTCGCAGTCACGAGCTTTCTCCTGCTCCCTCTCGTTATTCAGCTCTCGAGACGCATCGGTTCATCGTCAGCCGAGACCCCGGAAGCATTCAAAGAGCGAGCGGACTCGGAACCGGAGCGACGAGAGGCCGGTCGACCTCCTTGGACGCTTCCGGTGCTGCACAACACGCTGGGCTTCCTCCTCGCTGGCAACAACCTCCACGAATGGATCACGCGGACGTGCGAGCGGTTTGAGGGCAACCCGTTCACCGTCAAGGTCTTGGGCTTGCCTCGGATGCTGGTGGTCTCCACTCCGGAGGCGTTCGAAGACGTGCTCAAGTACCAGTTCATGAACTTCCCCAAGGGGCCTCAGTACAGCGAGAACATGAAGGATCTGCTAGGTGACGGCCTCTTCGCTGCGGACGGGGTCAAGTGGGCGCACCAGCGAGATATCGCCCACGGGTTGTTCCGGACCAAAGAGCTTCGGGAGTGCATGGTCAAGGCCATCACCCGCCACACCATGGCGCTACACGACGTATTGAAGCAGATCTGCGCTCGGAATCGCTCCGTGGACCTGTACAAGCTGCTGAGCTGCTTCTCGACCGAGGCGTTCGCGGACATCAGCTTCGGACTCAAGATGGATTGTCTGAGGGCCAACAAGGAGCTCCCGTTCCAGGCAGCTTTCGATCGCGCGCAGCGACTCACAGCGCTGCGCTTCGTGCGGCCGCGCTGGTTCTGGAAGATGCAGCGGCGACTGGGTCTGGGCGCGGAGGACCAGCTCCAGCTCGACATCAAGGAGATCGACGCGACGGTTCTCAGCATCGTCCAGCGAGTGCTCGCCCAACGCGCGATGGCGCCTGAAGATAAAGACTCGAACATGCTGTCGCTGTACCTCGACGCCATCGCCAGGTCCTCGGGGACGGACGAGCAGCTCTACGACCCCGTGCACTTGCGCGACGTGGTGGTCAACTTCCTGGTGGCTGGACGTGACACCACCGCCCAAGCCTTGAGCTGGTTCTTCTTCTGCGTCAGCCAGAACCCGCGCGTCGAGAGCAAACTGCGTCGCGAGATCTACAAGAAGCTGCCGGAGCTCATGACGGCCGAGAGCTGCGTGCCGACGCTCGAGCAAGTCAACAAGCTCGTGTACCTGGAGGCAGTGATCAAGGAGACGCTGCGTCTGTATCCGTCCATGCCGATCGCGCCCAAGTACGCGGTTCGCGACACCGTGTTGTCCGACGGCACGTTCGTGGCCGCTGGGTCCATGGTCTGCCTCCCGCTGTACGCTATGGGTCGGATGCCCCACGCCTGGGGCCCCGACGCGGCCGAGTTCAAACCCGAACGCTGGGTCGACCCCGTCACCAAGAAGATCACCAGCGTTTCGGCCTTCAAGTTCGTCGCCTTCAACGGCGGACCTCGGATGTGTCTCGGGTCGTCACTAGCAGGCCTCGAGCTGAAGTTGGTGGCGGCGGCGCTGCTCAGCAGGTTCCACATCTACGTCGAGAACCCGGAGGACGTTGGCTTCGGGTTCTCCCTCACGCTGCCGGTCAAAGGCCCCATGAACGCCAGACTGGCACGCGTCTCTGCTAGTTTCGGGTAACTATCGCTAGTCCATTCCTTTCCGGACATTTCTTCAACGAGGAAAGATGGCCAAGCCACGACGTCGGGATGTGGTGTGCCTCCACTCCTCCGCCTACTTGGAGGCGTTGAGTCGCCTGCCAGTGCACCAGAACCGAGAGCGGATGACGCTGGAGTTGCTGAGAGCGTGTTTCCCCGACGGAAACCTCTCTCAGCATCTCCAGCTTCTTGCACCAACGTTGGCAACCCGTGCCCAACTGGAAGCTTTCCATTCCCGCGACTACGTCGACGCGCTCTACGAGTTTGGGGGTGACACAGAGAGCAGCAGAGTGGCGTCTGCTAGGAAGAGGGAGATTCAGAGTCAACTGGAAGACTTTGGGCTGGTAGACGACGCCTACGTGTTTCCAGGGCTGCTGGAGTACTGCTGCTACGTTGCAGGAGCGACGCTGACTGCTGCGGCTGCGCTGCTGCACATGATCAAGTCGCAGCCAGCACCGGTGGCTGTGAACCTTGGAGGGGGGAGGCACCACGCCATGCGCCCCAAAGCTGGAGGGTTTTGCTACGTGAACGACGTGGTGCTGGGGGTCCAGCGACTGCTGTCTAAGGGCAAGATGAAGCGCGTGCTGGTCGTGGACATCGACATTCACCACGGAGACGGCACGCAAGCAGCGTTCTACTACAGCGAGAAGGTCACGACCATCTCGTTCCATCTACATGAGCCTGGCTTCTTCCCTGGGACTGGGGATGACAAGGAGATTGGAGCTGGACGAGGCAAATTCAACAACGTTAACGTCCCGCTGCAGCGTGGAATTACTGACGACCAGTTCCTCGAGATCTTCCAACGTATCGTGGGCAAAGCGGTTGAGGCGGTTCAGCCAGAGACGGTGGTGTTTGTCTGCGGAGTCGACACGTTGGCACGAGATCCGCTAGGAGGGTTTAACCTTACTGGTGACGGTATCTGCGACTGCGTTGAGGCCATGATGAATCTGGAGCTCCCACTTCTGCTGCTTGGAGCAGGAGGTTACAGCGGAGTCGACGCCTGCAAGACCTTCGCAGCAATTGTCGCGACAGCAATCGGACAGCGCAGCAGTCTCCCTGATGAAATCCCTGAGCATGACCTCTACGAAGAGTAAGAACACGCAATAGGAGAGCTGGCCGGACATCATCAACTGCTGACGTACCTTGGTGCTTGACAGGTACCTACCAAATGTGCAATTCGCCACGACTCCAATCGCTCAGCGTCCGAATCTCAATACTGCCGCCACCTTGCAGGAGATTGGAGACCGCGCCGTCTTCACATTGGAACAAGCTGCCGCTATTCGACGCAGCAAACCCCAGCAAGCCTCCCACAAGCGCGCCCGCGACACCAACCCCTCTCGCTAATTCATGACTGGGTAACATTTACACTGGGGATCAACGACTACGGAATGTGGACAGATCGGGTACGCGAGAATTTCTTCGGAGCTGGCGGGGCTCGCAGCGATTCTGCTCGATTGAGCTGGGGTCCTCTTCTGGCATGGTTGACTGGCTGCTGCTGCTGCTGCTGCTGCTGAGCTGGGGGTTGCACTCGTGATCGAGTTTCTTGCTGGTGGTAGAAGTAGTTGTAGTTGAGCTGCGTCACGATCTCGTTGACGTGGGGAGACGCGCCGTGCTTTTGCATGGCCGTCAGCATGACCACAAGGAAATGAGACTGGCGCTTGAATTCATTCGCACTCCGGATCATGTCAGCGTAGAGCACGTTGAAGTCAGGGTGCAGGAGGAGGCGGGTCTTCGGTGTCTTGGAGGCGACAGGCTTCGTCTCCTCATCACTGCCATCGTCCTCACTCCAGGACGTCGGGAAGTATTTGCGCAGATTCCGGTCGACAGCGCTGACGAAGTCGTTGACGTAGCCGACGAACCTCAAGATGTGATTGAAGGTCGTGAGGATGTACTGGATCACAGCCGCATGCTATGTACGATAAACAAACACAGTGCCTCAGACGCCCGCCGCTCCTCCGTCAAACTCTGCGCTGAGACCTACCTTGTCCAACAGAAAGAAGCGATTGAGCAAGTGCTCAAGATACTGCTCGTGCGTAGCATCCATCTAAGAGCGATAAAATCGAGTGAGCAACATGCCAGCATCAGAGCGAATGAAGAAACTCGTACCTCAGCTAAGCTCCGCGACGAACGCAAAATGTGACAATACTTTGACCACCCCTCGCTTGATACCTGTTACACCACAATTCCGTGTAAACTACAGAGCTAGCCCCAGTATCATGGATGCGCCGTCGTACCTGGCTTGTCAGGTAGTTCAGTATACTTTTCGTGTAGTGCAGCATGTCTGCGACTTGAATGAGTAGTTGCCGCATGTCTGCCTCAATACTGTAGCACACCATTCATTCAGCATGTGAGCCACGAGCAGCAACAAAATCGTTCTCCAGTGCTGCGCACGTACAAAGAGTAGCACCGTCGATGCCGGAGTGTTGATTTGAACTGCATGGGAAGCAACATTACGATCTGAAGTCAGTGATAATAGAGCTGTAGCAGCGGCACGTCCGATCACACTCCGTACCTTGACAAGGGCCGACTCCACCGCTTTCACTTGCACCAGAAACACCCCGAGACGCGAGTACTTTTGCATAATTGAAGCGCTGAAAAGAACTCGAAGCGGCTGCTGCACAGCAAACGAGAAGTGCAAGCATTTCATGGTCGTGATGTCAATCTTCGCACCACCAGTGGCACCATCAAGTCGGTTGAAGTCAACCCGGACACAGAGCCGCCCGCCAATTTGCTGCTGAGAAGACGACAGCGAGTTGTCTTCGAACACTCCTTGTACCGCGCTTTGGTGGAATGCGTTGATCTTCTCACTATCAGCCCACGCCACAGGATTCTCTTGCATGTGTGCAACCAGCATCTCGCTGAAAACATTAAACACATCTTGCTGCGAAATGCATGTCAGACACCGGTATCAACTTCAGCAACTGTTTAGGACTCCTAACCTGCTCCATCAGCACGAACATTCGAAGAGCTTTAACGTGCTCCATGTAACCCATTTTGTCTCGAAAGATGTCGGTGATTTCTCCATTTAGCTCTTGACACTGCAGAGCGGACAACAGCACCAAAATGTTAGGAACCCGTCAATACACCGCACAATGAGATCGCGTTACCTTGTCCTCGATGTGGCTAGTAAGGCAACGCTCCAAGATTCGATTAAATGGGACGCATTCCATCATTATTCGCTCCAAGGATGGTGGAATATCACCACTGCGTTGTGCTAACGACAAACTGCCTCCTTGGATTCCCATCGTTTCCAATTCATGTGCAAGTAACTCACGCAGCGAGGGTCGTGGTTGTCCAGGCTCCACGAGAGACTCCTCAGCTGTACACTGCTGTTGCTGCAGGAAACGGTTCTTCATCTGTCGGCTAGCTAGCGCCTCGTTCATCAAGTCAATGACTGAGTCTAAAAACCGTGGAACAAGCGACCGATGCACTTCGAACGGAGCCAGGGTCGGCAATCCCTCTCGAAAGCTTTGATTCCGTTCTCGCATTGGCGATGCATTAACGCTTATAGAAGCAGGTGTAGCGAAGAACAGCTCCCCGTCCAGCGGAATCGTCTCAAAGTGCCCTCGTTCAAACAGCATCCGGTTTACCAGGACCAAGTACGGGTTCAGCGCTCCAACAAAGAGACGCAGTAGAACCTCCGATCGCGACAAACCACCAGCAGCGCTTGCCCTTTCATCGGGTACCACACCTTCCACGTATTCCACCTCCATCATGCAGTACAGAGCATCAAGCACGCACTTTGCTTGCTCGGCACGTCTGATCTCGTGCCACTGCCGCTCTGAGAGACCTTGGAAGCACTGGACCAGCACCCTTTTCAGCCACGAAATCAGCTTGAACGTCTCCCTTAACCCACCGAACACCCCCAGTAGCGTGGGCTGTCGTGCTGCGATTCCAGACCACGGGCTTGATCCACTATCGTCACTCAGTGTTATTGCGCTACACATTTCTTGCTCAACCGTGCGTATCGTTTCGATCAACTGGCCGACAACTCCAGAGAGAGCGTTGGCGAGTCCTTCTAGGGTCACACACCGGTGCTGCTCGCTTAAATCCCGAGCTCGACGGATAAACCCCAGCAGGTCTCGAAGCAACTGCAGCTCCGACGCTGCTACTGCGAACTCGTCCAGCATGTGATGCAGCGCTAAAGGCGAGAGATGCCCAACCGCCACTTCTAGCGATCGTCGAGACCGCTCCACCGCCTTCGTCCGGAAATCCACACTAAAAATCACCGGCGTAGGTTGAGCTGGACGCAGCTCAAACATCAGCGACTCCACGCCGTCCAGCGCCTCGAACACCATACTCACCACCGTTCGCTCGTGGATGAGTCGACGAGGAGCCACGCAGTTCGATAGCGATCCACCCTGTCCACTCTTGACCACCGCCTCACACAACAACCACGGCCGCTCCAGCGTAAACGGGACCAGCGAGTTCTTCTCCAATAGACAGGTCGGATCCTGCACCTCCTCATTATCCACCCCCATCTCGTCATCCCGCTCCACCTCCGGGTGATACCGACACAGAATCCGATCCCGCATCGTCTCCTCGTCCAGAACCTCCTCCACAGCCTCCACCTCTGCTTCCACCTCCTCCATCACGTCGCTCGACCTCTTGCCATTGCGTTGCCTAGTCTTAGAGCTAGGAGACTCCTCCTCCGCCACAACGTCGTCCACCTCGCTCCAGTCGCTGTCTTCGTCGTCGCTGGCGTCCCAGGCCTGGTACCACTCGTCGTTGGTGGAGATCTGTAAGAGCTCCTCCACCAGCTGGTCCTGCATGAGCCTCTGCCTCTGCTGCCTGCTCTGCTCCTGCTGCAGCGCCGTCTTCCACGCGCTCGGCGCGTCTCCGTCTCCGTCCTCGTCTACCGCCACGTCCCGGTCCGACGCGGCCGTGGGGGCCGTCGCCAGCTCCAGCAGCAGCTTCAGCACCTGCGGGTCGCACTGGGCGCCCAGCCGCAGCAGCTTCTCGGCCCGGTCCTCGAGCGAATGCACGCGGAACTTGGTGGCTAAGGCCTCTGTGTGGCTCTGCACGTCCTGCGGCAGGCAGGCCGCGAATCTGTGCGAGTAGAGCTGCCCCACCACGCGGTCGGCGCGCAGCAGCAGCGTCTCCTGGGGCAGGGAGGACGCGGCTTCTTCTCTATCATCTTCTTCGTTGTTGTAGCCATCGTGCGGCTGGCGGTCGAGCACGCGCGCGCAGAGCTGCCGCGCTAGAGGCCGCCACTCGCGAGTCCACGCCGGTACCGGCGCCATGATGCGAGTTCAATACGTTATTTATCTCGTTAAGTTGGGGTGACATGTACTGTTTTAACGAAATTCAAGTTGAAGTGCAAAATGGCTCACACTCCTATCTTGGCGGCTGTGAGGGTGGCTTCAACTTGGGTCGGGGCATTCGTCGTGGCGACTGTCAGTCTGTAACCCGAAAGGAGGTGGATTGTGAGCGTAAGTGACGCACCATGCGACTGATATTCACCGAGACGCTGTCGCTTTGAACGCACTCTCCGTTCACTCGCAGCTCGACGTCACAGCTGCCCATTTGCTCGAGCTCCACGAGCACCTTTACCGTGACAACGTACCAGCCAGAGTGGCGAATATTTATCTCGTACTCGTCATTTCTCAGCGTGGCAAATTGCCCCTTCAGAGGGTCTCTCCTTTCTCGTTTTTCTCGGCAGGCTTCACTGTTTTGGCTGCCACGCACACGAACTCTTCACTTTCTTTCACCGCCATAACTTTGCTCGCCGCCAACCTCCAGGTCGCGAATCCTGGCTTCGAGGATGTCAGTTCGATCCAGGGGCACGAGCTCGAGCCGAAAGACATATTTGGCGACCAAGCCGACCCATTAACTCGGATTTTGGCCGACAGTTCGAGCTGCAGCACGTCGTTGTCAAGGAATGTGAGCCGTCGACGGATTTTTTCGGGGTCAACCTCCGGTGTGGTTTGGCCCTCCTCCTCGCTTTTGCGTTCTTCATCTTCTTCATCGTGTAGCTAGAGTCGTCGCCCGAGTCACTCCCCGCGTCATCCATCCCGTTGGTGAACCGCATCATGTATTCCAGAGCGCCATGGAACACCTTAGTGAGGAGGGTAACCATAACACAGATTACTGCATAGTTCTCGTTTAACAGTTGGCGCCTGTCAAGTATTTGGCCTCGTCCAAATAGCCTGTGCTCCTGTGTTATCATCCTTTTCATTGTTAGTCAGCCAGCTTCTCTGCCAAAGGAAAGAAGCAAAAACAGCACCATTTCTTTTTCGTCTTATAGTGCTCAAGAGAAACGCTCAGTTGGTTGCACTTGCTCGAGACGACATAGCGGTATGATGGAGCTGGAAAGGGGGCAAAAGACGTGGTGCCGATTTCAGTCTTATCGCCTTCCTCCATTGAGAGTGAAAATGCCGTTGTGGCTGCAAATTGCGATTGATGGAGACGTAATAATAGTTATATTATTTATATATTAAAAAAAATATTCATTTAATAAATAATTCTTTTTTAATAATTTAATTCATTTTTAAGCTCTAAGATTAATAGTTCTAGTGAGCAGGGATCAATATAATTAACTCCAAAATCGTTTGTTTGTAATTTAAAAATATTATTATTTACAATTATATTTATATTAATAATTTCTTTTGTTTTAAATATAAAATCTATTATGAATCATGTCCGTCTCCATCAATCTATCGGGTTATCTTGGTGATTTCGACGGTGCCGATAGCCAGTTCTGACGTCTTTGCTCGAAGTTGATTCCAATGGTGCTCACGAAGACCGCTATGACTCCGTCGTCACCGCAATTGAAATGGGTGAGTTAAAAAATGTCTAGGGGTGCTGACGTGCAGGGAAGCCCACGGATGCTTTTCTTACCAAAATCGAATTGGTTCCTTCGTAGTTGCTGTTGGTATGTAGCCCTACATGCGCGGGGAACGCTCTCGCCGCGAAGAATTCCGTCCCCTTCGATCATACGAATCATTGCGCGATTCACTGGGACTCCGCCCTCTACGCGATCTAGAAGTTTCGTCTCGAGCTCGCTCACTCGAACGTCTTCTCACGTCAGTGTCCCTGCGGCTACCAGAGTGCCCCGAGCGCTCTCTCGACCTCGAACGCGACGAGCTTTTCCTCCTGCTGCGTCGTTCTTCTCCACTTCTGTCACGGGAGCCTTTCTCCGTACTCCTACCTCGTGCATCTTCATCCCGACGGTGTCTCTTACTGTCCCTGTCCTCGTCGTTGTCCCCCTCGCGTCGTCGTTTCTCCTTCTTGGCTCTCTTCTTCTCTTTCTTTGCCCTCTTCTTCCCCTTCCTCTCCAGTTTCTTCAGCTTCCGCTTCTCCTCCTTCAACGCCTTCCGCTTCTTCCTCTCCTCTCGGCCCTCGTCGGAGGAGGATGAGCTCGACGAGTCCGAGTCTGACGCTCTATCCCCCTCGATCTCGCCGCAGTCCTCGATCACCACCGCCTGCATGGGCGCCGGCTTGTCATTGGCCACCGTCTCCACGTTCTCCACCCTGCGCACCACGTCCATGCCGCTCTCCACCTCCCCGAAGACCACGTGCTTGCCGTCCAGGTGCGGCGTGGGCACGGTCGTGATGAAGAACTGGCTGCCGTTCGTGTTCCTGCCGGCGTTGGCCATGGACAGCAGCCCCGCCTTCGAGTGGCGGTAGCGGAAGCTCTCGTCCGCGAACTTGTCCCCGTAGATGGACTCGCCGCCCGTGCCGTTGCGTCGCGAGAAGTCCCCGCCCTGCAGCATGAAGCCCTTGATGACGCGGTGGAACGGCACCTTCTTGTAGTGCAGCGGCTTGCCCGTGCTGCGCCCCAGCCCGCGCTCGCCCGTGCATAGAGACCGGAAGTTCTCTGTCGTCTTGGGGAGACCAGGGTACAGCCGGAACACGATGCGCCCCGCGCGGGAGCCGCCGATCGAGACGTCGAAGTACACGCGCACCATGTCCGCAGATGCGAAAACGATTGGAGGATATTGGAGCAATGTAGCCATGTTTGATTGCCATGCAGCCACTTCTCGACGGATACCAATGCTGAGCAAGATGGGTGCGGTCCGTCAGCGCATCAAGGAGCTGCACCAGGACAGCGCCAAGCCCTTTGTGGTGTGCACGCTGGAGCTGTACCTGTCGCTGCTGCTCATGGTGTCGCTGTTCCAGAGCCCGGACCCGCGCAAGCGCGACGTGCAGGAGCTGCAGACCACGTACTACATGGCGTGGGTGCCGCTCATGTGTACGCTGACGCTGCTCCACAGCGCCAAGCTGCTGGGCAAGTACGGCCCCAATCCCGACAACTTGGACCGCAACCTCATGGGACTCAAGATCCTCATGTGGGTCTACGCGTTCGTGGAGCTGGTGCTGGACAAGAATATGGTCATCAAGCGGGGGCCGGCGCTCTATGTAGCCATCATCTTCTGCGCGTGCGATATGCTGCGCTTCCAGATGGAGGTCATGAGGTTGATCTACGACGACGAGGAGCTCGAAGAAGAGGTCGACCGACTGGCCAATATGGTCATTGAGGCGCTGGAGCACAGCGACGACGAGACGGCGTTCAAGCACGCGGTGAGGGAGGTCATCCAGAGGAACCGCGAGCTGTCGGCCGACGCCACTATGCAGAACGTCGTGGATGAAGGCGAAGACGCAGCCATCCAGTCCCCGTTCGAGAAGCATAGCTCGGTGAAAGATATTCTATCACATCCAAATGCCCAGGAGAAGGACACCACCACGGACTACGGCACCACGAGCCTCTCCAGGGTGTAGTGTACCTGTAGTCGAAAATAGTCCAAACTTTACAAATGTATCCATGTCACAAAACACAAAATGCTCCCTATCAACCATTCCTGCGGCTGACGTCGATCACGTCGAGTCGAGCATGATGCACCGCCACGTGCTGGCCAGGACGCTGCGTGAGGCGTCCCCGTTCTTCCTGATCGCTGGGCCATGTGTGCTGGAGTCCGAGCAGGTCGTCATGGCCATCGCTGATCGGTACGAGCTCCTTGCATCATGGCTACACCACTAAAACCTACTAACCGTCATTGACGACAACCTCTGCATCACTCGCTGCAGCTTGTCCAACATCCAGAAGGACCTGCAGATCCCCGTCGTCTTCAAGGCGAGCTTCGATAAGGCAAACCGCCAGGATCTCAAGAGTTACCGAGGCCCTGGACTGGAGCGCGGACTGGAAATGCTGCGCCAGGTGAAGGAAGCGACGGGGCTGCCAGTGCTCACAGACGTCCACGAGACGCACCAAGTGGCTCCAGTGGCGGAGGTGGCGGACATCATCCAGATCCCAGCCTTCCTGAGTCGGCAGACAGATCTGCTCGTGGCGGCTGCGAACTCCGGGAGGCTCGTGAACCTCAAGAAGGGGCAAATGCTCTCGGCTGAGACCATGGTAGGCACTGGAGTCAAGCTGGTTGATCAGAGTATTGTTCTAATTGTGTCGTGATGCGTTGATTCTGTAGCTGCTTGCGGCCAAGAAGATTGCAGTGACGCAGAGAGATACCGGTATGTTGTCCATAGGGGAAGAAAAAAGGTGACTTGGTTGAGGATGGTAAGACTGACCTTGTATGCGTAAATGTGTCTACAGACTTCATTCTGACGGAGCGTGGAAGCATGTTCGGTTACGGCGACTTGGTGGTGGACTCGCGGAATCTGCCTAAGCTGCGGAAATCGTATGGCCTCGTCGTGCAGGACGTCACCCACAGGTACGGACGGCCACGCTGCCGCTGAGACCAACTGAGGTTGAGTCATTGCTCATCGGAGTGCATTTCTTTCTTGTGCTGCAGTATTCAACGACCGAGTGGCGCTCATGCTGGAGCCACAACTAGTGGTGGTGACCGTGAGTTCATCCCGACGATTGCGAGAATGGCTGCAGCCGTGGGTGTGGATGGGTTCTTCTTTGAGACGCATCTTGACCCCAGCAGGGCGCTGTGCGACGCTGCCACGATGTTGCCAATCAACGAGCTCGAGCCTCTTCTCGTCGAGCTCATCGCGATCTCCAAGGCGTCCAAGGCCTTATCATAGCGAAGTTGTCAAATGGAATACAGCTTTGACCCAGTGCTAAGGATCTCGCAGACTTTCTTCGACTACCGGCAGCGGGTGATCTTTCCTCCAGATCTTCCTCATCATGCGGTTAATTTTCCTGTTGAAGCGGTCGGGTCGAGGCTGCTTCGTCTTCGGGTTCACTAACCGGCGACTGGGTTTTGGAATCTTGGGCTTACGAGGAAGCCGGCAGTGCTCGTGGTAGTCGCCACCTTCTTGGGCAGCCGTGATGTCTCCAAGAACCTTGAAGCGCACACCGATGTACTGCTCCATCGAGGACAGTCTTTTCACCTTCCGCACCATCTCGTGTTTGTATTGGTCAGCCAAGCCCTCCGTGAATGCACCTTTCCGCACGTCCTCCACCTTTATGGCGGGTAATGTTTGTTCGCTTTTGCCTTCAGGAGAGTCTTGGTACTTTGCGTAGAGGCTGTTAGACGCCTTGAGAAGCCTTGGAAAGTCGGAGATGGCGAGTTTTCGGTTGGCAACGACGCGAGTGGGTGTACCCGGAGTTTTGGCGCGGGTTTCCTCGGCCTTGCTTGTTGGTTTCTCGGGAACGCCGTCTGTTTCAGCCTGGTTAGAGGAGGCAGCTGCGGGAGTAGTTTCAATCGACAAAACACTTTGAGCTGCGATCTTGATGCTTGGACTGCGAAGTCGTCGTGGGGCAGAGATACTCGGAGGCGTTGGCTGAATTGGTCCACCAGTTGCCGGCTCAACATTCGTCTTCAGCGGGACAGACTCTCCAGCGGAGCTAGCCAAAGTCATAGCTGCTTGAATGCTGTCGTTTGCATTCTGCAGTTTTGCCGCCAGTTTGTTCTTCTTCGCATTCGCCTTCTTTTGTCGGTCCTCGAGCTTCTTCTTCGATGCTGCCAGTCCAGGACAACTCGCGTCCCCAGTCGTGTGATCTTGGTTTCCGCACCAGCCACAGAGACATTTTCCATCTTGCATCATGGCTTTCGTTGAGCTGCAGTACCACAGAAAGCCATAAGTAAGTACGCGATCATGTTTCTTTGCCTACTTCGCTCTTACATAGTGAGAATCAAGCCTGGGTTTGCAAGCGCAAGTTTGACGCGCGTTTTCCTCCAGTTTTCCCGAGCATCAGCCAGTTTGCGAAACTTATTGAACGAGTCTCGAATGTGGTCCAGTGCGTGCATGTAGAACAGCTCCTTCCAGGTTTCTCTCTATCGCAATAAAGCATACCAAACGTCAAGCAAAGAACACAGCTAGCGCAGTATTTGAACTTACATCCATGACGAGAGTCTTCACATCTGTCACTATTGGGCATCACGTGTTAGCTTGACGCTGATGGCACCATAATTGATTTCCGCGAGCCGTACCTGCCAGTAAGTCTGTACTGCACGTCGACCTGTTAAAGAAGATGGGGTACTCGCCGCAGATGTCATGGTCTTGGTACAAACTCAGCTCGAGTTCTGTCCGACGTCGTTGTTGCGAACTTATCCTCTTTCCTCCCAGTCCCTGCACTCTTCGCCTCGCCAAATTGCTTTCAAGCTCTGCGCAGCGCTGGACGCTGCCGTTCTCATTAAGCAGTTGGATGATCGGCACGGTTTCCTGGACCATACCCGCGTAGATGAAGAAGACCACGTTGGCGTCAGCACCGATGCGAGTAAGGTAGCTGTCAGCTGGGTAGTGCACTTGGCGCAGGCGATTAGACAGCCGCGTGAGCTCGCCGTGAGGCCACCCGTCGAAGAAGTGCAAGGTCTCCAAGAACTCGATTTGCGTGAAGTCAAGCTGCGAAGAGTTAGTGATACGTATCAGCCGCTGGTACGCTCCTCGCTTCAAGCAGATGAAAGACGTGGGCTCGTCGCAGATAATGGTGCACGACCGTCGTGCCGTGGGGTCCATGACTGCCAACTCGCCGAAAGTGCCGCCGTCAGTGATGTGCTTTATGAAGATCCCGTATTGATCCGGTTGCAGCTTCACCTCTTCTTCGTCGGTCGAATACGACTTGGAATTGTTGTTGTTGTTCTCCTCGAGGATGAGTCTGGGTTTTGGCTTTGCGTTGATGAAAAGCGACACTGAGCCTGAGATAATGACGTAGAACGTGTCGCCGTAGTCACCTTGGTAGCACACGGCGCCTTTAGCCGGCAGTTCCAACAGCGTCATCTCGCGACAAATCGTCTTGCAAATGATCTCTTGTGCGCCTTGGAAGATCTTGTTCGTGCTCCCGTTCTTGAGCACCCAGTCGTACAGGGTGTCGATCTCATGCGCCTCACGAGCCTCCGGGGCGCGTTGCAAGATGCGGTAAATCTCCTTCACCTCTTTCTGCCGCTGACGCTGCGGTTCACTCTCTCGATGGATTTGAATCTGGTCTTGGAGCTGGTACAGGAACGAGTTCTTCCGTAGCGTGGGGAAGCGCTTCAATGCTGCAGGATGCATCGGAGCCTTTCCAGGCGGCAACGAAGACTTGGCACCATCGGGAGCGGTGGTGATGTTCATTTGCATACCTTCTTGATGCTAGGGCTGCCCGAAGTCCTCTTGCGCATTGATCGTCCCCTAAAAATACAAGACAGCCGCTCAAAATGCCGTTAGCGAATGCACGGACAGACTGGACAAACAGAATGGCGAGCCCGCCCGACGAAAGTGTGGATGCACACGTGAATCAAGCTTGGGTGTTGGTGCATGCAAATGATCCCAGACGACCAATTCAACTATCCCTTCGATACACCATATTTGCCAATCTCAGTGTATATAGAGTTACCGCACAGTACACTGAACTTCCAGCGCAAGGGCCCTCTCGCTTGTTGCTGTTAGCCTGCATGGCAGTGCATGTACCTCCCTGCGTCAGCGAACAACGGCAATTTGCGGCATCATGTCCTATTAGCACCGATGTGCTAAAGAAGGCCTCGACTGGAAAGGCAAATGATAGCTTGGCATGCATGCGCTCCTTATTGCAGCTTTAGCTTGATGAAAGCGAACAAGTAGCGCCAGAACTCCTTGGCTGCCACCTTGTCCAAATGCCTTTTGTCGGGGTGGATCTGCCACGCAGCAATACGTGTGACATTAGCTGTAACGGTTAACATTATTATCACTGATAAGGTGCAACTTACCATGAGCACCTTCACGTCCCACTGCTTGATTTCTGGGTTCAGCTGGGAGCCTTGGTTGTAGATGTGAACTCCGCACACTGCAACACACCAGCGCACTCTAGAATCAGATCATGCACCACCAACGTTACACCAAGCTAGCACCAAACGTGAAAACACACCTTTCTTGAACACTTCGAGCGGGAATTTCCACTTCCAGCCCTTAAACTGCCATGATTGTCCCGAGACAATGACGCCGACCACCGAGCGCCTGCATCAATTAGACACAAAACCCATCAATAAGCAATCCATCCCTCCAAAAACACTAACCACTCTGCTCAACGCACCAGTCCTTGTCTCGGAATCGACTCACAGTGTCGACGACCTTGAACGTGTACACGTGTCCGTCCTCCTCATGGGTGATCATCATCGACTGCTGCTTGCGGTGTCCGGCCGCCTTCTTCTGCATGTTGGAAACATACACGCCGTCCTCCAGGAAGTCCCTGGCATTGAGCATCGTGAACAAATCGGAGAAGCCAGCGGGCACCACAATAATCGGCGTGCCCAGTATCTTCTCCTTGACCAGCCGATGCAGCGGCAACTGCTCCTTCCTGGCCGTGGTGGTGGCCAGCAGCGCCGAGGCCTTGCTGGCCTTCTCGATCTTCTCCTTGGTCTCAGCGTTCACCAACTCGAGCGTCTTGACCACGTTGTCAAACTTGGTCTTGTGCGCGTCCAGCACGGTGGTCCTGGTCCTGTTGACGCACTCCTTGTCCGTTATCCTCTTCATCTGGGCCTCGGCCTGGAGCTCCTCGGGCGTCTTATGGCTCTCGCCGTGCTTGTGGCCGTCTCGGTGGTGGCGCGCTCCCTCGAGCTTCCTCTTCTTGGCTGAAGCGCGGGCCTCGTCCTCCGTCTCCCTCTTTTTGGAGGCAGAACTAGAGGTAGAACCGGTAGGCTTGCGCTCCCTCTTGGCCTCCGTGGGCTTGCCGCTGGCGTCCAGGATCTGCGCGCTGGCCTCGATGTCCCCCTTGAGGTAGGCCACCAGCTCCTTCTTGTCCACCGTGGACACCATGGCCGCCGTCTCCTCGCGGCACTTGAGTACATAGTCGCTGAAGCTCAGCGCCTCGTGCTTGAAGCACGTGTACACGGCCAGCAGGTCGTAGCTCTTGTCCAGCTTCTTGGAGTGGTAGGCCGTGGCGCTGTGCTTGGGCAGGCGCCGCAGCTCGGCGCCGCCTGCGTCGCGGAACACCAGGTCTTCGCCGTCCACGTCCACGGGCTTGCACTCGATCAGGTGCTGGCGCAGCGCTTGCAGCGCCCCCAACGGCGACGACGCGTCCGGCGAGCCCGCCATACTTGTCTTGTCTAGACACGGAGTGATGGTCGCTGTTGGGACTGTGGTGTGGTTGACATAGCTTATGTGCGCAACGCAAAAATACTGTACGGAATCTTGCCCGCGGACACATCGCCACTCTGTTTTTACCACTTTGAATCGACGGAGCACACCAGAATGTCAGTCGAGTGCTGCGCCGTGCCAATCGAACGCACTACGCTATCTGCAGCAATATCTGTCTACAGGTTCTTCTTGCGGAGGACCTCGTTGGCCTCCTCCTCCTCGGGGGTCACATCGCTGCGGTGGATCAGGTAGCGGAAGTGCTGCGCCGTGCGGATCTCCATCTCGAACGACATGAGGAACTTCTTGTCCACGGGATCCACCAGGTGCAGGATGCGGTACTGCTGGTCGCGGTTGGCCTCGAACCACGTGTCGCAGCGGTCGAAGAACAGCACGTTGTTCCAGTTCATCTGGTCGTTGAAGGCCTTGTCGTAGCACTCCTTGAAGCGGTCGATGTGGATGCACACGTGGTGGCCGTCGTACTCGCCCTTGCTGTCGCGCTGGGACTCCTGTTCGTCGAAGACAATAGCCTGTAGCGGGCCGCAGAACACAGTCGTGCGGTAGAGACCCTCCTCGTTGCCCTCCTTCTTCGTCACCACGGTCTTGGCCTCCAGGTAGTGCTCAAAGAAGCGGGAGATGCCCTGAGCGATGCCCGGACGGCACGGGTACACCAGGAAGGGGAAGCCCTGAGCCACACCCTCCACGTCGTTGGTCACGGGCAGCGTCTTGCCTAGCGACTTGTTGATGGACTCGTAGTTGCGCGGCGTCACGTTCAGACGCAGCTCGTTGCCGTACGGGTCGTTCACCTTGAGGTGGTCGTACTTGGTCGTGTCGAACATCTCGTGCCACTTCTCCTGCGGGTACTCGCGCGTGGTCTCGGCGCCGCGGTTGATGCGCTCGAAGGCGAACTTGGTGCCCTTGAGCTCGTCGGCCACGGCCGCGAGGCTCTTCTCGATGTCGTCCAGGTCGGGCACGTACAGGTAGATGGCGGCGTTGATGCACTCGTCCTTAGGCTGGCCCGTGAACAGGTGGAACTGGTGGCGGCCGGCGAAGTTGGCCCAGAAGTGGTAGGCCAGTCGCGGGTCGCGCGAGCACTGCAGGCCGCGCATGTAGAAGATGTACGCGGGCGCGTCCTCCGAGCACTTGGCCGTGTTGGACAGGTTGATGTGCTCCAGGAACTTGAGGTTGCCCGCGTCCTCGAAGGCCTTGATCACCTCCTCCTTGCTCCACGTCACGCCAGCCTCCGCGCTCATGCTGCCTGCGGTGTAGTGCTGCTGGTCTACTTGATAGCCGCCAATTTGCCGAATGATCCGGATTGATGTGTGGTCGAGTGGATGGCTACACAAAGTGTTCAACGTTCGGAAGAAGTAAAGCTATGATGTACGGTAGGTCGTGGAGAGCGGAAATTGTTCACAACATATATAGTGACCTTTAGCGAAGTATGTTTTTGATTAATATGCTGAACAGGAGGTGTTTTGAGGGTACGGTAATTGAGCCTATGGCAGCGCCGGATTTCCACAGCGCATTTTAGCGATGCAAAAGTACGCGTGCGGTGGACCACACCGAATATGTGAAAATATTTCGGAAATCCTGTCAAACATGATAGTTGAAGTCCAGAGGGACGCAATGCAGCACAACGGTTCTGTTGCCGTCCAAGATCCCTGATGCCGACGATGGAGGCCAAGTCCGGCAAGCTGCACAAGGTAACCTGGCCCTGGTGCATGCATCGATACACAGATCAGCACTGAAAACTTGTGGGTGCGCAGCTCGGCTCCGGGTTCTTCGGCCCGAAATGGACCGAGAAATGGGTACACCTCGACGGCACAGTGCTGAAGTGCTTCCCCATGGCCGTGGAGCAGCAGGTTTTCTCACTCGGCAGCTCGCGCCAGAGCAACTGCTACGAGCTACTGGAGTACAAGTTTGCGCTGGCAGACGAGGTGTGTGCTGGAGTGAGCTACCACACAAACTGCTCGAATGCTCACAAATAATCAATTGGTTATGCAGAAAAAAGTGAGCCGCAAGTTTGCTTTCCAGTTGGAATCGATCGAGAAGGTTGGCGATGCATGCTTCGTGGTACAAATGGCCGTGTTCGTCGCGAGTAACTTGACATTCTGACCGTGTGTGTAGTCGTCGAAGGTCGTGACGTTTGCCTGCTCGTCGGAGAAGGAGCTGGCCGAGTGGAAATACACACTTACCGTGAGGGGATATTCTCTAAGCGCGAGAGCTATCGTGTTGAAAACTAAGTCATGATGCTGTGCTCGTGTAGTCGAGGTTGTGCCTTCCTGCCGATGCGCACGTCTCTCCAGTGTATGTGTGATCAATTGGCGTCATCCTGGTCAAAGTCTAACTCGGATTTTCATGTTTGTAGCGTGACGGAAAAGATTCGCCGGGCTGCAGAAGCCTTCAAGGAGGTACAATATGCTATCTCTGAAGCTTTGAGAACAGTTAACGAATGTGACGATGATTGCCCCTCAGATTGATCATCGAAACTCTGGGAAAATTGAAGCGGGGAAGCTCCACGGACTACTGCAAACTATATCCTTTTACAACTACTTTTCGTTACCAGATTATGGCGAATGACGTGTCTGAAGTAGACCTTACATCACACTCGTATTTTGTTTTTGCCGTGTTCACATTGGATGGGAGGGGCAGGATTCCGAGCTTGCGCTGATGCAGCAACAGCTTGATCTTGGTCGTCATGGTGTCATAACTCGAACGCGGCTGCTTACGTGGCTTCAGAGCTACTATTGCGCTCAAGAAGTAATGGCTCGCGTGAAAGCTGAGCGTTCAAACAACCAGATCGCTACAGAAAATCGTAGGCCGCCGGAGCAGCGAGACGACAGCGTATCCATCAAGGCTAGTACTCGTGTTTCAGCGTCCAAGCACTTGTTGTGTCACCAGAGAGCGGACTGGAATCAAAGGTATCATGCGCTGCAGCCTACAGACCCGACCGACGATAAGCTCGCTGTCGGATTGGAAGTATCAGCTTTCCTCGCCGAGTTTCGCCAGGCTGCTGAAGCGCTCGTGAGCGAAATTGTAGCTGAAATGGTGTTGGAGGATTCTGAGAAGACCTTGCGACCACAAACTCTCGATGATGATGAGATTTTTGCAACTGACGGAGTTCAACAGTACGGTGCCTTGTGCGAAATGCTGTTCAAGTACGAACGCGATGGGCTATTAGTTTACCTATGCTCAAGTAACCCGCCGAGTGGTTCATCGCAGGAAAAGAGGCAATATTCAACTTCAATGGCGATATTTCACAGAATGGTAGGTCATCAAATCCGTGCTGCACGTGCAATTCACAGTGCAGTGGAGGATCTCGGAGATGACTCGCAGCCAGGTTTGCGAGATATCGCGCTGCAAGTGCCCCTTCAGTGTACGGTGGACCACCTCGGGTTTCGGGCATTTGTGATCGCATCTACGAGCTCAAGTGTAAAGAGCACGCGACAGAATTTGGCAGGACAAGCGAATCCGAAGCACCTCAACCAACTACGCGACCAGCTCAAAATCGTGTTTGATAACCTTGGGCTTTTGACGGATAGTCTTGAGGGTTTTGGAGACGATGACAAGAAGCTTAATTCGCAAACTGGCCAACCCGCTCCTGCGTTTCTCCCCATTTGCGCTGGATTTACTACGGAAACTCGAAATGGTGCAGCCGGATTTGAGCTGCAGAACATTTCGGATCTCTTCCCAGCCGACGTATCAAGCGAAGAACCCGACGAAATTGCCCGCGAGGTCTTGCTATACAAAATGAGGCCAGAGTTTGTTCGGATGTACGGGAATAGTCTGCCCTTGCACTCCAACACTCATGTTTCGGTCGATCACGAGCCTCTTGCGAATAAAAATGCGTCAGACAAGTCCAAGCTAGAGGCCCAACTGCTCCAGCAATCTGCTATAAGCGCTCGTGAGTGTTTGCACACGATCGTCATCCCGGAATTTGTAGCTGACTTGGAGAACGCAGCGGTTCAGGTATTTGACAGCCGCTCACTAACTCGAGCATTACATGGAGAAGGCATCAACGTGCGGTACCTTGCTTCTTGCTACGAGCTCGCGTCCCTGAAGCACGTTCGTCGAGTTTTGCTTGTGGAGATGGTGGCTAGAGCCTGCAAAATTGAACTCAGAGCGTCACTGCGAGCGATTCTCCCTGACGCAACTGCAGCAATCTTGAGGCAGGCAAAGTCGTCAGATGACGACATTCACCGCAACATTGACCCTGCCACAGCTCGAGCTCTGGCGAAGTTGGCTCTTCAAGAGGAGGCTTCCCAAGTAACAGTTGAGTTCTTCAACCTTGTGCTCGGCATCTCGTCTCCTGACTCGAAAACATTTTGGGAGGAGCGGATTCTGCCACAAGTGCAAGCCAAGTTCGGACTTTCACGTGATGCGTTGAACCTGGATACTATCATTAGTGAGGATTTATTTCACTTGCCGCAGTTATTCCATGCGCTTCAATTCCAGACGGGGGTTTACTTCAGCGACCACATGAACTACAACTTCAAAGGAGCGGAGCCACTTGCACTAGAGTATATGCAGTGCATAAGCCCAACTACGGTGCTGTTGGCTCGGACTACGACTGACTGCGAACGAGTTCTGGAGAGCTCTGATGTTTATGTCGCTGCCAGAGAGTTCAGTAGTGCCTTATCAAGTATCCTGTTTCACATCTCCATTCTGGAAACGTCACCAAGCGACGAACGCAACCTGTCGCTTTGTCACTTGCTTACGTGCGCTGCCAACATTTCACTAGCGATGAATCTGCGTGACCAAGCTAAGCAGCTAGCAACACTGGCGATTGAAGACTCACCAAGTAATCATGCCGAGCTGACTCGAGCATACACGGTTTTGATGAAGTTGAAGCATGCCGCTGGAGACTTAGCAGGAGCCCAGGAATACTTTGCCAGGGCTTTGGAGCCTATTCAGCGGCATCTCGGTCCTTCCCACCCTCTGCTTTGTGATACGTACATGACCATGACAGAGATCCTTGGTGATCTGGGAGAACCAGAACAAGCTGTGGAGATCCTGCAGAGTTGTGTAGCACTGGTTCGAGATTGCTTTGGTAAGACCAGTCTGCTGTATGCAGATATTCGACGCCAACAAGGGATGCTGATGTGCACAGCCAACCCAACGGACGGTGAAGCCATCATGGGGGTACTGGAAGACGCCTTCTCTGTCTACGAAAAGCACTTCCAGGATCCTGTGGACGACGTCCCGCTGTACAAGGACTTTGCAGCAGAGTGCTGCTACATGCTAGCTAATCTACGCAAACAAGTGAGCGGGGTTCAAGCAGCAGAAGCTGCGTATGGGATCGCCCTCATAGGTCTGGGTTTGCGTAAGGAAGTCCTTCCAGCCGATCACGAGGACATGATGAAGTCGTACCTGCAACTGGCGAGCTTGTCGCGAGATCTCGGGGAGATTTACCGAGCGGTCGATTACTACAAGCCAGGCTTGGCGATCTTAAAAACTATTCACGACGACGAGCACATTGATCAGATCCGCAGCGTGACTCAAGCGATGTTACAGCTGCATCTTCAAACGCTTTCACTGGAAAAGCGCAATGTGAGTCTTGCAACAGTTCACGCTATCATTCGTGAGCTAACTTGTGTGTTCACTTGTGTCTTCACTTCAGATTGTCGACAAGACAGCGAAACGATACGCCCAACAGTGGCCACGATTTGCATTGCTTTCTAGAAAAATGCTTCCGGACGTGCCAACGAGTGGCCCCGCACCTGAGGACGACGTCGGGGAAGAGTCAGCACTGTTGATCTTCGTCATGAAGAAGCTCTTCCAGCTCGAGCCGATCGAGTACGTCGAGCTACTGATTGGGAAGACCGACCTCGAGTTCCAAGACTACCGCAAGCAGTACAATCTCAACTTCGCCGGCACGTTGCGTCGCACCAACGTCGATGCGCCGTCACCGCAGCCCGCCATGTCGCGGTCCTCAAGCGGGCGATTTGCTTCGTTCTCCGGATCGGGCACCTTCTCCCCACCTGGATCCCCTCGGTCGCCGCTCTCCCCAATGCACCACCCGACACTGTTTGCTCCATCCACACGCAGCGGCGGCCGCACGTCCTTCAACCAACTTGACTGCAATTTCCTCAAAACCACGACTGGAGACTTTACCTTCGGGGGACAGCTTGCCGGGGTTCTCTTCCTGATCGACCTCCCTGCAGCCAGTACAAGCACACCACCCCTCCCTTCGCCTCCCGTTCCAGTGTCCGATGCCTAAAGAGCTGTAGGAAGACACTCATCAGCCCTTTGAGTTGTGAAGTAATACAGACAGGACGATTCGTGAGAGCACTGGACATGTTACTCTGTATTTCATCAGTGCGTGATCCCCTCAAGCAAGGGATTAAACTGAAGTCCGAGAGCAACACCTAGCACCAGCATGTGAGGGAACCCATTGGCGACGAGGTTTCCGACGATTGCCAGGTACGGTAGGTACAGCGCTGGGTGTTGGTGGTCGAGTAGGTGGAGCAGCGGGATCTTGATGTCCTTCCAGAACTCGTAGCCGCCGTTCACGTTAAGGTAAATGACGTGGTCGCTGCCGGGCACACGCACTTCGAAGGGCGTGAAAGCACGGCAGTACGCAGCCAAGAACGTGGTCAAAATGATCGAGCCCACGAAGCTCGAACCGTGCATGCCGCCGTGGCCAGTAGTGATCTGTTTGCAGACACGATAGAAGGGCATTCAGCGTGGTAAGATGGAGAATGGATTGCTTCTGCAATGATTGCACGTACGTAAAGGCACACAGGCAGGAACCAGAGGTGATGGGTCGCGAAGAATGTCTTGGAGAACGAGCGGTTTTCAGGGTACGTGAGGTACTTCATGGCGCCCGTGATAAACTTGCCGTTGAGAATGAACGACAGAGTGTCGATGTACCACAGCAGCTGATCGCCCGACACCGTCACCATCTAAAGCCAACACACAACACCAATTCTAATTAGCAATCTCCCTTCATTCGAAATGAGCAAGTCAACAGGTACTCACCGCCACGCCGACTAGGAACGGCTTGGAGAAGTACAGCGCCATGACCACGAGCACCAGTGACACATTGCACGCCCACAGCATCTCATAGAGGACGTAGGTTCCTGTGAAGAATAACTCCATGAGTACGCAGCCATTCCTCCCATTCTCGCCCCAGTCCACCGTACCGTGCTCGTAGAAGCGGGAGATCGCCATCAGCGTCGTGTAGATGGCGACGAAAGCCCCTACCTTCCTGTATCCAGCAATAACCACAACATATCAGTGCGTCTGCCTCTCCTCCCATTGCCGATACCAATTCATCACGAGAGCACGCACGGGAAGCTGAAGCTCTCGCCCTGCTCGTCCGCGGCGAAGTAGTCGTCCATACGAAGCACCAGCCACGAGACGGCTGCGTAGCCGAGCACCAGCACGGCGAGCACGCGAGGGAGGTCCTTCTGGGAGACCTGCACGGGTACAGGGGGCGTCGCCATGATGCCAGACCGATGATACACGAAGCGGAGGGCTCAAATGACAAAATGGCGATCGTCTCGCAGTTGACGCCAATTTACTTCGGCGACTAGGGCTAGTGGGCATACAAATCCCAAGTCTATTTAACGGCAGATCTACTGTCGACGCGCCCGCTGTGACGCGCCGTACTGCTTCAAGTATCGCGGCAAGTCCATGCTGTTGGCGTACGTGGTGGCCTGGGCCACGCCTCGGTGCAGATACAGCCGCAGCAGCTCGTTCGTGTAGCGCAGCAAGTCCGGCATGGCCTCCTGCTCGTCGCCGTTGAACCGCCCGAGCACGAACTTGTCCATCGCGGTGCCCGACGGCGCGCCGCTGTTGCCTCCGACGAACCAGTGAGGCGCGCCAACGCCAATGCGGAGTCGAGCGAAGCGCTCGGTGCCCACGCACTTGATGATGTCGCGCACGCCGTTCTGGCCGCCGGGACCGCCCTTCGCCTTGAAGCGGCACTCGCCGAACGGCAGCGCCACGTCGTCCGTGACCACGAGCAGCTCGTCTTGTCGGTTCAGCGCCAGCGGGTTCTTCTTCAGGCGCCAACGGTGCGACTGCATGAAGGCTCTCACGGCGGTGCCAGAGCAGTTCATGTACGTCGTGGGCAGCAGCAGTGCGACGTTCACCTCGTCGTGCGGGACGCCCTCCTTCAGAGTTCTCTCCTTGGCTCGCTTCGATGAGCGGTTCACCAGGTCGTCCACTGGGTAGACGTAGCCCTTATCTGCCACATTCTGCTGGAACGCCACACGGAACCGCGCCACATCACCGTGGTTGCCCGCTTCATGTTCCAGCTTGAGCTGCTTTCCCTGCACAAGGCAGACCACAGAACAGTCAATACACGCTACTGTACCCCAAGTCAACGCAACTGCTTTTATCAATGCAAACAGCGGATAGTAGCCCGACTTCGGACAGAGCAAAGCTGCACGCACCGTGACTTGAGAAGCGTAGGTGTCCATGAAGTGCTTCACCGCCACGAAACCAATGTTGTGCCTACCCCACACACAATCCAACAAGCAGCACACGGCAACATTCTCCTCAATAAATACACTGCTCCTCAACTGCAGCAGCAGTAAAGTCACGCCGGTCGCACCTGGTGTTGGTGAACTTGTCGCCCGGGTTGCCCAGCCCCACGATGAGCTTGCGCACGTTGTCGTACTTGTGCGGAGACGCCGGCGCTGCAGCCTTCTCACTGTCCTCGTCACTGTCACCTGCGCTCGAAGTCGAGAGGCCGCTCGCCAGCAGATTCCCGCGCTGGAGTAGCGGGGCGCGCAGCGGACGGCGACACACGCGCAGCAACATGATGGTCAACTCGATGTGAGACTTTCACCGCGCCGTTCATCAAGCTGCTCGATCGTCCAATCACGTTGCGCGAATCCGTCGGGACACGAAACGACGCATTGCTAGAAGTGCACTTTGAGTTGAGGACTTCCATCGACCAGGCAGGCAATGAGCGAGGACGCGGTATGATATGATACATGCAAATGGGTTCAGGCAAATGGTATGGTTGCTTACTGATAATGATGGCGCAGGAATACTCGGTGAGCTATGTGGACGACCGTCCGGAAGAGGCCAAGTACCTGCGTCGCGAGGGCGAAGTGAAAATCACCTACGCCAATGGGGACACGTTCGAAGGCACCATCGGCCCGGACCGGCTGAAACACGGAGAGGGGAAATACACGTGGAACCAGCGCAACGCAGAGGGAGAATGTAAGGCGCCCGAAGCTGTCGTCTGTGTGGTGTTGTATGTTGACTAACGCTTTGTGTTTTGCTAGTGTCGGTGCTCGCCACGTTCGAGGGGACGTACGTGAACGGCGGCAAGAACGGGCTCGGGAAGATGACGTTCGCCAATGGAGACGCGTACCATGGCGAGTGGAAAGCTGACAAGATGACGGGCGAAGGCTCGTACATGTACGCGAACGGAGACATCTTCAGCGGGAGGTTCGAAAGCGGCATCCGCTCGGGCAAGGGCACGTACGAGTTCGCTGTGGACAAGAGCCTGTTCGTGGGTGAATGGGCAGACAACACCATCACGAACGGGAAGTGGGTGTTCAAGGATGGCGGCTCCTACGTCGGCAGGTTCGAGAACGGGAACCCCATTGGGAACTGCATGCTCAAGTTCCCGAGCGGCCTCCAGCAGGATGGCGAGTACGTCAAGGCCCAGACAACGAATGATGCTGGCGAGGACGTGACTGTCCACAAGTTCGTGGGCGGCATGATCGTCAAAGTACGTTAGCGTATGCGTCACGCCATCGAAGACTCGGCGAGTCGGTCTCGGGGATAATCCATGAAAAGTATATGATTCCTTACAACGCTCCTTCATTGCTCCTGAAAACCCAGGAGACTACTGGATGTACTTGTTCAGGAAGCGGCGGTGGAAGTCGTTGCGGATCGTGTCGTTGATGAAGCGCTTCTTGACCTCCGGCTCGTTCCGGGACTGGTTCTTGAAGACCACGTCGTCATTCCACCGGCGCTTCATCTTGGCGCTACCTGCCGCTTGCTGCTGCGTCAGCGGATTGCCTTGGAGGATCTCCTCACGTGACTGCTGCTCTGCAGCCTTCCGCTCCTCTTCCTCCTTGCGTAGCCGTTCCTCTTCACGTTCTTGCTTGATTTTCTCCAGCTCCCGCATCAACTCAGCCTCTTCATCCTCGTCGTCACTTGTAAGAAGCCATCACAAAATAAAGCATGAATAAAGCACGAGCAACAGCGAGACAGTCTACAAGACGCACCTATCACTATCGGAATCGCTTGAATCCTCGGAGTCAGCTCCGTCGTCTGCATCGTCATATTTGCTCGCGACCTTCTTCAGCTGCGACTCGCGCTCGTCAGCTTCTGCGTCGCCGAGCAGCAGAATTTTCTTGTTCTCCTCCAGTCGCCGCAGCTTGTCTGTTCCACCAAACAATTCAACAAAAGCTGCTTCAGTCCAAGGTTCCTGGCCTCAACGCTACACACCGCAAAACCACACCTTGAGCAGTGTCCTTCTTGCGCCCTTTCTCCTGCTCGTGCTTCTCCTCCTTGCGCTCGAGTTCCTCGCGCAGATCCAGCAGCTCCACCTCATTGGCAGTGCCCTGGCCAACCTGGCTGAAATTCAGAAAGGAAACCACGTTGAACTAAGCACTTCTATTGATGTACATCACCACCCATCAATGCCGACCAGCCGTACCGCATTTTAAGGCGCTTGTGGGCCGGCAGGTCACGCGCCGAGGTCTGTTCGCTCAGTTTGCCTGCAGCATCACACAGTCAACATTTAACGGGCGTGTTAGACGTCAAACAGCGGCATAAAGCGATAAAAATTGGTACTGCATGTGCGGAGAGCTCGTGCGCACCTCCTGCGTGCCATCCTCCTTCGTTCGACTGCCCCACGGCGGCGTGCCAGGTCGGGCGGTGCGCGGTCGTCATGGCCAGCTACAGGTGCTCTAGCCGAGTTACCGAGATTGCAGCGATTGGGCAAAATACCGGATGCAAGTGACCAATCTGAAACTAGACATTATCAACCAATCCGCATCGACTAAATGTAGAACGTTCTCCAAGTGGGTTTGTGTACAGCACACTTTCAACCCACAGGCTGAGTTTTGAATACCGGCGCGAACCGCACGAAGCTCGCCATGTCGTCGTCACCTTCTCCGCCGAGGCTGCTCCCGTGGGGGCGGCTCGTACTGCTCTCAAGGGGCCACAGGTCGTCGCTGCCGGACCACTTCGACCTGTCCCGCTCCAGGCACTGCGTCGGCCGCGTGGCCAACCGATGCGATCTCCACATCCCCAAGGACTTTATCAGCGGCCTGGTAAGTCGGCCTCAACGCTCTCCGCGTTCATTCAGTCGACTTGTGCCTGACTATATGTTGGCCCTCTCCATGTATGAAGCACTGCATCATCAAAGTGAAGGGCAAGGATAGCCGTGGGGAGCCCATCGTTGAGATCGAGGACCAGAGGTAGGTTGATTCGTTTGCGACTGGAGACTGCTGGGAATGTAAATATTGACGCAAGGGATCGGCGGATTATCTGCGTTTGGATGGCTGCGAAGTAGTCGCTATGGTACTTGGGTGGACCGCGTAAAGATTGGGTACAGAAGGACGGGGACGCTGAAGAAGGGCGGGGTGATTCACCTCACAGCCCCCAACGCTAAAGGTTTGTGTGGTGGCGAATGCGAAGCACTTGTGCCCTAACGGGGTCCAATGGATTGGGAGGGGGGATTGACACGTAGCTATTTTGTTTATCTATTACCTAGAAGTCAAGGAGATCGCGTACAGACTCGAGATACTGTTCGTTTGGAGCATCTGCTTGAAGTTATGCTGCTGTTGTAGCCGACTAACGATTTTTGCTGTCTTGCAGGCCTAGCGGGTTGACCCAGCAGAATGAAGAGCTCCACGCGCGGATGAGTGCCGACGAGATGTCCGTGGCGGATCGTACGCGCAAGCGCACTCACGAGGAGACGCAGTGTACGCAGAGCCCTACCAAAGTGGTACTTTCACCGCCTCGCCCTCGACCCGTGAAGAAGGTCCGGCGGGTGACAAATAGCCAGCAGTCGAATGACGACGATGCTAGCCAGCCAATGAGTGAGCCAGGAAGCACCCCCGCCACCCAGTCTGCCCCAAACAGCGGCTCGCAAGTACCATCTTCTGCTGCTGGTAAGAGACGTCGTCGCCCTGATGTGCCAGCGCCTGACAGCAAGCTTGCAGAGCTCAAAAGGAAGTACGGCACGATCATGCTGGATAAAGAGCTCGAGCTGCAGAACAAGGCGGAAAAGCTGGAAAAGGCGGAGCAGGAACTGGAATCTCTTCGCAAAGAGAACGAGGCGATGAAAAAGAAGCACGAAGAGGAGCTGGCGAAAATTAAGGCTGAAGCTGCAGCTGAGATCAAGAAGGCCAAAGCTGAAGCTGCCAAACAGGACGAGATCTCGAAGAAGGAGCTGTCGGAATTACGACAGGAGCGTGACCAGCTCAAACGAGTCATTCACCAGGTACTAGCGGACCCGAAGGCTCCTCACCAAGTGCGCTCCGTTGTGGAGCTGGAGACAAAGGTGCGTGTACTCGCATAATTGCTGTTTACGTTGGTATGCTCGATTATCTAACAAACTCTTTTCTTCAGCTCTCTGTACTGAAGCGTAAACTCCAGAGCACTCAAGACGATTTAGCTTATGGGTCTCGCGAAGGTCGACCTCTGACGTACGTTTCCAAGCTGCTACACCTTTGGCTATGCATGCAATACTGAAAAATCGCTACTGGTATGACTTGTTGCATTGTTGCAGGACCCCACCCTCGAAGAAGAACCTAGTGGAGACAGAGAGGCAGCAGCAGTTGACGGCTGAGCTGGTGGCATTGCAGCGAAAGAGAGCCGAGGCGCAGCAGAATTACTCCAAGGTCGTGAGCGAGCTGACTGAGCAGGAAAGCCAAGTGACTGTGCAAATTCGTGCAGCCGCGGACCACGCGTTGAACCTCTCAGGGTCAAGCCAATCTCAGGACTCGGTAGACTCAGGACGAATCCGCAGCCGCCGGGACTCGCAGGCGTCCAACGAACAGTCCGAGCCCTCGCCAGGCGATCAGTCGCAAACCGTGGACGAGGAGACCAAGAGTGGTGACACCCCGCAAGGCTTACCGCCGTTGTTCAACCACTACGGAGCTCGCTCCGCGCAGGCTGGCGGGAGCAGGCCAACTACGCTGTCCCAGTCGCAGTTTTACCGGTCGGTTTCAGGAGACCAAGAGCGCAAGACGGAGCAGGACGACGCGAGTGACGAAACGAAAGGGAACTAACGAATTAAGCTTAGAATGTAGATACAGCGACTCCTGACACCTTCCAGCAGTCACGCTCATTTCACGCAAGTACGCGCATTAACATGTTTGTGGCAAGGCAGCCGAAGCAGACAGCGGCCAGCAGCAGGGTGTCCCAGGACAAGGTGCAGCTGAGGTCGAAGCCCGCACGCGATAAAGTCTTTGAGCTGGATACGTACCTGGACAGGAGAGACTTCGTTGGGGCATTGACGCTACTGCGAGTCTTGAGGCGTGAGGACAGCGAGCAAGATCGAGCCCGCAGGAAGAAGGGAGCTCCAGACGACAATGATCTGGGCTCGTGGCGCGTGAACACTTGGTGGGTCGCGTACTGCCATTTCCACAGTGGGGACTTCGGCGAGGCGCTATCTCACTTCGAGCAGCTAATCGACGCTGCTTCGACTGGCGATGCGAGTGCAACTGACCTCAAGAGTTGGCGGCTGAGTCGCGCGTGCTGCTTGTATTACCTACAGAACTACGAGGACGCAGAGCACGCGGCGCTCAGCAGTTCACGGAGTGCTTTGTGCAATCGGCTTCTGTTCCTCCTCGCGCATCAGCGGCAACATGGCGAGCAGGCGCTACTGGATCGCTATCAACAACTCTCGCGGGACTCAGTCGAGGATCAGCTGGCGTTGGCGGCTACCAGCTTTGCCCAGCTCAATTTCCAGGAGGCAGCGGAGATTTACAAGAGACTGCTCTCCGAGTCAAGCAAGGGGAGTCAAGAAGGCGGCTCGGCTCTTCATGTGTATCTCGCACTGTGCTACTTCAAGCTGGGCTACGACGATGTTGCTCCGGAGCTGCTGGCTGTGTACTTGATCGGCCACCCAGACAGCTTCTTCGCCACCAACTTGAAGGCGAGCTGCAACTTTCGGCTATACAGCACACGTGAGGCAAAGCCCATTCTCGACGACTACGCCCGGCGATATCCCAACCACCCGTGCACTCAGGGAGCGCTCGAGTCGTCTCATTCATTGACGACAAGCTCAAAGCATTCCGAATCGGCCATGACGGACGTTATGCAGCACAACCTTGCCATCTTCCGAGCATCTGATCGTGAAGCGAACGGGATTGAGAAGCAAGGAGCAGCGGCTGAGCGGGTGCTGAGCCCTATGGTGGGTCACCTCGAAGAAGCTCAATTGAACCTGGTGCTTCTTCATCTCAAGCGCCGCGAATACCACAAGGCGTTTGCCTTGGTGGAGGATCTTGAACCACGGACCACTCCGGAGCGTGCGATAAAGGGTGTGCTGCACGCGGTTGTCGGTGAACAAACACACTCCAAGGAGCACATTTTCCTCGCCGAGAAGTACTTCCATGCTGCGGGGTCATCGCCCGACGATTGCGACACAATTCCAGGCCGGCAGTGCATGGCGTCGTACTTCATGCTGCGCAAGGAGTTTAGTGATGCAAACGTGTACCTCAGCTCAATCTCCACGTACCTGAGTACCGACGACGCGTTCAACTGGAACTACGGTATAGCGCTGGCAGCTACGGGCGCGTATGGTGAAGCTGAGGAAGTGCTGCTTCGAGTGCAAAGCGCTGAATTGCGTTCTCAACTGGTGTTTTGTGGCTGGCTGTCGCGTTGCTACATCCACAGTGGCCGAGCTGCGCAGGCGTGGGAAGTTTATCTCAAGATGGAGAACTCCGTGGCTGCGTTCACTCTACTCAAGCAGATCGCCAACGACTGCTACAAGGCTCAGCACTACTTTTACGCCGCTAAAGCTTTCGACGTACTGGAGAGACTCGATCCAGACCCCGAATACTGGGAAGGCAAGTGTGGAGCTTGCGTGGGGTTCTTCCGCCAGGTCGCAACTGGACAGGAGAGTGAAAGTGGTGCAGTTCTCGCCCATCGGTGCAATGAAGTGCTCAAGCTGCTCGGCAACTCGAAGAATGTGCTGGAAGCGACCAAGCTTGTAGCTGTACTGCGGAAGTGGACGTCGTCGTTCCTAGTTGTCAACTAAGTACTTCGTAGGCGGGAAGATCAAGTCATGCAGAAATGTTTCTCTTGTTGAGTAGAACTCACGTTTATCCAACACGACATCCAAGCCCGCTTCACTCTCACAGCGCGATCTTGATCCCAGCGTTTCTCTTGCTCACTCGAGGCGTGGCAGCATCCACGCGACCGAACGGTGTGGCCGTCGCATGGCGCGAGGTCGACTCCCCAGCATACGCGCCGACGTTGGAGTCTTCCTTCGGCGTGTAGATGCTGCGTCTTCTCGACCCGCGCAGGTAACTCGGGAGCCAGTGGAGCGCTGTGTCCGCCATGCCGATCATTCGCGACACCACCGCCACGTACAGAACACCCGCCATATCCGCCGCTCAGTCTGCTGACTGTCGTCCGCCGCTGGGAGATTGCAAAATGGCAACAGCCTCGAGGGCAATATACATGATTCCGCCAGCATTCCCCCCCCCCCTCTTGCCTCATCAACGGGATGCTATCGATAGAATAACAGGACGGACGGAAGCAATGAATTCGTGGGAAGGCCCGCGCTTTCGCCAGTTGAAGTTTTCGACCAATCAGCGCGCAGCCCATCATTCATCCTCGAGGAAGCGATGCCGCTCGGCCGCGAGGAATGGGAGACGCTCATCGTGGCGGCGGAGCTCGTGGCGACGCTGTGCACGTCCTTCTGGCTGGTCACGCGGCGCTCCGGGCGCGTCGACCGCCTCCTGCTGTCCAGCGACGCCGCGGCGCTGCTGCAGCCGCGCAGCTGCTGGTCCCTGCGCGCCCTGTTGGCCTTCCGAGCCGGCGCCGCGACCTTCTTCGTGCTCATCCAAATCTGCGACGTGTGGCGCTCCCGGGGCCGCTGCCTGGCGTTCTACACGTCCTGGAACTTCGTCCTGCAAGGCGCGTACTTCTGCGGGGCCGCGTGGCGCACACGGCGCCAGCTGCAGCGCCGATTGGACGAGAGGACGGCGAGCTACACGGCGCTGGTGGACGGCGACGACGACGGCGCGGACAGCGCCTTTGCTCGCCCCAGGAGGATCGTTAGAGACAGCGGCCTGCACTGGGTCGACCTGGAGCTGCTGCTAGACGTGTGTCTGGCGGCCTCGCTGCTCATTTGCGCCGTGGTGTGGGCCGTGCTGTACCCGTACGCCGTCAAGACGGGCCACCCCGAGAAGATCCTCAATGGAGTGAGCTACTGTCAACATGGAGTCAATGTGGTGCTACTGCAGGTGGACTTCTTTGCCACGAGACACCAGGTGTCGAGAGACGCCTTGCCACTGATCATGGGCTGGCCATCGGTGTATGCGGTGTTCGCGTGGATCGTACATGGCACAGTGGCGCGAGGGTTCTGGCCGTACCCGTTCCTGGACCTGGACACGCCCTGGGCGCCGGTTTGGTACGGAGGATTGCTGGCTGCTCATATTGTGGCGTTGATGCTGGTGATGTTGCTGTCGAAAGTTAAACACAAGGAGCAACGCACCGTTACTTTTGCGGATCCAGTGGAAGCTTAGGGTGGACGACAACGTTTTCGGCAAAACAGGAATGCGTGTGATAGTTTACAGTTAAGCTAGCGCGAGACAACTCAAAAACTTTGCTGGCTACGTCCGTCAAGATGCAATCTTGACCTCAATCAACTCGCCGCCTTCCAGATCGTAGTCCTGCGATAAGTAAACAATGCAAATGAGCAAACTCTTACGTAGGTTTCAACAGCGCAGACATACGAACCTGAAAGGACTGCGAACCTTCCATCTCCTCGCCGTCGATCATGAGTGACACACTTGACGCTTCGCATTCTGTCTCTTGGGCGATTTTCGCTATCAGCACTTCAACCTTGGAGCTCTGTAATTGCAAAACGGCCATGAGAAAAAACTACCTCATGACCTCCACATGAAAACTCAACGTACCGGCACAATTTGGTGAGTTTGCGGGCCACCTTCGGCGAAGCGTAGCTGTACATCTATAGTCCGGGGCTTGGCCGCCGGGCTTGCCACAACACTGCTGACTTTGACAGAAATCTCGTCGAGGTCTATGAGGCCGTAAAAGGCCAGGCGCTCATCCAGTCGGAGCTCCTGATCTTGCACACTCATAATTACATCGCCCGGATTCGAAATGCCGTGGCGCTTGCAGTAACTAGCGTGTAGTTTCTCGACTGTCGCCGTCTGCACGAAACAGTATCCCCCGTGAGCATTTCAGCGATTATTGGGTGAAGCGGATTCATACTCGCAAACTTACCGAATCAATCTTGAAGATTTCTGACCGCTTACCGAAGATCACCAGCCGCAAGCGCAGATAGGTCTTCTTCTTGGCCTCGCACTGCTGTGAGAAGTCGACCTTTGCTTCGATTATGTCGCCCGAATCCAAGTCTTCACTTTCAGGAGTACCAGTAAGCGGCAGGGGCTCTCCGTCCAGCGCCATCTGCACGGCTTCCCGTGGCAAACCTTGCAGCTCGCAAAAGCTTGCGTAAAGCTGATCAAACGTCTCCTTCTGTAAACGCCACAGTGGGCACACAACGAGTTAAACACAGCCACCAGCACCGTTTGTCCTTCTCATCCATTTACCTTGTGAATGCCAACTTCGTCCACAACGCCACCGTTGGAGCGAATGTGTAGGGTAATACGCGGACCTTTGTCCACTACAGGTTGCGGAGGCGGACGCGCGACGACCTCAACCTCGGAAGGACTTTCGGTACCATCCTCGTCATCCGAGTCAGAGTCGAGCGAAATCACGTCCAGATTGTTTTTGGTAGTCGAAACCTTGTTCAAGATGGCTCGCGTCTGGTTCAACACCTGGTCGTTCTCGAGCTTCTTCCTGATCTCCTTCTCCATCTTCAGCTTCCGCAGACGCTCGGCCTCACGCTCACTGGGCGTGTACAGGTCGTCGTCATCCTCGTCACTGTCCAGATCGATCGCTCTCGCTGCAAAGCAGCAGCAGCAGTAACAATCAATACCCACAGCCTCCATCCTCTCCTCATTGTCGCACTGTGAGCCCGCACCTGCTTTCGCCGGGCTCTTCCCGTTCTTCGCTTTACCGGGCGACGCGCTCTGCCTGCACCGCTTGGTGGGCGTCTTCAAGATCGTGAAGTCGTCAACGCTCTCGTCGCCGTCTCCGTCTTCATCAGATGAGGACGATAGTGACACTGAAAGCAATGAAAAGTCAGCAAGCATGTGAATCCGTCAGCGCTTGAGTGGAGGCTTACAGACCACGGCTGAGAGCGATAAACCCTAGGTCCGTAGATACACTGTGGAATCAAGCAGCAGACGCACCGAACATCTGGCGCTTCTTGTTGCGCTCCAGCGCGCTGTAGAGCTTGACCCCCTCCTCCTCGTCCGAGCTCATGCTGCTGGTGGTCAAGTGTTTTGCTCTTGTCTGTTTGCTCTTCTTTTGTGCGTCGCCAGCTGATGGCCCCCTATTTGCTTAAAATCTAGACCCGATTTTCAACCAATCACCACACCCCGATATTGACTGGGGCAGGCGCCTTGAAGCTCTTCAAGCGTCATTGCCCAAAGCCCGACTGAGTGATGGCGCCCGCGTTGTTCAAGAGCAAGAAGCGCAGCCGCGACGCCGACGCTGACACCACGGCGAAGGATGAGGCCTCGGATGCTTCGTCTTCGTCTTCATCGGCCGAGAGCAGCAGCGAAAGTGGCTCCGACAGCGAGGACGACGAGGTGGAGAACGCCATGTTCCGCCCCGCGCCCAAGGCGGAGGAGGCTGCGTCCGAGTCGGAGCAGAGCGAAGAGCAGGCAGAAGCTGCAGCGGATTCTTCATCTGAAGAAGAAGATGATGATGATGATGATGAGGTACCCGTGAAGGAGGAGAAGAAGCAGAAGAAGGAGAAAAAGGAGACGAAGGAGGAGCAGCCGCAGGACGAGGAGCTCAAGGAGGAGATCGACCGCAAGACGGAGGCCACGGTCTACGTGGAGGGCATCCCATACCGAGCCAATGAGGGCGACTTGGTGACGCACTTCTCGTCCTGTGGCACGGTGCGCGAAGTGCGCATGCCGCGGTATCAGGACTCGGGCAAGCCTCGTGGCTACGCGCACGTGGTGTTTGATGACGAGGCGGCACTGAAGAAGGCGCTAAAGCTGGACGGACAGTACTTGTTCAACAGATACCTGTCCATTCGTAGAGCCGAAGCCCCGCGTGCCGTGGAGATGGCGCTGAAGGAGAAGAACCAAAACACCACCAAGAAGGCGGTGAAGGGATGCCGCACGGTGTTCATCAAGCAGCTGCCCTACGAGGTGGAGGAAGGCACGATCCGCGAGGCGCTGGCTTCGTGCGGAACGATCACCAGCGTCCGACTGCCGATCTGGAACCACACTAAGAAGTTGAAGGGCTTTGGCTACGTCGAGTTCTCGAGCGAGGACGAGGCGCTGGCCGCTGCTCGTCGTAGCGGCATGAAGATCGGAGACCGCATGGTGCTCATCAGTCTGGACGCGGCAGGCAGCGCTCCGAAGGCTAGTTTCCGCCAGCGCGACGGTCAGTACTGGAGCAAGGGCGAGGAGGCCAAGAAGTCGCTGGCCAAGAAGATCAGCGAGAAGCAGCAGCGCCAGACCGCCAACAAGAAGCGGAAGACGACCAAGTAGAGAGAGCTGTAGATGCCTTGTCATTGAGAATAGAGCTATATTTCGCATGCATTAAGCACCGTATCTGCCCTGCAAAGTCTTCCTGCTGACTCAGTTCAGCAACAACAATCCACCAAAACCAGCGCCAACGTCATATCTAAAGTCGCAGGCCGCCCGCGTCTCCTATTACTGCAGAATTAAGCGTCGCCGGGAGCGAATCTATCCACGTCCGCCGCTGCCTCCGTCTGCACGCTCCTGCTCCTGCTTCTGCTCTCGCCGTCTCTTTCTAGGCCGTGAAGGCGATGGGCTTGCGCTCGAGGCTGACGACGTCGAAGTTGCGAAAGCCGAGCACGCCCGCCGTGTGCTGCACCTGGTCGAACCAGCGCACGAGGTTGGCGTACTGGTCGCGCTGGGCCTCCGTGAAGCCGCTGACCGCTGCGTGCAGCGTGTAGTAGAGCGCGGCGTCCGCGAGCGTCACGCGGTTGGCCGCCAGGTATGTTTTCTGCTGCAGCGAGGCCTCCAGCACCTGCCAGTGCGCGGGCGAGGCCGCCGGGGGGCAGCGCTGAATGCCGCGCGCGAAGTCGATCCACATGGCCACCTGGGCGCGCTCGAAGGGCGTCTGGCCCAGCAGCTCGTGCTCGCGGTCGGCGAAGCGCGCGAGGTACTTGGCGATGGTCGTGGCCTCGTACAGCTCCGTGGTCTTGCCCAGACGCACGCGCAGGCGGCCCGAGGCGGCGGAGCCCAGGTTCACGCCGCAGAAGCGCGCCACGAAGCGGAGGAACTCGGCGTCCGCCGACTGGTCCAGCGACACCGACATGCTGATCTGATCAATCAATTAGTGACTGGGAAGGGGAGGTGCAGCCATTTAAACCCTAATTGTTGTGCCGTTTAGGGTCTGTTAACCTAACGTGAGTGATGGTCTGTTTGGTGTACGCCACAAATGGGTTGACTTTTTGATGCGCATCGATCGATCTTCAGTATCGAATTCACGCAGAGGAGCGATGACGACGGGGCGCAAGTTGGTGGACATCGGGGCCAACCTGACGAGCGGCCAGTTCCGTCGTGACCTGCCGCAAGTGCTGCGGAGGGCCAAGCACGCTGGCGTGGACGCGATGATGATCACCGGCACCAGCGTGAGCGAGAGCCGCCGCGCCGTGCAGCTGGCGAGACAGCACGCGGCTGCGTCGGGCGTGGCGCTATTCACGACTGTGGGGGGTGCATCCGCACGATGCCAAGGGCTTCGACGAGCACTCGACTATCAACGAGATGCGGACGCTGATCACGGGCAAGGACGGGGACCTGGTGGTGGTTGTGGGCGAGGCGAGTACGGACTGGACTTCAACCGCGACTACAGCCCGCGAGACGCCCAGGTGAAGGCCTTCAGGGCTCAGGTAGCGCTGGCCTGCGAGCTCAAGATGCCGCTGTTCGTGCACGAGAGAGAAGCCCACGAGGCGCTGGTGGAGGTGCTGAACCCCTTCCTGGAGAGCGCGACGCTGCCCCCGACGGTCGTGCACTGCTTCACGGGCAAAGAGGACGAGATGCGGAAGTATCTGAAGATGGGCCTGTACATTGGCCTCACAGGGTTCGTGTGCATGGAGCCACACGGGCTTGCAGTGAGGAGTATGGTGCCGCAGATTCCGATGGATCGACTGATGATTTAGACCGACGCGCCGTTCATGTATCCGTACAACACGGGGAGACAGAAGAAGCGCGCGAGGTGTGGGCCCAAGGATCTTACAGCTGTCGTGCAGACGCTAGCGAGCTGCTATGGGATCACGGAAGGTGAGGTGGCGCGGGCTACAACGAAAAACGCAAGATTGTTCTTTCGACTTGGGGATCGCGTGTCAGTGACTGAGGAGAAGTAAGCTGCACCGGCCGAGACAATACAAGACCAGAAGGAGGTCGAAGGTGCCATAGTGCTGAATGGTGGGGATGGAGAAGGTGGAGGTCAGTTGCTTCGAGTGGCGACGGCATTATCGGCTGTGACGCACAACGTGGTGCGAGTCCACTCTATCCGAGCAAATCGAACAGTTCCAGGGCTGCACAACCATCACCTGAGCACGATCGAGCTCGTAGCTGCCCTATCAACAGGTGGAGTTTTGACTGGGGCTAAGCTGAGCTCGACGGATCTCACGTTGACGCACGCTCTGCTCTTCTGGCCGCGGGTAACAGAGGTGGTGTCTTCAACGCCACCTCGCACACATGTGGCAGCGTTTCCCTTATGATGCAAGGAGCACTGCCAGTGTTGGCATTTCGAGATGCTACAACGGAGTTAAGTTTACGCGGTGGTACGCATGTTGGGTTCAGCCAGACGATAGACTTTATGCAGGTTCCACTGCGTTCGCTGCTCGCCAGATTCGGTCTTGCTTTGGAAGTCGAAGTGAGCAAGCGCATGTTTTTCCCCGGCGGCGGCTCTAGTGGTCAAGTGCGGGTCTCCATCGATCCTCTTGGATGTGAGAAGACACTTCAAGCTATCAACTTGACCGATTGGTCTTCGTCTATTCGTCGTGCGTTCATTCGAGTCACCGCGTTCGGTTCATCGGCGAACGAGAACTTGGCGGATCATTACGCCAGTGCATTGAAGAAAGCTGTTGGCAAGGAATTTAGCGGCGGAGACAGCAATGAGCAGTTTACCATTGAAGAGGAGTGTGTCGTGGAGGCCACCGCTACAGCCACCCACCAGAAGAAGAAGTCTTTCAGGGGCAAGAAGCCAAAGGAGAGAACAGCGGTGTCTGCCCTTGTCGTGCTGGAAACTGCAACCGACGGGATCATCTCAGTCGACCAAACGGTTAACGTGAATGAGTCCACCGCAAGCATTTTTGCCGACCAGGTGATCTCAAGACTGAACGAGTACGTTCACAGCGGCGCGTGGGTTGACGAGCACCTCGCGGATAATGTTGTCGTCTTCATGGCGTTAGCTGAAGGCACGTCTCGCGTGCGTGTGCCAGGAAAGGCTCACCGTACCTCGAAGCACTTGGAGACGGCGCTGGACATCGCAGCTCGATTAACCGGAGCCACTTATCAACTTCACGAGGAAGATACAAGCGCGATTGTCGAGGTCAATGGAGTCGGTCTGCAACGTCGCGCATAGTTGAACCTAATGCAATATAACGTTACTTGGTGGTGTTGCTGGTATTTCTTGGCTACAACCCTACAAGTTTTGAGTGCGGCGCTTGGAGTGGACGGTCGCCTCGATCTGCTGCTGTCTTGCCATCGAGCTGAATCCGCGAAGATCCGATGAAGGAAGGTCTGCAGGAACGAGCCGTCAGCTCTCGTCGCAAAAGTGACGCTTTATCAAGTCGCGCGAGTCGAGTGAGTCTACAATGGTCGACGCCCGCGCTAGAAGGTAAACCGCCTAGCGCTCGTGGAGGCCATTCTGCTGTGCTGGCAGGAACCCACCTCCTGATCTTCGGCGGCCACTACTTCGGCAGCGAAGGAGGTTTCGTCTACCTGAACGACCTCCACCGCTTGGATCTGGGGACGTCCTCTTGGGCAGAGGTCATCTTCCCAAAGGAGCAACCTCGGCGACGTCAGCAGATCGATGAAGGCGAAATGGACCCGCCGGTTGTGCTGCCTGCCCCGCGTTATGGACACTCAGCTCTCCTGCTCAACGGTGGAGAGCGTATGTTCGTCTTCGGGGGGCGTGGGGCGCGAGGTGAAGCCTTCCGCGATATGTTCTTCTTCGACCTCGGTGCCATGGCGTGGCTGCAAGTCCAGTGGACGACTGATTGTCCTGCTGGACGCTACGGCCATGCAGCAGCGTCGGTGGACAACGAGAAGATGTTCGTGTTCGGTGGTTGGGACGGCAAGAAGAGCATGAACGATCTATGGTTGTTTGACTCGGCCACCTTCACGTGGCGTCGACCGAAATGTTCGGGTAAGCCGCCAACTCCACGCCAAAACCTGTCAATGGTGGATCTCTCCAGCAATGCGGGTTCACCGTCGCTGCTTCTGTATGGCGGATACACTGTGATGCCTGATGCGCTGCCGGTGTACAACAAGGATGTGTATGTTTTCGACATCGCGTCGATGGCATGGAGTCGCCCCCGACTCGTGGGTGAATATCCTCCTGGAACTTTCGGTCAGTCGATGAACCTTGCGGGGGCTGGCAGTGGGGAAGAGCTAGCAGTGATGCTGGGTGGGTGGTCCGGCACGGAGCGCACGCCGCTGTTTATGGGGGACAAGCAAGTTCGCGAGCTCGTTCGACTTGAGGATCGAGAGGAGCGACTAGCAAGCAGCAACAATGGCGCGAACCAACTCGAGGAGAACCGAAAGAAGCGCGAACGCAAGAAGCAGCACGAACGAGAGCTACGCGGAGGGTCTTCATACGCTCGAGTCCTGGATGTACAGAACATGGAGTGGCACCGTGTCGCTGCGTACGGAATTCCAGTAGCTAACCGCTACGGTCACACTTCCACGCTGGTAGGTCCTCACCTCTTCCTATTTGGCGGCTGGGATGGCAATCGCGCACTCAACCAACTCGTCGTCGGCGAGCTCTCTATTGCTCCTGAGACCGACTACCCTGAGGAGCCTTTGTCAATTCGGTAAGGCACAACACAAAGGGTTGCATGTAATATCAGTTGGCTCTATTGTCTACTGTGAAGTGCTAGCTGTCTGACGTACACTTAGCCCACCTATCTATTCCAGACGATCAATAGCAGCCTTGATCTCGTCGATGAAGTCTGCGAGCGGCTTGGCACCATGCACCTGGTTATCACGTGTGCGAATGTTGACCTCCTGCGCAGCCTGCTCCTTGTCACCGACGACCAGGATGTAGTTGTAGCCGGCAACCTGAGCTTCACGTACGCGCTTGTTGAGCGTCTTGCTGCCGTCTTGGACGTCCACGAACAGACCACGGGGGGTCGCCGTCTGCAGCTTGCTAGCCACCTCGTGAGCGTACTCGCGATGTGCCTCAGCAATGGGGAGCACGGCCACTTGTCGAGGACTGAGCCAGAGCGGCCATTTGCCGCCCGTGTGCTCGATCAAGATAGCCATCATACGCTCGATCGATCCCAGCACGGCGCGGTGGATGATGATGGGCGTGTGCGACTCGCCATCAGCACCATCGTACTCGAGCTCGAAGTTGATCGGCAACTGGAAGTCCAGCTGAATCGTTCCGCACTGGTGCTGGCGCTTCAGAGCATCCGTCACCACGATGTCGATTTTGGGGCCGTAGAATGCACCGTCGCCTGCGTTGACAGTCCAGGGCTGACCGAAATCTTCCAGGGCGAGGCGAAGCTGGTCCTCAGCGTCATCCCAAAGCTCGAGGTCTCCCATGTACTTCTCCGGTCGAGTAGAGAGACGCATGTTAAACTTGAAATCGAAGATGCCGTACACGTGCTTGATGAAGTCCAGAGCATGCGAGATCTCCGACTGCACCTGGGCAGCCGTGCAGAAAATATGGGCATCATCCTGGTGGAATCGACGAACGCGAGTAAGCCCCGTAAGCGCGCCAGACGCTTCGTTACGGTGCAAGGCCGAGAAATCGGCGAGGCGCACAGGCAGCTCTCGGTACGAGTACTTCTTCGCCTCGCGGAACATAAGACAATGTCCAGGGCAGTTCATAGGCTTCAGCCCGAACTGATCGTACTCTTCTTCACCGTGCGCGTGGTCATGGCCGTGTCCTTCGCAACCTTCCTCGCCAGTAGAAATGCCTTGCGAAACCATGAACATGTCGTCGTGGTAGTTTTTCAAGTGGCCCGAGGTTTCCCAGAGTTCCTTCTTGAAGATGAGAGGACTGATAACCTCATCGTAACCACGGCGCTTGTACTCTCCGCGGATGAAGTCGGCCAGCGTGTTGAACACACGCGTGCCATGGGGCAGGAAGAACGACGATCCGGGGCTGAGGGGGTGGAACATGAAGAGCTGCTGAGCGCGGCCGATTAGTCGGTGGTCTCGCTTCTTCGCTTCTTCCTGAAGATGACGCCACTCCTTGAGCTGTGCGTTGTTTGGGAACGAAATAGCGTACACACGCTGCAGCAGCTCCTTTCCTTCCCAGTGCGACGCGCCGCATCTCGTGATTTCAAACGAAGACAGCATGCCTGTACATTGAACAAGATGCATGCGAAAACGTTAGTTGCATGAACGACATTACTCAATACTACAGGATTCCATGCATGTTTGCCCACGTGTAGCTCGCCAGCACTCATTACGAGAGTGGAGAGTCGTTCGATAGGCAGAGTTGATATAGGACCAAGCGGGAAGAGCACCCAGTAAAGGACAGCTAGAGAGCGCAGCGACTTTCAGCTGCACCCTCGCTCTCTTCTGCTTGTGTAGAGCAGGTAATAGTCCAGCAAACAGACAAGTTCAAACATGCACAATGCACGTACCAGTGTGAGGGACGTGGGGCCCTCGGCAAAGGTCAATCAGCGGGCCGCAACGGTAGAGCGAGATGGCTTCACCCTCCGGGATCTTGTGCAGCATGTCTCGCTTGAAGTCCGAGTAGGCGAACAGTTCATCAGCGAACTCGCGCGTCACCTGCAGCCTCTCGAACGGTTGTCGAGCCTTGACAATCTTCTTGATGTTGCGCGCAAGTTCATCAAAGTCCGTCTCAGACACCGTGAGTCCGTCCTGCAGGAACATCTCGTAGAAGAAGCCGCCCTCACTCAAGGCCGGGCCGTCCGTAAGACGGATCTTGTCTTGGAATTTCTCCTCCAGAGCCTGCACAACAGCAAAAACACAGAAACAATTAACCCCACGGTACAAGAACACCAGTAACAACCCAGAACCGCCCCAACCTGTCCGAGTACGTGTGCCGACGAGTGCCAGAACACGCTCTTGCCCTCGTCACTTGAGAAACTGTTCACCCAGCCACCCACACAGTCAGAAAACCCTCTAATAAACCCACATAAACTGCACTACCGCACGCACTCGAGCAGCCTCAGTGCTCCGGAGCGCTGCAGCGGCGCGCGCAGGTCCAGCAGCTCCCCGGAGTCCTCGATCTTGGCCGCCAGCGCCTGGAACTTGGGCAGTCCCAGCTGCTGCATCTGCTTGAGCACGTCGATGGACGTGGAGACGCCCGCCACGCCACTGAAGGCGAAGGAGCCCGGCGTCTCCCCCGGATACTGCACAGCCAGCTCCAGCGGCTCCCCACGCGCCTGAGCCTGCTCCGTCGCCTGCGCCAGCGCCGCCTGCTGCCGCTCCAGCTCCTGCGTCCAAAGCGCCACGCGGTCGTCGCGGATCGAGATCGTGGCCAGGCCGGCGCGCGGCTGGCGCAGCATGGGCACAGCGCGCAGCCCGAGCCGCCTCCACCGCACACTAGAGAGCATCTAGGTGCGAGAGATACGAGTACAAAATTGATATTTGCGTTAGGGCTCACAATTAGTTAATGAAAATACATGGTGCATTTTGGCGATTTTCCAGTAAAAAGTCACTTACTGGAGGGCGCAGCAATTTGGGCGGACCAAATCCTAAATTTGGTACTTAGTAAGAAAAACGCCAGTAAAGGGCCATCTATTAACCCCAACAAATTTTATCCTTAAAATAAGGACAGAAACAAATCTGGCGGCCTCGATTTTGGGGCGATTTTGTCCTTAACTGGGATTAAAATTATCTTAGCATTTGTACACACGCACTTAGGGCCTGTTTCATTTGAGAATAAGTCGGGAATAGCGCCGAGCCGGAATAACAATTCTACGCTATTCAAACGAAACAGGTGGAGAATAAAGCCCCACAATAACTGGGAAAAAGAATATGCGTTATGGAAGGAAGCAAATCATTGGCTGGCGCGAGATTAACAAAAAAAACTCGCGAACACTGCTTCGAGCGCTGCTCGCTATTCGTCACCAAGCGCGCCGTGGTGAGGCCCCGAGCGGGCTCTAGAGGAGCACTAAAGCTGCTCTACCCTGTCGCAACCAACCCCTGTATAGGCCGGAGCTTCCTCACCTCGCCACGAAGTCTCTACACGCTCCCAGCAGCGTCAGCATCGGCTGGCCTGCGGAGTCTGGCGGTCCTCGACGGAGAGGTGAGGAAGCCCCGGCCATGTAGCTATTCCGCTCAGAATAGCTATCCTGACTTTCAAAGTCAGTATAACTTATTCCTGGGAATAACTTCTTAGCCAATAAGATTATCGCATTTTATCGTAATTAAGCGGGAGGAATAACTCCCGCTATTCATATTCCAGTTATTCTCAAATGAAACAGGCCCTTAGCCCAACACTTTTTGTCCTTGGATCTAGGACCAAAACTCACTTAAGTACGCCGTAGTTAGCAGGGTTTTGTCCTAGAACCAGCAAAAAGGACCAAAAGTGACTTGGGGGTTGTATGGAAGGAAATAAGATCCAGGTAAGTACGAGGGTGTCATGTACAACAACAACTGTTCGAGTGGTGTAACGGCTGAGGCCCTATACTGAACTCAAGTCATTTTAAGGAATTTGTCCTAGAATCCAGGACAAAAATGAAATGTAATATGTTATTAATGACAATTTTCAACTGTAGCTTTTGCCGTTATGGACAATGGTGGACACTACGCATAACAAAGGATTAAAAGAGGGAATCAAAGGCTTTCTCTCCGTACCAATAAGATGGCTTATCTTTCAAAAACAACACCAGCGTAAGCTTCTAACTTTTGGTCCTTGTTTTTGTCCTTGATTTGGCGGGTGTTGGGGTTAGGTACGGTCACAGAGGGCCGACAGTGGGTTCGCATTGGACGCGACGGGTCGCCGACCAATTCACTTGTTTCTACTATTGGCCAATCTATTTTTGTCCTTAACTTAAGGATAAACTCGAAAAAGCGATATGCTCCGAGTGACCTTTTTTGGTCGAGCTGCTGCGCAAAGGTATCACAACCCTAGCGCATACAGGCCCCACCCTCATTTAGACCGAATACAGACCTTTCTATCCATATCTGTCATAGCTTCTTACGTGTAAAAATGAGGTCAAACGGGTTGCCTCAAATTTCTTCCTTATGTTTATCCTTAAAAAAATCTTGTTGCGGTTAACCAGGGCTCGCAAACGGTGCTGATCGGGTACCCGTACCCGCCCGTGTAGCCGTCCAAGCCGAAGTCGGGTACCCGTACCTGCCTGCCCACAAGCCACGGTTGTACCCGGGCCAGCCAGGGCTCAAGGTTTTGTACGGACGGATCAACTGTTACATCTCCCGACACGGTTTTAAAACATCTAAAGTTAAACATTTAAGTAGGAACTACGCGAAATCAATCCTGAGTGAAAAGGACTTGTGGAGGTTAAAAGAAGACTGCGTAGGAGCATGATATAGCTGGTATAAGTAAGAAATATTACTATTTAGTACTATTTTCGCCAACTTCGGGTACCCGTGGCACCGCCCGAGGTTTGCTTCGGGTACCCGTACCCGACCCGAAACCGGGTATACCCGAGGCGGGTAGGGCGGGTACAAGAAATGGGTACCCGATTGCGAGCCCTGCTATTAACAGAAGATCCCGCTATGAAGGGAACAAAAAGAGCCCAAAACGGTGAACGCCGAAAAAAAAACTAATTGCGGATTAACCCCCCCCACACTCGCGAGGTTTTTCGGTCCCTGGCTTTGATCAATATACACCATGTTAAAGCTGTATACTACATGTTAAAAGTATGCGTGTTTGATCTAACTATTGCCTTCCGTAAGTACGACACATTTCTATAACCTGCGGGAAACTGGTTGACACAGACAGACGCACATGTTGTCTAAGACGCCCTCGGATGGGTAGCTAAATTTCAACAGGGTGTATATACTACAACTTGCAGTGTCCTTTTTATTGATGGTGAACAAAAATCAAACACAAGGGCGGGTTTATGCTGGAAGTATCCTATGATTGCATCCTAACATACCAGGCTATGCATGCCTTGAAAACAAAAAACCTGCTGTACCTAGCCAGCAATCAAGTGACACGTCTTCCCAACCGCGAGCTAATGGCGTCTTAGCATTATTATAGCGCACGTCCTGCTCGGTTTTATTGGATTGGGCCACTTCACCAGGCTGCATTCTCTCTGAGGGGTGCATATTAGTACTTACATGCGCAATATAACCCTTACATAGCAAAATGTAGTGTCTACGGTGTTCATTCTTTCCAGCTTACCTCTTCTTTTACATACCCTGGTATATCGGACGAGATTCATCTTGCATTTCGAGCTACTATGCACAATCATGTATCATATCCTGTCTAATCTGATCGGAGTACCCAGGGCATAGTAGGGGTAGCACTGTCTCGTACGCATGATGGGGAGAGCGGTTCCTGTTAGCAATCTGTAAGCAATCAAATAATCAGTCTAACTCACCATCTCTGCAGTTACTACTCGTTCTTTGTGCATATTTTCACCTACACCTGTGCATTTCACGTAGAAAAAGACGTGCTGTTCTTTTTCATAACATGTAGTCATATACAACGTATGAGTGCGCGGGGGGGGTTAAGTGAAGCATACATGCAACTAGTGTCGTTCGACAGCTCGCTATCTCAAACTTAACACTGTGCTATCCTAGTGTAAGCTAGCATTCTTGTCTCGCGAGTACAGGCGCAAAGCCTCGAGTGATTGACTGTGCTCTGTGAACCGATTTTCAAAAAAAAGAAAATCGGTTCAAGAGCGGGGCGGCTTTCCCACCATCCCTTGGTGCTCCCACCAGCTCAGCACAGCACCCACCGCACGTGCTTCACGAAGTCGGTCTTGCGGCCAAAGTCCTTAGGCTGCAGCGGCTGCACGTCTTTGTTGCGTCCACCGCGCTGATCACGTCGGCCAGCTCCCTCGAGGTGCCTTCCAGGTTCTTGCTGACCATAATGGCGCAGACGCCGCCGGCGTTGGTGGCCTTGATGACGGCCTCCACCAGCTCCTGCTTGTCGCTCTGCGGGTCCACCAGCTCGGCTGCCGCCTCCAGCTCGTCCAGCCCTGACGCCTGCTCGTCCACGCAGCAGACACTGCTGACGCTTGAGTCAAGCGCCGCTTGACTCAAGCGTCAAGCCTTGACTCGTTCCAGGGCTGCATTGACGACTCCGACTACAGCCTCCTGTACTCCACGTCACTGCCGACGGACGCCGAGTACGTCAAGATGAGCGGTCCCAGTGACTGCCAGTCCATCATCGAGCCCGACGTTCAGCACAGACATGATGACAGCGAGGGTGACCGTCAGCCGCTCCACGTGCAGCGTCTCGGTCTGGTAGATCTCGGCGTTCACGCCGTCCACTCAGCTTGGCGCCTTGGCTAGCGCAAACTCCTATTGCCATGCACACAAAAGCCCTGTTTAGTATCATAGTGCTAATGCTTCGTCATCGAGCCTGCAGCGCTCTCTTACCTTTCGCAAGCGCTGCTGCGCAGCTCGCCCTTCATCCTCGCTCGTCCATCTCTGTTTGATTTGTGAGAGAGGGGGAGGTCCAGTTCCTAGTAATGGTACCGTGTACCAAACAAAAATGTCTACAAACCCTCTTTCTCTACAAATAGCTTCAAACAGAGCTACTACCAGGGCGCTAGCTATATGCACACCAGCGCCGATAGCAAGATAGAACATGTCGACGCTGTCGGTCTACTGCCCCTTAAAAGTTGGAAGCATTTACGTGCCCAAATGGCGCCGACATCCGATTAAGTCCGCATTATGTGTTTTTCTGTGTTCCCCTCAAAATGTGTTCCCTCTTAGCGGGATCTTCTGTTAACCCATCAAAAATCTGGCCGAGAGGTATTGTGCCTTTCACTTATTCTGCCGTGATAATTCTGGCATACTCTAATCCCTTATCGACCTTAATTATGCCCTGAGTTAGCTAATTCCCATGTTAATTCCGGGTCGTCCCTCCGTGGTCGAATTAGGAGCGGCGATGGTGAGGCCGAGTTAAGACGGAATAAGCTAATCCAGCCTGCGTTAGGCGAAAACAGAGCGATTGGCGGCTTCCTACCCGCCAATCCATGCCATTCTGCTCGTATCTCCGTCGATTGGCTCTCAAATGCTGATCGCGGGTGTTAGGGGAAGCGCTCACAATCTTAGGCAGAATGAGCACTAAATAAGCGTTAATCGCCCTTTTATGACTCTAATTCCGCCTGAATTAACAGCTCACCCGCCAAAATACGTGAAAGGCACAATAACGTACAATACTAATTAGTATGCGGCATACTATTCTTGAAGAGTGCCCTCTGGAGCCGAGTAGGGCACTCTATTTGATGGCATACTATTTGTTAGGGCATTCTATTTGATAATGACTACATCAATACAATCTCCCAAGACGATTATACCATCAATGCCAGCAAGATGTATTTTGTGGTTTATCTGCCACCACTATCAAAGCGCCTACTCTTCGATGCATGAAGGAAACAGCTCGGCTGACCAGCTCGTCGTCCGTGAGCGTCGTGAGATTGGTGCGGCGGCGAAGGCTGAGTCCGTTTCGCTGCATGAACGCAGTAATCCATGGATCAGAAGCGGCAAATCCGATCGGGTGCTCTTCGTGTTCCTCCTCCGTCCTGCTGGAGCGAAAAAGCTGGTGCGCTTGAGCGGCGATCCAGTCGCGCGTAACCTTCTCCTTCAGGAGGCGACGGTTGTAGATGAGATCCACAAGCACGTCCTCGGCTTCACCCAGCACCGGTCGACGACGATTGCCTTGGCCAGCCAGGATTTGGTCACGGTTGTGCCACCACTGGCGAAACCCGCCGGCCGAAATGCGCCAACCCAACGCACGAAAATGGGCTTCCGCTCTCGACGGGACGCCGCCACCCTCGCTCACAATCCATTCGATGGCTTGCCTCTTGATGCTTAGCTCCACGCTCTTCCGTCTTGCTGGCATGTTGACGAATGAGCTGGTAAAGCGTGGTGCTGATGGAGGAGCGAAGCTTGGGTGGATGGGAATTGTCTACCACTTCTCAGGTGAGCGCAGGATAGCGTGCGGAAGTCGATACCGACGGCAGTCTATTCGGAACGGCACTCTAATATATGACACTCTATTTGATGGTACTCTATTGTAATAGTATGCCTTCACCATAGGGCACTTTATTCGCAGGGTACTATAATACCTTAGGGCATACTATTCGGTATTATACGTTAGATGGCAATGCAATAAGTGTGAAACGGAAGTCGATGCGCGGCCTTGGCTAGTGAAAGGGCGGTTCACTTTCGCAAGTCGTTCAACCCGCCGTGAAGCGCGACACCCTCCAAAAAAAGGCATGGCTGTCAACTCTCGCTGGGCGATGTGATGCTTCTATTCGGTGTCTTTGGATGAAGACGAGCGTTTTGAGGAGCTACTTAAGGAATGCTCGGCCAAGGAGCGAAGAAGTACGTCTGCGCTTGTGCTGGCTATGACACCAATAACCGAGTGCTTCATGGACGTGATGCCGCCGACATGGAGCGTTTTAACGTCGAAGCGCTCGATCGCGCGTCTCACCGACCTCCAAATAGATCAGGTCTTCGGTAAATGGCGCCATCTTCACCGCGGTGGCGCTTCATCCATTTCCGCAGCAGGAGTTGCAGCGCCTTCACGGCCCGAGTCCTCAGCAGCCCTTAGCCCCCCGCGAGATGCCTTCGACCAGCGTGCTGAGCTCGGCTCCACGTAGCAGCAAAAAAGTTAATCCATAAGTTCCCAAACACCCCCGTCGGACTTGTGGTAGTCTCAGGGCAAACAGGTTGTCGTCAAGCCTTGCTGTCTGGACACCAACCATTTCCCACCGACACTAGAAAATTGTCGGGGCTCCTGAGCTGCCAAACATGCCAGAATGCGTGACACATGGACACTCGACCAGCCCTCACACATTCCGGTAGTGAGCATCCAGTTTGCTCCTGGTGGAAAGAAGGCGTGATGGCGTAGGCGTAGCAGAATCCCATAATCCGAGCCCCACGATTTGACGCAAATGTTCCCACTTCAGTGCCGCTGCTGCCTCATTTTGCTGACCCCTGCAGTCCACACGTCGGGCTAAGCTGCTGACACCGCGCCTCCGAGAAGCAGCAGCCACCATCGTTCTAAAATGATATCTCGGTTGGGTTCACCACCGCTTGCCGACCCAAAGACACACCAGACAACTAACACTTGTAGGTGTACATACGGGCTGGGGGTCGGCAAATAGAGTTACTTGATCACAAATTTATTCAGCTGAAGATAGTGACGAGGCGTCATCTTGGCGACGCGTGGGACGCGTGAACAACGCGGGCTACGGCAGGCCGGGACATCATTGCTGGGTGGTCCAGCAGGATGGCTTGTATCCGCAGCTAAAGGTGCCCTGATAAAGAAGTCTAGGGAAATGGCGACCAATAACTGAGCAAGCAAGTCCAATTGGCGTTCAAAGTCCGCTGTACGCTCGGGGTAGATTCTGTTTGAGGTCGTATGCGGGTCTGCTCGGTAGTGCAGGTCGACCTTTTCAATACAGCATTCAAGACATCTATCGCGATTTGCCCCACCTGTTCGCCCGAGGGTAGGCGACATCATGGCCGAGGGCGAGCAGCGCGAGCGCGAGGCTCACTCCGTGCGTTCACCGACTGCCAACACCCGCCGATTAGGCGGGGGCGTGTCTGCGCGAGCGAGCGAATGCGAGCGCCGCAACATGATGTTTTTTCCAGACACAGCGCCGGGCCGAGTCGAGGACTTTGGAGCCGGCGGCTCCCCCCGAGCGAAGCGAGAGACGGGCGGGCCCACGGTCAGAAGTCCGCAGACGAGAGCGAACGCGCTAGTGTCCTATCCAAAGTATGTCATCTCTCCCGAAAAGAGCGACCGAAACACCAGATCTGACCCGCATACGACCCCAACGGGAGTCTACCGTACGCTCGCTTAGTTCAGTGAAGCTAACACGGTATTCTCCTTGACACCACCAGTGAGCAACATCCCGTAACCGACGCCGCAATGTGAGAACACAAACGTCCTTGGACGTCATTAGCCGATCTGCAGTCCCACGCAAAATACGAATTCCCGCAATGTTCACGCAAGGCAGCCATTCTAGACAGGCTTCTCCCACAGCGAACTTCTCCCCTTGAACGACACGCCGACAAACACTTCCTCACAGACCCGCGCCGTTAAGTAGAAGCCCCAGCGCATGGCAACGCACTCAAAGTGCACCGCATGCTGATAGCGCGTTGATACCACACCTGACGCGCCAGATCATATGCAGAGCGGCCCACCATCGGCGATCTCGCAACACCCGCCTATCCAGAAATAGCCGCCCTGGGGATGGCGACGGAGGCTTTGGCGAACCCACACGAGTGAAGACTACAACACTTGACTGTTAGAATTGACATTTCAAGCCAGGAGCTGTCGCCGATAGCAGAGCTGCGATGTTATCCGTCGCCTACTCCGTCTGGCCCAGCCACCTCACGGGGAAGTTCTTGTGTCGCGTCCTGCTCGCATTTATACAGCGGCGTCCTTGATGGACAGGCACCGAACACGTCAGAGCCCGCGTCCGGCTTCTTCAGTACGGATTTGTCCAGCATGGAATCGGCCGTCCGTCGAAGTTGCCTCCGTGAATAGCAAAGCCCCGCCCAACGGCGGCTGCGTATCGTGTTTTTTACCTGTTTTTTTATTTCACAGTACCCGCCCAACATGATTATCGTGCAGCATGTTAAAGTCGCGCAACACACTCAGGATTACTATAGTGTCGTATAAGTTCGAGTACCGACTGTGTTCAACAACGACATGACTATTTCGCCAAATCGTTTATCATGCTGTTCAAACAGCATGTACATGGTGTATATATTGGGTAGATACAGCATTGCAATATTGTAGATACACCATCATAAGGGATTTGGATGAGAGGTCAGTGGCTTTTTTTATCAAGAAACTGGGCAATGACCTGTAAGGAAGTGCAAGGCAGGGTGACTTGTACGGTATATTGCACGAAAGCGACGACGCATCAAGTGAATACATTCATAAACCTAGCGCGTTGTAGCCTCGAAACTATCAACTCCACATGATTTCGCAAATTTCTACCACCTTACTACAGAGGTCCACACATGCACAACCTGATCTTTGTATATCCCCTCGAACCTTTTCCGTTGCAGGCTAAATACCAGTCGATTTACTATTATATATCTAATTCTCTCTCAAAACACCATTTTCCCTCGTAACGTATGCGGGAGGATGTCGGTATCTACGCTAGAACACGCTTCACGCTCAATTTGGCACAACTGTTCTTGCTACAGTATCTACGCCACTTCCTTGTGGTCCTCTATAACGTGCACAGTTAGTTGCAAGTAATACATCACCGGTCAACTTACACAATGCATGCTATAAATATCAAGTAATGGGATCGTTGTCGATTCGGTAGCGGTTTCTTTCTACGCTAAAACGATTTGACGTAGCAACGACATCGCTTTGTATTTACTCTAGCACGCGCTCGCACGGTTTATATGCGTTTATTTCCTGTAATCTGGTCCGCCGAACCCAAGCCCTGTGTATTTTGTAGGAAGGCCTGACTTATGCAGCTAATCCGCCTATGTTTTAGCATGTAGTACGTACAACATGTTTCTTATGTATCGACAACGTGTGGGCGTTGAGGGGTTAAAACGTTTGGCCTTGGCGTGGATCCGACTGGAAAGACGTTAGACCTGCTGCAGGCGCAGAGGCAGCTTTCAAGTCGTCGCTGGCCAGAAGGCACATGTAATAACCTAGAGTGCTTGGCGTCAGCGGCACTCTCGAACGACTCCCGCTTGGACACGAGCTGCCCTCCATGAGCTCTGGGCCACCTGCACGCTGCCTTGACGCCAATCGTGGTCAGTCGCACCGGACACTCGCTAGAAGTCAGCACCATGGAGCTGGAAGGTCCGAGCCATCCGGCTCCGCTTCATGCTTCGGAAATGTTGTTGTGGCTTTTATTATTTATTTCAAAGATGACATGGCGTATGCGAAATATTACAATGGACACAGCTTGCCTCTTTTCCAATACTGAGGTCACGTTAAGGACACCAATTATAATTGGCGGAAATTGTTCCGAAGCCTCTAGCTTCACTCCTGCAACGGCAGCATTGTTTCCATCTCGTCAGCGTCCACGCCGTGATCTGCCATCCAAACCTGTCGCCACCACCACGCCAATATCACACAGGCGTCGCTCCGCCTCGATTCGGTATCGCGCCGTCTCGACCTCGCAGGCTCTTTTCGTGCCCTCGGACGCCAGGATGGCTTAATTGCGCTGCGCGGCATGGTTGAGCACGTATTCATCCAGTCGCAGTTGGATTGCCGGGGTCACTTGAAGGGGATCGACCATTTGCCACTCCGTGTACTGGCGCCCTTCGTGGTCAGAGAATGCCGAGCTCTGCACAGCTCGATGCCCCACGCTGCTTTGAGCGCCATTGATATGTCTTGTCGGAGTTATCGCATGGGCGATGGCTTTTGTGGCTTCATGTGGGGGCTGACGGCGCTTGGAAGAGCGAGTAATTTGGTGGGTCTCGCCTGCTCTCTTGCGCATCGATCTCGTCGGTTGTTCAGCCTTGCTGGGACCTCCATCACCACCATCAGGGTTTGTTTGAGCAGATGCGCTAAACACGGGCATCATGTCGACGAATCCGGGGCACAGCTCGTCCCGTTTCCGTTGCTCGTAGTGATTGAGCGCCATACCACGCGAAGGTTGTTGGCTGCTATCACCTAGCGAGGCTCTAGCTCGCGCGAATTTTCTCCCTAGAAGCCAAATTCGGCAGGCAACGGGATTAAAGTGCGCTGGAGGTGGGCTTCGTTCATGGCGTTCATGATTACTTCACGCGCGACCTTCTTCACTCTATTGTGCCACCGTTGATAGTTCCTCGGGGTCTTGAGCCAAGAGGCCAACACGTCCATCGACCTTGGTTCATCTGCTGATTGGTTGTCAGATTCCCAAGGACGCTTTGTAGTGCCTTGAGACGCTGGTTCTCCCATCATTCTTTGGTCGCCTCGGAAGTGTTTTTGTGTTGCTTTACTGCAAAAGTGAGCTGATCCCGTTGCAAAAACCTTCTTCGATTTTTTAAAGTAAGTTCATAAATGTTTATTTTTTGCAAATTTCTCGTCGTATTCTTTCAAGTATATTCGCACGACAGTGGCATGCCAAGCACTCAATGGGATAGAGACAATAAGACACCAGGAGCGCCATCAGCCATGGATGTACTCATGCGGTGGTTAAGAACTTACGGGAACTGCAAGCGCTGGCACGATGACGATACGACGAAAGCTCTGTGCGAAGGGTCAGCTTCGGGCTCAAGGCATCGAGACTCACACATCCACCGCCATTTACCGAAAGTCGCTCACATGAAAGTCCGCAGTGACGCTATCACCGAGTGGCTCATAGCGAGTCAACAATATGAGTCATACCAGCGTGGTGACGTCGACAAGAGCCTGCACGATGAGGTGGAGGGACGCTGCCCGAATTATGGGGATCTCTCACACTTCTTTCATGTCGACGAATTGCAGTTGGGAGCGAGCGGATGCATTCTAGAGCTCAAGGACGTCGAGCCCCAACTACACGAAGTAACGTTGTGGTGCTGAAAGATAATACGCTGGAAAGTAATCCCAGGTTGCTTTAACAGAAGCAAAAGCACGACCCCAGTAGAGCCCAAGGCAACTGACGTTCGTGCAAACGTCATAAACAAACGACGATGGACTCTCCATGGTGAAAATGCCTGGTAGCGCAACGGAGGCGACAGGACCTCCTATCGATCCATCATTTCGTGGCCAGGATGAGACGCATTGGGCCGATTGGGGCCGCAAGGAAGCGGGGTTACAGCACTCCTGCTTGATATTCGCTCACTTGAGCGCCCCACAGCTTGGTCACTTGTACCTTCGTGCAGAGAAACCTCGCTTATTTACGCCAGAGCAAGGTTGTTAGGAACAGCATGACTATGACATATTTCTTAAAACTCAACGATATAATGCGAGCACAGTCAACAAACGTTGCAAGTGCCCTATCGTTCGTACTGGCTTTCGCTCACCCTGAGGCCCTTTAACCAATCTCGCTTAGAGGAAAAAGATGGTACTTCGGAGTTTCTCACTCAATTCTGGGATTGTGGGCCTGGAGGAAGAAATCGACGACGAACCAGACAATGCATCACGGGCGCAATCGTATACTCTGGTGCAAGCTGGGCGTAATAAATCGGCGGCACAATAGAAATTGACCGACCGCAGCTGGCGTAGTTCTTCGACTCTATCAGTCATTTTCATCCACCATCACTCTATACTGAGTCGGCACACTTGTTCCAAAAAAGGTAGAACTCGAAACACTGCGGGTCAACGAGCGTTCCTGAGTCAACAATAGTTCCTACCAGGGGGGGGGGGGGGTTGCACTGCCGGCTCTCTCGCTGGGACTGGCACCATCACGAGCAGAACATCGAAGACGGTGATGTTTATTGGCCACCACAAATGTAACGCGGGGCTCATAATCTGCATCGAGCATACGGAATGCCATCCGCAACGCCCACATCTCGGCATTGACCACATCTGAAAGACAAGACGCCGGCACTCCAGCGCGATAATACACGATGTGTTTTGGCTGTCGCCGCAAGCGCTCGTAGCTTCCAAGGAAAAACTCTCACAGGATCTGAGGCAAGTGCGAAAAGTCACTGGGTCCATCCATCTTGAACTGACCAGCGGGCAGCATACGCGGACGAATGCCGATCCAGTGAAACCACCACAAACGAGATCGCAGGGTCTCTGCCTTTGTTGAACCTCGGATAGGAGATATGTGTGCTGATCGCAATCGTAGGCTCTTCGTGCACCAGAGGCAGCGCTCCTTCAAGAAACTTCGTATCGTGTACACCTAATTTGGCATTGATCTTGAGGCACATGCTCGTCAGCGCCTGGGAATTTGTACGCCGGACCACCCGTGCCGTAACACACTGGCTGGGAATGCCTCGCTCGGTATTCATCACTCTCTGGATCACTCGATACTCCATGGTATCCTGGTTAGTCGTGATTACGACAATCAACTGGGCTCCCCGCGAGCGGTTATGCTGGTTTCCAATAAACAATGGCAATGGGTGAGCCAGCTTTCAAGAGGCCACTATCGTTTATCACCACGACAGGATCGTGATTGTGTACACGTACGCCATAGGTTTCAGCTTCCTGTCACAGATTCTCAACAAATCTCCGAGCAACGTCGCGAGTCACACATGAATCACAACCGGCCAATCTGCGGCAGACGACGATAACACCCCAGTTTGACAGAGTGTACGGCCAGGCAAACTTGTGTCTCGCAAACTTTCGGGTGTTGTAATTTGATGTCATTCTGAATGCAGGGTGGAGCTAGCACTCGCACCATAACATCCTCCATCTCCTCGGCAACCGAGACGAGAAATGCTTTGAAGAAAGGGAAATTTTCAAAGCCCAATGATTCAAGAAATGGCTGGAGACTGTCCCTACAAGCTTCAGGTTGGACGGCAGCTTGGGTAGCACCTGCGTTGAGCAATCCGATCCACGGTAGGGTTGGCCAGGAGCTACCTCGCACAGCTCGATTGGAACCCAACTTTCGAAGCCTTCAATTTCACTGTAAGAGAGGAAAGCGCAGCCGAAGTACGAGTGGTATCATAATTGGTTGTCTGAAATATGTCGCCTACAATCACCTACGTATAACAGCGCGCAAACTTGGCGCAGATGCAGCGTTAGAGACCCAGCACAGAGGTGAAATATTTGGCTGTGTCTTTTGTAGGTGTCTCGTCCTCCGTTCGAAGGTACTTTGCCGTCTCTTGAATAAAAGTCATCATGGTATTCCACACGGTTACGAGCAGATCCAGCTTTCAAGCCAGCGCTTAGTGCACACAAATGAGGCCTGACATCAAGTGCCGTGTTTGTGAATACTTCCTGCAGCTGTCTCAACTCTGTTGTCTTCACCAGACGAAGACGAAGCGTAAATTGATGAAACTGTTTCTTTGTTCTTGGAAGAGCCGTTTCGCCGTCATCCCTGGTAGCCGAACGAATGTACAATTAGGCAGCAGCATTGTGCAAGGGCAGCGCGGCAGGTGCGAACAAGGCGTTTGCTCATTCGTGAGCTACCAGGGTACCACCAAATGCGTGTGGGTTTTGAGCGCTAAGGACTTCGCTTGCGCTGTGAACAGTTTCTCTCATTACAGAAAGTGCTGGCCGCGGGTGTGCCGAAAGAAGATGTGGATAGCGAGCTCCCCATGCAGCTCTGAAACGAAGTGTCCGTGGCAAAGGATTGTAGCTTCTTCTCCCAGGGGCTACACTCCACGCTGTGCCTCGTCTGGAGCTGGTTGCGGCGCTAGTTTGCCGTGGGCTGACGTTTTGCGGTTCAGTGGACCTCACTAGCTGTGGGCGGCGAAGGTTTGAGCTCGACTGGGTACCTTAGTAGCTGCATGTTGCATACAACGCACACTTTTAAAAACGATGTTGCGGTTTTCCGGGTGTTTTATTTGCAACATGCGATAATACATTCAACGTGCGGGGCTTGTAGGCGAAAGCCCCGTGGTGTAGATATCTGAATTGCTTTCTAAGGCATGCGGAAATTCAATTATTCCGAGATCTCCAAGACACTTGCAGATATAAGTGGGGGGGGGTTAAGGGGTTTTCGTTCGATCGGCATCTTGCTCGTCAATCAGAAATCAAAGAATCTCACCCCTTGAACCATTGCCAAAATGAGCTACATTTCTCCAATGTTTGTATGCGTCGTACAGGACAGGACAGGGGACAGTGCATGCAGAAAACGAAAGCGTATATAGATGCATGCTCTCTGAACATAATGCTTATTTAGTGATGAAAGAAACCGGAAACGACACTAAAATGGCGTAGAATGGAGTTGTGCACCTAGTAAGTCCTCCCCATACGAGAACAACGCTTCCGGCTGCTTCGACCCAGCACGAAGTGCGTCATGGTTACTTTTGTTGTCCTTGCTCACGCGCTCCAGTACCGGATTTACGTCGCGGTTGTCGTCAAATAATTCGTCGCGTCGTTTGTCATGATTGCCGCGCACAGGGACACTCTCCGTCTCAAGCACAAACATAGGCTCTGCGTCCGATCAATTGTCGGTTGTAGATTGCGATCACTTGGTCTTACGTGAAGGATGGGTTTGCTGTAATTTCAATACAGGCATTGCCCATCTTGTGCGGAATCTCCTCGCGCTTGAGGAGCGCACGGCTCTAGAGGTCAGCGAGTCTGCTCTCGCAAAAAAAATATTTTGTTTTCTAGAGCTGCATCACGCGCGTGTGCAGCTGCTATTCGGCAGCTAGTAGCAAAACCGCTCTTCGACCCGGAGAACATCTTTTGAACCTCATCGTACTGGCCATTTGTCTTCTGCAGCGCCGCGTGGGCATCCGCCAGAATTCACTCCGCTTCCTCCACATCTGCGCCGAGCACAGAATTGTGGCGCTGGACGACGGCATCAAGCTGGTTAATCTCATCTCGGCACCTCAACAGCAGATTGGGTTGGTACGCGAAGAAAGTAGGCGAGATCTCTACCGCGTCCGGTGTCTTGACGATATGTTCGGCTGCGTTGAAGTTTTTTCGGGCATCGTGAGTTGAAGGATTGTATGATGGAGCTGTTGGTCCTGTCCACAATGGAGATAAAGGCGTACGGGACCCGTATCAGAGTTGGTCACACTGGTTACCGCGAAGTACGGTTCATACTCTTTGGACACGTTGCAGGTGCTCTGGCGCGAGTCTTGCACTGCGCAGTCGTTTATGGTGGCAACCGCGGCTTCCAACACGCCCACCTCTGATCCAACATCGTGACAGGCTTCCTTCGTTTCGTCCAGCTCAATGTCGAGGCTGACACGTTTGGCATTGAACTTCTTGATCATCTACGGCATACATGCTTGTATCTGTCCCGACTGGGACAGCTGCTTGACTTGCGCTTTTGCATCCCTGCCCCCGTCGCTACACATTGTATTCTTCTAGCGTTGCTTCAGAAAGAGAAATGAATGCATCCAACAGGGCCTTGTGTGCGTGCAATCATGGCAGTTGGGGCCGATTCAGTGGGGTAGTCCGACAACTTGACTAAGCCAGTGCAGTAGCCAGGATACGTGTGCTGGCTACGCGTTCGCGCTTTGGGTCTATCCTACAGTTAGGGAAGTCGGCGGACGGACAGAATACGTAACTCTACCCCGAATATGAGCGCTCATACGGTGGCCGCATTTCCAATCCTGTGAACCCATGCTTGCTGCAAGTGCCGGTTCCCACCGAATCGTCACACGCATCCCCAATTCACACGTCACAATCGTCTCTACCGGATATCCATCTCGTGCAACCAATCGCAGTTCACCAAAAGGTCCGCGTATCCATGGGGTCGGACATGGGTGCAGACAAAAATCTGTTTTCACATCGTGCACACATTTCAGTGCCAAAATGCATTCATTTCTCGTTCTGAAATACAATAGAAGAACACAATGTTCAGCGACGGGGGCAGGGGTGCAAAAGTGCAAGTCAAGCAGCTGTCCCAGTTACGAGGATGCATTACGCATAGTGGCGCTGGTGATAGTCGCTACCCGCAGCCTGAAGCATTGAGATTACCAGTGCTTACCGTCACACCGCCCCACTGGACACAGGGCTCCAAGACGCACATGTACTAGGATATCATACGGGTTCAAGCACCGACTTCATGTTCGACGGCGGCAATATTTTAGTACAGTTGGAGTGGGGTGACTCTGTCCCCAACCAACGGATTTCCTCAAGCCTATCCGGCACATGATGGGCTTGCTCTAAGCCTCGTTCAGGGCTGAAGGCTGAGGTACATGGCGGCTGGAATAGGGCGCCCCAACCCCAGAACCATGGCGACCCCACGTAGAGCACATGCGATAGAATAGCTACAGCGCGCAAGACCGACGGGAGACTGGAGCAGCCGCGCCGGAGGATCAGACGAAGCACGCGCGCAGTGCAGACCCGAGTCTTTACCTGCTACGATGCCAACTTGAGTGATCGCGCTGCAGATCCTGAGGTGCTTTCTCGCACCAGTGGGAATCAGACATATTCAACACCAGATAGCCAAATTAAAATACTGCAGCTCCGAACAAAACGCGAATATGGCTCCTCACCTACGATAGAGAGGCGCAATTGACATGTTTGTCCGTGGGGACGTGCCACGGCGCACCGCCGATTAAGCAGCCATGGGTTCGATGTTTAACGGTCGCATAGCCTGAATTTCAAGAAGACGAAGGCCTTATCCTTGATATCAGAGACGCACAAGCAGTGCTGGCGGTCGCTCGTTGGTGTGGCGACGTGGTCCTGTAGGGCTCCTACGCGAACCGCCTTCTTCAACGAATGCCCCGTGAAGGTAGCCCGAAGTTGAATGTTGTCTACAAACCGGGTCAGAGATTGTCAAAAATCAAGCGCCCGAATTGACTCTACTGAGAAGTCGAAAATAATGCTCGCTCTGACCATGATGAGAATGGCACCAAGATATCCTCTCCGCGGCGAACGCACAAGTCAACGCTGCGATCGCTGTGGACTATGGAGGACGACCTCCTGTATTACTACAATGTTACAAGACCGGAGGCCAAGAAGAAGAAGACAACTAAGCTCGATTGGGGAACGGTCCAGGCAGAGTGAAAGAAACAGCACCCCCTAAGCACTCACTCAGAAAGGCGAGTGCAAGAGCAGCTATTGGCATGTTCCAAGAGCGTCTCAAGCACTTGTGCGGAAAATGAAACAATGAGTAAATGGCAAGGAGAAGCGAGTGCAGTTTGACTGGAAGAGGGTCATGGCGGACTTTGATAATCGAAGCGCATTCAACAGCAATAAGCCGGAGCGAGCTGATGTTGGTCTACATGAGCGCCATGCTACTGCTTCGTCCTCTTCACCGGTTTCGAGTAGTGGAAGGGAACCCTTTAGTTCTGCAGACCAAGAGCGCGTGGCTCAGCAAGAAGCGCTGATTCGTGCGGCCGAGACAACGCAGTTACACTGGTGTGCGAGTTTCGGCCCAGCAGGTGTAGCTTATGCGACGTCGGAATTTGCCAGACGCGGTATCAAAACATTCGAGGAGTTCACGAAATTGACATATGACTTTCACAAGATGCTATGCAGCGCATTTAACGAATTTGAGATGCTGAAGGCCACGGGGAGGGGGGGGTCAAAACATCGTTGTATAAAAAATATTGACGTTAATGGAAAGTCATTAAGAAGGGCTAACGAAAGTTTCTGATAGGCCAATTATTTCTCCCCCTAACCCATCTGGGGCCTGTGGATACGGGAATTTCTCGTACCGCCGAGGTCCTGGCTGTTACTTTCTACAGTGAAACCGTCCTTCGTACAGCTATTAACTACGTCTATTTCCCCTTAGTATCGGGGTGCCCTAACCGCCTGGGCCATGAGGGACGTTCCTCTACGGGGGTTCTTTGCGCTTCTCGCTCGGAGAAACTAATGTCCGCTGTGGGGCTCCAACCCTCGGTCCACAGCGTAAGGGCCAGAAGCTTAACCCACTCGACCGCGCCATCGGCCTAGTGCTAACGAAAGTTCAACAAGAGGCGAAACAGAAGCAGGATGATGTGAGTCAATTGAAGCGTGAGATAGAGGAGCAGCAGCAAGAAGGCGTGATTTATGACATCCAGCTACGGGAGAAGAGCAACGAACTAGAAGCACTCAAGAATATGACAGAGTTGGGTGCCAAAGCACAGCAAGACGTAGTCAAGTTTGAGAGCTTTCAACTGTTCGGCTCAGCGGAGGCGGCAATCACGAAGTCTTGTGGTGTTATCAAGAACGGTCAGGTAAGATATGCAAAAAATATCCATTCGAATCAAACTAACATTGTCCTACCATGCCTGAAATGTCCAAGTCGTAAACGATCCATGAATAACATTATCAGATGTGTTGTCGAATGCTTTGACAAGCTTTCTGATGAAGACGTAAACGAACTGGCGCATCAACCGGAAGAGTGTTCGGCGTGCTTGGACTTGGACAACTTGGAGGCACAATTAACCGAGGACTACTGGCGTGTTCGAGCCATACTAGTGCATCCGTTGAAAGACATGAATCGGTGGCGGGAAGTGAGCCAAGACATACAGGTCTCAAGTCTGTGTATTGGAATCCAAGAACTGATGAGATTTCGGGACGTACTGCATCGCTTGGAGTGGACACGAGTTCGTCGGGTCGGACGATTTCCATCGGACGAGCACTAGTATTTTTGTGAAAGCAAAAAAAAAGACATGCGGTGAAAGACGGTTCATCCTGTACACGCGTGCTAGCGCCAATTGAGTCCGGAAAAACTGTTGGCACCCTCAGGACAGCAGCGATTTGTTGGACCTGCGCCAAAGAGCTACAGTTTGTAGTTGGCTGAATGCTGGCTCACAATACGCAACATTGTTGCATGCAGTAAAGGAAAGCAAGCTAATTCGGTAGTTTAGCTAACTTTCAACGCTCGTATTTTCGATTTAGTTGTGGTTAAGTGTATTTGTTTGAACACCGTTTTGTTTCGGAATAAGGTGCATTGAACATTACTGGCTAACGGCAGCGATGACCTTGTCGGAGGTCGTCTCAATCCGACCACCGTGCGAAGGCGCTCGAAGCAGGTGATATCAGAATCAACTTCACCCATTAAGACGTGAAGACCTCTAACTCTGAGGAGTTCTCATCGCGGTGGTGCTCTTTCCGGTGCTCAATTGCGCGCTGCTTTGGGCTGCCTGCACGACGCCACTCTTGCTCCGATGCGCTGTATGAGCGCTAACAATAGAGTGAGCGTCATGATACGTCCGGCGCCGTGTCGACAGAGCAAGGCAGCGCGGAGCCGACGAGCACGAAGGTATGCTACTGCAGGTGGTGGAGGCCGCACGCCGCGAGCAGTTTCTTGAAGATATCTTACTAATTCATTTTGAAGTTAATTTTGAAGTTGGCTCATTGTGCGTGAAATATTATAGTGGAACATGCTCGCCTCTTTTTCAGTACTGAGACCAAGTCGAAAACATCGATTTCGATTGGTGAATATCGCTCCTTTTTTACATGCGATTTTTTTGCAAGTTGGCGTGCGACTACCTAAATTCAACCGACCAGCGTAAATTCAAACTGCCTATCGTTCCGAGAAAGGCGCCGCCCACCAGGTGCGTTTGGTGCTTTCTCTGCACCCGCACTCGCATGATTCTCGTCATTATGGTCGAGTTTCGCGGCCTCTTTGCAGCAATTGCCCAGTGGGAATCATCTGTGGGGCATCGCAGGCTTGACGCTGCGAAACTTGCCCCGCCTCACAAAAAGCTAAAGCTAGTTCCCCGGCGATATTCAACGTCCACATCCACGCAGCTGGAGACAATGCCGTTCTCACCTCCTCCTTCTCGTCGGCCACTCCTGCAGCCAAGGTTTCTGTGCTTAGCTCGCGTATCGGCCTGGCACATAGCGCCGATAAGGACTTTAGCGCCGGTGATACCAGTAGTGGCGTGGGCGGCGCTCTTTCAGGTGGCACCCAGCGTCAGGCCTGGCAAACCCGCGCGACCCCTTCAACACCTCATATACCCTCGTTAATTCCTTGGGCAGTTGTGAGCTTTCTCGACGCAGCTCGGAGACCCCTTCGGACGGTTGGATGGCCTGTTTGTACTGCCGGCTGTACGATACGTCCCAGAGCTTGCCTTCTTCAAGGTGGAAAGTAATCAAGTGGTGTTTGAGCCCCTGTGTTGTCGTAGAAATGCATCGAGGCTTGAGTTGCCCACATATTGCTGATCAAACGCAGAAAGTCTTCAAGAGCAGTGAGGGCGAAGATAGAGCAAGGTGACGCGGAGCACGTTTCTAATATGAGCGCTGCAACTTTCAGCAGTCAGTGTTCGTCGACGACAGTTATTGTAGTTAGGTAGCTGGTTGATATAACGTTAGTAGTTAATTAGTTACTGGCAGGGATGGATCTTCCCATTGTCGGCGTGTGGGACCGGCTACAGGACTTCTCGCCATCTACAGGAGAAGAGCGAGGGATGTCTCGAGACGGCAGCTCGGAATGGTGAAGAAGCGGCGTCTGGAGCAATCTAAGGCGCGATGGCTGTGACAGAAGCCGCAGTGCGAGCTTTAAACGGTATGACCGCTATAGAGACAGACGCCGCCACGATAGCAGCTATTACTGATACGCTGATACGAATGAAGAAAAACCCGCTTGCCCCGCAGCCGGTTACGACCCCGCCAAGGTGCCGAGCCCTCTACTCGGCGAGAATGCGGGCGGTGGCGAAGTTGGGTGCGAGCTAGAGGAAGCCGTAGTCCCCCGACGGAAGGAACCGTGGAGATCAAAAGAAGCCGTGCGTGCCATCACGGTTAAAACTACTATGTTGGAGACAGATGTGACGACCCCGCAATTCACCCGAGCGACCGGCTTCAGGAACATGTAGTTCAACTCGTTCGTGACCCCGAAATGATGCCACTGACACGAGAGATGCGAGTGATCAACGGCCACCGGCTTTGTACCCGAAGTCGAATTACTACAAAGTTTCCCTGGACACTGCGGAGTACTCGTAAATTTCCGCTATCATGTCTACGTGGGGTGGGGTGGAGCCGACAATGGAGCCACGGAGATGCTTTCGTCATCGAGGCCGCTGGTGTGGCGAGTTGTGCAAGACCCTATCCGTCAAAATCAACACGCATTTGGTGGTACTCGGGTAGCTCACGATGGAGCGAACTCCTTGTTCGCACCTGCCGCGCTGCCCTTGCACAATGCTGCTGCCTAATTGTACATTCGTTCGGCTACCAGGGATGACGGCGAAACGGCTCTTCCAAGAACAAAGAAACAGTTTCATCAATTTACGCTTCGTCTTCGTCTGGTGAAGACAACAGAGTTGAGACAGCTGCAGGAAGTATTCACAAACACGGCACTTGATGTCAGGCCTCATTTGTGTGCACTAAGCGCTGGCTTGAAAGCTGGATCTGCTCGTAACCGTGTGGAATACCATGATGACTTTTATTCAAGAGACGGCAAAGTACCTTCGAACGGAGGACGAGATACCTACAAAAGACACAGCCAAATATTTCACCTCTGTGCTGGGTCTCTAACGCTGCATCTGCACCAAGTTTGCACGCTGTTATACGTAGGTGATTGTGATTGTAGGCGACATATTTCAGACAACCAATTATGATACCACTCGTACTTCGGCTGCGCTTTCCTCTCTTACAGTGAAATTGAAGGCTTCGAAAGTTGGGTTCCAATCGAGCTGTGCGAGGTAGCTCCTGGCCAACCCTACCGTGGATCGGATTGCTCAACGCAGGTGCTACCCAAGCTGCCGTCCAACCTGAAGCTTGTAGGGACAGTCTCCAGCCATTTCTTGAATCATTGGGCTTTGAAAATTTCCCTTTCTTCAAAGCATTTCTCGTCTCGGTTGCCGAGGAGATGGAGGATGTTATGGTGCGAGTGCTAGCTCCACCCTGCATTCAGAATGACATCAAATTACAACACCCGAAAGTTTGCGAGACACAAAGTTTGCCTGGCCGTACACTCTGTCAAACTGGGGTGTTATCGTCGTCTGCCGCAGATTGGCCGGTTGTGATTCATGTGTGACTCGCGACGTTGCTCGGAGATTTGTTGAGAATCTGTGACAGGAAGCTGAAACCTATGGCGTACGTGTACACAATCACGATCCTGTCGTGGTGATAAACGATAGTGGCCTCTTGAAAGCTGGCTCACCCATTGCCATTGTTTATTGGAAACCAGCATAACCGCTCGCGGGGAGCCCAGTTGATTGTCGTAATCACGACTAACCAGGATACCATGGAGTATCGAGTGATCCAGAGAGTGATGAATACCGAGCGAGGCATTCCCAGCCAGTGTGTTACGGCACGGGTGGTCCGGCGTACAAATTCCCAGGCGCTGACGAGCATGTGCCTCAAGATCAATGCCAAATTAGGTGTACACGATACGAAGTTTCTTGAAGGAGCGCTGCCTCTGGTGCACGAAGAGCCTACGATTGCGATCAGCACACATATCTCCTATCCGAGGTTCAACAAAGGCAGAGACCCTGCGATCTCGTTTGTGGTGGTTTCACTGGATCGGCATTCGTCCGCGTATGCTGCCCGCTGGTCAGTTCAAGATGGATGGACCCAGTGACTTTTCGCACTTGCCTCAGATCCTGTGAGAGTTTTTCCTTGGAAGCTACGAGCGCTTGCGGCGACAGCCAAAACACATCGTGTATTATCGCGCTGGAGTGCCGGCGTCTTGTCTTTCAGATGTGGTCAATGCCGAGATGTGGGCGTTGCGGATGGCATTCCGTATGCTCGATGCAGATTATGAGCCCCGCGTTACATTTGTGGTGGCCAATAAACATCACCGTCTTCGATGTTCTGCTCGTGATGGTGCCAGTCCCAGCGAGAGAGCCGGCAGTGCAACCCCCCCCCCCCCCCCCTGGTAGGAACTATTGTTGACTCAGGAACGCTCGTTGACCCGCAGTGTTTCGAGTTCTACCTTTTTTGGAACAAGTGTGCCGACTCAGTATAGAGTGATGGTGGATGAAAATGACTGATAGAGTCGAAGAACTACGCCAGCTGCGGTCGGTCAATTTCTATTGTGCCGCCGATATATTACGCCCAGCTTGCACCAGAGTATACGATTGCGCCCGTGATGCATTGTCTGGTTCGTCGTCGATTTCTTCCTCCAGGCCCACAATCCCAGAATTGAGTGAGAAACTCCGAAGTACCATCTTTTTCCTCTAAGCGAGATTGGTTAAAGGGCCTCAGGGTGAGCGAAAGCCAGTACGAACGATAGGGCACTTGCAACGTTTGTTGACTGTGCTCGCATTATATCGTTGAGTTTTAAGAAATATGTCATAGTCATGCTGTTCCTAACAACCTTGCTCTGGCGTAAATAAGCGAGGTTTCTCTGCACGAAGGTACAAGTGACCGAGCTGTGGGGCGCTCAAGTGAGCGAATATCAAGCAGGAGTGCTGTAACCCCGCTTCCTTGCGGCCCCAATCGGCCCAATGCGTCTCATCCTGGCCACGAAATGATGGATCGATAGGAGGTCCTGTCGCCTCCGTTGCGCTACCAGGCATTTTCACCATGGAGAGTCCATCGTCGTTTGTTTATGACGTTTGCACGAACGTCAGTTGCCTTGGGCTCTACTGGGGTCGTGCTTTTGCTTCTGTTAAAGCAACCTGGGATTACTTTCCAGCGTATTATCTTTCAGCACCACAACGTTACTTCGTGTAGTTGGGGCTCGACGTCCTTGAGCTCTAGAATGCATCCGCTCGCTCCCAACTGCAATTCGTCGACATGAAAGAAGTGTGAGAGATCCCCATAATTCGGGCAGCGTCCCTCCACCTCATCGTGCAGGCTCTTGTCGACGTCACCACGCTGGTATGACTCATATTGTTGACTCGCTATGAGCCACTCGGTGATAGCGTCGCTGCGGACTTTCATGTGAGCGACTTTCGGTAAATGGCGGTGGATGTGTGAGTCTCGATGCCTTGAGCCCGAAGCTGACCCTTCGCACAGAGCTTTCGTCGTATCGTCATCGTGCCAGCGCTTGCAGTTCCCGTAAGTTCTTAACCACCGCATGAGTACATCCATGGCTGATGGCGCTCCTGGTGTCTTATTGTCTCTATCCCATTGAGTGCTTGGCATGCCACTGTCGTGCGAATATACTTGAAAGAATACGACGAGAAATTTGCAAAAAATAAACATTTATGAACTTACTTTAAAAAATCGAAGAAGATTTTTGCAACGGGATCAGCTCACTTTTGCAGTAAAGCAACACAAAAACACTTCCGAGGCGACCAAAGAATGATGGGAGAACCAGCGTCTCAAGGCACTACAAAGCGTCCTTAGGAATCTGACAACCAATCAGCAGATGAACCAAGGTCGATGGACGTGTTGGCCTCTTGGCTCAAGACCCCGAGGAACTATCAACGGTGGCACAATGGAGTGAAGAAGGTCGCGCGTGATGAAACCATGAACGCCATGAACAAAGCCCACCTCAGTCAAAGCTCTAAGGGGCCCGACCAATTTAAAGCGGCCTGCAGGTGCCTTGACTTGGACGATGCATATCTTTTAAACGGCGATGATTCCTATCGAAAACACTATAGAAACGAAAACAGCGGCTTCGCAGCTCATTGTTTTGCCCCCACGAGCCATTTTGAGCGTGCAAACGGGCAAACGATAAGGTGACTGTTCCTGAACCAACTTATCAATTTATGGCGGTGATTTCACTTCAGTTTTCTATAGGAGTAACCACACACCCAGTAGTACACTGCACTTTCCCTTAGTTGGGAAATATAATATCATACAAATTATGCATGCTATCAAATGATGTAGAATAGTTGGGGTACCTCGCGATTCAGTAAAGTATTCTGCCTGCTTACCTGACAACTCAGCAATTTACTTTGCGCGCCCAACTCACAACTGAGCAATGTACAGTACCCTGTCTGCATCATTGCCTGTAACACTGTTCGCGTGGGTTTGAGCGTCATTATTAGTTTGCGCTCTGCCCGGGGTCGACCGTACCATTCGCTACTTTCGTTGCTTTGGTTGAGGCGTTATGTTTTGATCGAACATGTCCCGAGCGAGTATCCTCCCTGCCACGGAAGTCGTTTTTCGCTTCCTCGTCTTAGTCTTCTGCAGGACGAAAAGCGGAGGGACTATAAACCCATTTACGCTCCCGCATGCAACAAAGGAGGGGTGGAAGTGGATGGAGGGATCCGTGTTCCACACATTGCGCAAGCCACGCAATCCCATCCCGTTGAGACTTCTTGCCGCTCTCGAAAGCGGTCTCGTCGACATTAAAGATGCGGAAATCATCTATGCCATGCTCGATGACGACCTTAGTGATCAACCAGAACAGTGTCCACGTCGGTGTCGGTAACTGCATTTCGCAACCGTGTGACCGCTTGGGAGCGTCTCCCACCATTTGCCGAGCAATGCTGCACTGGTAATTGCTCTCATCGGTTGAAAGGCGCGTTCGGGGGTCAAGCCGCTCGGCAGCCCCGCCTATTTTTCTAGGACTGCAAAACCCTTGCGGATGACCGAATTCGAAGTCAGTCGGTAGTAGCGTATAGCTATATGGAAGCGACCTCCATTCATACAGCAGTGAGCAGATAAGTTAGCATCGGCGTCAGACCATTTCAATGGCGCAAGGTTTACCTCCATCTGGAGCACCAGTAGCACCGATCGATGACGCAGAGCGAGAATGCTGTGCCTCGCGTGATGTCAAGTTAATACTGACCACGGTCAAGTGAAACGACGCAAGTAATGTAAGAAGATAAAGTCAAACTGCGAAAAAAATATCAGACCGACTGATATACCAGCGGAACCGCTCAGTAAGGCATCGAAGCCGAAGCTCGCGAAGTGCTCGCTGAAGCGGAGCAACCGCCAGCCGGCGCCATTGTTGTCGTCAGTGCACGATGTCGAAGTGGCGCGTGGAGGTGGGAACCTGCAGGGGCTGCTGTCCGGGCTCTGCCTGCGCGCCCTGTCGAGGATGCCAAAGATAATGAACCTAACAAGAGGAGATACCATGTCGTTAGGTATATACCAAGTTCAGCTTGGCTTCCTGCGTCTAGGAGTTGTTGCTTGCGTGTCGGAGCCACGGTCACTGTCACTTAAGCTGGATCAGCAAGTGCTACCAGTATTATAGATAATGAGGAGGAGGGGAGAGTAGTTGGAGCTGCCGGAGAGAAACCAAAAGTGCTGGCTTCTCGCCAACCCACAGTTCCTGCAGCCATACACGTGGCTAGAGCGTATAATATGTATTAACTCTAATTCTGATCTACTGCTACCCTTTCTGCGGGTTGTAACGGCCCTGGGGCTGCAGCGGTGCTGAAGCGGGGTCCGGACAAGGGTCTAACACTGCAAATCAAAACGAATGTTAGGAACGTTGATAACCCCCGCCAAATTCGCGCTTTTCATTGTCACACTATCCCAAACAACTACTTCAGGGATCTGACCGTGGCTGCGTGTGTCAGTCCGTGCGTTTAGGCCGCCGAGCGAAGCGACGGGGGCACTGTTTTTGCAACCTTGGCCGATGAAGGCGGCCCCCCCATTGTCTACCGAGCGGAGCGACGGCGGCGCGTCACAAACTTATGCTTTACCACACTAATCGTACTTTATTGAAACTGAATGCAAACATTTCGGGTCCAAATTGAAATCGACACACGCGCGCGGACATCTCCGCGGCAAGGTAACCTGCGCCAGCTACATCTGCACTAACTCACCAACAACTATGCCATGGGCATCAGATAGTCATAGCGGTAGTCTAGCGACCTGCGCGGTCACGATTTGGTACCGACCAGTGCTGAGCACAATAGGCTAACTTTTGTGGTATTAAGTGCTCTGATTGGAAAAAATTAAAACGGTTTTGATTGGCTAAATATATTTTGTGGCTTTACATACATTTCACGATGGAGCGCGTGAAATTTGAGACGTGCGCGGCCATGGTGACCATGCCGCCGCTCGGCACGGGCCGCCCACTGGGCCGCTTCAAGTGCGCGTGCTGCGAACACCTCCTCTTGAAGGAGTCGTTCTGCAAGCCTGGCGAGGAGCCCAAGCGAAGGTCCTCGCGCAGGTGTCTTGCGTGCAGGGATAGACCTGAGCGCGAGCGCTACTGGCACCCCCCGACACTGCCTCCGCGCACGGCACCTGACCTCAAGCGCCGCCAGCGCGAAGAGCGCCAGGCTGAGGTCCGCCGGGCCATGAACCCGGCGCCTCGCCGTAAGCCAGCGCGGGACCCCCTCACGGAGCCCAAGAAGCGCAAGCGCAAGCTGCGCTTCAGAGAGCGCCACCGCCCAAGCGAACGGGAGAAGCAGCAGCAGATGCAGCAGCAATAAATAAAAAATACAGCGCTCCCGTTGGCTGAAACATTTTGATACTTTTTTAACGCTTTTGCTTAATACACAGGAATATACTATGAATTTATATACATTCGTATTAAAACAAGATTTTGAAGAATTGGCGCTACGGTTAATGCGTGCGGATAGTGACATAGGGCACGGTACTGTGCCCGCATGCTGACAGTACATTACTAAAAGCTACGAAATGGACACGCGATCTGTTTGTCCTGGCAATCGATACTTTAGTGCTCCATACTTCATACACTCAAAGAGGCGCTTCAAATAGAAAGGAGACTGGAAATGGGGGTTGCCTGCCTTGACGGTTCAACGCATGCTACAGTGCACTAAACTCCAGACATATAGTCGTTGAATAGTACGCCGTAGAGGGTTGCGCACAATACTTACATACAACGCTAACCTTAGAAAGATAGCACGATAGGACAAGCGATAGGCCGGCACGATAGAACGGCGCGATAGATCGGGCGGGATAGAACGATACGATAGAACGGTGCGACCGAATGGCGTAATAGGACAGCGCATTGTGGCATGGCATAGCCCGGGAGGGATACGCGTACTAACCGTTACACAATTTGCGGCTACGACGTCTTGAAAAAATTAATCATATAAGTACGAGTTCGGTACGGTGTGTACACAAAACACATAGGCTGGGTTGCCACGTTGTTTTACATGGTGGTTTAGTATTTGTAATCCATCCTATCACAAGACGCGTAGGAGGAAGAGATACAACAAACGCTCCATATATAGTCCTGTACAGCACGTCAGCACAGGGATAGGGCCACCGATCCATACAACATTGCATAGTGCTCGAAACAAGTTGTGCTATCCTCCCGCGGAGTAACACTGTGTTCTATTTTGAAGCCCACCGGAGCGAAGCGGAGGTGGGCGGCCCTCACTACTGCACCTAACCACAAAACCTTCCGCCACGTAGCGGCGGCGCTCGGCTAGTTAGACATATAAGGGAGGTGCCCAGATATCTGAGGCGCGAGTAGATTGCATGCTGCTTCTGAGACGCGGATTATCAGCCGTTGTTTTCAGGTGTTACACGTCATTTTGATTAAAATTTATCCAATGGAATCATCCAATAATGCTTATCGGGCTTTAAACGAATGAAATGGGCAGCAATACCTGTGTTAGAAATTGTGTATTCCCGAGAAAAAACGTGTTTCTAGGCTCGAGGATGCGCCGGAAGACAGAGCGGTTCGGCACATTATCCTTAAAATCATGTTCCTAACCGACACACCCACTACTGTCGCTTCCACATCTGAGCGCCCCCGATAAACGTAATATGTTTCCTGGTGTTATAAGAAATAAATGATTTTCACGTTGTATCGCTAAATTGACAGTACTAGCAATAATTTTCCAATCGAAAATCTGCATAGGAAACCAAACATTTTGAAAAGAAAAACGCAATGGCTTAAGTTGATCGGGAATATCCAACCAGCTCACAAAGTAAGAGTCGTTGTCATGAGATCAGTATATAGGATAACCTCTAACATATACATGCCCTTCAGTGTCGGCGGTGCCACAATTTATATGCGAACCCTATCGGGAGCTTTAAAACCCGGGTTGTTAACCCTAATACAATGGGGTAGGATCATAATAAAATACATCTAAACGGTAGCTCTCGATATGGCATACAAACCGAGATATTGCAAAGCATGCCCTGCCAAATCGGGACGCTTAATGATGTGGCGGCCACTTTGCTCTGGGAATACTGTTCGTTTCAATATTGCAAGTGTAATGAAAAACCTTAAGGTTGGCAAGTCATCAGGCGACGAGCTGAAGTTCAACGGAAGCCGCTGCAGTGCGCTGTGTTGTAGAACAAGATGATCATCTACCTCAGAGCGCGGATCCATCGAGGAGCTATGCCACAAGCATGCAAAGCCGCTGACACGTTCGAAGACCTGCTCGTGAGCCTGACGTGGCGGCAGCGCCGGCTGCCTCTCGAGCTGGTCTTCGTCTGACAAAGATGCAAAGTGGTAACATGATTTGCATGATACGCTGCTAATTTAATAATCGTCGTCATCAAGCGACTGTTGCTACCTAGCTGTTTTACGTGAATTGTGATAAAGCAAACGGATGAGCCAATGTATGTGATTTGTCGACTTGTGAGAAAAGGGTCGTCAGACTGGTGCAGTAATTGCCAGATTCCGGACCGGAATCCGGAAACATGTCAAATCTGCAATAGAGACACACTGGCGACATATAAAATTACTCGCGCCAATCAGCGTCCACGTATTTATTCCGGACGGCAGCAGAAAGTGTGATATTTCCACTTACGTAATGATATATTTCTCTCATTCTTTAGAGGGGATGCTCGGACAAGCTCGCAGCGGTGACACGACGGACAGTCGGCAGCCGAGCAAGCGGAGGATGTGTCGTGTACAGCTAGTGGAAGGAGCGGTGGGCCAGCGCTGTCGGAGCCTAGCGCGTGCGGCATCTCCTAACTCGTGGACATGATCGACGGTGGCACGGTGCGCTGATAAGTGGCGGCTACGTCTTCGTCAACACTTACGACGCGCACCCAATCGCGCCCACACCATCAATATTGAAGACGACTGGCCTCTCTCCGCCGCGCTGTGCTCGGCGGCGTCCCGGTCGGCGTACGCGGCAAAGATAAGCTCTCTAGGCCGGCCGGAAGTAGATCAAAGGTTGCCAGAGCGCCCAGCTGTGGTTGTAACAGGGTTACACGAGAGTTACCCGAAGGGTTACTAAGTGGGTACACACTGTCTAACCTAAATCAGGTGGAGAATCAGTACATGGCTTCGGAGCCACTGATTATGCATATGACCTGGGTGCACTATGCTAGATAGTGAACCGGATACATTTACACCATAGGCGGCATGGCCGCACCAAAGAGAAATACATTCAGTTTGAGATTTACACAGTTATGAGTTAAGGGTTGACTCTTGGAGTCCGTAAGGTGTACGGACTCGTACGTTCTGGTATTAGAACGGGCGATCTTAAGCTGAGACTCTGTGAGTCTGTTACGTCTTCCTCTGACGCTAAAGCTACGGCAGCCCCGCTACAGTGGTGTTGTACGCACTGGCGACGGGGTGGAGCTACAAGAACGCGTTCATCGCCAGCTGAGGTGAGAGTGAGCGGCGTGGGATCAGCAGACGCGGACGTGCGAGCAGCGCGAGGACTACACTACAGGCACTGTGGGGGAGAGCGTGGCGGGCGAGACTTTGACTGCGGGGTTCCTGGATGCAGTGCAGGAAGGTGAGAAGGAGCAGCAGGACGTCTAGACAGGTGATGAAACTGGAGATGAGCAGGCCCGCGCAGCATGATGACAGAGGCTGCGCGATTAGAAGGAGGCAGTGCAGACGGAAAAAAGACAGCTAAGATCGCCGAGACGCTCGAGACGACGGAGATGTCGACCGTGGCTGAGGTGGGTGTCGCGCGCACATGTGGCTGGCGCTGCCACGACGGAGCTGGCGCACCGTGGTAGCGGAGACGCGGAGACGGCGAGGGATACTACAATCAAGGTGACGACCGGCTCGATCGAGACGACGGAGGAGGCGTAGAGTTGGTCTCCGAGGTTATTAAGACGACGGAGGAGACGGTGGAGGAGATCAATGTAACGTCATAGGAGGATTCCAGCGACAGCGGCAAGGCGAACAGCTTCTCCGCCGGCACCACGGTTCGGTAGTGAGTGTCGCTCCCTCCAAGACGACGACTGCCGATGGCGACTCGGTCGACGTATACGACGGAGAAGGTGACCAGCGAGAACGTGGGCTCTTATGGAGTCGGCGAAGCTCGTCGAGCGCGTGAGCAAGACCAAAGACCTGGGGCGGTACTTCAGCTCGAGCGCGCAGCAGCAGGACGGCCAAGGTGCTGAGGGTGCAGTGTAGTACCAGTAGACATCATGCCTTTGATTGCTTATCTACCAGCATTGCTACATAATCTTTCATAAAATTTACTGGACCGAACTACTATTCTACATTCCATGTACTTGACGGCCGACAGCGTTCTGCGCTTGTTGGGTCGTTAAAGCCGTCCTTGACCTTCCAGCTAAGGTGTCGAGACCACGACAATCACCTCTCTCCGTCTTGGTCAAGTCTGGAAGTGGCTACAACCGGCCGGTATTAAATTTATCGAGTTAGAACGACAAACATCTTTAGTTTTGTATGGTTACTTATTTGCGCGAACAAGGAAATTCCGGGCGATTCCAGAAATAAGTTTGAACACAATAAACCTAACCCTAATGATCGACGATTGGATGAAAATAGGTCGCTGAGCCTCAAATGATAGGGAAAAAATAGCTGATTGGCTACAACGAGGTAGCAAGCTTGTCATAGGGATAGGGTGTCCGGCCAAATACTACTTTCCTACAATAATTCATGGTGGATGCCGACTTCAAGAGCGTTCCATAGCTCCTTCAAAACCCCAACAAGATGTGCAGACAGGTCGTTCTGAACGACACACGAGGGTCTACACACTGTAGGCCAGAAGCCCTTGGCTCGAGAGTGTGGGTCGTTGAAGTTGAAGCGAGTGTTGGTCAGTGAAGAAGTGTAATCTCGGTTGTTGGTGTCGATGTGCGAGGTTCTTGGTATATTTGAAAATGAATCCTTATCGCTAGCCTAACATCCATGGCTAGCTTTGCTCCTAGACGACATTTGCGTATTTCTGTTTGTATTCCGTACCTGTGCGCCTACCCTCATCTCTTTGCGTTGTTTTCATGTCGTTCCTACTAAATGCATGTTCAATGTTTCGGGTTTCTTTTCTTTTTGCCTATATGCATGTTCGGTGTGACTTGCTGACCCTCTAGGGTAGCGGTCACGCGACAATAGCGTCTCTGGCCTCGAGCAAGCAAACCCGGGCCTTCGCATCGCCCTGACTTGCTTTCTCAGTCGGTCAGAAGTGCTGGGCAAGAAACAATGACGATGTGGCTCCAGATTTGCTGGCCGGAGCCACCAATGTGTTGCGAGCCCGGGCGGGAAGTTTTGCCAGGATGGCTTTGCGTAGAGTGAGCTGTGAAGTGAATTAGAGAGAGGTGAAGTTCGTGTTTGGGCGCGTAACTTCGGGGCGTAGCAGCTACAGCACTCCTTGCTTAGACTTCCGCCATCTTGTTCGTCTTCGTTTCCCACGCGGAGGCCTTGACCCAAAGCCTAATTAGTAACAGAGCTAATCCCTTCTAAAACGTTATAGCCGCAAAGGTATTCATTTTCACACACTACAATAAATTGTCGAAAGCAAACGTCGCTAAAACGTGTTTGCTGCTTGTTAGACAAGTTAATCAGCTCTTTCACAGTAGCTAGACTACGCTTGCGTCGAGCCATCTTGCTGTCATGTAGACGATTGTCGTGCTCGAGTTGCTGACGGGTGGTACGAGGGTCTAGCACTCTGGCTGCACCGAGGTTGACGAGACCTGTTGTATTGCCGAGTTTACGCTGGGCGTGACAGAGATCAGGGATGACCGTCTTTCGCTTTTCCCTGTCGAGTGACTTGACCTCGGCAAGATGGCACAGAAGTCGGTCGATCGTCCGCACTGCGTGCCGGATTAGACGGTAGAAGTCGGTGCGCGACCGTTTTTTTAGAGGCTGAGAGTAATCTATGCCGCTGTCGGTGTCAGCGGCATAGATTACTCTCAGCCTCTAAAAAAACGACGGAAACAGCGTTTTCAATGCAACGACCATTATGACCCGACATCCAAGCAAACATGCAACTCAGAGCGGACTGCACCGCCCCTAACCGCTGAACCCTAAAGCCGGACTGGATCGAGTGCGCCGCTACAAATGGTGCCTCGTACCTATACTGACGTTTCCCTGACAAATGTCGGGTGGGTTTGAATCATGGCCAATCATCTATGTCTACCGGTGCCCGAAGCCCTCTACGAGGTTGGGGAAGCGCAGTCAGAAGCGAATCCCCAGCCGGTGTCCGAAGACTTCTCCAAGGTTGAGCAAATCACTGTTGCGAGGGGACCAACAAGTGCTACCAAATGGGGTCTGTCATACCGAAAGTACGTTGAGAAGTTGGCGTTGCTTGGTTGTTCGCGGATAAGTACAAAGTGAGATTGATCTCTGTAAGTCTTTGGGTTGGCTACAAGCCTTAGGCCTTCCACTAGTAGCGTTCTAGAAGCTGGGCTTACCTATACTCAATGCCAGTGCTTTTTTAATGTTTTGGTAATCCTATATATGTACGTTGTAATCTTGTGCAGGTTGTGTGCTAGCTTCCCGGCGCCAGGCAGTTTCGCATAAACCTGGTGCCTGCCTTCAAGCGACGTTGCGCGTGGGTTTCTTGTGGCGACGGAGACTGCAGTGCTGCGACGCCTGCCTTCCTCGCCACTAGCTATGTGTTCCCTAAGCATGTATGTTGCTGGCGTACCCACTTGCGTGGGTCCACACGGGCTCGATCTGCCACATGTGTTCCATGATACCTCGTGACCCAGACGGGCTCGATCTGCCATATGTGCTCCAGGATGTCTCGTATCGTGAGAGCCTACACTACAAACAAAATACACTAGAATGATGTCTATCCAGAATACCAGTAAAATAAACTTACGTTTTCATCTGACCCCGTGTCTTGTATACAAGCGACAATGACAGGGACGTCAGGAAAGAGTACCTTGCGTCCTTGCCCCTTGTTTGTCCTGGAGGGTGCGTGGCCACGGCACACCTGTAGTACAACTCCGAACCTGTACGTCAATCTGGAAAAGGTACTTAACCAACAAAAAAAACATAGTTGTCAGTTAAATTGTGTAGCCATGACCTACAAAGGCTGATGCAGACCACCAGCCCGTGGAAGTACTAACTCGACGTAGTTCTCTTACTTTGGTCAAAGAACTACGTATGCCAGAGACATTCGTCTAGGAAAACTAAGTACCTTAGTCTTCAACATACCTCGTTCGCTCTTGACGCGTGCTTTGATTTTAGCTTCCTAAGCACCCTGAATACGGTTGGTGCACGCACATTTGGTAGGGTCGACAAAGCTCTTCTAGTGTCTAACCCATTGGCGCATGCACCGCATGCCCTTCAACATGCTGTCGATTTCAAGAGTGTACACGTGGCTTTTGCGGTGACCGGACAAGACTTCCTTGACGTAAGACTTGAACTGGTCTGACATATGAGCGTCCTGCAGTGTAGTAATTGTAGGACGTTCATTATGTCAGACCAGTTTAAATCTTATATATAATAATTGCAGGACGCTCATCATGTCAGACCAGTGCGGGGCAATAGTGCAGGTGCGCCTATGGTCAGTAAAGCTTAGAAGCTTCGCCCTCTGCTGCCGTTACACCTAAGCGGTGCCGCGTTTGCAGGATCACTTCCTCCACGCCGACTTCCTGCAGATGCGACGCACAATATCCAGGGTTCGAAAATTGGGATGAAGGTTTTTTGGGGTTTTGCAAAACACCCGCCCGCCCGTTTCATCAAAATTGCGGGTTTTTAAATAGAATGAGCACAGAGGACTATTTAAGGGCTCCTAAAAATCGAGGACTGATCTCGGCACACCTTCCAGACAGCCTACATACTTCATTTCCTAAATGGTGTTCACCTGCCCCCGGTGCCTGATCCCCTTTCGACATGCCGCATCCCTCAGACGTCACATAGGGACCCCCATCTGCTTCGCCCGCCAGTTTCCGGGCCTGGTTGCGGCCATACGGCGGGGCCTACGCAACCAGCATCGGCGCGAAAGACGCTTAGAACGCCAACACGACCCGCAGCGTGTCGTGCAGCCAGAAGAAGAGGTCAGCCAGAAGCTCAGGAATTCGACCCGGAGCGCAACCAAGCCCAGCCACTCCTTCAACGGAGCCCAGGAAGTAGGTTTCGTCCTCGCATATCAACATGTAGTCGACAACGCTCTTGTCGCACTTCTTTCCTGCCACACGGTGCACCATGACCAGCTTCAACTCGCCGCACGATCCGCACAGCAAAGTGGTCGCAAGCTCGCGGGGGGTGGGGAGGACGGCGCCAGGGTTAAGGATAGCCATCGCCTTCACCAGCGTTGCGTGATTGACCTTGTTGAATGTCATACCCGTGGAATAGAACCACAGCGCAAACTGTCGTTGGAAAGCCGTCAGCTTCGCAGGGCTTAGGGCCGGTGGAAGGCAAGCTGTAATCGGCTTCGTTACAGGTCGCTTGGAGCCCTTGCGCTTGAAGTGGTCGCGGACGCGTTCGACATGCGTCTCTCCCAGCAGGTGGATGATACGCTCGCACTTCTTACACGAGACGACATCGTCCGCCACGACTACGTCATTCCAGACCGGATCCTTCCGCGGCTTATGGTGATGGAAAGTGTTCAAGTTGAAAACTGAGCCTATGAACTCAACCGTTTGCCTGTTATCTCTGTCTCTAGGACTAAACACGCTATTGCATAGGGTTAGAGGGAGTGTTAGCCTGCCAATTTGCGCGATAAGTGGGGAGCGAGCCACGGCAAACCACGGTTTAGAGTATTTGACAGGATTTCATTAAGGAAACAGTATCGAGGACGGTCTCACCTGGCCCCGTTCCCAGCAACGAGCCATGACGTCATCGGGTCCTAAAAAAACAAAACCTAAACCCACCCACCCGCGGATCTTATCAAACCCACCCGGACAAATCTCAGCTGACAATGTCGCGTTCCTCGTGGATATTCACCCTTTCTTATAGCAGTTTCCCTGTTCGTCACGCCCACAATCCACAAAATTTTCATTGGACAAAAATACGTTTTATCTCATGAGTACGAACTTCAGGGCCCGCAGGGCCGGACTGTATCAATTACTCGGCCCCACGCTGCGAGTAGTGCAGCGAGCTCCGCGAGCGGAACGGGGGCGCCCTACCATTGTCTAAGTCCCTAATAACCATGGCGAAGCGCCTGCGTAGCGGTGCGCTGAGCCCTAGTCGTTGTCGTAGTACAGACAACGACTACACATTTGCCACTTCAAGGTGGTCTTAGTGCAATTCAATTTGGCAAAATATAACGATGGAAATTCAAATGTCATTTTTTATTTTTAGGTTTCACGTCAAAGTGGAATTTTTAAAGTTCAAACGGACTACGACTGGATGAGGAGACCCGCGCGCGCCCACCAGCAATTCAGAACGACTGGAGAGTAGAATTCGCGCCCACCAGCACTCAGAGAGCTGTCTCTTTGCACTTCACCTCGACTGGCTCATGCCTAAGGAGCCGAAGCACAGCCTCGCGGCTCGCGCGCGCGTCTTAGACGCTCACCAGCAGGGAGAAGACTGGGAGCTTGTCGCCAAGCACAATGGCATCCCCCGGAGTACTGCTCGCCGCATCGTCGTGAGCGGGAGTCCGGAGGTGAAGCAGCGCGGTGGCTCTCGAGCCGCCAATATCAAGTGCACTCCAGAGATTGAGGCAGCGCTGGTCGACTACGTAGAGGCCAACTGCTTGCTCACACTGGAGCAGCTGAATACGATGGTGTGGGTCGATTTTGGCGTGGATTTGAGCACGTCCTTGATCAGGCAGAAGCTCACGGGCCAACTGTACACAGTCAAGCAGGTATGTCGATGGTGTTGTTGGTATGCTAGCATTACGGAACCTATGTATCGATATAACACTATGATACGAATGTAGGTGCGAGTCGAGCCTGCAACTTGCAATAATGAAGTCAATGTTCAGAAGCACAAGCAGTTCGCCCTTGACTTGCATAGGTACAGTGCTGAAGGTGCGTTCATTGTGTACTACGATGAAACAAACTACAACCTATACTGCAGACGCACGCAGGGCCGTGCGCTCAAGGGCAAGCGCGCCATCGTGAAGCTGCCGCCCAGCAAGGGCAAGAACCTGCAAATACAGTGCGCGGTCTCTACCGAGGTCGGTCTGCTGCACTACGAGACCCAGTGCGGGAGCATCAAGATGGAGGAGAACGCTGCGTTCGTCGACGCTGTCTATGACGCTGCCAAGGCGCACCCCACCTACCAGCAGCACTTTGCTGGCAAGCCGGTTGTCATT